GTGGGCCGTGGGCCGTGGGCCGTGGGCCGTGGGCCGTGGGCCGTGGGCCGTGGGCCGTGGGCCGTGGGCCGTGGGCCGTGGGCCGTGGGCCGTGGGCCGTGGGCCGTGGGCTGTGGGCTGTGGCTGTGGGCTTGGGTAATGTTTAAGACTCACTTGGAAAAGTTTTGAGCTTTTGGGCAAACAAAGTGTGGGACTTTGGAAAGGTTTCGGGACTTGGAAAAAGTTTGGGGTTTGGCGAAAAGTTTGGGCTTTGGGAAGCGTTTGAGCCTTTGGAAAAAGTTTCGGCCTTTGGGAAAAGTTTGGGCTTTTGGAAAAAGTTTGGGGTTTTGAAAAAGTTTTGGCTTTGGCAAAAAGTTTGGGGTTTTGGAAAAGTTTGGGCTTTGGCAAAAAGTTTGGAGTTTTTGCAAAAGTTTGAGGCTTTGCAAAAGTTTGAGGCTTTGCAAAAGTTTGGGCTTTGGCAAAAAGTTTGGGCTTTGGCAAAAAGTTTGGGCTTTGGCCAAAAGTTTTGGGTTTTTTGAAAAGTTTGGCCTTTGGCGAGTGAGATGAGATCCAGTCCGGTCTCGGATATTATTATAGTAAAAGGAATTATTATGTAGCTGCTAAGACTTCTCATCATTACTATCTAGATTTCTCATCATTATGATTATTATGTAGCTAAAAAAATTCTTGTTACTGAGAGGGACTCTTATAGGGATCCATTAGGCGGGGTAGCTCTAATGTCCGCTGCGCGTGGTATTCAATAACTGGTAATCCCCAATCGTGGAGCAGTCCGGGCTATTTTCTTTCTTGGAAGACCACGGCGTCGCACCTAGTGACTTATTCGATCATAATATGGCCCACGTAGAAGTTTTTTCTCAACACACACGTCTGAGGCAGCTCCTGGGGTCCCTTCTTCGCTGGAGGCAAGGAGGTCGTGAGTGAAAAATTCGAGGGAAGCTGCCTCGATGGTCTGCCACCTCTACAGGGAACGAGAAAAAACATCATCTCCTTCCATAACAAAGTGGAGGCGTAGCCACACTGAAATGTGCTTACGCCACGTTTTATGAGAGGAAAAAGTATACTCAACATGGTAGTCAAAAAAGTACTAATCGAAAACTCAAAATAAGCGAGTTGCTGACTGAAATAAGAGAGTCTTGACTACTGCATTCTTCTTCTTTCAGTATCTCCCTTATTTTCCCTAGTTACTCGCTTATTTCAGTTTATCGAAAAGCTAGTTGCCTTCATCTCACATCCTACTCCTAGACCTAGCGAATTTACGGATCTCATCTAGGTCTCCGTGTCTTTAATTTCTCTCTCTCGACTCTCGCTCTCTCTAGCCTTAACCGTTCTGGCACTTGTCTCTCGGTTAGCCCAAGTGTGACACATGCACTTTTTCCTTTCATACATTTCCTGACCAGGAATGCAGCGGGGGTGAGGCCTTGGCCGGACTCGAAAACTTCTTTTCTATATCCGCGCCCGCTGCGGGAACTTATGTTAAGGCTACTAGTGGATCTCGATCACTATCTGGTGTGGACCATGCTTGCTCCGGAAGAATGTCGGTCCAGAAGAACTGTCTATATACCAGAGAAGAACGAGTGTACCTCTAGAGTGTCTAATTTTGGCTTCCTCATAAATAAATCTGATGTCGATGGAAATGGATTTGCTTGCTTGTCTTTACTAGAATGAGAGTCAGTCAACACGGAGACTCTACTGCGCGAAGGAACATCAGAGGGAATGATGATCTTCCACTCGAAGACCACCCCACGCACGGGTAGTAGTCGCGAAGATCATTGCCTAGAAGCGCTAACTATGACTACATTCCATCGACAGAAGATGGCGCGCAAACGTGTCGCCGGATGTGCGACGGCTCCCCAAGATGCCGCTGTGTCACATTTGATACCACTGCCGGCTCTTGTCGACTCATTAAGGCTAATTGTAATTCATCTGGAGAAACCTGGACGAGAGGGAGAGCCGTGGCCGCCTTCATTCTTGCTCCACCGGGTTAGTTAGGAATTCTTCTCGGGGGACCGAGATGGAGAACGATGAGCTTCGTACCCTAATTAAAAGCTGGAGAAGCATCTTCTGCATCTTGTGTGAAGGCTGTTGTATAATTCATATTTTAATCTTTTGTAACTGTAAGTAGAAGAAATAATTAATCATGACAATAGAACCGAGTAGATGATATATTTATATATCTATGTTGACAACCGGGAGATAAACGGAGATGTTGATGATAAATATCTATGTAACTAATTATGGGTAAAAAGCAAAAAGGTCTAAACTCACGAGCCTTGGCGATGGGCAAACGTCTTCAATTTCACTTGTTGCTGCAACACACAAAACGGCCTACAAGAAACATCCAGCCACTGGCGACATGTGCCGCTCGTCGTGGAAATGTGATGCCCCAGATTTTACGGTCATGTTGAAAGTACTAAAGCGTCCTGATCTTGAGCAAGAACTTATATTATTAATATAGAGACTTGACTGAAGTCCTCTCCCGTACTAGAAAGGATGAGTCCGTGAATGAGGCTCGTTAATATCCTTTTCGGGCCTAACGCTAAGTATGACCCTTGTCCGGCTGGACGTGTACGCAAATCCTCGGTTGGGGCAACGGAACCCACAGCATGCGCCGGCGCACCTTGTACCGATGACGAATGTTGTGTGCCCACTTGTGCCTCTTACTCCTGTTCTTATTTATGATATTAAACGGAATATTTTTATTTTGTCGGGTTATTTTTTGAAGAACCAGTTGTTGGACTACAGGGTATTCGAAATAAGAATCACATGATTCTAGTACACGCAGTCGAACCAACGTGATCACGGGTTATTTTTTTTCCCTGCTACAGTACAGGTTCGGTGGTGGTTCTACATCATGATCCTCATTTTTTTTTCGCAACAAGTGTCGTGTCTCTTTCTTCTAGTAGGCGTAAGTAGTGCTCTTACCAAGTCTCTTAGTCCTAGGTAGAAAAAAAGTTTCGGTATTTCAAGATAGATAATTGATAGACTTTCTTGCAGGTCGTGGCTTCCTATTCGTGGAATTACGACAGGGACACAAACATGACATATACTTAAACTTTCTCTGTGTCTTACCCACTTCGTTTCTTTTTCATATTGCGGAAAGAGGTTGCTGCCATCGCCAACGGTTTCGCCTCCAGCCTATTGTACGGGAGCGAGCGGCTGTACTGACGACCAGTGCTGCGGATCTGTCTGCGAGAGTTACGACAGTTGTGCGACGGGCTTTGCGAGAATGAGCAACGAAACGTGGTGCAGTGACCAGACTTAAGGCTCCAAAGAACCTTCCTCTTCTTCGTGAGAAAGTCCCGTTAAAGTTACTACAACATAATTTCAAAAGCATGTGCATGCAATTCATATCACGGAATGAAATACCATGCGAGTGAGAAAGTTGGCTATCGGGAGGATTCTCAGGCTGTACAACTGAGGCACGTACCAGTACTAGTACTGAGGCACGTACTAGTACTAGTACTAGTACTAGTGCGACTTTAACGGGTGGACCTGGTCGCGAGACAGCTATTAAGGGTAGCTCTAAAAGGCGCTCTGTACTGCTCTGGAATGTTGCAGCCGAACTTGCGGGACAGTGGACGGAGCTGCCACTTGTGGGACCACCCATCAGCTCGTCGACTCCCCGATTGCTTCACTGTGTTAGGGCTCATTGTGCGTCATTTCTACCGCGAAGAAAATTTGTACGTCATAACCTAAACTACTTAACCTGACCAACAAACCTAACCTACCGCATAACCTAACCTAACCAAGGAACAAAGCATCTTCTGAATCATGGCAACAACACGGCATAAGAGCCCATCTGGCGACCTTCATTATCCTAGGCTGCGAGGACTGTCATTATCTTCTGCTTGTGCGAGTACTTCACTCATTTTCACAGTTCGTATTGTGAAGACTCTGATGCAATTGCAACTAGAGTAGAGGTCGTGAAGAGAGGACCTGTGAAAAGAGGACAACTTGGAATAGGGACTACTAATGTGACTGTTCTGAGTAAGTACTAGATGAAGAAGAGAGCTGCTAGAAGAAGCATTCTGAATATGCATCAATGAACGTCTCGGAGCTGCTTGCATTGAACTGCGAAAGGGACACAAGCGTGACGCGTCAATGAATGTGAACTCTAATGTTGTGCGGATCAAACTGCGTGCACGTTTTCGGAGTGCTGCATCTCTACGACTACCACTAGCAGTACTACATCATCGATCACCACAACGACAGTAACTACTACCACTTCGTCTGTTACTACTACGACCGTCACCACTACCACGACCACCACCACGATAACGAGCACAACAAGTACATCTGCCACTTCCACTTCGAGTAGTACTTCGTCGAGCACTTCCACCTCAAGCAGTACGACAGAGACGAGCACAACGAGTACCACCACGGCAACAAGCACAACAAGCAGCAGCACAGCGACGAGCACAACGACGAGCACAACGACGACCACCACGTTAACAAGCACAACGAGCAGCACCACGGCGACGAGCACAACGTTGACCGGGACAAGCACCACAACAAGTTCTTCCTCCACGTCCGAAACAAGCACAACAACTTCGAGTTCCAGTAGCACTGTCACGACTACGACAAGCACTTCGCAAACAAGTTCCACGACGAGCACGAGCTCCAGCACCTCGAGTACCTTAAGGCTACTGTATCCCTATCCCATCCCCATGTGGACTATACTGGGTGGACCCCCCTTGATTTATTTTCATATTAAAGGGGAAAATAACTACGGGTAAAAGGGGGAACTCACTCAGCAACGGATAGTGAAAAACTGACGCTAAGTGCCACGGAGTCAAGCACAACATCATCAAGCTCGACGATGACCGAAACGACCACCACAGCATCAAGCACAACGGTCACGGTAACAACGGTCACGATGACACTATGGCCATCACGTAGTTACAAATCTAATCAGAAGTTCTACCAAATTATTTAGTGAGCTTTGGTCTTCCTTGTTATGGTCGTATATCTTGCTAGTTGTAACAACTTCATGTTCATCAACTATATAATTGGTATTTTTTATGTGAGGATTCTTTGTACATCTGAATGCCCTGATGAGGTCGTGCTTGTCGAACTCCCTGGACTTTTGAAGAGCCCTAAGACCAGGGACTAGCTCAACCAGTTCGGTGACGAGTACTACGGTGACTTCTACTGCGACCAGCTCCACAACGTCGAGCACGAGCTCGTCGACATCGAGCACGTCGAGTTAAGGCTTGTTCCCCTCATCCATCTCCAGAAGCATCTGCCTGCGGACCATTCATTGCATATTAAGGGCAGACGAACGACTTCAACAAGTTCAATCTCAAGATGGACTAGGGTGAGCTCTAATGGAGTTCGAGCACGTCGAGCTCGAGCACTACAGCAACGATCACAACCACGACGACGTCGAGCTCGTCGACATCGAGCTCGACGGCTACAAGTACTACAACGACGGCAACTGTGATCTCAACGACGCCAACGGCAACAAGTACAACAGGTACGAGCACGACTGCTACGAGCACCACTGCGACAGCGACGAGTACCACTATTAAGGCTTCTATTATTAAGATAGGTCTCAGGATGATCTTCGGGATGAATTTGCCTGGGCTCCTCTAATTGCAGTACTACCACAACAACAGACATGCCAGACATCCTTCGTGATGTTCTGCTTACGCTGAGTTTGCCCGCCGGAGCGGATGGGAGCTTACTCGCCAGCAACCCGGTGTTTCGGAGGGCACTAGGAACCGGCTTGCTGAACTATTTCGCAGGTCAGGCAGGCACGCCCACGCCGGGAGTGATCGTAAAGCATAGCGAGGCGGAGGTCGTATCCCCTCGCGGGTCGTCCAATACGACTCAAGCAGGAGTCCAGATCAAGATGTCGACTGCTTTAACTGTCATTGGGAACAATGAGGACACAGTGGCGAAAGTCGAGCGCGCTTTCCCTGCAACTGGGATGAGCAACGCGCAGAACCAAGCGCTTCTATTAAGGGTCGGGTTGGATCTCCTCCTTCGCCATCCACTCCAACTCCAAAGTAGTTGTCATCTGGAAGAAGTACTTAGGAGAAAACAACGAGAAAAAGAATGAAGACAAGTAGAAGAAAAAGAAATTCTCGTCCAGATGAAAGAAACGCGTGGGATGGACATAGATGAGATAAATTTCATAGGTACACCACCTCTAATTGTAGCAGCCATCATCGCTGTGTTGACACTGCCGAACACGCTACAGGACATTGTCGACGGCTTTACACATGCGGGGCATGGGGGACAGGCCACCCTCTTCGCAGATGCTTTAGCAGCCTACAACGCAGCTGGTGGGGCTGTGGGCGGCGCGAGTTTTCCCATTGACGTGACATCAGCGGACGGCCAGGGCGCGCCCGTGACGACTACGACAACGTCAACAACAACCGTTGACCCCTCTTTTTACGGCTGTGAGTCGTAAATTAACAACAACCGTTGACCCCTCTCTTTAAGGTTCTATTCTCATTCATCAAAATTCATCTCTGTGGTCTGAGACTGAGTTCATCCTTGAAGATAAGCACGAATTCATCTCTGGCTATAGGAATGGGTATCTTTGAAAAGTATGAGATAGAAGAAGCTACAAGATGAGAAGTTGTATGTAAGTACCTTTGAAAAGTATGAGATAGAAGATGAAAATGTGTAATTGTAAGTAGTATCTTTGAAGAAAAGTATGACAAGCTGTAGTTGGAAGTAGCTGTAGTTGGAAGAGGATGAAGTTTTCACGGAATTGTGAGAGGTCTAATCTTTCTCTCGTGTGTTGGGTTTCCAGTTGGCGAATCTTCCTAATGGAGCCGATGTGCATGCACTATTGTCGAATCGTGAATTTCTGAAAGCAGTGGGAGATGGCTTTGCCCGCTTTGTCGGAAATGTAACGGCGAATGCGGCACTCGAGGCTGCGCTCATCTTGCAGTCGGCAAGTGGGGCACTTGGTTCGGGAGGCATCGTCAGTATTAAGACTGTGGAGAGAAATTCAAACTGTTCATCTCCGAAGTTTCGGGAAGAAATTCGTCTCCAATTATTCAAGCGGAAGGAAAGAAGAAAAAGGGACTTCTTTGGTGATTACAACTGGGATGAATGATAAACTTCCTGCATCTCTTCTAGTTCTAACAGCAACGGCAACGCTACGTCGACTGCGAGTGTGGAAGTAGCGGTGACTTTCTCAGTATTTGACGGCAGCTTCACAGCAGCGGAGCTGTTTCAGCTGATTGATAACGGTCGCGCCCCCAGTGGAGACGTCTTCTATTTGCCGACTGGCCTGGTGTCGGATTTGGCGCCACTGTTGGAAAAGTTCTTGTATGACGCGATCGCAAAGCAGGCGGCCCTGAGTGGCAGCGCACTACCCACGCTGTTTGGGGGCGCAGCGGGCAGTACAGGACTGCCTCCTGGCGTGTCGCTTGCGAATGCCGCAGGCTTGCCGGCGCCTTTACCTGCCACGACGACCACAACGACGCCGCGACCGCCTCTCACGCGGACATTGCTGATCAATATGACGCTGCCGGACACGGTAGACCCGGCAATATTAGCCGCCGACAGCGTGTTCCGGATGGCTCTTCGCCAAGGCGTGCAGGATTTTCTCGATGGTCAATCTGGTGCTATCGGTGCGATTGTCACGGGCATTCTTGACGCCATATTAGTCGGCGTGACGAAGAACGCGAAGGTGAACACCACAAGTAATGGAACTGGTAGTCACACGAGTGGCAGCACATCAAGTAATGGAACTGGTAGTCACACGAGTGGTACAATCAATGCGCAATTTTCTATCACAGTTACGATCGACGCCCTTGGTTCGGGCCCAACGGCCGACGCACTCTATAACTTCTTAGGTGGCACGCTTTGGCCAGCAGGCACTGGTCTGTCGCCCGCTGGAGACGCTGCGCTGCTCGCTGCGATAGCTGCCGCGCTGAACAATCTTGCGAGCGCGATCGAAGCGAGCTCCGGACAAGCTGGGCTGGCCGGATCAGGTGGTGGCTCAGGCATGGTCGTCACAGGAGTAGACGGTCACCAGGACCCAGCGTGGACGAGCTCGACTACCACAACGACCCCAGTGGCCATAGGCCGGCGCGTGTCGTTCTCCCTGATAGATATACCGCTGAGTACGACGGCGGACGACTTAGTACATCATCCAGAGTTTTTAGGGGCTATCGCTGCAGGCTTGCGCGCATTCGTGGGCGCGCACGTCGCTGCTGCGGTGCCAATTCCGACCGTGGTGCAGAACATCTATGGGAGCCACAATATTTCTACTACAGGTTATGACGCGCAGGTTGTCGAGTTGCTCACTCTTGCGCGGAATTTGAAGGCAGAGAAGATAGCGGCTTTGGATCCTCAGGTGGCCACGGGGAAACAGGCTTTTGGCGTTCAGCTAGACGTAAACGTTGGCGTTTTGGGTAACGACCTTCCACTTTTGAGCCTGGTGAGGTCTGCGTTGGCTGCTCTGTCAAGTATAACTAGTGGAGCAGGAACGTCACAAGCCATCTCGACAGAATTAGAGCAGCTTCGCACCCTGATCACGACAGCTCTCCGCACGCAGGCAGCGGTGCAAGGTAGCGAGCTCCCTGGGCTATTTGGTGTGGCAGCGAACCTAATTAGCTTAGGATCAACTGCCGAGACTGGGTATCTCGATGCCTCGAACAGCACTGTGATCGCCAACGCGAAGCCAACCGCTACTGGTCTGCAAGGAAATGCGACCACTGCATTTGCTGGGCAGATGAGTGCTCCGATCGGTCGCGCTGTTGAATTTACTCTCCTCCGGCTTCCCAAGGCTTCTTTCACATTGGCAGCGAGTCGTGATGTGACGCTTGCCGACGTAAAAAAGGTCTTCGCGGAGAATCCGGAGTTCCATGCTACTGTCGGACAGGGAGTTGTCAACTACATTGCTGAAGCGATAAAAGGTTCTTTAAGGCTGGACTTACCTCTCTAGAATTGGTGAAAGTAGCAGTTGGTTTGTAAGGTTTAAGGTAGGAACCTTCAGAATGATTCTACCAGAATAGGGCTCGTCTCTAGAATAGGATTAGTTACCTCACTTGTGTGCAAAAGTTATCGTTTTTAGATGTGTGTTTTTAGTTTTACCTCCTCTTCAGCTCCTCTAAGGGCTTCTGCTACATCTGGTCCTGCCGCTAGCGCAGCCGCAGCTGCTGGCGCGCTACTGCGTGACTTGCTGGTCGACGTGCGAGAGATCACGCCTTACGCGCATGCCACGCATGGGGAAGTCCTTGATGTTCGCGTCGGGCTGCGTATAGATTTAAGTGCCCTCTCAGCTGCAATCGAAAAAGGAATCGCGGAAGTTGCGCTGCCTAGCGACGGCATGCTCCTGCCTAATGACAACATGCTGCTGCACAACATCTTTTCGACGATAGTGGCCAGAGCAACAGCGCCTGGGACTACACTTCCAAGTGCTTTAGGAAGTGCGCCCGTCAAGTGGGACGCGATTAGTCTGACGTACTTTGGGGAGGCAGACGCGTACTTCGGGACGACAACCACAACCACGACCACTAGGGGACCTGGCGACACGATCTACACACGCGACATCTTTCTCGAGATGACGCTGCCAAGCAGTGCCAGAAACATAAGTGCTGACGATGTCTATCGCAGTCCCGAGTTCATGTCGGTAGTGGCAGACGGTGTCTACGCTTTTATCGCCAACGCTACAGGCAACGATGAGGCGATATTGAGTCAGATTGTGATCACAGGGATGCGTCCGCACATCGTTTCTACATCCGGTTAAGGCTTACTATAAATTTAGTTATTATTCTTATCATCTGGATCTGCGTTTGCGTAAGTACCTGTATCTTTGACCTCCGTATTCTTTCATCTAGTAAAAAGAGGAGAAGAGGATGACTTTTCATCTTCAAGATGACTCTCAAGCAATGCTGATGTAGATGCTGTGCCTGCGCTAATCCAAGCCTGCGTTCGACGCCAACGCGAATGCGTCAGCACCGTCAGTGGTTCAAGTTGGCATAGCAATCGACTTCAAAGTTCTGAATGGAGACCCTGCGATTGTAGCGCTGTTGACGCAGACCTTGTTTCCTCCAGGAGGGACACTTGGCATGTCAGACGAGTCTGCGCAAAATCTCATGGACAGCATCCTCGATGCGCTCAATAAGCATGTGGCCGCCACGATTTCGACAGTTAAGGCGTCTTTCTTCTACATTCTCCCTCTCCGAGGACCTTCACTCAGACTTCAGCTGTGCATCTTGCAGTTGCCTTTGTCCCATGATAGTGAGAAAGTTGGGTCGAGATGTATCTGCATCTGAAGACGTAAGATCTGACTAGCGGTACATTGTGCGTTCTATTGACTATCTATCTATCTGAAGATGCATCTACAGGAAGCTGTACCTACTTCAGATGTAGTATCTACTGGCCTCTGAAGTATACATGTATCTACTGGAAGCTGTATCTATCCCAAGATGTAATTTTTGTGTGTTCTAATACAGGCGCCGGGGGCACAGCTCTCCCAGCAGGCGCGGTCCCGACTTCGATACGGGCCGCGCCGTTAACGGCTACGACCACAACGACTCCAGCAGGGGTCATCTATTTTGGCGGAGGAGATGGAACTAGTCAGCCGAGGAGTGTTGTGCGGGGAGGCACTTTTGATATGGCAGTGCCCGTAGATGCGTTGCAGAAGGCGTTGAACATGACGGCGAGCGCGTTCTTCGCGGCCTTGGCGGGCAATGGGGAATTTCGTACTGTGGTGGCGGACACCTTTGCGGACTTGATCACGACAGCTCTAGGCGCCGCAGCAGCCGCTGACGTGACCATCGGCGACGTGAGTGCAGACGTTGTTTCTCTCGTAGAAGGGCAAGGGCAAATGAACGTCACCCACGGGAACGGAGCCACTTCTGAAGTCAGCGTGGCGATGTCTACGGCCACCATAGGCTACACAGTAGAGATGCTAGTCGCTGCCGGTGCCGATAACACTTTGGTAAAGTTGACAGATCCAGTTAACGGATTGTTCCCATCGGGTACGGGATTGATCCCACAGTCGGTCCTGGACATGTTGCAGCGGCTTTTGCAGACAAATTTACAAAATCAATTAAGGCTCAACGTAATAGAAGTCCTAGTTCATTTCGAGTTCTACGTACAAGTGCAAGGTATTTTTTTCCTTTTTCACTTTTTGCCTCTCGGGATTATGAGAAAATCGAAGCAACGTGAAAGAACGAATTTGGCCGAGTTCTAATTCAAGCGGCCAGGCCTGGAAGCTCTTTGCCTGGTGCTGGTGGTAGTAGCGGAAGCGGTTAAGGCTTTTCGTGTTAATGATGATTTAAGCAAAAACACTGTCGTGCTAGAAGCTCTGACGTGTTGATGTTTAGTGGAAACTCAGTCGTGCGTGCAGTTACTGTAGTTACAACCTCCTTGTTCCTTCTCAGTATCTACCAGTGGATGGCTTAGATGATCCTACCAGAGGATGGTTTAGATGATCCTACCAGTGGATGGTTTAGATGATCCTATCAGTGGATGGTTTAGATGATCCTATCAGATTAATAGTTTCTCTAATGTCTAGGAGGCGGCGGCTCTTCGCTTTACGAGCAGATTTCGGTTCCGGGCTTTGGTCCCATAACCACTCCAACGACCACGACGACGAGCACAACGGGTATACCCACTTTCGTTCACCGCATTGGGGTGCTCTTCAACGTCCCGGAGAATACGGACGTGCAGAACGATTTGCTGCGAAGTAGTGAGTTCGTAACCACTCTGATAGCGGGCCTTCGCTATCATCTTCAAAATAGTACCAATGCCGTAGTAGCCGCGAGCGTACGCATGACAGACCTTAGATTGAAGCTACTAAGCATTGGTAACGCAGTCACACCTGCAGGCGGAGGTAACGCGACGAAGCCGGTAGAACTGTCCTTATTCGTAACCTTGACAGTGCCATCAGGAGACGCGATCGTTATCAATTTAGATTAAGGCTCGCCGGCTCTAATTCATTTTCATATATGAAAAATACTCAATAAACTCATGATGAATGAATGGAACGGTGCTAGGCCTAGGCATGGTACTTTCTCAAAGAGGGAAGCAGGCACTCCCTTGACGACTCTCAGTTCTAGTAATAATGAATCTAAAGGCAAGAACAAGGTGCTATGAGTTCTAAGTAAATGAATCTACTAAAGGCAACAAGAAGGTGAAGTTCTAAGTACAGCTGGGAAAAGCCTTTCCCGATGGAGGTGGCGATGCTGCGGTTGGCGCAGCTCTGCTGGCTGCGTTGACCCGTGCCTTGGAAGAGCACGCGGCGAACCCGAGTAGCAGCTTGCCAAGAACTCGAGCTGGGGAGCCATTGATCACGGTTGGAAGTGTTGTTTTATATTAAGGCTACAAGAAATTATCCATGTTACGGAGTTGTATCTTGGTCCCGCTTTTAAAGCAAGGGAAGTCGTGAAGCAAGATGGGCCCGAAATAGATAGATTTATCTTAGTGCTAAGCATGCGGCTCGACGACGCAAACCACAACGCCGCCGCCCACGAGTACCACCACGACAACCAGTACGACGCGGACCCCGATGCCTGACGTGGAGCGAGAGATCTTGCTGGGCCTAACCTTGCCTGCTGGACTCGATCCGGTCCTTCTCGGGGAAAATCCAGTCTTTATGAACGTGTTGGGCGTCGGCTTGCTAAATTACCTTGCGAGCTACGCTGGAACGCCAGCGCCAGGAGTCTTGGTGCGCAGCATCGTCGCAGACGTCACCTCAAATGGAGCCACAACCAGTGATAAGAATCAAACTTATGAATGATGCTGCAAGTGGGCCTATCATCTTCTTCTAAGGGCGTATTATCTGATTTCTGTTTCTAGGACCTTCGTTCTCGTCGATCTCGAGGAGGTGGGAAAGGTGAGATAGATATGCCTAAATGCAAGGGAGATCATGGGTCATCTCGCAACAGCCAGAGTGGAGGCTGCGTTACTAACAAACAACTGGCGTGGGATACAAAATTTCCAGTGTCTTGAGCGTGATAAATGACGACCCGACTACTCTAGCCAGAGCGGAGGCTGCGTTTCCTGCAAGTGGGATGAGCAATGGACAGAACGCAGCCTTGCTTGCTGAAATTATTGCTGCGTTGATGGCCGCAGGGGTACTGCAATTAAGACTACCTCGACAGCATGTCCTTAAAACCAAGATCCTTGGATCTTCTTTTGCTACTTGAAAAAGAAGCCAAGATGAATGCATTGTCTGAGGGATGGGTGCGAAGGCGGTCGTTCTAATGCAAGACATTAGTGACGCGTTCCTACGAGCGGGGCACCCGGAGCAGGCTGCGCTTCTTGCAGATGCGCTTGCCGTTTATAACGCTGCCGGTGGGGCCGCGGGCGGTGCAACTTTCCCACTACTACCTACCTCCGCGGACGGCCAGGGCGCGCCACTAACGACGACAACAACAACTACAACGACCGTGGACCCGGTTTTTTCGCGTGTTTTGGGCCTCCAATTGGAAAACTTGCCCACAGGAGCTGACGTGGCTGCCTTGCTATCAAACCGCGAGTTTCTGAGAGCGATAGGGGAAGGCTTCATTCGCTTCATCGGGAACGTCACAGCCAACACGACGCTAGAAGCGGCTCTTACCTTGCAGTCCGCCAGCGGGAGGCTGGGTTCTGGCGGCATCACCCAGAGCGCCGCGGCCGCGACACAGTCAGCAGACGTTCAAGTAGAAGTGACTTTGTCAGTTTTTGAGGACACTTTTACTGCGGCAGAGCTTTTTGAGCTGATTAACAACGGGCGCGCCCCTGACGGCGGCACCTTCTATCCGCCCAGTGGCTTGGCCCCTGATTTGACAGGGCTGCTCCGAACGTTTTTGTACGGCGCTATCGCCGAGCAGGCAGCATTGATGGGCAGTGCACTGCCCGTATTATTTGGTGGACCACCGGGAAGCACAGGGTTACCTCCTGGCCTATCCATAGGAGAAGTCACGGGCCTCCCCGCGCCAGAGTACAGTGCCACGACAACGACCACGACTGCCCGACCCGACATTGCTCGAACTGTTCTTCTCAACGCCACCCTGCCGGACAGCGTAGACCCAGTAGCTCTAGCGGCAGACCCTGTTTTCGAATTGGCTTTGCGAGAAGGCATACAAAACTTTTTGGATAGTTATCACGACCATCTCGGTGCCATCGTTACTGGCCTCTCTGTTAACGTTGTTCGAGTAAACAGTTCGAATAGTTCCACTGGAGCTACATCTACGGATGTAACATTTGCGACCACAGTAGCCTTCGACGCTCTCGGATCTGGTGTCGCTACTGATGCCTTGTATGCGTGGTTGGGGAACACTTTGTGGCCCTCAGATGCTGGTCTCTCTTCAGCTGGAGATGCTGCGTTGCTTGCGGCGTTGCAAAGCGCTCTGGCACCGCGTGCCGCAGACGTCGCGGCAAGTTCGGGTCAATCTGGTGTGGCAGGGTCTCCAGGGCTAGTTCTCACAGGCGCAGACGGTTCTGCGGCACCACCCTCAACGGCAGGGACGGCAGCTAATACTGGGGTGTCCATTGGTCGGCAACTGGTCCTGTCATTGCTGGATATCCCTACCACCACAGTGGCAGAAACACTGGTGAGCCATCCAGAATTCTTAGGCGCTGTGCTCGCAGGCTTGCGGAAGTTTGTAGGTGCTCAGGTGGCTGCAGCAGTTCCGGGTGACTCGACTGTGCGCAATATATACGGTGGGCCCAGTACGTCCACAAGCGGCTACAACGCGGACGTGTGTGAGCTGCTTACCTTCGCGCGAAACTTGGAGGTAGAAAAATGCGCGGCCGTGGACAACATAGCCGTGGTAGTGGCTGGGAAGCAGTCCTTTGGCAGCAGAGTCGACTTCAATCTGGGTGTCCTCGGTGGCGACCCAACGCTCGTGGCGCTGGTCGAACAGGTTCTACAATCCCTATCGACCTCTCCTAGCGCCGTAGCCCAGCTGCGAGCCCTTGTTGCTATGGCTCTGCAACAGCAGGGCGCGAAGCAGGGTAGCCAATTACCCACGCTTTTCGGTACTTCAGCAGCGGAGATTAGCCTCGGACCGACGATGCTATCTGCGCTACTCACTGCTTCCAACAGCAGCGTCATAGCTAACACGACACCCGGCAGCCCATTACCGATATTAAGGCATTCCCCTGATGCTGATCCATCTTGAGAAGGGGCATCTTAGAATGAAGAGCCTTACTTTTCAAGGAGCGAGAAAAGGGGTCAGGGATGAACCTCAAGTCTCGCCCACTATCAGAACGGACAGCACTATCAGAGACGCACGCACGACATGAGTCCCAAGATGGATTTAGTCAAGATCTAACTACGAATGACACGAGTGGGCAGATTTCTCCGCCAATTGGGCGCGCGATCCAAATGCTTCTGACCCGGATTCCCCAGAGCGCTTTTAACGTGTCCTCTTCAGGTCGTGCCACAATAACACTCGCGGACGTGGAAAAGGTCTTCGGAGGGAATCCAGAGTTCCTAGCTTCTGTCGGCCAGGGCTTCCTCGACTTCCTCGTGAAGACAATCAAGGAAAACCAAATTGGAGGCGCAACAGTTGTTAAGGCAGAAGTCAAAATCAACTACTTGTCGCTAACACTAATATTAAGGGTAGGTTAAAGGTACTTTTGTTACATACCGTTTGTTATGGCTCTCTCCCCTTAGGTGAGGACAGCCATAACAAGCGGGAGAACCCACGAACACCAACAAGGTACCTCTAATAATAGTTAGCACCAGATAAAATGTGCTTGATTAATTTTCTTCTTGTTTTCTTAGGGGTTTTTCTTCTTGTTTAGTTTTTTTTTTGAGTTAGGCGTACTCTGGAGGAACTGATACTGACAATGTATCCTACCAGAGTTGTATATCTACAGTATTCATCACTTCTATACGACACAGTCACTTCTATACGAAAAACTGAAATAACCGAGTAATCCGATGAATCTGATAAAAAATAGAATTCAAAACTACGACCGGCACTGCTATGTGGTCAAGGATACTCAACAACATTATAAGTAAATAATATCCCTGCAAATTATTGCTATTTCTAGTGCATGTGCACATCAAATGTCAGACACAGCTCTAGCTCTAATACGGATGCAGAGGCACTAGCGGCAGCAGCGGAGGTGGGTGTGCTGGTTCGCGATGTTCTTGGGATGGTGCTGGAGTTAACGCCATACACACATGGAAGTCTTGGCGAGATTGTGGACGTCCGCTTGGGAGTGAAGGTGGATCTAGTGGCCCTCTCACAACCTCTCGCAGATGCCATTGCTGCCGCTTTGCCAGCAGATTTTGACGGAGAATCGACGAGATTCCCCGATGATAACTCGCTTTTGTTAAGGCAAAAGTACTGACATTTATCTTGCCGGGCATCTTTTTTTTGGCGTGCTCTCAACTTCGAGGGAAAAACTAGGTCAAAGATGCACATCTTCAAAGTGAAATTTCGAGGGAAAAACTAGGTCAAAGATGCACATCTTCAAAGTGAAATTCGGTAAGGTCTAATTCGAGGAAGCATCATGGCTGCGATAATGGCGCGCGCCAATGCGCCGGGCAGCACCTTACCAAGCGCGTTCGGACCGACAGCGGGGTCCCCGCCAGCTTGGGACGTCACGGGACTGACCTATCTTGGAGAGGCAGATGACGCTTTTTCGTTCACCACTAGCACTACGACGACCACGACAATCAATCCCGGCGACGTGATCTACCCACGGGATATCTTCATTGAGATGACGCTGCCAAGCGGTGCTGGCAACGTGAGTGCGGAAGACGTATATCTGAGTCCTGAGTTTCTCGGAGTCGTTGCCGAAGGTATTTACGCTTTCATCTCGAATGCCACTGGGAACAACGCCACCTTGTTGAGCCAGATCCTCATTGTGGGCATGCATCCGCATATCGTTTCGACGTCGGGGCCAGCTTTTGGTGACACTTCTAGTGGCAATGGAACTTATGCCTACCACAATAATTGAAATTAATATAATCTTACGATTAACAGGCATTTTACTGAAATAGAAATTATAATCTTACAATTAACTACAGGCATTTTACTACTTTGCCTTGATGTTGCTTGCAACTTCAAGGGGAACAAGATGAATAAGGCACTATTAAAAGATCTTCACGCAAATAATTGCAAAATGAATTTGGGTGACAACGACAAGGCCCTCGTCCTCTAAAGAACCTCGACAGTGCAAGTAGCGGTGAAGGTCGATTTTCAAGTCCCAAGTGGGGACCCTGCCATCATCGCACTGCTCACACGGAACCTGTTTCCTTCAGGGGGTACGCTTGGCATGACACCTGCTTCTGCGCAAAACCTTATGGACAGCATCTTAGAGAAGCTCGAGGAGCATGTCGGAACCACAAACTCTACGAATTCGGCTATCCCAGCAAATGCGGTCCCCGAGTCCATAAGACCAGCACCGCTAACACCAACGACCACAACGACACCAGGTGGGACTCAGTACTTTGATAGTGGTGGAGGAAGCGGAGGAGGAGGCACCACAATCGTGAGACAGGGCACGTTTGATCTATCTGTGCCATTCGCATCGCTGCAGAATAGCCTGAATATGACGGTAGACGAATTTTTTGACGCTTTGGTATCAAATCCAGAGTTTCGTGCAATCTTGGCCGACACTTTCTCCGACTTGATAACCTTGAAACTTGGCGCAGCACTAGCCGCAGACGTGAGCGTCACGAATGTTGCAGCGAACCTTCTCAATTCGATACTAGAAATATGAAGGGAAAATGCTTGCTCATACTCCGATAAAGATGCCTCACTGAAGATTTTTCAGTTTGATTTATTTCACTAACAGATCTCAGATCATACTTTCTTGCTACCACAAGTATAATTGTTCTTGAATGATGCTATAATCTTTGATACGGTGTTGAGTAATGATCATAAATTTTCCTGTCATGAGATAGCATCGCGTCTGCAGACGCGAATGGGAATGTGACGATGGCGACAGCGACGATAGGCTACACGGTGGAGATGTGGGTACCGGATGACAGTCCTGCTTTGGCGGCACTAACAGACGCCACAACAGGTTTGTTCCCGGATACCAGTTCTGTTAAGGCTCCATCACTCGTCTTGACCTTGAGAAGCAGGCATCTTTTGTTTTTTCTTTTTTTGTGGAAAGCAAGGATGAAAGGAAGGCAAAGACAGATGCTCTCAACTACACACACTGACTTCAAGAAGTATCTATCTATACGTAATTATATACTATAGCGTTATAGTACTACTTAAAAGTAGTTTCTTTTTCTCATTGGTGTTGGTCAGTTGCTTAAGAAGCTCACTTCAGATATTGTTGCCTGTTATTCGTGGAGGTGGACTCGAGCTCTAACTCTGGCGGCAGTGGTGTCCCGCAGTCGATTTTAGATCTGCTAAAGACGTTGCTAGAACAGAATCTGAAAGAGCAGGCAGAGACGCCCGGCAGTTCCTTACCCGGTGCCGGTTCAGGGGATCATGACGTTAAGGGTAGGTTAAAGGTGCTTTTCTTACCGCTTTGTGTGCCTCTCCTAAGGGAGAAAGGCATAAAAAGCGGGGTAAGCGAGCACCAAAAACCGACCTCTAATGACGGAGTTCTTGGGCAAATCACAGTGCCCGAATTCGGTCCAATCGTTACGCCTCCTACCACCACGACCTCAACGACAACGACGACTGGCGCCCCGTACTTGTTGCAGCGGATTGAAGTAACTCTGCATCTGCCGGCTTCACTGGACGAGCAGAACCTCATAGAAAATCCTTACGAGCCAACTTTTACGTAGGAGTGTTCCATAACCATAGGAGGAAAACCAAATTATAACTATAAAATTGTTTCTAACTACTACCAGATGAAGATGTAAATTTGATAATTTCAAGACGGATTCGGAGTCGAGTGAGCTCTAAAATCCCGAGTTTTTGCAGGCGTTGATGACAGGAGTGCGCGACTACATTGCGGACGTCACAGACGCGGCGACGGCCGCGACTGTTTTCATCACAGATTTGGAAGCAGAGATTGTAAAGATAGTTAAGGCTCATGTCTGTGTTCATCTACCCATTTACTTATGTATTGTAAGAATAGTCAAGGCACATGTCTTTGTCACGATACTCATACTCAGGTACTTTATCTAAGTAAGTACATTTTCTTGTTCATAGGTGTTTTTTGCGGTTCTAGTTTTTTGTTTCGTTCGTTCGGGTTCGTATATCAATCTACTTTCTCTTCGGACTATGAGAGTGAGAAAATGAGCTACATTTACTTGCTAAGTGAAGTCAAATGAGCTAGAGTTACTGTAGTATTACTGTGTCTGTCTGTGAGCTGCTCCTCTAAAGTCGGTAACACAAAAACGCCAGCAGGCGGAGACAGTTCGACAAGCATAAAAGAAGTTACAGTTGGCATTCTCGTCACCTTCGAAATACCAACCGCAGACTCGCATACTATTTCCCAACTAACAGACGTTGCGTTTCCAAGTAATTCTACTGCTGCAACGACAGAAGCTTTGAAAGACGCAGTAAGTCAGGCTTTGGGAGAGGCAGCTGCGTATCCGGGAAGCAGCCTGCCGAAGTCAAGTGTTAAGACCGTGATAAATCGCAGATGAAGCCATGTCCTCTGCGTGTCGCATATTATCGACGCAATGGGTATACTATAACTAATTACTTATCCTCTCGCAATTTTCAAAACCTTCATGTTAATCAGTACGTGAAAGCTGTCGGCAGGAGCATATTGACCGACCTTCTAGTCCAAGGATGCATGTAAGTAGTTTTTAGTACTTGGAAAATGTGAGAGAGAAGGCATCCAGGTACTTCGCGTACTTCGATGATCATAGCCTCTAACTTCGGGACACATATGACGCAGATCGTCGATGGAGAAGGAGTCTTAGTGCCAGTTTCCCCTGGAACCGCACTCATTATTGTAGGCGAGGTAATATTAGTAGGCCCGATGGTTGGGCCTATTGGTGGTGGGGCCGGAGATGAAAATACAGGCGGCGGAGGCGACCAAGATAATATTAAGGCTACTTTTTACAATAGTACTAAATGCATCTTCCCTGCTGGCATGATCTCGGTCCCGTTTCTCAAGGGAAAACGGGAACCAGGATGCTCGCCAATATGGATTTATGTAGGTTCTAAGAATAGTACCAGGACTGGTAATGACACATCGTCAGGCAATGGAGCGTCGTCCGGTAATGAGACATCTTCGGGAGACACAGTAGAGGAAGACGAAGACGAGGAAGTTAAGGAAAATAGAGGTGACGTGGACGATGAGGAAGTTAAGGCTTAGACTTACTTGAAGATGAACAAATTGTCAATAACAAAGCTCTATTCATCCTTATCAATCAATTTTGTTCGAGCTCGGCACGATCCGTGTAGAGTGGGCAATAGCAACCTATCCTATCCTAATTATAGGTTTTTACAAACATCGGAATTTAGTCACTTCTTTGTTCTAGGTTTTTTCTTAAGTGTCCAGCAGGCCAAGCAACGCCCAAACCACTGTGCCCCCTTTCCCAGAACTGAGAAAGATGGTTTTATTCTCACACTTCGTCTTCTATACACTGTTCTTTCTGCTTCAAGGCTTTTTCTCACACCTCATCTTCTAGACTTAGCCCTTCTAGCACCCCTTCTAATGACGACGTGAACGTGGGTTACAGCGTTTCCGATAATGTCACTTTTGAGGGGAGACAAGAAGAGGAATTTGAAATCGACATGGGAGGTCTGGAAGACGTACCATTTGCAATGCAAGCGATTGTTAAGGCCTTCGATGATAGTAGTTCGTTGAGGTTCTAGTTAGTTCTCCATTTTGTGTTTCTTCTAGATAGGACATGTCTAGCACACATTACAGTTGATGTTCTTTTCCACGATTATAATTCATCTCTGCAGCTTCGGTTTTCTCCGTCTCTTTTTGGGGGAGTGTTTAGTCTGTCTTACCATTTACAGTTTGGATCATTTAAGAGTACTTCTTTTCTATGCAAATGCAGCTCTAAATTGAAGTTCGCCAAGAACTTCGCTGCGGGTTCCATTTGCGGAGCCCTGGTGGCTTTTGCTCTGCTCGAGGGTACGTGATAGAAGTCGATGTGGATGTTGTATATTAAAGTACTTACCTGTCTTACAACTCATTCTTTTTTAGGGATAGGAAAAGTTCACCATCGGCTACTAATGCTTAAAATGAAGTTTGATGGTGACTTTTCTTCATCTTGATGCTACTACTTCTTGCTTGGAATGCATTGTTGACGTAACGACCTCCTATTTATCGGCGATATGTCATCATGGTGGAAACGAGGAGCTCTCACCATGAAATAGGCGTGGCAACTTGCAGTGGATTTCTCAGCATGTGAGCTTTTTCTAAGGAGCTACAGAAATTAATAAAGAAGTTTTAGTTTAGGTTTACCCTGATTATATTTTTCCAATCACTCTGATATTCGTCATCGTCTCGTGTCATCACAAGCACATCAATGCGGAAGCGCACTAGAAGCAATCTATGAATCAATCCAACTACTTTTCAGTTGAAGAGTTCTTGAAGTGGAATTGCTTACCAATTTTACCAACGGAAATGGATACTTTTTTGTAAGATTGATGTTCTTTTTGCATCGAGACGGCCATGGCTGTAGCTAGGTCCGTCTAGTATGTCCTCGAAGTATATTAGGATAAAAACTACGGAAAAGCCAGCGGTTTTGAAATTAAATAGATGAACAATCGAAACTAGGGAAATTGCCCTTCTGGATCCAACGTGGCCACGGCTTTTCCCTAGCGGACCGCCGTCGTCGCCGTCTTTTTTTTGGTTTGTGCGGTATGAGAGAAAAATCGGGACCCCCGCAACAACTTTTAGAGGGCAAAAAGATGAACCTTTCGTGGACATTCTTCCAGGGGATAGAAAAACGGATAGCAGGCAGTCGAATGGGCCAGTACGTATAGCTGTCTCTTCTAAGATGTGTAAGGTATCAAGCCACGAACCATGAAAATGAAAAAAAATCTTGATGACTATTCAGCGCTCCCAAGGATTAGGAAAGAGAAAGAAAAAGATAAAAAGCAGTTTCTAGTTCACCGAAGGGAAAGTTGCATTTCTCGTGGAGAAGGTTTCGTCTCGTGTGAAAACTCTATCTAAAAACGAATACTAACTTCAGCACGACAAGACGCGAGGACTTGTACTTCGGCTTCACGACCACGACACACACTACAAAAATGAAGGGTCTCGCAGTCCTCGCCGTCGCCACTGGCGCTGCCGTCATTGCTTTCAAAATCCAAGAAAGAAAAGTTGAAGCCGGAGTAGGTATTGAAGATTTTTAACCACAGGGGACCATAGATACTTCTTAACCACCATAGATACGTTTTAACTCATACTCAGTAGAGCCTCTTTTTGTAGTTGAGGGGACGAGAGGTCTAATGGTCCTTGTATCGTGACACACCCTTTCTAAAAACAGGTGACTTGTTGAAAACGTTTATCGAGTTCAAGAAGCAAGACTGTACCAACGGTCTCAACACGATCACCCTCAAGTTGAATATTATGGCTGGATAAAATCAGAGCCAGGCAGTTACTCGTAGCTGCTACGTGGTTGGAATGAATGAAATCCAAGAAGGTAGAAGTGGTTTCGATTTCGGCTCCAATATCTGTTTCGTGTAGATTATTCCTAAAAACTCTTTTTTTACTATTTTTCTGATTTCGTCTCCTATTTTACATGTGATTGCGCTAGTATCGAAGTGAGAAATTGCGTATACTCGCGTCCGATTTTTCCTATAATTTAGATTTCTTAGGAAAACCAAAAACGCAGCAGCTATTCTACATAGAATTGTACCAGTTGATGTTAGATACAGGATTACACCAGGTAGAAACAGAAAGATGATTCGACAACAGCTACATGATCACGATCTTCCTTTTTGATGAACAACATGAACATCCCAAGTTTTGACTTTCTAATTTTTCACTGCAATCCTCGCCCATTACGTCCGACAAGCTGACGCCAGCCAACAGAAACGGTGCTGGGATCGCCCTCGATTCCCAGGACAAGATCGCTCAGGCAGCCGCGAACGAATGCTACGTCGAGCCGGATTGCGGTGGTTTCGTTTATGAAGATTTGATGAATTAACTAGGATGTATAAGATTTTCTTGGTCTTTGATGAGGGTGGACGATTGAAATTCAGAAAATTTAGAATTCTTGTTTATCGACTCGTGGAGAATGGCGTAGCATGATAGAGTTTGCTTAGAGCTATTACCCTCTAATGTGGCTACTTCCTGCAAGATATGCAAGGAAAAACCTTCAAGACCCCGGCTGGAACGCTGACAAGGGATGTAGCAGCCGGAGAAGTTATGATGATGATGATGATGTACAGAAGTTTGTAAATGTAAATCTACAAGAGAATAGTTTCAGAAGCAAAGTTTAAACTTTTGAATTATCTAGATTCTTGTCCTTCTTCTAGTTTCGGGGACGATCGCAGAGTGATCCAATCCACACCCATCCCCGAAAACGCTGTGAATGATAACCTGATACCACAACCACGACCTATCAACGATCATAACGCTTTTAGAAGTAATACATAGAAGATCGACCTCCCGCACGCGGACGCGCACCTGCTCTAAGCGTATGTACTTCCTGCGAAGTGACGCGTCGTGCACCCAGATCGACCCGGCAACCAATAAGACGAGTTGTGTCCGCGCCAGTCACTGTGTGGAGGATGCCACGGAGACTACTTACATCCAAAAGGTACTATTCGGAGTTTGTATTCTTTTTGTAGAAAATGTGGTCGTAGGTGAACAGAGTTTCTTAATCTCTTTTGAAATTTGATTTTAGAAAATCCATGATGAACATATTTTTTTCCTAGAACTTCTTTCATGTAAGAATCTAAATTTTCTAAAACCTCTATATCACAGGATATCATCACGGTCGACGAAGCCATGATGGGTCAGGCAGACACGGTGACGGTCACCGGTACGACGGCTGCCACTCCGTCGGGTAACTCGACTAGTTTGTAAACCTCTACTAGTGGATGTGAGACCCGGATTTACCTCTGCTGGACGAGAGGAAGACCAGGTAGATCTGGAAGGGGATTAAGTAGGTCCTCATCTTGTTCTACTTACCTTCATCAAGGGGCAATGAATGGAAGAGGAGTAGAAGGAGTTCGAGCCAGCCTCTGGAGGAGTAGGAGGTCGAGCCTGATTCGATCCATGGTTGGAGATTCGTGGAGAGGGAGCTCTCTGCTGGGGGCTGTGGAATGAGGTGGCGTGGAGGTGGTACTAGTGGATGTGAATAGAACGCGATGGTGGCGGACTAGATGTACTGACAAAAAATGTACCACAGGAGTCAAAATGTAACTGTTGAAGATCATACGTGTTTGTTAAAGCTAGGGCTATAAAGAGGATGAGAGAAATACTACCCAACATATGTTTCTGACATGAAGAATTTTGAAAATGAACATCTAACAAGTATGGTATTTAGAGGTAACGAGTCTTTTTCAACACAATAATGATATTATCATGTAGAATTGCAATGATAGGGAACGTCATAAAGATGTAGTTTCGAAGATCTTCTTTCTAAAGTTCTGTTCATTTCGTTTATTTCTTGTTGTTACAGTCAAGTAGAAGATTCAACTGTTGCTAAACTACATTCTAAAAAATCTAAATATTTTCGTTCTACAGAAGTTATCATTTCAAAAGCAGCCTACTACATAGCGATTTTGTGAGACAGTAACTACGAAGATCTTTTCATGCATTTCCAAGAAATGTGACTTGAGATACACACAAGAATGGCGTTTGCGTCACAGAATAACTTTGAAAGTGATGTAGAAAAGATGAGAAACTCTAAAAATATGATTGTGCCCGTGGTGTGCGTACTAATAGCGGGGACTGGCTTCTGATTTTTTTTGACGGGAACAGAACGAGAATACTATTTGAATTCGGTTGCGAACAAACTGTAGAAGGTGTGCGACTCGGTGTAGAACGTGGGGCAGGGGTGCTTGTTTCCATCATGATTTGGGTGATCCAGGAGTGTTGCGATAAGCGGACTTCAGGAAAAATAGCAGATTGTTGGAAAAAATCCCGAACAGAACCATCTAAAACTTACAGAGCGCCTTCCCAAGATCCAGTGATGATGAGGCGAAGCACACTGCTCATTGGAAGCAGTCCCAAGTAGTGCCAACCTTCCTTTGCGTTTGCCCACCATCATCATCATCATCATCACTATCACCCGCACCACTATCATTGTTGGCAAAATTCCGTAGCGTTTCAAATCAGCCACAAAGTCGCTGGCTGCAACGCAAAGAAGTGATCTTCGTCCTTGTGCAGAGTATAAGAACTTGAAGTAAACCAACCATCAATCAAAAGCTCTCAAAAGAGATGGGAGTCCGTTTGTGGATGACTGGTGCGGCTGCCGCGTCGGCACTGCAAATTGCGCACCGAAAATCTACCACGCTCACCGGTAAAGCGACCTACATTTTGTCATCTTCACATACACACATTACAACTACACATTTCTCATCACGCTCACCAGTAGAGGACGGAACACATCACAAACACACACTACACTTCTTTTCCACATGACTTTTACATCATACCCTCCATTGCGCTGTTATTCAAGCCAACTCGCGTCAGTTATCATTATTATTGGGTACTATCCGAGATCTCAGAACGATGATGACCTTCACTAACTTCCATCAATCACAATTTCATCCAGGCACCAAAGACCTGATGAAGACGTTCATCGAGTTTAAGAAGCAGGACTGCACGAACGGGTTCATCACCATTCAGCTCAATTTGAATACGATAGGAAATGCAACGAAACGATCCTATTTGATGCCGACAGATACGGTGGCAAACCAACCGCTGAGCAGTACGAATAATAATGACATTTACAACTCATTCTATTGGAGTCGGGAGTTATTTTTGTGATGAACTGGATCTAGAGTTTTTAGTATCCTTCGCTGAGCAGTAGCAGTTCGGCAGTTCTTGACTGATCGCTATTATTGACATGCTTTTCTTCTATTTGTTCATTTGAACACCAGTTGGTTCATTGCTATCATTTTTTTTCTACTTCTTCTACGTGATGCTCTACCCTCTCAGGTCAAGACAAGCTGACGCAAATCGCTGCAAACGAGTGCTATCCAGAGCCGGACTGCGGCGGATTTGTCTACATGAATGATGCGGTGACGAAGACCAGCGCGAGCGGCGCCAGTATTACCTTCCCGAAGGGCCGTGTCTACTTTTATGGCGACTACGTAATATGTAACAATCACATATTGCTCAAGATGTCGATAGCGTAGTCAACTTGCTCTCACCCGTTTAAATCCACATGATGAGCAAATTAGTGTTCCAGTTGATATTTCTTGTCACCGTGATGTATGGTAACTAGATCTTCTCTCGTAATAAATTCCCGGCGTGTCTCTCACGCTTACCAGTTATTGATCGCCGTGGTCTAGAAAACACACAGCATGAGCGTTATCATCATTCCTCGTGTATTCCACTTCTAATCCCCTTTACGAAGCGACCCAACCTGTACGGAAATTACCTCGTCAGACGGCAAAACGACTTGCGTAAGAGCCAGTCACTGTGTCGAAGATCCAGCCGAGACGACCTATATCCAGAAAGTATTATACAATTTAGATGTTGAAGAAGTTAGAAAGTATTACAATTTAGATGTTGAAGATGCAGGAGGGATTCCACATTCCAATTGTTCTAGAAGTACCACATGCAAGAACCTCTCCTTTAGGTCTAGAACCTCAAAGAAGTCCTACCTCTACCTTCACCTCCACGAACTCCTAACTCTACCTCCACCTCTGTACCTCCACACACTCCTTAAAGAAAGGACACGAAAATCTTTACCCCCATACCTTCTTTTACCATCCCCACCTCCAAGACCTCCTACTCTAGTAGCACCAACTATGCGTACGCCTCCAAAAATCTAATACTACAGGACATTTTTACCACGGATGACGGCACTGGAGGTCTCGCTGATACCACGGACAGTGGCATTAGCAGCGACACTAGTAGTAGCAGTGGGCATGGCGGTATGGAGGGTCTGATTGGCGACATGCCTCAGGAAACCACGTCGTCGACACAGAATGGACGAGCCCCTGCTCCGCCCACGTCGTCGACACAGAATGGACCAGCCCCTGCTCCGCCCACGTCGTCGACACAGAATGGACCAGCCCCTGCTCCGCCCACGTCGTCGACACAGAATGGACCAGCCCCTGCTCCACAAGGAAACTAGATCTGAGACTCTTAACTGGGTCCAACTAGATCTGATCTCATTTTTGGTCGTAGATTGACTCTCGATCACTTACAGGTCTGATCTTTTTGGTCGTAGAATGACTCTTAACTTCTAGGTGTCTGATCTTGACTGAAGGTTAGTTCATGGTAGTGGATCATTCGGAGGGTTCAGTTGATTCTTTGTAGATGCAGCTAGGATGAAAAGGGGTTGATCCAGCTAGGATTTAGGATAGGGCAGGAGTTCTCTACCGCATGGGACTTAGGTCTTTTGTGGCTGTTGTGCGTTTCACTCAGAGAGACTAACATCATTTGTATTGAAAATAGAATGAACATTTCAAACTCACTGATTGCATGTTTAGATTTTTCAGAAATACCAGAATAGAACAATGGATGTCGTCAAAGAATTGTCAAGAAATCAGTTTTGTTATTATTTGCGTTGATGATGTTTTCGAAGTTTTGAGGGTTGAGTCTTTTTCGCATTCGTGATAGACACATTTCTGTGAACAAGGAAAAGAAAACAGCACAATTTTTCGAGTGAGAGATACCATTTTCAACGCTACAGTTTAAGTTTTCTTACGTTTGTTTGTGTGACACGTTTAACATCAGTGGCTGGAAGATCATAGTGCACGTCAATTATAATGTAGAAGCGATGTTCCTAGAAGTAGATTTTAGCAGTACAACAGAATGATATTTAGAAGTGAACCGTGAAATTTAGATATCATAGCATGTGGGTCACTATGTAGTGTTTGTACATGCAATTGCAAACCGTTGTTGTAAACATGTTACAGGCATAAAAATGAATGATACAGAAACAACGCGAAGGGGTGGACTAGGGCGATAAGGCGGTGGACACATGATCCTCGTGACGATGTCTAAAATCTAAAAAATCTAAATTGTGGAAAGAGAAAAGCACGCCATGACTGGATGAGAGATGACGACTAACAACACGTGTCGCGAATTAGAAGAAAATGTACCAATCATATTCCGTGGCCAAGCCATGCAAAGTTGAAGGCGCATTGTCGTCTCGGGTAGGCGTACTGTTGCTACGGGAAAGAGCGTGGAACATCTCCTCGCACAACTACCCCTAGTACTACTGTTGTGCCTGTTTGGTGTTCTACGCTGAGAATCTCATGATCTACAGCCAAGTTTAGGACTCCGTTCATCTTCTGTCTTTCTTGCTGCTGCACACCGGTCGATTTTGGCTGCCCCCAAGGTCTCGTGGCGGTTTCTAACCTCGTTTTCTTGAGGGTATATCGATCCTGCTCATTTTGCCACTTGGCGACATGTTGATGCTGCATGCATTTCGTTGCTTCGTGGATTTGTGACTTGGATTTCGTTAGGATGGTTCTTGTGTGCTAGCGGAACTACTCAGTTTTTCCGGTTACTTTCCTATAATATGCGTACAACTACCCACTATGCCTCATTGTATGTAGGATACTTCCCCTAGTACTTGGGCAAAATTTCTTACTGATGATCCGTATTCACGATTGTCACAAGATTATTCTTTTTCACAAGGGACGGTTGTATCGACACACCAGCCAAGAGTTGCTGAATTTACTACTTACAACTTCACTGATTGCGTACGACTAACGACCACGAAAAATGAAGAAACTAGTCTGCGCTTTCCGCTCATGCCAGGCAAAGTACTGCCGTGCCGCTTCAGCGAGACTTCCCAGCATGATGCGCCTTCATCTTCTTTTGGCACATCTTTCTGGGTTGAATGCTCTAGCGAGCCACCGTAGTTGGTGGAGGGATTCAACAGTGGTTGTTGATCATCGCCACCCAGTGCGAGGGATCTCACGCTCTGTAGACCGCCGCTTGGGTGCGGTCAAATCTTCGGAAACAAGGGAGCTGGAGCGACAAGCGCAAGCTATAGAAAAAGATGCAGTCGATAGCCTGTATCGAGGTCTCTTCAACAGCAACTCCTTAGAAGAAGAACACGGTGTTCCTGTTCAGGCTAGCGAGACGAATACAGTGCCCGACGTCGTTGTAAAACAGTATTTGCAGCCGTTTCTGGAACCGCCAAAGATTCCAAACCAGTTCGACATCGTACAGCTCTCGATTCGAATAAGCCCGGAAGAGAAGCTATGAGTTGCTGAAGTAAACGGAGTAACGACGTTGCTCTATAAGAAAGTCCTTCCTTTGTGGGTTAGGTAGATGAGTATCATCACGAACAAGCTTCATCATTAACTTTTGTAGTTGGGAAGCTAATAGCATGAGCTTCATCTGCTAGACCTAGACGTTATGGCAGTCTTCACCGAACTTTGTCCTTCACAATACGCAGGTAGGTTTGGATATATCGGAACTCGCCCGCGATACAAAAAAAAATGTGCGAGATTATAATTGTATTGTAATTTGTATGCAGCTCAGCAGTCCAAGCTAGAGTGTGACTCTTATGATCCTCGCACCTTGATCCACTTCCACGCTTCATCTCTTCTCGGGGACCCAAGCTACAGAGAAGCTATCCGAGCGCAGGCGGGTCACGCTTATACGGTTTCATCTCTGCAGAACAGACATAACGAGTTTCGAGACTGTGTCCATGCCGTCTTGCGAACCAGTGGCGCGTATGGTAGAGTGTACCGAAACTTGGAAGAGGATTTCTGTACTGTTAAGACTTGCCGTAATTCATCTAATGAGGCATCCTGAGACCGTTTTCAAGGGGGAAATACGTCAAAGATGACTTCCAAGATGAATTGTTGTAAGCTCTAATACTAGAAATGGTGATGACAGATCACCGAAAATACGGAGCAAACTACGTCGAGTTGTGGAGCAAGAACTACGTCACAGGACTTCGCAGAGAAGCACTTCTAGTAGTACTACTACAACAAGAAATGGAGTCTCTTTTGGCGACCCCTTGAGTCGTTTTCCATCAAGAGCTAGCAGCCTCGGAAGTATCGTTAGCCAGCTCTCTGCCATTGGAAGCGGCAACTCTTCGTCTGAAGCTGAAGGACATCTGGAGCAAGGCGACGCATCGGGAAACGTAGAGGATGGAGCAACAGTACACTCATCGGATACTGGTGGAGAACTTCTTAGTACAACGAATGATGCTGCAGCTAGAGCTACATTTTCTAGCGTAGTATCTGGAGCTGGACAACTACAGGAGAATTCGAGCACGGAGAGACAGGAGCAAATAACCAATACCTCTGCTTCTTCGATTCCTGTAACTACATCAGCCGTGACAAGTCTACAAGAGGAAAGCGCCGTAGCTACCGAAGATGCGTTAGATTCGATTGCAGCGATAGGCCATGGCTTTCGAGCAACCACTATTTTTAGAGCAGCTGCTTCAGCGCGCGGTACGGAAAGGGATGGACCAACAGAAAGTAGGGAAAAACATACTTAAGAGAAGGAGACATCTGTTCCTCCCACGCCTACACTCAACAAGTCAGTGATGCGGGTTCGGCATCACTTCTAGCGCGGACTGTCATTACTTCTAGCGTCAGACGATCATGGGATGAGACAGAAAGTAGTATCTTCATGGGTTGAGTATCCTACATCTTTTTCTTGTGATCATACTCAGGAGAAGCAAATACAGACTGAGACTAGTGCGTACTACTGCTGGTTTTCCTAAAAAAAACTGAGACTAGTGCGTACTACTGGTGGTTTTCCTCAAATTCAAGAACAAAATTGGTTTCTAGCCGTTGTTTCTTGGTTTGTAATTCCTCCTACTTTTTGGAAGTTCTTTCCCATTTTTCATTTTCATACAGTCGCGATCTTTCTGGAGCGACTGCGAATGCTGCGTCGCATGCTAGTACCATCGAGAGAATATGGAGGCCGCAACTCGTTCCACGTACAGATTGGTGCAGTCACGGTGACCTATAGAGAGGAGAAAGGAAGAAGAGTAGTTCTGCGGAGAAGTAGGAGCAGTATGGAGAAAGTGAAGGACGGATTACGAGACGGCGATGAAGATGATCCTGAAGGTTCCGATCCAGTAGATGTGGCATATCGCTACGCCCCTGTCCGCGTGTCGCCAGGTGCGAGCATATCACTTTTCTCAGGCTATATGCGGGACAATGAGGCATTTGCGGTTCCGGACCACTTCCTCCAATTAGCATCCTCATGCCACGAGCATGTCCAAGAAGATGACCAGCAAGAGGCAACAAATCAACATCAAGACCCAATAAATCAACAAGACCGCCAAAATAACCATGATAAAAATATGCTTTTGAAGAGCCTGCTTTCCAATCAGTTGCGGTCAGCTTTCGTGCGCGAGATTGGCTTTCCAGCGTATTTAGAATTGATAATAGCTGGCTCTCAAGAACAGCATACCCAACTTCGCTTCTGGGGAAACGGTTGGCCAGGAACGACGGTTTTCAACGAGCGTGGGGATAGATACAAAAGTAAGATGACCGCACCGGAGACTACTGGTTCTAGTACATTGCGGGGGAGGGCACCACTACTAGAACTAAATGAAGAACGTGAAGAAGAGCAGGGTGATGCTCATGCTGTTGATTTGCGATCTCGCATAGAGGTCGATCTTCCTGCGGATGAAGTGGATGGTAATAGCAGTGCTAGTGCGACGAGTAGCAGAGTCTCCGTGTCCGATAGGGATATGGAAAATATAGAACAACTAGTGGGGGATGGAAGTAGAACTGGACACCAGCAAACAGGAACTTTTTCGCAGATGTTGGAGAAGCGCAGTGACGAAGCGAGCTCTTCTAGTGAGCTTGCTGCAAAACGACAACAACTCGAAACTGCAGCTTCGTCAAGCTCAAGTGCAGAGCAAGGAGTCGCGGTCGACGCTCCTGAGCAGAATCAGGGGAGCAAAGAACACGAGGAAGAATTTCGCTATTTTTGGAGAGAGATGCGGTCTCATATTTCTTTGACCGCACTGCGAATCCCTAACGCTCAGCATGAGAAGCCTGGATTTGCCAGGCCAGCCCCGTTTCTTTGGTCTGAAAGCTTTAAGGCTTTCGTCAAAGCGCCTGCTTTGAGTGAGAGAATACAAAAAGTGCTGCTGCGCAGTCACCTAGAGGACATCAAGATTAATGAAGTACGAGCATGGAGCTCCTGGAAGGGGCAGCCAAATTGTGCTGGTCGTGCAGCACCAGAGCAGAAGGATTACTCCGAAGAGTGGATTGGTTCATCTATGGCACTCTGTTCGCGCTCGCCTTCTGGCGATCATGCCAGTTCTCCCACAGCCAGGAGCCCACTTAGCTCGCGCGAGCAACCAGCGCTCGATTGCGGCTTTGCCGGTGGTACTTCTCTAGTTTTTTTTATCCTTAATTATATATAGGGATGAAGTCACTAATAAACACAACTAACTATGGATCGCCACGTTGATCGTTGCAATCACTGCTCTTGCTTCCTCCACGAGCACTAGTAGAAGTCGAGAATCTGCCAATCAAATCTACAACGGAACCACTCAATAAAACAAGCACAAAGTAGGAGTGACAAACAACTTTCATTACCAGAAACTAATAAAGGTACACCACTACACCTTTCGCCCGATTCTTCTCCCTGGTTCTCGAGCACATTGAGTAATTCCGACGAAGATGACGCAGAAGAGCAGCACAGCCGTTTTCTTGAGAGTCCGACCTCTAGTACTGCTATTAGAGTAGAGAAGAGCCCACGAAGGACTGTGTATCTTCACAATCCAAGGGAGTACGATGCGTTACTGACAGAGTATGCGGAAGACATACTTTTGTGTGAGAAGGCTTGTTCTTCTGGCAGCTCTTCTCTGGTTGCGTCTGGTCCGCGTGCTCAGCGGATTCGACGCCAGTGGTTGAATCCGGACCTCCATCTCTCATTCCTGTTTGGTTTATGACTGGCTTACCTTCATCTCCTTGTGTTAATGCTAATCTTTGGTTGATCACTGTCATCAGTTTGTTTGCGCTGCTATTCATTTGCAGAGGAATGATAGATAGTGCGACGAATGATAGATGTTCTGTTAGGTTACTACATGTCATCGTCGATCTTCTATGCCACCTTCAAGTGTGAGTGTCCTCTTCTAATCTGCGCCCCCCGTCCGGCTACCGAGAATCTCTCAGCGAATGCCGGCTTAATGTTCCTGAAAGAGAAAGCTCTCTTAGAGCATGAAATCGATATCCCAAGTCTAGCAGTGGAGCAGAAAGGCAGGATCGAATATCCTAGGATACGTTTAAACCGTCGTCTGTGGAAAGAAACCTCAGGGGCTGTAGATGCAGCTCGCAGTCTACGGTCGTACATGAATCTTGAGGGAATTGCGGTTCCGCAAGAACTTGCCGCTGACTTGGGCTTATGATGTTGGCTACTTAGTATTCCTAGGGATAGAAAAAGAATCAAAGTGTTGTCGATTGTTTCTTTCTAGCAACTTGCGTAACAACAACAACCACCACGACTAGGTTGCTCGTGAGACCAATTGAGTGTCACTTATTGTCAGAGATGTGATGATGGTGATGGCTTGATGAAACAACTTTATGTAGATACTCTTTATCTTTTGATTTGGTCTTTCTAATCCTCCTCCCACTGGAAAAAAATTTGAACTTGATCAACGTTCTTTTTCTTTCTAATCCTCCTCCCACTGGAAAAAAATTTGGACTTGATCAACGTTTTTTTTCTTTCTAATCCTCCTCCCACTGGAAAAAAATTTGGACTTGATCAACGTTCGATTTGGACCGTTGAGTAGAGCACACTGGATATCCGACATTACGCCTGCAACCGGAGTAGCTGCAAGTTTGGCCTGTGAAATGCAGCCGATACGTTTTCAATCTGGCCGTTACGTCTGGTACAACAAACTTCTTGACGTCGGAAGTGCATGGATTTTGGAGCATCAGCACGATTCTTGGGGACGCTATAATCCGTTACTTTTGCCGAGTTTTCTTGCCAGCGAAAGTAGTGTGCTTCAACCTGTTGCTGGGTTTGCTAGGACTACTTTAACGACAACAAGCACTACGTCTGCTGCTCCGCAACAACATCAGCAGCGTCTTATTCTAGGTGAAGCAGGCGATCGGATTCGGACCATAACTACTCGTGAACAAGCAGATGCACAACAAGCGGAGGAAGCAACGAGTCGTGGAATCGTCACAGCAGGTGGCCGTATGATGCCAGTGCCACCACCGCCTCCAAACCCATTCGCAAGAAACAGTGATGAAATGGACGTAAGAACAAGGAGACTTCTCTTTGAAGCAACACTTTCGTCCACATCCTCATCTAGTACAACTGCGGGAAGATCAGCGTCGTCGTCGAATATTAGGGTAGGTTAAAGGTGCTTTTGTTACCGTTTGTTATGGCTCTCTCCCTTAGGTCGTGGGGACGCACAGCCATAACAAACGGGAGAACCCACGAACACAAAAAGCCTACCTCTAAGAATACTGTTGATCATGTTGAGCAGATGAATCACGACCTAGGTGGAATTAGCACAGCAGATGGTGATCTTCCCGGTCATCCGGTTGGAACAGCTTCAGCAGATGTATTCTTCGACTCGCGATCGATTGTGAGGATGTCCAGGACACCTGAACGCGTCCTACGAAAAAGCGCCGGCTACACCCAGTCCCAGCGAATCCGAAAGTTTCAACCATTCGCTGCGTGATGTAGTTTGGGTGCTGTGAGAAACAACCATATAACTTTTAAGTCGTGATAGCTAGTATTTGTAGACAGAATTTAAATTTTTCTGGGTGGGCTCAGTGTCAAGGATCCATATTAACGTAACCTAAAATCCACTATTTTTACATTCGACGTTCTTGTTTGAAAATAGATTTCAAAAGGCAACATAGTTTAGATTTGCTGCAGCAAATAGAACATCGTGAAATAAGTTCTTATCTTACAGTCGCCTTAACATTATGTAGGTGCTTCGATTGTGTCGTTGTCCGGTGTCGCTGTCCCCTGGAAAACCGGGGTACACCCATGGGGTTTCGTATTGAAAATCAAACTTTTCCCTCTTTCAACAATCAAAAACCTCAGGCGTTTTGGCTGCAAAAAGCTTGGAAATGGTAGCGTTCTGGGCTCGCCTGCTCAGTGTGTTCCACGACTAGAAACGGGATCGCTTTTATATCTTTTTGGTTTAAAAAAAAAGTGCTTACTCTTTGATATCCGCTTCGGTTTCTAGTTAAAAAGCTTTTCTTTACGTTTCAATCGTCGGATGCTGGTGGTGCTTTCCTTGGTAGTTGGCTTCGCTGGAAGCGTCGCAGGATAAGAGGACGCCCGTGCTGGTTACTGTGAAGAGTCTAGTCTTGTCCAATTTTGGACAGGACTAAGAGGCGAGCGCTTCAGATTTGACGCTGTCCTTGTCCAAGAGTCTAGTCCTGTCCAATTTTGGACAGGACGAAGAGGCAAGCGCTTTATTTTACTTTTTGAATTAAAAGGAACTCTTTTGAATTGAAAGAAACTCGCGGAGAGTGTCTGATCCAAAGAACATGGCCCCACTCCAGGAGCAAAACCTTGAAGAGCCTCCGCCTCAACGTGTTAACTGATCTCCTGCTTCACAGAACAAAATCCTGAGAAAGTAAATGCAGCGACGTGAGCAGCTGACTAACATAGCCAAGACACTAGCATCAGGACACATCACCATACGGAGTTGAGTGCGCACGGCACTGCCAGGGAATAAACTGACTTTCTGACAGTGTGCAGCAGTCAGTGTCTACTTCAGATCGTTCCTTCGCAGTTACAGAGCGCAGCATAGGCGTTCAGTAGGCTTTTGATCAACAACCTAGCACACAAAGAAGCAAGACAGGCACTACTTCACGCGCATGATGATGATGCACCACGAAGAGGCTCACGCGCCTCGGTCTGTGCCTGTGAAGTAGCAGGCTAATATCGTCAAGGCGTGTGGTAGCAAGTTAGAGCTAGCGGCTACATGTCCACGCGCATCCAGATCCAGCAGAGCCTATGGCCATTGAGAAGATTGCACGCCTGTCCTCTTTTTCTGAAATAATCCAAAGCCAAACGATCCAAGGGCAAGCCTGTGACTGTGGAGTAGCAAGCTTCACCTTGTTGATAATTAAGGCCAAGACTGGGAGTGGCAAGCTGTTGCTGTAGCTAAAAACAAGACCAGAGGCTTTGTGGCTAAAAGTAAGGCAATCGGTGAGGTATAATATCACTACGAGCGCGCTCGTATTTCGCTTATATTTCTCTTCGGTGGAGTTGGAGTAAGGAAGAAAAAGAATGATGGTTGCTGAGCCTGAGGCCGAGGCAATTGGTGCCCACTATGGGACCATCAAGGACAAGATCTATGCGCAGGCTTTGACGAAAATGGAGCTGCAAACCCTGAAAGCGATCCGCAATGGTATGGCACTAGTCCGCTACTTTGTGCTTTTGTGGGAGAGGACTAGATGGGGACAGTCAAAGTTCAACAGTCTGGCAACCCTATTTCGTAGATTGGTCTATAGATAGTTGACAACGCGGAAACTTCGTTTTCGGAACCCATTCTCTTCATGTTCACGCTCAGGCATTCTGCATCTCAGTCGCATGCTGCTACTTCGCGTCGGGTTTCGCTGATGCAGGACAGTCTTCAGAATATCTTCGAGCAAGGAGAAGGCAGCCGGTGGATATCCTTGTTTGTCTGCCGTCCTCTTCCGCTTCATGTACCGCAAGGGCGACTGGCTGTCTTTGACCGAGGCGGAGCTGTCGGAGGTGCTGAGTTGCCAAAGGAAGCCGGGACGTGCTCGATCGCGTATGTGTGACGAGGAAAAAGCGAGAGCTAAGTGGCAAGGAGGTCAGGTTCGCCATTTCTGCCTATTAATTCGCTATAATTTAGAGCGCGGCTGCTTTACAATACGGGACTTCGACTACTCTGCCCACTTTTTCAGTGCTTGCTTGCTTATTCGATCCACTTTGCAAATTCTATGTCAGTCTAGTCGTTAGGTTGGACTGGGGGCAGTCGCCTCCTTCGTCGCCAGGACTTGCGGGGCTTTTTTCTGACTAACACTAAATCTTAATGTATATGACTAAGAGCAAGATCTTCATAATTTGGACGCCTTTGATCTGATCGCTTCGCTTCTTGCTGTGAGAGTTGACCCATGCAGAAAACAGTGGCGCCATGCAGCATAAACAAGACTACAGCCCGCGATAGAGGCAGGCCCTTTTTTCGTTTCTGTCAGCGGACGCATTAGCGACAGTCAATTTTATCCGCACGCTGGACGTTCTTAGATATCCAGACTTCTGCCAAAGGGCCTGGCGCTGCGTGTCTTTTTATCAGATCCCGGAGCGACAGGCTACTAGAGCGGGGCTCCGTCAAGTTTTCGGATGGATCTGCTTCGTGCTCATTCGTCTTCGAGTAATTTCGTAGCGTCTCTGCTCACACGACGGCGATCGAAAAGTTTGCATCTGTAACTTTGCTGGTAATTGTAGTCGTTTGCTGTAACCAATGCTGCGCATTGTCGTGCTCTTCTCTAGAGTTATATCGAAGAAGGTAGCAACTGCAACAACAGGGGCAACGTGACCCATTTCAGGCAAGTGACCAACATCGTGCAAGTATCGTCGCCAAGGATGTAGGCTGCGCCTCGTCTTTCTGTGGCTTTGCGTGCTGTGTCACGCGTTGGCCAGCTTTGTTGTTGCTTCTGCGGTTTCGTTTTCGCGGGAGTCTCCAGAATACAAACTGAGCGGAGAGGCTAGCTCCCTCGACCAGTACTATTCCGTCGCCGTTCGGAAGAAGTCTCTGGCGAAGTAGATTCCTGCTGCTATGGAGCGTCGCGAATTTCAAAGGAGTTCGATTTCCCCCGTAGCTTTTGCCTTGGCAGCCTCTCAGCGTTTTCCTTGGCAACTTGTCGCCGTCAGGTGCATACGCCTTGACCTTACTAGCCGCCCCAGATTCTGCGGCGAGACCTTCGCTTTCTTCACGCAGCAAGACGCTGACGCGCTTCATGAAGCAGCCAGCCTCCCAAAATGGGAAAAGGTTCCAAAATGAGCAAGAAGAGGAAGGGAAAGCCTATCACGAAAGGCAAACCGCCGCCGAGAGACAAGATGAAACGGGCCAGACGTCGCCGAAGAAGGGCTGAGAATAAGGAAAGACTCCTTCCGCTGGAGGATCAGGAAGATGATCTACTACACGACGCGACTTCGTCTGCTTCTAGTTCAAGCGATGGGGGCGGGCATCCTCTTCCCTCAAAGAATACCAGCAAGAAAAAGAAGAAAACTAAAAAGAAGAAGAAGAAAAACAGGAAGAAACTCAGTAGCCCGCCATCTAGTGGCGACGAATCGGACGACACTGACGAGAGCGCGCAAGGGCTTCGCCTTCTCGCGCAGAATCCTCGACTTATTGCTCGGGCAAGATCTCTATTGCTAGAAAGCGCGCTGCTCGATGAGGAACCGTCTTCCTCGTCCAGTTCCACCGGGAGCAAGGGGAACGCTGCGCGGCCTTTCGACCAGGGTGCGAAGGCCGTGGAGATGCTTATGGAAGAGAGCAAGTCTCCAGTGATGGAGTTAGATACTTACTAGCCACCACTAGCACTAGAAGTGACCGGGTGCGTCAGTGCATAGCTTTTCGCCGCGGTGTTAAACGATGGGGAGACAGCTACCGCTAGCTTTTTTGATGTAGATAGGAAATGGCTGAGGTGCATGAGTACGGCTGTGCTGACTGTGTGTAAGCTCCTCAGCGTCGGCTTATGGCTAGAAGGGACTTACTTGCTAGCGCAGACGTTCCGTCTATTAACAGAGTTTATTTGTTAACTGGCGCGCTAGCTATTGCGTCATAGTCACTGTCACACTCCCCGACTTTACTTTCATACTTTTAGCGGCTAGAGGAGGTGGCGGCGGTGGTGGAGATTCGTTCTCTGATGATGAAAGCACTGGGCCAGGAGGTGAACACCTTGAGGAAAGTCCGAACGTCCAGGACCCTCGTAGTGGAGACCAAGCGCAAGCCCCTATGGAGAACGTGGCGGCGGTGTTGAAGTGGAGAGGTTCAATTGTTGTGCAGATTGAGAAAAATCGCAAGGAGACGCGCACTTGTGCCATTCAATACTTGAAGACGGTTGGCAACGGTTGGAGAATGGTGACCCCGGTCGGCTTGGGAGACACAGCCATGGAAATAACTGACAAGCCTGCCAGCGGCGGCAATAATTAAGGCTAGACGCGTCTCGTTTTCATCTCGGTGGCGCTTGTTGAGTGGTGTCCTGTAGTATAGTCTCAGGACGTTGACGAGTGTCAATAGGTGCAGGGAGATTCTGAAGAGCTCTAAAATACATGCAGGGAGATTCTGAAGAGAAGCATCGCGAAGCAGTGCCCCGGCCTACGACGTGCCAGCATCTCGGTGAGGTTTTTCTCCAGTACCTTCCTCCGCCACGGTGTCGCCAATGGAAGAGCAAGGGCCTCAAGCACAGAGATCAGGGCCTGTTCTTTGGCAGAGTGCAAGCTTTCCGCCAATGGGTGGGCGTGCTCCTGGGTTTTGCGCCTCACTCTGACATATTCAGTGGAAAAGCGCGACGCCTTACATTATGGGAGGGTGGTCTCGCTTCGTCTCTTGTTTCGAAATAGGTCAAGAGCAAGACCGTTGGGGTTGGACTGCCGTCCTCGATTCTATCTCTGTTCCCGTTCTCTCTTCCAAAACGCAGGCGGATAGCTTGCTACTTGTTTTAAATTCACCGCCTTCGAACAGTGTGAAAGAGTAAGAGTGTGCGCCTTATTCTCTAATACCGGACTCGGATGCAGCGCTTCGGGTCTCCCTCTCCATGGCAATGCACCGCAAGAGGGCGACGAACGACTGGAATCCGCATTCGGATACAAAGTTGCACCAGAAAACTTGCGCACTAGCTGACACGAGTCCGGCCGTGTGTGCAGTGACTTCCGCCATCGTGTGTCAGTTCTGTTCTGTGTTGGAGGTCGTCGGCGATTGTGTGGGCCGTCGGTTGGGCGACTTGCACGAGGAGAACACGGCTGAGGGTATTTTTCAGCTTGTTCAATATTTTGGGTTTAGCTTTAGCCTTAGGGCGACCGCTTTGCCCACAGCGATACGCCGGGGGACAGCGTTAAGCGGGTCGCGATTGCTGCCCATTCTCGCGCAGCGAGATGGCCCAAGCTTTTGCCCGCTGGTTGTAGGGCTTTCAATCCCTCCCAGGATTGGGGAAAGACAGCAGGGGAGAGCCCGCGGGGAAGGGCGGGAGCCGAGAGGCAGCTGCCTCTGGGCCCATGCGTGCGCAGAGGCGGAGCGCGCGGCGGAGAGGTGGGCGCGCTTGTGCTTCAACTCGATAGATGCCCGGCAGGCCATGACGCCGCGGGGCGGCGCGCACGCTTGTCGTGCCTGTAGCTGTGAGTCGATAGGCGCCCGGCAGGCCATGACGTCGCGAGGCGGCGCGCGGGGAGGCCGGCTGCGTGCAAACTGCAAAACGCCAGCGGAGCCCGAGAGGCGGCCGCGCGGCTGGTGATCGATGGCAGTGGTGACGAAGCGGATGCCATTCATTGCCCAACAATTGCGGCCTAGCTATGGCGTTACAATTGCGGCGGCCTGCAACGACGTGCGCACGGTTACGCGCGCGCGATGACGCTGCAGGTGACTCCTTCCTGGACACTACGGACGCGCAGGCCCACAGATTGGCCGGGAAACTCTCGAAGACACTCGCCGGAGGTCGACAGGACCGAGCTGAAAAGTTTCGCGAGCCGGGAGCGCTAGAAATGTGCCTGCTTGCGTCGCGCTCTTTCTGCCCGCTGTGGCTAGACCGCAGGAGACAGCGCCGGCCAGCTGTAGACAGTAGCCTCTTCGAGTTTGGCGCTCCGCGTTATCTGAGCGGAGAGACATCGAGACGAAGCATTCCGGTTCCGAAAGGGGCAACGCGGTGAAGAATGGCAGAAAATAATGGCGAAAATGGTCACCCGACGGCGATTTCGCAAGTCTCCCTTGACGAAAATTTCGCAAATCGACATCGGCGGCGACAGCGACATGGACAGCGACATGGACCAGCCGCAGAAGCTCGTAAACCGAGAGCGTCGCAGGGACGTGGTGCTGGGAGCACCGTATTTTCGTGCTTTTTGTTTGGTTTTTTTCTGGTTTGGGGTCTTTGGATCATCTTCGAGGTTTTTGCTGGTTCTGCCCTATGTCTCGGGCTGTTTTGTCTCTGTCGTGTGATGGCTGGGCAATGTCGTGCCATTTGCTCCGCCAGCAGGGTAGGCCGCTGCCTGCGGATGCCACCGGGGCGGCTCGGCTCTTCTTCTTTCTCGTTGTTGTGCTTGTAGTTGTATCGCGGCGGGCTTCGTTCTTGTCTATCGTAGGCTCCAGCGTCGTGGGCAGTCGCGCTTCCTGGTGTGTCTCTTGTCGGTTCTTTTTTCTGCTCGTTTTGTTTTCGTTTTCGTTCTTGTTGTTGTTGGGTGGTGTGCAAGCGCCAAGGGGGTGACTGTGGTTATTGCTTATTGTGTTTCTTGCTTAGTCGCTCTCGGTCTCGGCTTGCGTTGTCTTTTTTCGGTCGTGTCAGTCTTAGCCGGCTGCGTTTCAGCTTGCGCCTAGTCGTTGCCGCTACCTAGGAAATCAGCCCACACCCACCTCACCAGTCGGCATTAATTTCAGATCAGTTCTTGCATCAGCTTACACCTAATCGGCTTAGCAACAGGCTGGGAATGGTCATGCGAGTACTCGCCGCTTGTTGAGGCCAGTCGAGCAACAACGAAGAGCAGGGGCGAGGGGCTATCAGTCACAAACGAGCGAGGCCGCTGCATGGCTCGCCTGGCTTGGTTTCTCTTGTTGAGGCGCCTGCGGTGCCGGTCGATGATGGAGGACGCGCCCCATGGAACTTTGAGCATATCCATGGACGACTTCACGCAGGAAGCGGCTCGCACAGCAGGGCGCGTGAGGTTCGTGGTTCGCCCAGGAGCCACCTTCAACCGCCAGCCGACAAATGCGGGCGCATCCGGATCCTCAGCTGGTGGCGCCGCAGTCGCGAGCGCTGAGCAACCTACAGGCGCAGCCGCAGTCTTGCTCAACACCGTCAGCGAAGAGGTGCCAAGACAGCAAGAACTGGGCCGACTAGGTGGCAACAGAGTGGAGACGTTTCTGGTTGCAGACGCCGAGCAAGGTGCTCGCGCGCCGCCAGCGTTGCGGGAGCTCTTTGAGCCAAGGCCGGACGGTGCTGCCCCCGACGAGTATGAAGGCACGCGCGAGGTGCTCGGAAGCGCTCTCGCGACCTGGGTCCCCTACGTGTTTGCCTGCTTCTTGCCGTTAGTTCGGCAGCGGCTTTACGGATGCCAGGACCTGCGGACGGCTCTTCGGAGAGCAATAGGGAGACGGACCTTTGCAGGAGGGAGAGGAAGCTATGGCAAAGGCTGACATGAAGTCGGAAGACCGCCGTGATTGCCTGCAAGGCTTCAGCAAGGCAAGCCCTTGCTGCTGTCGTTAGCTTAGGCGTTGACTTATAATCAGCGAGGCCCCCACTTCTAAAATCGAGACGTTCGGCCTGAGCTCGATCAAGTCTGGCGTTTACTTGAATTGGGTCAGTGGCTGGCTTCTGTTTCGGCCCGATTCGCAGCCTGATACTCACCCAAGACGCTTGCGCAGAACATTAAGGAAAGGCAAAGAGTATACATCATGGAACTACTTAAGCTACTCAGAGTAGGCGCCTTTTCTACGCTTGCACTTGCTGGCCATTGCTTCCTTTCGTTTTCTCAGCTAGCCGCAAGCTGCTGCGTTTGTTGTGTACGGGTAGAGGATGCCTGCTCCTGGTAGGGTTTATTTTGTTTTGCCACCTGTAAGCATTAGAGTTGCTAGCGCTGGCGTTGAGTTGTGGAGGTGATAGGCCTGGCAGTGGTGTCTAATATTTTCTAGGTCGTTCCTTCCGTGTTTGAGTTTTATTCATATAAAGGCTCTCTGTCTTGTGATGGGGACCCTTCTACTTTTTTCATCTCTAGCGGAGTAAGATTTTTGACTATCTAAGTTGCGCAAGCTTATAGGAGATTACATCTGTTAGGATGTCCCTCTCCCTCCTCCGTAGTAGTAGTAGTGGCAATCTTCTAAGGGTCGCGGAAATTTACATGCTGGCTGGAATTTGGAGACCATGCCCTACTGCCGACTGATGGGGATGGCTTTAGTCTTTTCCTGGATCAACCGCCACCGGCTCCAGGTGTAAGCGGGCAAAATTTATGCGTGGGTCTAAGTGTAACGCTGAAGATGAGAAGACGCGCAGCAGGCGGGTCAGTCTTTCAGAGGAGCGCACTATAAATATGAGTTGCAAGGCGCGGCTTGTCTGATCTTCTGCCTATGTCTAAATCTACAAATTAGCTTTGGCCTGATCATGATTCTGATGGCTTTTAGCCATCCGCATGCAATTAATTGCACTCAGAATACTAGGCCGCGGCGCTCTGTTCTTGTTTGGCAAGGTGTGGCTGTTTTTGCGGTTCACCTGTCGCAGCTTGTTGTAGAGTGTGCCCGTCGCTCTGACGTACTGCTGTCCATTACATACTACGCACTCTATAGCTGTGGCGAGTTTTTTGTAGCACCGTAAGCACCTCCGGCCCCGGGCCCTAGTAGTCTCAGCCTTATAGATACTTAACGCTGAGCATATATTTACTATTGTCCTTTTTTGAACAGTTAGGCGCTACTTACTGGGGCTTTCAACATGGGAGCACCCTCCTAGACGGTTCCCCTTTCTTCTTTCTTCTATTCGCCATTATCAATCTCCTCGCCACCTTTCTTTCGTGCTCGTTCTTGGTTGCTGATGGAGGAGGTGGGGGCTTGTTCGATGATGACGAAGCACATTATGAGGTCGGAACTCAAGGCGGAGGGCTTGATGGGAAGCCGGCAGGTTCTGGCGGCACGCAAGGCACGGATAATGTTGCTACGAGGCAAGTTCTTGGATTAATGACCCAGGTCCAGCAGAGCAAGCCGCGGCTTGCTGCTCGTCATGCATCTCGAAAATATCGCGAGCAGGAATCGACGAAAACTGGCGGCGCTTACATCGAGCAGAGAAAAGACAAGTATCTTCCTCATGTCCGTAACGTGTTTGATTGGGCACACGGCGACGCGCGCAGAATGATAAAGCTATGTCATTTCTTTAGCTTTTTTGCTCGTAGTCGTAGTGATGCACTTTTTTGGCATCGTTTGGCCCCTCGGCCTCGGCTTCATCAATTAACTTCAAGCAGCACCACTGTGAAATCGAGCGTGCGACCATTTCGGGAGGTTTGTTGTTGTCGCTCAGAATTAAGATAGCCCGGAGCCACTTCGGGCTTGATGAAGTAGCGGAGCCTCCTGCTTCTTTAGTCATCTTTAACACCTTGCCACGAGTCGCGTGCTGCCGTTCGAGTGCAGAACTTTGGATGCTGGAAAAGCGAAATGTGCTCCATTGCCTAGACATAGACATAGAAGCGATTGATGTACTTACTCCCTCCTGGTCCAGGCTGTGGCTCTCGTTCTTTTTTACGCAGGGGCTGGACAAGTGCGGCCGCTCTAGTGTTGGCACTGCTCTACGTCTAACAATTATTGGCCCTCGCTCAGAGCGCCCACTTTCTCATCCTATTGCGGCAGCGGCTAGACCTTTTTCATCTATTTCCTTATAGTTATGTCATCATCTTGCCTCTAACCGTTCTTGTTCGTCTTCTCGTTTACCTGATCAGGGATAGCGCCCTGGCTATGTTGTACTAAAGGACGAAGCTTAGTTATTTGAGTTTGGCTTCGGTCTGCGTTAGTGTCTGGATTCTTTGATGGTAGTCGTTGTTCTCTTGCTGAAATAAGAGCGACGAAGTGCAGTAGTTGCAGTAGAATCCTCGACCTACGTAGTCATATGAAGCCTTTCGTCTCTGACTAATGACTTGACTCCGTGGAGCCGTAGGGCAGTAATACAGTTAGAAGGTCTTAAGCTTTGCGTGGATTGGATTACTTGCTTAGCCTTTTGGGTGGTGCACGGTTGCAGGCTACTTGGGCACGTCTAGACTTTTTGTCGTTGGTTTTTAGGGCCATAGACTGGCTGAGAAGCAAGCGCAGCCTCTTGGTCCTTGTGTGTATGTTGAAGAGAAACCATCCTACTCACGACTGACTCTCATTGGCAGACGCCTCTAATTTTCCTTGAAGCGATACGATGGCGACAAGGACTTGGCGAAGATGGCGCTCCTGAAATAATTGAAGCGCGTTGCTGTGGAGATTGACCGCCCCGACGCTGAAGCCATTAGTCTGGCGGGCAAGATTGGAGGCGTTTCCAGTTGGTTGGTGCATCTAGGGCGAGAGCGCTGACGCATCTGATAAGTTATGAGTGGCCCGCTTTGTCGTTGAGGGTGCGACCTACGGCAGCGTGAAGATGCTAGAACTCTAAACAGTAAGCGTAGCGGCTATGTATTTCCAGTGAGTCCGTCCGTGGCTTGGTGTTCTCGCTCTGCGTCTACATTTACTTTCACTGTGCTCGTGACAGACATTCGCTGATCTTTCTAACATGAAGCAACCGGATGGCTGGGCGTGGTGCGCGTTGGTTTGCGGAAGTTTGGAGGCGAAGCGACTTGCGTGAACCAGCGGAAGCCGGACAGGGGCAGGGGGTGGGCTCGCTCGAATGTTAACAAAGACGAATCTGCGTTGGACAGCTGTGCCACTACAGCAAAGGGGTTGAGAGTCAGTCCTTATCACGAGAACAGTTTGAACTTTATCACAAGAAAAGTTTGAACTTTATCACAAGAGCAATGCGATCACAAGAAGGCACTTTATCGCATGAAACTGAGTCAATTCACCCCAGGAACAGTATGGACATCATTGGCGAGTGCTGTTGTTACTGATCATCGTGTGCCTCTTACTCTTTCGATGAAGTGGATTCGAGTAGAGAGGCTAAATGGCCTCAAAAGTGACGCCTTAACTAAGAGGTGGCGCGACATGACAAGGGGCATGGCTATGCGTGTAGCGATCTGCTCTGGTAGCCTCTTGCGTGAGATCGGCGGCTGAAGTTCCTCGCTTCGCAAGCACATCACTGCAAAAATGTTGAGTATCTGGATAGCTATCTGCGCAGGAACTTTTAGAGCTTTAGAATGCCTTGCAGCGTCTTCTGCTGCGCCTTATCGGCGTGCGCTCGGGTTAGATTCTATGGCTGGAAGAACACAGAAGCGAAGCGGGCAAGTATTAGGTCGCGCCATACTCGCTCTAATGTATTTGGGCTGCTTCTCTGTTCATGCTGCGACGCTCCTCCTCCGCCTCGCTTTATCTTGGCTGGTGTCTTGGGCGTCGTTACTTGCTTACGCTCACCTGCAAGGCGGCGCGGCTTTCTGCTTCGCGGGTGGTCGACCTCTGGCATTTCGTTTCAGCCAAGACGGAGGGTCGCTGTGGCCATTCTTTCTATGACGCCTAGGGGCTCTGCTGTGGGTCTCTTTTGCTTGAGCGGCCTTGTGCTTATGTCTAGAGCAAACTCCTGCTCGAGGCTGAGGCGGTCCCGATCTCTCCAAGCTGTCGCCGACTGAGGGTTTTGCCTCTCGCTCTCTGAGTTTTTTATCGCTGGACTTTCTCTCGTAAGTCCTAGCAGGTACTCACTTAGCCGGGTATGCTGCCGCGCCATGTGGTGCTGGTCTCTCGTCCGCTGGTAGAAGGCATGCGTCGAAGGATCTTCGATCGTGTTCGACATTCATCTTCATGAGAGCGGAAGTTTCTCCCTTGAAAACATGGGAAAAAGAGGTGTCGCGTGTAGTCCTGTCCAAATTTGGACAGTATAAGAAGCTCGGTTCTCTTTTTCTGTAGTTCTCCCTTGAAAACATGGGAAAAAGGGGCGTCGCGTGTACTAGTCCTGTCCAAAATTGGACAGCATAAGAAGCTCGGTTCTCTTTTTCTGTAAAAGTTGAAACTTTTGGAAGCTCGCAATCTTGTCGAATCCGCATGAGATTCCGCGTTTTGCCTTGGTAGTGTTGATAGTGAAAATCTCCCTTTTTTGATCAAGAGAAATCGCAGGTTTTCAGTGCTAGAGTCGTAGTCTCAAGGTAGCTAATTGTAAATTTTCCACCTCAATCCCCATGGGTGTGCCCCGGTTTTCAAGGGGACAGCGACAGGTGACAGCGACACTAACGAGGAACCTACACATTACCGATTGTGGACCCGGAAGACTGACAATTTTCTAGGAGTGATGCGTGGACGAGCATATGCTCTCATTTTGATGATGTTTCTTGTTTTGCCTCCGGCAAGACCTAGTATGCTAGTTTTTTCTTTTGTCATGATAGTCCTGTAATGCTAAAAATACTGATCATCTTGCTTTGTTATGATAGATTGTCTCCTTCTCGGAAATTGATGTCCCATAAGAAACTGGCATGAAGATTATAGGTTTCTGCTGCGTCTCTCTTGTCTTGTGGAGAACGTCAAAGGTACAAACAAGACCAAAGAGACAGTCACAAGTCAGCCTCAACTCTGTTGTATTCATGGACATGATGCGTCTGCCCAACTTCTAACTCGGCATTGTACTAGTTTGTGAACCGACTTGTATTGTAGGTGCATTTGATATCTGTCAGTGAGAATTGCCGCAACGGCGCAACTTGTTTGCGATTTTTCCGTGTGGAGCGGATGACGAGGCTGGGAGCTGAGACAAGGAAAGGTGCGAGGCGCAACAGCATATCTGTGTTGTGACGAGCGATGTATGACAAAACTGCAGTGCAGAAAAAAGCAAGTAGCGAAGCCTATCAAGATGAAGGAAAACAAATATGGGAAAAGTATTGTGCGGCAGTCTGCACTGAATTCTGTGCGATATAATTAGTTGTATTGTATCGAACGAAAGACGAAGGCTTTGTTCTGAAAACAAACACGCGTCGTCCATGTTGTAGCCTCTTACTTTATCATCTTCCTCATCCACAAGATCAAGAAGCAATTAGCAAAGGCACATGTCCTCACCAGCTCAGCTTGTCCGACCGCCTCATCCGGCGGTTGGGAGATCGCCTAGACGTGGCAAACTACACCAGTTACAGAACTATCGACAACCGGAAACGTTACTGAAGTTGACCGATGTCCTTCGCTTCTGTTTTCCCGCAGCCGATGTCAGATTGCAGAATGAAAAGAAAGAGTTTGTTATGATGATGATGATGATGATGATGATAGCCGTCCTTCCTCCTCTACCTGCGCGCTTAGACTAACAAAAAAAAGATGAGAAGTAGACGGTAGTAGTTGCATTGAATGGCCCTGGTATTTGACAGCCTAACTTTGATCATACGGAAAACAAGAAGAGAATCCCTGTTATCAAATTCAGACTACCACATAGAAGAAGCATACATGCATCTCGTCATCGAGTACTTAGATCACAAGCACAACATGATCCCCCTTCGACCACCTTTTCACCCCCCTTCACTCCTTTCCGTCGACGAGAGGACACGAAGCGTTTTTACGAGTCCCAGATCCCGGATGAGAGTCCTGTAGGTCGATTAGACTGTCTTGCGATGTTCGGACCCTTGAGCCCTGATGGTTTCTTATGTCAAAGCATCTGTCTTCCGGGAAGTGGGCTGAAATCCGTAAATGAGACGAGGCGGATCAAGGAGGCGGCGAGGGAAAAGAAGATTATGCTGGATTATATAAGATAAGTATAAGTGAACCTGTGGACTTCGACGAGTGGTCGAAATTTATTCGTGGAACACGAAGATTTTTGAATCCTTGTTTTTTCCCTCCTCAGGAATCGTGTCTACTTGCTTCCGTTGTACTAGAGGCTTAGCTACCGTCTCTAAGAACCAAATCCAGCGTCGGCAGGTGGAGCAGATACGAGAGGACCTCAGAAGAGCTTTGGGAAAGGACCTCGTCAAGGAAATACAGAGTCCTGAACACATCAACGTTCAAGGAGATGTCGATCAGGAGGCACTCACACCAGCTCTTCCAGATGAGAAGAAAGGAGTGACATTCAGAGCTAGTGCGAATGATGATAATCTTCAATCTACTGCCAACAAGAACGAGAAGGAAAGGAATGACAAAGAGGGCAAAGAACCTTTGACAAAAGCAAAAAAAATTATTTCATCATCTTCAACTACTGCCCACACGAGCAAGGCCAAGAAGCCAGTTGTCGACATCTTCGCATTCGATCCTTTCAGACCTGATAAGAAGCGCGCACGAGCCGAACGCAAGCGCAAACTAGCAGAATGGAAGAAACGTCTTGCAGAAATAGAAGAAATTGAAGCTGCGATTCTTGGATCGGCGAGAGGAGAGATGAAGCAGACTCCTGTTCTTGATGCTGCTCCTGCTGAGGATAATGTCGGTACTGGAGAAAGTAGTCATGGTGATCCATATATTCTGTCCCTTCGTCGTGAATTGCTTGAAGCCTTAGAAGCATCATTAGAGCATTTTCGGCCGCCGCCACGTGGTAGATCTGGTTCTGCAAGTGCAACCTCTTCGAGTACAGTTAGCTCTGACGACGATTCTACTAGTTCTGACAGCAGCGGAGGTGCAAGAGTGGATAAGACAGCAAAGAATTCTGGGGCTTGTAATATTAGCACAACAACAACTAGCAAATTGACTTCCTCCGCGTCTCCTTCAAGGCGCAAGCAAAGAGAAGAAACGAGGCACCGACGTTTGCTTGGCGATTTGGCTATTCAGCGGGAGGACGACATTCGACCTGGTAGGAGGTTGAAATACGAAGTCGGAGTAGTGAAAGACGCGACGACCACATTTGGAGACGCGAGAGCATGGGAGGAGAGTTTGAACAGAGTTAGGAGGAAGGAAGAAGTAGAAGAGCGGTGGTTCTTCCCTAAAGACGACGGTCCTGTTTCTCCTACTAGATCAGCGTTGTCAACGTCTAGGTGCGGAGGATCTCCCACGTCGAATACAGCAAGAACATCGAAGTTGAATAGTGCTAGAGGAGGCGTGGGTCAGGGTGCAGCGGGTGAGCAGGACAAGGGCAAAAATACTTCAACAGTACCAGAGAAAGGAGGAGGTAAAAAAGATGAGAATACACGAACAGGCAGTAAAACTGGATCGCCCGGCACAGGAGGTAAGATGAAAAATGACGAGAAAAAAGCAGCAAGTCCAAGCACAAACAAGCCAGGTACAACTAGTCCAGGTGGCGCTCAAAAAAGCGTTGCTTTCGACGAAAATACAGCAGCGAGAACGTATAACACCATCAACACAGCTTCTACCTCGCTAGAAGCAAGTCTAGAGCAGCCGGATATCCAGAAGAGAAGAGCAGTAGCGATTCAGCAACGAAAGCTGACGAATCAAGAAATCCACACAATGTACCAACAACTGCATATCGGAAAATGGAAGAAAATACTTCCGTCCTACACTGGGTGCTTCGAGGATTTGTTGTCGCTTACTCTCGGCACAGTGGATGTTGCGAAACTGGGACAATTGAGGTTGCAGTTATGGTGTGCATGTCGCGATGGATTAGATGAAAGAGTATTTCAACAGTTTCTGTGATAACTTGAGATTCTGTGATAACTTCACACTCTCGTCTCTAACTCCCGAACACAGTTCCGCCATACCCAAGCCCTATTTGCACAACTTTGGCCAAGCACCGGAGGGAAAGCCTGGCGAGAGTAAATCCCATTGCGTACCACCACATGGCAGCGTCAGTTGGCGCGCGTCGTGGCGCAATGAAGGCTCCTACGGCAGCATGGTCACCAACGAAATCAACTGCATTTCGCAGTTTCTGCCGGAGTACGCCACTGGGCCGCTTGATGCAGCACAGACGAAAGTAAACGATCACGCATTGCTGTGTGCTGGTGAACTGTTGGGAAACAACGGAAGTCAACGAGCTAGTGGAGGAGGTAAAAACCCTTATCTCCAATCTAAAATGGATCATCGCAAGTCCGCAGGTGGACCACGAGGTCAGGGCGCGAAGTACAAAAACGCCCCTAAGTTGCGAGAGGCACGTGCTCATGCGATCGCAGCGTTGGGGAGAGACGCGTCTACAGACGAAGCGAGCATAGACAGGGATGACTTCCTGCATAGAGGTGGTGGAGGACTGATGAGCGACAACGGTTCGCCTAGAGTGCCGACGTTGAAGGAAAGGATCGCTGCGGCAGAAAGGGAGAATGCGGCTACTTTTGGGAAGAAAATCAAGAGTCAGGCCGCGTACTCGATGACAGGGAGTCCAAGAGTACTAACTAATCATGTTAATCGCGCATCATCTTCCTCAAATAAAGACCAGCACCAGTCTGCAACAACAACATCAGCCGCAGTGGTTCCTAAGCTCAATCTTGGTGCAGCTCGTGGTGATGCTGCAGTTGCTGCACGTGCATGGCATACAGAGACTGAGAAAGACATCATTTCATCTGGTAGTTTGCAGATACAGTCTCAGCCTCAGCATGGTGCAACTGGTAAAAAAGTAATCCTGGAAAAATGTGGTCCATCTTCTTCAGATAAGACCGATCATGATGGCCCAAAGCAGGTCCTGATGAGCGAACAACAAGCTTGGCATGGCGCTTTTACATCTTCAATAAAAAATCATGCAGATCAAGGAGGTGGCAAAGGAAAGGAAAAGAGACCACTAGATGGTAAATCTTCCTCTTCGACCAAAGATACATCATCCAACAGCAAAAGTAGAGTCAACAAACTAGACAAGAACCAGCATTGCGTTTACACAAAGGCGGACGTTTTGCGAATTCTACAAGATTGCATCGTCAAGGACTCAGAATTGGACATGGATTCACGTGTTGCTGGCAGTTCTCAGGAGATCTTCGTGAATTTCACAAGGTTACAAGAAGTAGTGCTTGAGAATTTCGAACATCGGTTTAAAAAAGCCACGTTTTTGGTGAAGAAAGTACGCGATCCGGGATTGACAGCGTTGGCGACGGGAGTTATGGAACAAAGAATTTGAAAGTTGTAAGTGTAACTTTCGAGGAGGAGGTCTGCCTTTCAACAAGGCTGGCCGCTGTTTGTGTTTCATCTATTTGTATTTTAGTTTAGTTTGAATCAATTCTTTCCGTTTCCTTTTCCATCGTCATGATATTCTTCATCGTGTCTAAGGCCCGTGCCGACACCGCTATCGAGGTCCTCATGAAAAACGTGAATTGGGTGAAGGAGCGCGCGGCACCAGCTCTACATGGCGAGCCTTTTGTGCAACAACTAGTTGAAGAACGTGTGGCGAGAGATGGGACGTTTCTGATGCAACCGATTCCCGGGTACTCTTCTAGACGCTCACCCAGACCAAAGTCTCCAAGGCGTCACGGCTCAAAGAAGGCATTGGATGCGATGGCTAAGGACAAGTTGAAATTGCCACAATTGAATGTGAGTGGAGGAAACGGAACACACAATTGGTGGGCGATTTGAGTAGGGGTAAGAATGTTCTGGGTAGACAGTGTTTTGTGGACAAGGAGGTCGATTATGTTGAACAGAAATTTCATGAAGAAGTGGCCATAGCATTACTTCGGAGCATATGAAAAGTTGACAATATAGACGAGGACGCGGTCCTTTAACAAACTGGTAAAACAACTACTAGTATCCACCTATTATGGAAGTGCGATTATATTTTGGTCGAATGAAAAGAATTATTCTTATGCACAGACAACTTTATGAACATAGAGAGCTAGACAGATGATTTTTTTGCACAATTATCGATCCATTCTACATATTCCTTGGTCTTATGGGTTCCATTCATCATGTACATAAGTAACTGATTTGAGCATCCTCATTCTAGTATTTATTGCGATTGAATTATAGAAACTTTAGATTTTTGTTATAAAGTGTTTTGGAAAATAAGTTGAGATTGATTTGTAATGAGAACATTACGAGATTGGTCGATGTTGATGTGATTCATGCATAAGATTTCCAGAAAAAGAACACGAGTCAGAAATCAACATTTCCGCAAAGCGACGGACGTTTCTCGCAGCCTGATTTGCTTAGGGACGAAATAGGACTGCGATTGTTTCGCAGCGGTGTACCTCGAATAGCCAATATCTCAGACCGCACCACCTGACGGCTTCGACGAGTCTTCCAATACCAATACCAACAAGTTGAAGTCCTTAATAGCATGACTTCCCATCTCTTCTCGTTCTCTTCCTACTATTTTGCTTGTCGTTTGTTCTCGTCCTTGTTGTCCTTCTGTCAGAATTAGGCTCTCTTGACACCTTAATTCATTTACAATTCCCTACTCATAATATTAATTTCGGTGGTTTAATAGCATGGAAATATTTACCTTACGACACCAGTGATGTAGTTCTCCGATCATGATTTCTTATATTTAGAGATGATTTAGGTTAAGGTGTTAGTAGAGATACTATATCGTTACCTCAAGTAGAGCACGCTGATACTTACCTCCCATCTCTTCGCGACCTACTTCCAGTTCCATTTGAATTCCTAGCGCTCCCAGACCAATCCCAATCATCAAAATGTCCCTCTTCGTCTCCACCAAACATTTGAGCAACATGAACATTCTCTCCGGGTGCCTCCTCTTGCTTCTCCACCTGCCTCACCCTTCAAGCGCCTTGCATTCGAATCCGGCTTGCCAATGCATCGGAGAACTCGAGGCTGAAGCATTTCCTTCTGACATGTCTTATCGACTAAATGCGACTACCCTTATGGTCCCGACGGCTCGTGGAGTTTACCTCTATCCAGAGTCGTACGGCCAACGCTGTGCTATTCACGACACAGGTTTGCCGCCATACTGTGATGTCACTGCGGGAATCCACGCCGATGGTGGAGCGGGCAGGGAGGGTGGTATTGATAGTCGTTTACGAGGAGGCTAGGTGTAGGGATTATAGAAATGATTTTCAACATCAGAGTTCGAGTTTGTTCAAAATCTCTAGCACTCGTCCTGAGAGCGCATTTATTACTGGAAATTGTTGTATCCATTCAATCATTGTCTATCATACATCGCCGTCTACATGTAAACCTCCATTTTTATCGAAGCAAAGAATACAATTGTCACGATGCGTGGTGCTACGTGTCGAATACTGACTGCGCCAATGCAGAATTTTTTCCGTCAGAGTACTTTCAGGGACGCTACTACTCGTATCATACCTGCTTGGAAACGAGGCGCGACGTGGCTAGGAGCAATTCCTTAGAAGTCGTAGAAAGCGCTTTTTGGCGTGCTGTGACAGTGGATGTTTTGCGCGGCCGAACATTGCGCTTCACCTACCCAAAGGAGAGCAAACCCTGGCACTACCGACATCCGAGTACGGGCCAATGGACTGGTCTGATGCATCGTTTCTTTGAGGAGTTGGCACAAAGGGGAGGCTTTCTGTTGCAGTACGTGCCAAGGAACGACTATTCCTTATCGCTAATGGACATCGACAAGGTGAACACAAACACAAATGGTATGATGGGAATTACGTGGTCATCCTCTGCGACCTTGGCGACGAGTGGCACGAGGACTGGCATGCAGAGTTCTGCGAACGAGAATTATACTGGTACACACTCACACGATCATGAACACGATTCCTCGTCTGCAATCTATACCTCAGCTGCTGGCCTCGTTGACAATGCGTGGGACGCGTGCACCCATAGCGTGATGATGAACTATTAAGGGTAGGGTAAAGGTGCTTTTGTTCCCCTTCCCGCTTTTTATGGATGCCTTTCCTAAGGGAGAACAAAGGCTGCAGAAAAAGCGGGGTCCACGACGAGCACCAAGAGGCTACCTCGTCTAAAACTACGTGGATGTTTGTCCTACAGCAGCGTGGGAAACACCCAATAGACGGCAAATGAGTCTCTTTAGTGCTGCTGTATTGACGTCCAATTTTCGTTTGCTGGTGAGGCAAAACGTCGATGACGGCTTGAGCTTGGATCCGCGGCTGGGGTATGCGAGTGCGTGGTTCGCTTTTCTTCGACCTTTTTCGCCGTCTTTGTTAAGCTTTTACTACGTTGTTGTAGGGGACCACGTGGTTGGAGAGTAGGATGGAAACTCAACTTTTTCTTTCTGCACCTGATTATACGTGTTATTCTGACTCTTCAAGAAGTGAAGATTTCTCTACTTACAGTATAACCATAAAAACTACAACTAGGACTGCGTCAAGAAGTGATTCCTCTTATAACCATAGAAATAACTACTAGGACTTCTACTAGGACTCATGTTCAGTGAATCTTCCAGGACTGCGTGAAGCAGTGATTCCTCTTCCTCTAATCCTCTGGGGGATCTTAATTTTCCTTTCTGTCGTGGCTGGTGTGCTCATTTGGACGGTGGAGACTGGCGGTTGGGAACTAGCACAGGAAGCGCAGACACGTATCAAAGATGTTGCTGCAATGCTCGCGATGCAGGTGCCGGTAGCTGAGGCAGCGCACACTGAAGATGTTCGTGTTGACCAACTACATAGTGCGGGACATCCTTCTAAGGACCAGCGTGCTGCAATGGATGATGAAAGATGTCTATCATCTCTTCAAGCAGTGTCCGAGGGAGAGGAGGAGACCAGAAGAGCAAGAGCGGAGCTGAAGTTGTTGGATAACGTGATCAATCATCCGGGACGAACAGGGAATAGTGGGCTGGACGATGCCAGAAAGGTGATGAATCGCATCTCTAGAACTTGCACTTTTGCAACTTTACCATCATCTGAAGATCAAAGTGCTGTGTCTGACGTGGACGATGATTATACAGAGAGGGCTTCTTCTTATAGAGAAGGAAGGCATAAGGCGGTCTCTCCTCCCGGTCATGAAGAGGTCGGCATGTCGAGAAGTGGGAGAATAAGTAAAGGTTCTAGAGCAGGTCAGACTGAGATCAACCATGCTGGTGACATCGTTATCAATCAAGAAGATGAGGACGATCATGATGTCAATTACATGGGCGTAGTAGGACAGACATCAACTACCCACTCCCAAAAAAGAGTCTTCGCGTCAAGGCGCTCCAGTAGCAAAGACAATCAGTCAGTCACATCCGCTGCTCAACGTCTAGCAAGATTACAACGCTCGGCCAGTGACTTGGGGCGGCTCGCTTCGCTACAACGCAACACCTCTGAAGAGCCGAAGGCGAGAAAGACTTCACGGCTGCCGTTTTTGAGGTTACACACAAGAGCAGCAGTTGGAGGAAAGTCGTCAGCATCAGATGAAGAGGACACAGGAAGTGTTTTCGGGAATAGAAGTCCTGGTGATCACGATACTACCACCAAGGGACCACTCGACAAAAGCTTTGCTGAAGGATCAAGCGACAAGAATCTTCTTCAACGCACTCTGACATCTAAGAAGCTCAAAGTAAAACATGGGACAGTGGACGAATTTGTTTTATTTCCTCAAAGTACAAAGAGTCCAGTTTTTGCAGATGTTGAGCCTTCTCATGGACAAGAAGGTAGTTGTACTTTAGCAGGAGATGCAGATCCTTCTTCCGAGAAAGCGGTAGCCCATCAGCATTCAGGTACTATCAACAAATGTCACACCAACTACAAGGACCACAGTGAGGAAGAATCGTTGTATTTGAGCACCGCTTCTGGCGGACGTGGGGATCCCGGACGTGAGGATCCTGGAAGTGTGCAGAGCCACGTATTTGAGTCTGTTCTTGGCTTGTGGACTTGCAGCGTTCCTCAGAGAACAGCGACATATGGTGGAGGGTTGTTGAAGCTGAGCTACGCGGTTTTGATTATTATGGTCGTGCATGGTTTGTCTCAGGTCAGTGCGGTTCTACTCCTGTTTGTTAAGCGTAAGTACTTCTATCTCACCTTCAGGATGTTCAGAATTTGATCGTACCTAGAGGCACTCTAAACTCCTGATCACGATTAATTCCTATACTGCGAATCTGGCGACGATGCTGCTCATCTCGCAGGCGAGACACCGAGGCATTCAAAGGGTCGAAGAGTGCTATGACAATCAGAAGAATCAGAAGTGCCAAACCGTCTGCATAGCGTCTCAAATCCAGCAAGAGCTCTTTGCGTCACATCCTCAACTCCGCACTAGGGTTTTCCCAAGTTCTTCATCAACCCTGCAAGGATTTGTGGATGGTCTGTGTGACGCAACCGTGGTGCCGGATCACGACGTGAAAGCTAGAGTTAAGGCTCAACTTTCAATGGTCATCATTTAGATTGGAGTCACTGAGATCGAAGAGGCATCCCCTTGAGAGAACAGGGGAAAACGAAGGGAAAGGGGAGAGCTTTGATTTTGAAGGGGGTCGCTTCCGTTCAGAGTCAGCGACCAATGAGTGCTGAGCTTTAATAGAGCGGACTTCCAACAGACGCTGGTGGACAGAGGCTTCATGATGGTGGGGAAGCCTTTGTTTAGTATGACTGTGGGAACGCCGGTGACGAAAAGGATTGCGGCAGCCTATTCCCTCCTCTCCCTACAGCTGCACTACGAAGGAGCATTTGCGCACTACTACAACCTCTACACGCCGCGACCAGGAAGTATTATGCGCAATGAGATGAACGACCCAGGGCTGCCGCTTGAAGGCGAAGCGGCAGAAATGTCTGAAGCCGAAGGCTTGCAGTTAACCACCAGGCATTTCGTTGGTTTGTTTTTCACGTTTGGGATGTGCGCTGCTGTCGCTTTGCTGTCCTTGGTGCACATGCAGTGGGCCTATGGACAAATACGGAGGCGTTGTAACGAGATCCTAGAGGCTGGAGCTGAACAAAGAAGTGAAAGTGTTGGAAAAGCTTTCTCACAGTTACAAGGTAGTTGTAACAAAGTAGCGGAAGGAGCGGGAAGGGGAAGCATCAAAACTTACGCCGTGGAATCCGCGTTCGCACACGACGTGCGAATAAAAACCCTAGATAACGTATGACACGAAAAAGTGTACTCATACTTCTCAAGAAAGTAGGCACTTTCTAAGTAGGAACAGGAAGAAGCCCTACTCAGTAGGATCAGAAAGTGCTAGCCTTCTTCCTGTTCCTACTTAGAAAGTGCCTACTTTCTTGAGGATGAGTACACAACTTTTTCGTTTCATATAACGATGAAGACGCTGAAGATTATGTCAACAGTCTCCATGTAGCTAGTACTCGCACAGGCACACCGGTTATCAGTGAGGAAACGGATATCATCCTTCACATGGGTAGCAGGGGTGACCGGAGTGCGTTCGACGATCGCACTTTATCGTCTGAAGATGATTATAGTCACGATGACGAACGACGCAATCACAGTTGTACAAATAGTGTTGTCCATTTTCGTTCAGAATTACCCTCTGTTAAAGAATAAGTCGAGAAACTGGTTTACAACTAGTGCAGCCGCCGAGTCATACGAAATTGGAGTGCAGCACTGTAAGCATTCCAAGAAAAAAGGGACAAGGAAGAGTCTCATCTACCTTTCTAGTGTAAGTAAATGAATCATTCATGTTGTTACTTTTCAACTGTACTAGGTTCAGGCGCATCCTACTGCTCTGGTGTAAGTAGGAAGAAAAAGAGGCGACTTCGAACAACAAGTAACTCTAATTTACATCAACTGAATTTTCCGCTAGCGCTAACCCATTTTAGATTTGGAAGTGTAGTGCTACGTACTTGGTAACAGTCATTGCGCATTTATGCTCTTGCCACAGTCTGGGCTTCTTTGAGTCGTGCTTTTGTCATGACTATTCTGAGCATGCACCTGAACAGCGTGTCTGAAGATGAAATATCTTTCTTTATCGAAATCTTATCTTTTTGATTTTAATGCATTCATGGAACTTGGTTCTTAAAAGTTGTTATACTTGGTTGTAAAGAAAAAATTGAGACTTTCGATTAATTCATTTGCAGCTCAAATTGATGATACTTTAGTCAATCGTTTAGAACGACAGTCAAAGAACTGAACAGAATGAATGAGTGAATGAAACAGAAAGTGTGTACTTACGAAGAAAACCTAGTACTTGATTCTCTGCATTCATCTGACTTTTGCAGAACAGCGTCGTAAGATTCTCAGCATGTTTTTATCGAACAATTTCGTAGCAAGAATCAATGTCCTCGTATTGTAGTGCTTATAATTTTGAAACTGCAAACACCCAGCGTTTCGTCGGTCTGGGACGACATCAACACGTGAGTCGCCTGTATTTTTCATGACGTGGTCCCGCCTGTCGCTCGTCAAGAGATGAGAAGCAAATGATAATGAGAAAATGTCGTTCTCGGGAAGTCGCTCCTCTTTGTGGCTGTCGTCATCCCCTCCATGTCCAATCTCCCGTAGAATTATCCAAAACCGAATTCAAAAAACACTTGAGACAGCTGTTGCAGCTAGCTTACTTGGAAATAGATTGCAATTCTAGTCTGCAAGTAGAACCATGTCGCATGCGATACAAGTTGTCGCGCGGCATGAAGTCGCGATTACTTCGCCCACGTTCGGACCCGGTGGTGACCTCTTTGCGATATCGAGAAATGGAGATATCTATCGTTATGGCGAAAAATTTGTTTTTGTCTTCACACACTACTCGAGCTGTAAGTATGTTGATAAGTCGTCGCAAAAATGACTCTGCTGAAACAAAGGCTGCTTAGATGACTCCTAGGCTTGCTTTCCCATTCCCTCTTTCATTCTGCCTACGTCGGCAACACGGAAAGCGACACCGAATTTCAAGTCGAGAGTTGGGGCAACTCGAGTGGTCAGCCTTTAGGCCTCCTCTTCGACCTTTCCCATCCTCAAGGAGTAGCTTTCGTGTGCGACTGTGCGCATCAAGCCATCTTCCGCATCCTAAGAACAGGAGATGAAGACGGCGGTCCAGCACGACAGGAGATCGAACCCTATGTCAAGGAGTACGAAGCAGCACCGTTGCTGGGACCGAACTCATTGTGCATGGGACATCAATCGGGATTGCTGTACTTCACCGACAGTGGGCCATTGGGTGAGACGTCAGTGCAGTTATGCTTGAGACTGCTTGATGAATTTGGTGTAGCTCTACTTGATGCAGTTGCATCTAGTAGATCTAGTGCGTTAAGTTCCAGTAATTTGGCGGTACTATCAAAGTCAAACGCATAATGAGGTTCTTGTTCGACAGCATGGACTTCACGGACACCCCCCTTTCACTTTCATGTTCATCTCACTTCTAATTTGTAACCCCAAAGGCAGTGTTTTCGCCATCAACCCAGCAACGCAACTGCTTATTCCGCTGGCCTACCAGTGCCTCGCATATCCAAGTGGGATTGCGCTTACACAGGACGAAAAAGTGCTGTACGTAGCGGAAACGAACATGAACAGAGTCCTGCGGTTCACCCAAAGCCCACCTGGAGTCTATCACTGCACAGTCTTTCATCAGTTGAGTGGAAGATTTGGGCCGACAGGTACAACCTCTTTCTACTTCGGGATCCATACATACTAAACGAGCTCAAGGAGTGGTTAAGTATTCGTATATCTACAGTATTATTTGAGGATCTTCAAGGCTTGTTCATCATGATTGTAGTTCTGCCGCCATGATCAATCATTGTTGAATCTTCACACTCCGCAGCCCTCGCCGTCTCTTCAACTGGGGACCTGTTCGTCGCACATTTCGACTTCGCGGATAACACAGAGAATGGTAGGATCATCGTCATCGATCCAGAAGGTGAGGTTACCGCAATAATGAGCGTGCCAGGTCCAGAGATTAGCGGTTTATGCCTAACACCAGATGAGAAATTTTTGCTCATTACTGAGGGTTCGGGTAATTCGCTGTATAGACATCCGCTGCGATAGGAGGAACTTGCTGTAGCTGATAGGACAAACTAGTGCTACAGATGAACAAAAAGTAGAACGAACAACGGATGACAACGACAAGTTAGATAGTAGGTCACAGAAAAGCTTGACTATGTCGCATAACGAACTTGCCCACAGATGACGCACAGAAAACCATTTTTACTTCACAGCACATTCTTTTTCTTTTACTCCCAGAAAAAACATCAATGTGATAACGAAAGACTCAAGAAAGCTTTTGTGATTTCCTACAGTACTACATCTATAACCTGATGGATCAAGAAAGCACGTCGTGATCTAGTAAGAAAATTCCGAAAGGTTCCGTGAAAGTGAATCCCCATGAACTTTGAAACCAAATAATGCCTGGATCATAAATACGCTACGAATTCAAATCCCTTTGCACCTCCGAAATTAAATGAAAATAGGCCTGGCCAGATGTCAACCCACGATCTTCAACCAAAACTCACGGACGGTCCTTTTCAGCTGCAAGATACTTGCTTCAGGAATGTTCTTTGACTAAGTAGACGATCACAGCAGTTTGTAGTTGTACTAGCTATTTGTACTCGCTGACAGCAACACTCTCCTTCTAGTGCATTATCCGAGGTGTAATCAATGACCACGAAATCAAGTTCAGCTGCACAAGTTTCAAAATTATCTCAATTTACTCCAGACCTGAGATGGGTTGCAACCCTTCGAGGCACGAGAGTGACGGCAGAGTTGTGGAATTTACTTCTCTCCACCAACTCCGAGTGTGCTCTACTTTCTCTGTAGTTACGTCTCAAGAGTGAGGACGGGTTCTAGAAATCTTAGTGCGTATGCGAGTTTCACTGTTTCTACAGAAACACGCTTCGAACGGCATACTCATGCCCTGAGAGGCAGCGCTACGACTGAGCATTAGAGATACAATTTAACTTGCATCAAGTCGATACGAACAAGATGTTTGCGCCCGCGCACGAAAACGCTGTGCGAGATGAAAGGAGGTTCCACTACCCCCTTCCTTACTGGAACTCCTATGGCTGTCAGACGCAGACGCCGTCAACCTCTTCGTCTTCAAGTTCATCTAGTACTTCTCCATTAGCGACATCTGCGACGAGTACCACGGAGACGGAAACCAACTACGTAGAAGATCCTACCGCTCTAGACTCAACAACATCAGACGGGCAGCAGCGATGTTTGAGCTGCTCAGGAGACATGCAAACGAGCAATGGTACGAGGTCGTCTTCAACCTCTAGCAGTACCAACGGCATAGGCAGCTATAGAATAAGCTGCTCTTCGACTGTGAATGCAACTTCCTTTTGCGCCGTAAATTACCCTGGGCAGACGTCGAAGCACTACGACATCTACTCGTCTAGGAGAGTGATATGCTCGAAGAAAGGTAGCTCAGGGAAAAGACGAGCTGGGCGGAAAGCCCCGCCTCCTCTTAGTAAAGATGGTCTGCTGTGTGTTCAGTCACGACTGGACAAAGAGAGCCAACTAGAACTACAGAGGCTAAACGGCTCATCTTCAATTTCAATACCTGCTGAACAAGCGGAGTGTGAACCCCCGCTTCTGCTGTCCGTGAAACAAGGCCAAGAGCGAGAGCATTTGCGGCAGTATCTGTTGCCGAGGCCAAAACTGCACATACCAAGGAACGACTTGTCGGAGGTATTGACGATAGTTTTAGTTACGTCGCCGATTGGCATGCACCCAGCCACTACATTAGTCGATGGCGTGATCCGCAGTATGGATTTCGGTACCGGGTTGGAGAAATGTCCGATGGTCATTGTAGCAGATGGCGTCAGGATCATACCAAGCGACGCGATAAGGAGGATAGAAAGGCCAGCCAACCATAATGGCCAGAAAAGTACGATGATATTGGCAGATGGAAGTACTTGTGTACTGGATGATGACAGTTGTCCTGTGGACGATGGTGGAAAAGCAAATAGTATCAAGAAAGGTTCATCAGTAACATCAGACCACGAAAACAAGACAGAGTCCTCTTCAGAGGATGCTTTTCCTTGTGCCAGTAGTGGAGGTGGTGGTGGTCTCGATGCAGAGGCCCTCAACAAAATGACAGATAATACTGGCTGCGGTGCTGGATTAGCGCGCGCTGCTGCCTCTTGCGCCTCTACAACTTCGAGCGAGGGGGGTGACGGTGCTCCCAGCTCAAGCAGAAGGCAATACCAGATCAGTGCTTCAACCACGTCGGGGGAGGAAGAGGCAGTCGAAGGGGAAGCTGCGAGTACAGCCGCCTCATTGGAGGGGCGCTCGGACCACGCTGACAAGACGAGTGGAAAAGTTGTTGTACAAGATCATGCTGACGAGCAAGTACAAGATGACGCCGACGGTCAAGAAGAAGATAATTCTTCAACCTCTTCTGATGAAGATGGCAGTGATGACGACGAAGAAGACAGCGAGGACGAGGAAGAGAGTGGCTCCGAAGAGCAACAGGCAACAACTACTCCGATAACATCATCATCAAGGAGCTCTTCCACTCCAAAGAAGACATCGATCCCAAGCAAAAACAAAAGCAAGAGTGGAACGCCAGGTGGAACTTCTTCCTCTAGCAAGAAAAGAAAAGGAAAACAGCGTGTAGTGTGGAAACGAGGCCGGGTGACAAAAGAAGATTTCGATAGATACTCGCAATATTGCGACAATCTTCGGGAGAAGTACTGCACCGGAGAACAGCAACGGAAAACGACAGTGATAGGTCCTCTGCCGAAGCATCTGTCTTTCGCGCATGCCTTGAAAAGAGGCTTGGAGGAGGTATAGATTTTCTTGATTTCTTGGGTTTTAACAGGAGTCGCTTTTGATTTTGATCATGATCATCATCGATAATGTAGCTCCCGGAATAGATACAACGATGTTTCAGGCAATCATCTCTGCTTTTAACTTGGCTCCGGAAGTAGTAAAATGACACACACACCTCCCTCTCTCACTCTCAGGTCCGCACCCAATACGTGATGGTCGTCCAGCACGATCGCGCTTTTGTCGAGCCTCTTGATATTAGTCATGTTGTCCGCATGATGGAGGAAGAGCCTAGAATCCGCTATGTCGGTTTCCAATCTAGAACCAACGTGAACTATCCCAATCGAAGTCGTGGCAGGTATGGAGAGTGGGCCCGAGTCCCTGAAGTAGCTGCGGCAACACACGCAAGCTCTTCAAAAAGAGGATCCAAGTGCGTTATTCCAGCACCCGCGACAATGAGTGTTCGAGGTGGAGATCCGGAGAATCAAGGAGAAGCGATTTCACGCGGAGGAGTGAAGAGACAACATAAAGGAGACTGGAAAGAATTTTCGGGAGGGCGAGGACTTGGTGCAGCCACAGTTATTTCGTCTACATCTTCGTCGTCAAGCTCAAGCACATCAGAGCAACACCAAAATGGTGTCACGTCTTCTACATCCGACTCTCCTTCCTCTGATTCTCAACTTCTAGAGGAGCAATACAAAGAGATGCGCGATCAAGTCAACCTCAGAGAGCATCTAATTCCTCTTTTCTTCTGGTACGATTCGACGCACATTGTGCACACTGAACCCTACAAAGCATTGATCTCCCGAGAGTGCAAGCAAGGTCAATTCATAGAGTCGACTTATGGGGTACGGTTGGAGGAACGAGTGAGGGAAGTAGGCAATCGCGGTGCCTGGAGTTTCGACTACCATTTGGATCATTTTGGGTCTTTTTTGCTCCACGATCGCAATTTGGGAGTCATGAAGCCGATGGTGGCGCATTTGCATGGAAGGTACTTGCATATATTTATATAATATCATTCTGATTTTTTCCACTATGTGGGTAAGCGTATTAGCATGCGCATAAGGTCGGGGATTAGGTCGCGTATTAGGTGGCGCGTTTGGTATTCTGTTTGGTGTCATATTAGGCGCCGCACCTGCGTGCTTTCGGCCCAGCCAGCGTCGGGGGCTATTGGGAGTGGGGCTCTAAGCTTGGGGGATCGGCTTGAAGACGTGCAAAAAGAAGCTACCCAAGCCACGGGGAGGCAAGTGCTACGAGTCTCGGGCGGTGCTCCTCTGTGTGTGTCATACGTTGCGCAAAGTCTGGGCTTGGCGGCTCGAGTCTGCGGATGCGGTCGCCGTGCGGTCACAGTTACGGGGCTGGCACTTGTTTCAGGAGATGGACCGCTCCGGTTTCACTTGGACGGACAACGGTGGCCAGTTTCGTGGTATAATCCCGGTGGCTTTTCGTGCGCTGGCTTCTAGGAATCAGCCCGGCCGGGACCCCTGTGGGCTATCCGCAAAGCAACGGCATGGCGGAAGTGTTTAGCTGCGTGGCCAGCCGTCTCACCCCGCTGGTGGTGACTGCGTTCCTCGCTCTGCGGTCGTCCGCGCCTTGAATTCGAGGGAGCGGAATCCTGCGCCGGAGGCAGTTTGCCGCGTGCTCCGCTTTGCGCGGAGCAAGTGGGTGGGGCTTCCTTGCAATTGAGAGAGGCGAGCGCTTGAAGGCTCCAACGGTGAAAGACCTGGAGAAGGCTGTCGAGGAGGCCACGAAAGCGCAGACTGGCGCGGGCAGTCTTGTCAAGGACTTCGAGCACCGGCAGAAGCAGATCGCCCTGGTCCTTGGTGCTGGCCAAGTCTGGAAGGGCCTGACTGAAGGCGCGGACGAAGTTCGCGCGGCCTGCTCGTTTCCGGATGGATGCCTCCGCCGCCGGGCGATATCTGCAAGGCGTGAAGTTCTCAGTTGATCCAGAGGCACCGCGGTACCTGGTGCAAGCTCGTGGGGGTGATTTGCATGAACTGAAGGGCGACGCGTTGGCCTTGTTTCGAGACATGGGAGGGAATGAGCAAAACAACACCAGGGAGAGAGCAAGACGAAACCACCAAGAAGAGGGCGCCGCACTCATGTCGGCAACTTACTCCCTGCCCGATCTGCGCCGGAAACGGGTGGAGCGCCGGGGGATTTGTTTCCAGAAGAACCAGAAAAGAAGCGCAACGGCGCGCCGGCTTTCTCTTCGACTGAAGACCAACCGGAGGAGGAGCGTGCTCCGGGTGTGGTCGATAAAAGTGCCCCGACGATTGGCGCCGCCAAGCCTGACGGGAGTTCAGTTGCTTTTTTTTGAGGCTACCTAGGCGCCGCCGTTCTTCCATGCTGCAACCAGCCACTGCTCTGCTGTGGTTGTGCGGGCGGCACTCAGCGAGCTGAGTCCTCCCCCGATTTCTGGGGACATAGCGACTTCTGGAGCCGCTACTCCTTGAACTTGTGAGTCCGTTTTTACGTTTGATCTTTTCATCACAAAGAAAGTCGTTGCTGTCGTTGAGTGATCCTCACTTCAACTTCAAATTGACACTCTCTCCAACCCAACCCAACAGGATGTTTTGGTCCAAGGAGGAGCGCTTACAGCGTGGATGGCCTGCGGTCCCTTTGTTTTCCAAGTACGAAAGACTGGCACGGTTAGAAGTGACTAGGAGACACGGTGAAATCGCGTTTGAAGAGACAATATGCGAGGACGGTCTCTGTGCCGAAGAGCGCCTGAGGCGTCGGGGCGAAGTTGAACTGGAGGAAGAAGAGGATTTCACACAATTCCTCTTTGATCAGGAGGAAGTGAAATTCTGATGAATTCTACTTCGTGTAAACTGCGATTCTGAAGATTCTACTGCAACAGCTTAGACAGTCAGTTATAGTTCGATTTTGGAGGATTTTTATAATGCTAAATCATGTTTAAGTCTTCTATTCTATACTGGAACAGGAACTTCATTCGGAACCGATTTCGATTTTAGTCGTGGCTCATTTGTTGGATTCATTAGTCCTACTTTTAATTTAAGTATTATGATTCTGCGTTTTTCTGATTTTGACGTTATGATTATTCCTATGTATGCTTCAAGTTGCGGTGGGCCTCTAGTCCACGAAAGAAACGGTAAATCTGCAGCCTTGAAGAAGCTTGATAGGGCTCCTTCGGTTCGTTTCTATCCTCATCTCTATCACTCCAACTACCTGGTGCCTACTCTCCACCTCCTCTCTTCTAAACCACCTTTCAACAGGTCTCACCCTTCCCAAACCCTCTTATCCTGGATGTCTGTCAATCTTCAGCAAACAAGGAAAACAAAAATTTGCAACCTGTCCTAAATTCGATTCATTCACAAGAACAGTATCGTAGATTAATGATAAAGAAAAAGAATTTCATCTTCAGAATCAAGGATTCGTGACTCTCAGAGATCCGCTTTCGACAGTATTCATTTTAGTACTCATATTCTTAGTCAAGAAGAGGACCATACTAAGATAACGAGAGAAGCGAGAAAAAAGTATAAGAAAATCTTTGTGACTGCGTGTACAAATTGTGTGATTCGCTGAACAACGAGGGAAGGTAGATTATTTATGCGCAAGCTATTCATTTTGTCGAAGATTTCTGTAACCGACGAGGGAACGAGTACGAGTGGGAGTGCTGCTGCTTGTTCTAGTAATTTGTGGTGTGTAAGAAGCACGAGAGCTAATGGGCTAAGAAGTCTCTAGCTGTAAAAATCTGTAACTGTTGTAAGACAATCTTCTCTTCCTGTCAGAATCTGATCTGACTACACTTACAGGAGGGCAATTCGGTGCAGACCGTTTCCTGTCCCCCAACTCATTTATTTTCTATTACGCTTTGGAAAAAGTATTTATCACCCCTTTTTCTCTCACTTTTCATCTCTTTAGTTCAATGAATCTGGCATGCTTGCCTCGTGCTTTTTAGCAGTCTATAATTGAAGTTCTCATTCTTGTTCGCGTCCGCGTGTGCAGCTCCTATGGACAAGATAGAAGGGCTAGTGCTTTGTTGCTAATCACATTTTTATGTGATGTGTTATCATAATTACCTAATTCTCTTTTCGTTTGCAGCCAGTATCGAGATAATAAATAGGTTTCCAGTTCTTCCACATAAATGAAACAAGATTCGGTGCAGCATTGTCCTGAATAGATTTCTTGACGACACCTTTCGTTCTCTCTTCCCATATTTTGAGAACGAAGGTGTCGCATTGTACGTCTCCTTTAAGATCCTTAACTACAGTTTATGCTCTTCAACTTCATCATCACTTTTTCCAACATTGTCGCCTTGAGATCAAAGAACAAAAATCATGACAGCTTCTCTACAACAAGACACTTTCTCCAAGAACATGAACATCAAAATGAAGCACGAGATGTCGGTCTTTAAGAAGTCCTCGTCCCGTCTGCGTTCTTTTCTCCAGCAGCATGCGGGATTGGTTCTTTTGACAGCTTTCACTCTGGCCACTGGGATGATTGTCAATAATTCATCCAGTTCTCATCAGATTCAGAGCTCCTCGTCTTTCAGTGTCGTTGTGGGTAGCTTTGTGTTGAACAATGCGCTCATTTTTGGGTTTGCTACTCTGGTGGCGACGTTGGTGAGCAGCGTCGTGGAGGTATGTGGTGTGGTGGTCAGGATGGTGCTGAAACGGGTGGTGGCAGCTGCTCTTCCGAAGGATAGCAAAAAATTGGTAAGGACTTCTTGGTACGACACCTACACGATAGTCAACTCTCAAGAACCTACTCAACATCCTCGCCAATATCATCAAGTCCGCAAGAACCGCATCCACCTCCTTCTGGAGAACACGATCGCTCTGTGCTTCGTCTCTCTCGCCATCTTGGACTTCGTCCATCTCCAATACCTTGGCCGCAAAATGCACTTCCCTAGTTTCATCAAGATCTTTCTGGGCGCAGAATATGCTAGGAGTGGCTTCTACCTACACCAATGGTGCGAGGAAATTGTGACGTCTGCGATGGCGCAGGTGGTGTGTGCGGTGGTGCTGTTGGTGTCGTTGTCGATGTCTTTAAGCAGCACGACGGGGAGTGCGAATCGGCGAACAACTCAAAAAGGGACTCCACACGAACTACCTACAGATGACATAAATCTGGATCATGTTGTCACGGAAAGCACGACCCCCACATCTGCCTCATCTCCGTCACAACCAACACGTACGTTCACGCGCACTCTTTCCTTCATTGCCAAGACTCTACTGCTGGGTGCTTCTGTAGCAGCAGCAGCACTCGTCTTTCTATTGCTTCCCTTTTCCGGAGAGACTAGCAACGCACATCAATTTGGCAACATGTTCCCAACCTCCTCTGCCCAACTCTTTCGTGAATCTCTTGTCATACGCATTTTACAGGCTCTTCCATTGCGCACTTCTCAGGAAAAAAGCCTACTTTCGTGGAGTGACGACAGCATTCCCGCTCACATGGATGTCGAAAATACTGGAAAACCACTTGTACGGAGACAACTGCTGGTTGCTAGTACAACAGCTCAGGAGAAAGATGGCGAGGATGGAACTGGGGAGAGTCTACTAGGCGGACTTTTTGGTCGAAGCCTTGCTGGTGGTAGTAGTCAAGGAGGTGCTTCATCTGGTGCTTTTGCGCCAGTGGAAATCGAAGAAATCGACACGAGGAGGGAGTTGCAAGAAGAAGAGCAAGAGAAACAAGACGAGCACTACGTCTTCTTCATCGTGGAGTCGTTGCGGTCTGATGCTTTCGAAGAAGTGTTTCTTAAAGATGAGGTCACAAGGATGTTTGACCTCTCAACTTCTTCTACCGCATCGTCTTCTTCTGCCTCGTCAAGTGCATCATCTGCTTCTTCTTCTCCTTCAGAAAGTTCAACCATCCGTCCCGTCTTCCTCACTCTCGACGCTTACGCCGCTTTCCCAAACACGTTGAAGAGTGCACTCCAATTCTTGTGTGGTCGTCCGGCTGAAGCCGGTTTCTCCTTCGCAGAATGGCGGGAAGTGGTCACTAGCGATAAGATCAACACTTGTTTGCCACACCTACTGCGATCGAAGAAGAGGTTCCGAACCATGCTCCTGTCAACCGGGGAACACGCAAACCATGTCCTCTCAGAGGAACTACTAGCTGATTTAGGCTTTGATCACGTTGTTGGAAGAGAGACACTACTCGCTGGAACTGGAAACGAAAAAATGTTGGACAACACTTTCGCTTCTCCAGAACTGGCAAGACGGGTTGTGCAACGATATCGAGACTTCGTCCTTGCTTCCACTACAGCGTCTTCATCCAGCACATCCACATCAAAAGCACATCTTCAAGGAGACAAAACTTTCGCCTTCATCTTTCTGCTCGATTCGCACGCGAAGTGGCACCATGGAAAGTGGGACAGGTATCGACAGGGAATCGAGTATGAGAAGGGGATCATTCGGGATATTGCGAAGGTTGCAGCTGATTTTGAACAGATACAACAGAGGACTACCACCATGACCAGCAGCAAGAGAACTTCTTCATCTTCAACCTCTACTAATACTAGACCACGTGGTACCTCTACTAGTAAGTTTTTCCTCATTGGCGATCATGGTGAGATGTTCGGAGAACATCGCGAATGGCGACACGGTCCGTCCTTGTTTAATGAAGCATTGAGAGTGCCGATTGTTGTTTGGGGGAATGGGCTTAGAAGTGGAAGTGGTTCTTGGGCTCCTTCTAGAAAGCAGCTGCATGAGCAAGGTAGTGCCATCTTCTCCCTCGCTGACCTTCATCCTACGATTTTGGAAGAAGCAGGCCTGCGCATCGCTTCACAAAACATTCGTAGTGATTTGATCCAACATGCAACGAGTCTGTTTCAAGGAGGATCTTGTGGCGGCGTTGAATTTTTGGGACATGATGATCATCAATTCTCGGAAGTGCATCAAGAAGATCCTAGAAGTACTTCTTCTACGTCTGGTCTCTTCTTCCGTTCAGTCTTCGACGATACCACGAGAGCTTACATCAGTTGCGACGGCCGTTGGAAGATGCTAGCTGATGCACACCATTATCCTACCAGACACTATGTGGCTTTTGATCTCCATCAAGATCCTACGGAGCGTTCTCCGCATATGGACGTTGCATTGCTATCGCCCTACAGACCGCAGATAATGGCTAGTGATTTGCGTTTTTTTCAGGAAATGTTGAGGACCGTGTTCACTGCGTTATTTTGGGAGGAGACGGACGCGGAACAAGCCACGGAATCTGCTACCGCAAGGACGACCACAAGTCCCGCAGCATCAAAGAACACTTACAGCATCGCAATCAAGCGTCATCTCGCAGAGTTTGAGACTGTTTTTTTCAGTCGCGACATTCGCCGTATGCTGTTGACGCAAAACGGGCTCGTTGTTACTCGCGTCGCCGTCAGCGGTTGTTCTTCTTGGGCAGCCAACGGGGAGTATTCCGCAGTCTGCGGTGGCGGTGGTTCGTGTAGTGAAGCTGGCGGCTCTCCCATTTATCGGAAATGCACGAGTGTTGCGCCATCCAGTTCCGACAGCCTGTGTTCATCGACCACGTCGACGAGGGCTGTGGAGCGCGTGGTTACTGGTGGAACGTCAAAATGGGTGATCAGCTACGAGGTAGTGTTCAACAGTGGCCGCAGTCGAAGTCGTTTGTTTGCATCTGAAGTTGCATCAACGCAACTGTACCCGCCGGATTCAGGATGGAGCAGCGGTTGTGCGCTCACTTTGAGATACGCCTCGGTACAAGCAGCAAGTCCCGCGCCGGCACCTTCACCGGCAACGACTCCTTCCCCGACGCCAACACCGACAGCCACTCCACCACCTTCACCGGCAGCGACTCCTTCCCCGACCACGACGACAACGACCACAACGATTCCTGCGGGTGTCGCTATGCAGACGAGTACGTCTGTCCTGTTCCAGCTATCGGCGAGCAGTAATGTGCAAACCATTATTTCCGATGCAGATTTTCGAACCTCTTTGCGTAATGGCATCGCAGCCGCCGCTGGAGTAGCGGTTGATAATGTGAAAGTGCTGTCGGTCAGTGTGGCGAGTGGGCGTTTGAGAGGACTCACCGAAGTGGAGATGTCTGGACTGAAGAACTACATGGATATGGATTTCTCGGATTTGGAATTGATGTCGATGCCAGAATTTCCGCTTGCACTATCTTCTGAAACGGTCACGGCTTCTGCTTCCCGCCACTTGCAGGCTGCCGTCAAAATCGACGTTGACTTCAGTGTCTACGTCGCTTCCGGCCCTAGCTCATCTGATGCTCAGACCACGCAGACTGCCCTCCAAACCCTTACAAGCAGTGCTGTCGCCTCTCAAGTTTCTGTGCCTGCTTCTGTGAGTTCACAACTACTCTCAGTCGATACGGATCCAAATGCCTCCAGTTCGAACACGATCGTGATGACCCCTGTTGCCAGTGCGAGCGATTTTCCGCTCTCAGGCAACGGCCCGCATCACCTTTTTCCGACTGTTGTGGTTGACTTGGCTCAATCAACAAGTGGCGCTTTCAACTTGAACAATCAATTGGCCAGCATTTTCGCCAGCTTGATGACCAGGAGAAATATGCAAGGTGTTTTGACTGTGGCTAACAAAGACAACAGTGCATCTGGTAGTGGATCTTCTGGTTCCTCTGGAACTGGGAGTTCCTCTAGTAGTACAACCACAACGCTATCCCTCGACTGGAGTGAGATTTCTAGTGTCACGTTCGCAACTGTTGCTGATCAGCCAACTGCCACTAGTGGTTTCGAAACCAGGTTTGTAGCTTTGGTTACAACCAGTGTGACCTACGACTCTACTGCGAATGGACCAGCGATGTTGCGGAAAGCCGTGGAATTGTCAGAGTTGCTACTGATTCCGCCATTTCAGGCATTGTGTGATGTGTTTGAATTGCCGGTTGTTGGGGTCACATCTTCTTCTCCTGGAACGGCAAGCTCAACCTCTACTGCTTCAGGAGGTATGGATAACACTGTTGGAACACTTCGGTCCGGCACAACAGCAGGAATAACTGTTCCCGACCGTAGTTTTGGTGCAGTCACGGAAATTCTAGCAACTTCAAGTGCCTCGTCACAAACTCCTGTGTTGCAGTTTGAAACCGCGTTTTCTGCGAAAGTTCTAGACTACACCGCTTTCCGTCAGGAAGTTTTACGCCAATTTGCGGCCTCTGCGCAAGCGGACAGTAATACAGCTGATTTTGGTGGTACCTACGAGAAATCTGAGGACACGGACATGAGTGGTTTTCCGCGTTGGGCGATTGTAGTGATCGCAGGAATCGCAGTCGTGGCATTAGGTGTGGGGCTTTGCTATGGTCCGGACATCATTCGCAGTATGAAGAAACCGGGTGCAGCATCTTCTTCGCCTAAAAAGCCCAATAACTCCAAGGGGCAAGAGTTCTCATCCCCATCACCAGGGGGTGAAAAAATGTCTTCCAGGATGGACGACTACAACCTTGCTACGGGTGAGCACGCTTACTCAACTTCTATCGACGATGAAGCAGTTGCCATGACTTTGAACAGCAAGGCTAATGAAGGAAAGAAAAAGAAGAAATCTTCGTCTTCTAGCGGCTCGGCATCAGTGTCTTCAATTTCAGCAAGTGATATGGGCCACAGCAGTCACTCGTCTGCTAGTGCTGCGATCGAAAAAGCGAAGAAGAAGAAAAAAACCAAGTCACAATCTAGTACAGATAGCTTTATGTGACATCAGCAGGGAGGTGTTGAGCATGGATAATTCATGATCAATGAAACTTATATCTAGGTAGATTTTATTACTACTCGCGCTAGCAGAGGTAGAGCCTTCTTTCAAAGAAGGACTCTCCTGCTCCTCCACGCATAACCGCCTTGCGCCTCTGAAGCAAGAATATTTGACGTGTGAAGTTGCAAAACAAATATTCACAATTGCATGCAAGGCTTACAGATACAGTTGCGGGCCTCAGAGGTGAATCGCAAAACGCATCAAGGAATGGGTCGTTGTCGCCCTTATAGTACAAGAGTTTCCTAAGCTGTGTATGTGTTTCAATTTCTCGTGAGAGAAGGCGCAGCTCATGCTAGTTATCGACCGCGATCGGTTTTGAATTCGGCGATAGAGCGAGTGCAGTCGTGTAAGGTCTAGTTACAACGGAGAGGGAACTCAATCTGACCACTACATTGCTACCTCGACGCCCTAGTCGTCATCTGTGTCGTTGCCTCGGTGACGGTCAATCGCAATGTCGTTCAATACCTCTGTTGATCTCAAAGCCAACTGAATACACCTCGTCCACTACTTCCAACTTTGAGCCCGTGCTTGAAGTCAATGCTTTTTCAAGTCTAATGTTCTGATCCTATCTGAAATATGGCGAGCAGACAGAACAAACAAAATTATAACATCATCATCAAGCATTGATACCCAATCCCAAACCACAACAGTAGGGAGTAAGTAGCAACTTGTTGGTAAAAGTTTGTGACAGACAAAAACGAAAAGACAAAATGACGGATTTTCGACAAGGAGTATTGATTCACAACTTCAATGAAGACAATTTCGGTCGGGAGCTTGTCGACAAGGGTAAGCTCAACTTCCCAACACCGGAATCCATCACTCACTCAGCGTATCAAGACCCGCGACTTGTGATGTCATATCACAAGCAACAGGGATTTGATTCTGTTATGGACTGACAGATAGCTTATCTAGTAAATAATTGAGATAGCTTTACAAAATAGCAACTTGGACGAAACTTGGATGAACACCTATACATAGCTTATTTAGTAAATAATTGTTGGATGAACAACTACATGATGGACTGACAGATAGCTTATTATTGGATGAACATGTACTTAGATGTACCTCTTTAAAGATGTCAAGAATGTCAATCTCTACTATACGACCTCTTAGATACTGCGCTCTACCAGTTTACACCCCTCGAGTGGGTACATCAATCAATCAATCAAGGAATCAGTCAGTCAGTCAATCAATCAAGCAATCAGTCAGTCGATCACTCAAGTACATACAACTCTCAAGTACATACTAGAAGTATAATTGAGCAGTCAACATATCTTCCTGTGTACGTGTAGTTCCTCAATTTCCGTCGTCCTAGACCTTATCATCCTCGTCAACATTCTCCTTACAACAGTACTTCTATTAGAGGCAGAAGAATAAGGAACATCTAAAGCCCGATACAACTCAAGCGTGGGCTCAGGCTCCGATGTTGAGTCTATTCGTGCAAGTGGAGAGAAACCGGTCTATCATGCAGGCGGAATGGAAGCATCGCTGTTGTTCGGACACAGTGGTGATGTGCGGACAACAAGGGTTATGAGTCGGAAAGAATTTAGTCTCTAATAGAGGAACGAAAAACTAAGGGGATACTCAGAAGCATCTTGTTCCTTCCGTTTTCTTTAAAGGGAACTAGCGGGAGCCCAAGATGCTGCTGAGGATGGATTTACGTTACTCCTAATATGAGTTGGAAAGAACTTAGCAGAAACGTAGCCACGGTCTCACGTTTGTTTCTCTTAGTACTTCACCAATCTTTCTAGGAAATTCTAAGAAAGGCCTCCGTCAAAAAGCTTACATCACGAGCGCGCAGTATTTTTACCAGGATCCGGAGACGGCTAAGGGGAGCCTGAAAAACCCATATCACTGCGAGAAGTTCTATGAGGGATCGCATCCGATCGAGGTAATTTCAGGCTGGGTTCTAGTACCGGAGCTTCATTGTCATGATTGATTCACTCAACTTCATCTGAACAATTCTTATGGTACTAGAAATGATTAATCGAAAACTCAAAATAGCCGAGTAGCCAACTGAAATAACAGAGTCATTCTCATTACATTGCTCTTGTTTCAGTATCTCGCTTATTCTAAGTAGTTACTCGCTTATTTCAGTTTATCGAATAATTATAATTATGAAAAAAGACTACATCTTCCTTCTCCACCTCCAGGCTCCACTAGACCTCCTTAAACAGGTGTCCAGACACCTGGCTCCAAGCAAGATCGCTATGTCAACGCGCAAGAACTGGGAAAAGCTGAGAGATCCCTATGTCTCGGTCTACAAGAAGGAGCTGGTAAAAGCGGACCCGACAGAGGGACTCGAAACCAAACGAATCCCGCGAGTCAAAGGCGAATTCACTCAGAAGGTGGATGCGGTGTGTATTAAGCGAACGTACTAGAAGAAGTTGAGGTGAATTATATTATAAGTAGTAAGCAGTGTGATATAGTGATGTGCTTTGAGCTCGTCGGACTCGGGCTGCTCACCTGCTGAAAACAAAATATTTTCGAGATTAAGAAATATGATGAACTGAGCTTTGCTCGTCTTCTGCACCAGAACTTGAAATCGGACGACACATGGAACAACGTATTCTCGAACAAGTATCAGTATGTACAACGTGTTTTTCTTCTAAGTATTTCCCCGCCTAAGAAATCATACAGGACATAGATCTGTAGACGAGCACTGTAGCACTCGAAACTCAATTATCCCAGTATTCCTGTCGAGAACAGCTTTTGAGCTGTGAATGAGCTCTAGAGTCTTGATCTTCGAAATAGGAGATAGTACTTAACCTCTTTCCGGTGAAAACTTGTGATTATTCCCAGTATTCGGTATAGCTAAGTAGAACTTGTCGTGACGATTATGCAAAAGTAGATGAAATTAAATCAAATTGAAATTGCTACGCCAGACGCGGGCTCACTGGTGACCCACAAAATATTGCACCGACGTTGAAAACCTCTTCCTGAAAGTACAAATGAACGACGATTGGCATTGGAACTAGTGCAACTCCTTTATCCATTGCAGGTACAAATTCAATTTCGACGACAGTGTGGCGTTAATGCAAGGACGAGCGTCTTCCTTGAGATACACGTAGCTAGTGTAGTCGTTGTGTTCTATCGTCCGCAGGAAATGTTCACGAGAGGAGATGAAGCAATCATGCACCCTTGTCAAATAGATCAGGATCATTTGCACAAGATCTGACTTGATGGGGGATCGCAGTTCTACTTGCTGAAGGATCGTGATGAAGGTTCTGGCTGAGAAGATCCGACTGATCCCATCTTCGTAAAGCTGTGAGAGAGAGAAGATGAAGAGAGCGAATGGTGTATCTACTAATTTTTATACGCTGACGGAAACAAGATGCTGCGTCCTTCGATGCCCGCCTGGCGGGCCGTAGGTCGACGACGAGGGCGGTTCAACAAGAAAGCCGTGTTGCGGACAGAGGAGGGCAGAGATGACGCGTGGATACCAGGAGCAGATGGGGCTGCAGCCAATGGGCCGGAAAGCAGAGATGATGGTACTTCCACCTCGGCATCTGCATCAACTCCCGCTTCGACATCGACTATACCTGATCAACGCAGCAATTTCAACCGGACTAGAAGATTATCAAGTCGTGGACCGGCGACTCAGGCCTATCAGGAAGTCAGTAGCGAGACGAGGTCCTTGCTTGCTCGTATGACCCCAGATGGATTGGGAAGATATGCGCGTCGCTGTGTACAAGAACAGCGTCGGGACCTCGCTTTGTGGCGCGCTATTTCGCTGAGGGCACAGGAATTCGCGGGAGCAACATTATGTTTCTTGGATTATGTTTTGCATTCCGCTATTTATTACATGGGGATTGTGATGCTGATCGTCTTTTTTTTTGATTGTTTTTTTCGGCTGTCTTGGATGTTGAGTAAGGCTGGCAAGACCATGGAGACATTGACATTGTTGAGTAAACGAATTAAATAACGGGCCAAAAGAATTCTCTTTGACGCCGCGTGATCCCTGCCCCGTATAATCATAATGAGCACAGCCAACTACTACGTGAGGTTGTTGAGGGATTCCGAACCAACTACGTGATTCCCTAACCTAACCCACCCGATATTTCATAAGGATCGTGATGCTGATCTTCATTTATAGAGTTTCAGCTAGGGACCAATTCACGTATCAAGGTACCACTGTGGTCGTGCCAAGAACTCCAGGGAAAGCAAGACCATCCTACTTTTCCCTTTTTCATACCACCCCTCCTCTTGCTCCTCTTCTCGCGGAACACCACCATTGGAACCTGCGCATGTGGCGAATATAGTCTTCAGCTTTGCCCTGTTGAAGTACCGAGATCGACGATTACTGGACGTTTTGGGACAGGAAGCATCTGCGAATCTGGGGCGTTTTGGCACCGCGGATCTTTGTAAGCTGTTGGAGGCGTATCGGATTATGGTGACACACTCTAAGTCTAAATTTCTGAAATAACTTCATTTTCATATCTATGTACTTTAACCTCAGGCATTCTCCTTACTGAGTATGATTATTTAGCGCCTAATACAACTCAGACTCTCGCCGTGATCTTCTCCGCTAATCGTTGACTCGACGTAGAGAAGCCATTACTCCTACGTTTAGCGGCCAGAGAGGTGGCGAAAAGGTCCCATGAGCTGGATGTAGAACGACTAGGACGCACTTTGCAAGTTTTTGCACACTTTTGGGGGAAACAAATGCTGCCTCCGAAGGCTCATCAAGCGAGAGCAAAAAGCAGAACAATAAGAGCTGGCAAAAAAGGGATAGCGAAGTTGAAGAGCAGCGGGAGTGGGTCACTTGCCTCTAGAATGGCAGTTGATGCTAACAAGAAAAGTGGACCGAAGTCTTTATCTACTACTTCTAAGAGCGCGCCGTCAGCACCTAGCACAATAACTACATCCTTCTTAAGTTCTTCTACAACAACTGTGGCAGAGTCCATGCTGAAGGTTCTAGAGGTTTTGAGAAAGCAAATCTCACAGCAAGTCCAGCTAGGATCCAGCGCGCGCAAGGACGTCTTTGCGAGTACGAGAACGAAGGGTGGAGGTGAAGCCTTTAATTTCACGAATCCTTTGCTGGGACAACATTATGAGCCGAGCACGCTTTTTTGCAGTTAAATCTTATCTTGTTTTTAGATGCTCAATTCTGTGAGAGGGGCTGTTGCCAATTTTTCAAAAATGCATTGTGACGCAAGATTCACCACTCTTTCTGCCTTTACCGGCGAACGACCGCGGTAAATCTGTAAGCGGCTTAAAAGATGTAAGTAACCACATTTCTAATCCTTGTTGTGACACATTTCTAATCCAAAGACCGCGCTCGGCGCTCTAACCATGCGCGTTCGATCGTGGCGATCGTCGATGGCCTTGCGCGATTGCGGTATAATGATCCAGATTTGATGTCAGTTCTCGGACAAGAAGTCTGTCGGAACCTATCCTTCTTGACTGCGCCATCTTTGGTCATCTTAGCCGAAGCCTTCAGCCTTTTGCATCTCTACGAGAATCACTTCCTCTGGCGTGTTTTCACCGATGAATTATGGGACAAGCGGAAGGACTTTGGACACCACAACCTGGCGAGACTGCTAGTTGCATTGCATAAATCCCCATTTTACGTGGAAGCGAGGCTGGCGTATGCAGAGAAGGCACAGGTGGGAAGAGGAAACAGGGATGATGCTAGTTGTACCTCCATGCAGCAGATAACCTCAGGAGGGGGAGGAGGCAAGAAGATGAAAAGTCAGTTGCAAGATGGCTTATCCCCCAGACCTCCAGGAGGACTGACTTCGAGTGGAGTATCTGCCAATGTTGGTGCTTTGTTCGAGCATTTTCTGGAAACGTTACCACAGAAACTGCCACACCAACGGAAAAAATGGAGTCCGTATGTCCTGGCGCAGATCTTAAGGACGTATTCAGAATGGGGTCTTGGTGCTGAGCATGGAAGGGTCGCGTTACAAGGGGGCGGAAATGACCAAGACGGACAGGGAGGTGGAGAGCTAGAGGTTGCGCGACAAATTTTCTCATCTGGTCAAAGCCAAGTAGGCGCGAATGATGGAGGAAGCTCTGCGTCTGCAGCTACAGGAGGATTCTCAAGTTCAAGTCGTAGGGACTATAGGATTGACGTGCTGTTTCGGCATATTGGAGACATTTTAGCTCTGCGTGGTCCGAACCTGGATGCGCAGACATTGATGCTTGCGTGTACAAGTTTTGCACAACAGTTAAGACGCGGGTGAAAGTGTTGACTGGTGATGGTGGCAGTGTCTAGTGTGAGCCTGGTCAGTACTAGGTAGTTTTTAGTCTCGTCCTTACAGCTATGATCATGGGCGTTCCACTTGATCTTGGCTGGGACTAAAATCAACAACATTTACAACATATTATTAGACTCACATTGACATTAAAAATGGCAGCAGCAGCACTACTGCACCAGCCTTTTCTAATCACGAATATTCCACATGGCGTTCTGTTTCAAAACGCTCCGAAACTACTGGAACAAAGGCCTGCTTATGCTTCCATATCGCAGACTATACGGATAGCGCATGCTTACGCGCTGCTAGGCATGGCACACGAGAGCCTGTTTGATACTCTGACCGCAAAGTTGGCCTGGCACTATGGCCTAGATGTGGAAAAAGATACTATGATCAAGGCTGGTAGCAATAGTGCTGAATTTTTGAAGCACTTGGAAAAGACAGCAGCTCTGGAGATGTTGGAGGAGGAACAAGAGGACATGGAAGGTGGGAAAACGGAGGCGGAAGACGAGGATAAAAGTTTGAAGGACGACGTTGAGACTTCTTCTGAAGAAACGACGAGCCCCGGCGCATCAGTATCAGAGCTTAGCAGTATTTCCGAAAAGAAGAAGCAAAAATCTTCCACGACCTCCAGAAGTAGAGGCAAAAGAAAGAAGCTATCCCTCCAGTCACTCTTTTGGTGTCTTGACGCGTACATGCGAGTGTCGCGTTCGGAGCCGAAAGTTCTCAAAAAGGTGGCCACAGACTTGGCTAGGAGGGCAGACTTGTATCAAAGCGCGAAGCTTTCCCGTGAGGCACTCTTTCTGGTCAGAAACGTTTTGGCACCTCAAGATTATCCGAAAAGATTGGAAAAGAGACTAGAAGTAACGATTTTGGAACTCGAAGAAGGTGGACGACGGGATAATGCGAGGATGCTGCAGATTCCAGATCATGGAAGTAGTGGTGATAAGAAGAAGGACGCGCTTGTAGAACTGATGGAGGGGAGAGGGTGAGCGTGAGGATTGTATCATGGCTACGGGGAGGACTTTGATAGTGAAGATGAGACCGACGCATCAATTCACTTGTTTATATATAGTTGCGCATCTTCATTTTTGTTTTTTGACAGGACAGGGTACAACCTGATACAGCAGGTGCAACAACTTAGTTCTAGTTGATTTCAAGCAGCCATGGCCTTCAAAACCGAGAGAATACAAAACCGAGAGAATAAAAATTCGCGGCTTAATTTAACTTGCTGCTCGTTGTCGCGTCATGGGAGAGAGCTAAAAACGAAAAAACTGCTGAACAGAATGATGTGTCTGTGTGCCGGATGAGACCAAATCAGGACGAGCGAAAAAGGAAAAAAGACGAATTGCGATCGACTCTAGATGTTGACACTTCCGGGGGGATCTCGAGTTATTATTTTGCAAAATTTTTATTTGCTTGGCTACTCTTTCGATGATTGCCTCTAAAATCGAACTCAAAGGAGCAGATCACCCTATCAACAGAAAAATCAGCCAGAAAAAGTAAACTTCTAGCTCGTCTCATCCAAGTCAAACAAAAAGCAGAGTAGACTGAAACCACCATCCAAGAGAGAAATCAAGATGGGTCATTCCGAACTGGCAGAGGCCTCTGGCCTCAACGATGGCGCTATGCCGATCAGTTGTGCCGTGATGATCATCGGTATCGCCTTCCTCATGAAATGTAGAGAGATTCCAATTCAAGCTTTTGATTATGGCAAAGACCTCTGAGGAAACAGTAACAGCTAGCAGAACAGCTTATAGCACGCATGGCGCATGGAGTGCATGGAGCGCAGATCTCTAACGGACGCTAGAAGCGCTCTCTTTAGCTCCATGCAGCTCCATGGCATGCGAGCTGGCAAACCTTACATATAAATTACTCTGAGCTAGAAGTAGGAGTTGTATACTTACCTCATTCTTAGTCATTGTAGTATCACGATGATGGTGATTTGGTAGGTCAGATCGGAGACAAAGACATGTGACATGGATCTGGTCAGTCATTAACAAATCAATATCGTCCTTTTCCCTCTCGAAGAAAGCACTAAGCCTTCCTCTTCTAATTTTCAATGCCGCATGTGCGAAAGGTGATTGACCTGAACTCCGCTCAGTTTGGAGTTGCAGCAGCCCTTTGCGCGCACATGCTCTTCGTTGTCGGTGTGTTAGCCTGGGGCTTGGGACTCCTCTGCTTAGGTCTCGCATTACGTCTGGTTCCGGAACTTGCAGTATTTTTTCTTTTTTTTGTCGTCGTTTTGAATACTTGTGGTTAAAACTTGTCGTGTGAGGAGTGGAGATGAAGAATAGAGTAGCTGGAAGGATATCTGAAATTGTTCATTCTCTATACCTTTTGCTTTACCTAAAGACAAACTGACACGGTCTCGTTCATACTGACACTGTTATCATTTTGCGCCCATATCAGGTCTTCCCAACCTTCCTGAACTTGTTCGTTTTCCTGGCGTATATGAAGATTTTTCGGCAATCGCCAATGGGCGTGCCAGGCATCACGGGGCCGCCTTTACCCGCCATCATTATCTTAAGGCTAGACAACAAATGTCAGTCCTAATGAATCCATCTTCCAAAATCCAACCCATTTCTGAAAGCATGAAGTAACTTGGTCCCGTTTGTTGTTTCTCGTGGGAAACAAAGCGGGTACCACGATGCTCTTGCTGCAGATGCAGTTGCAGAAGATGGATTGGTGGAAATTCTAATTATTAATGTCACTGTCACGATGTATCTGCTGATTAACCTCATAGTGAACCAGGAGTACCTGTTTGACGCTAGCAAAGCGGAATACGACTTCAAGAATTTTTCGGCGGAAGGTCGTTTCGCTCTGTGTCTCGTTTTGTTATGGTCTTGATGGTCACCCTGGATTCATATCCGATTCCGACTACAACAACAAACTACTAATTGTAATTAATTTATCGACGTCCCTTTTTGTACGATGCTGCATTGTTGTACCTCGCGACTAAGCAGGTCGATTCCAACTGTCCTCTACTACTGGTACTAGAACTAGAAGTGCGAGCTACTAGAAAAAGATGATAGACGTAAGTATCGAACTTGTACTATTCAACTTTTTCCTCTAATCCTCGCCTTCTTCCCCCAATTGGCTGGTTTCAAGCACCGTCGGGACCCAAATTGGCAAATTTCGTATCCAGTCGAGCGTCTCGCTTCACTTCCTGCAGATACGGGTGACTACTGAGAATTGTAAAGGGAACTGGTGCAGATGCGGGTGATTATTCAGAGAGTTGTAGAGGGTGAAGGTAGAAGAGGGGAGAGGCGAGACTTTTCATCTTCTCCCCGAATCGATTACTAACTTAAGTCAACATCATAGTCGTTTGATGAGTCATATCGCCCCTGAGATGTTTATCATCCTGGGGTCTGTAAAGACAACAGGTTATGGCACTCATATTTCCCTGGTCACGTGCTGTTTGTGAGGCCTTCCGCGGGTTCCTCTCTACAGAATGCTTGCGTGCGTGGATGCCGTACGTGTAAGCAATAACATGAACGTGCCACTTCAAGAGCAGCGACAGGACCTACGTCTTGATCTTGAACTTTCAAAGAAATAGCAATACAAATAGTACAACAGGATAAAGAAAAAGATCATATTCATATCACGGATTTTGATATTTCACAATCAATCTTAGAGCTGTTACGTCACGTCACCGACGAGCGTGGGTACAGTAAATTCAAATCTCAGAAAGGAAGCCACGCCACCGTGGAAAGCTTCCTCCTGTCGCAAAGAAATGCTGGGTAAGCACTCTTAGTCATGAGTCCCGTCTTGTCAGCTGCTGGTGGAGTTTTCGGCACCACTAACGCCGCACATTTTTCAGGCAATATTAAGAAAGCATCTATGTATGGTGTTCCAAGTCTGAACAAACGAGAGTAATTACGAGAACCGAAGTGAAATCAAAACAAAACTTTCTGTCAAGGATCTCTGTAGTTGTGCGGGTTGTCTTAGCCAGACAACGGAGGTGCATTTATACTTCTTGTTGGCCACAAGTTGTATAGCATCGGGATGTGTTGCTGCACCCGAGGGCGCTCATTTGTCAGGCAATATTAAGAGAGCAGATCAAGAAGATCGAGAAGCAAGTTCTACTAGATCAATGTCGGATCTTATTTTTGAAATCAACCTCATGATCACAACACAAGATCAAAATTCCTCAAAAGAGAATGATCAAGAAAAGATCTGGAGCAATAAAAATTTGACGAGATGATCAAGATTTCCAGGAGAAAGCATCGAAAGACGCTCTCTCAAGACGATCAAGAAAAACGAGAGAGAAGATCCAGCCATAGATTATTGAGATCATGACTCGGATCCTGTACCTGTTCATAAATGTGGAAAAATTTAGATCATGAAAAATGATATGGATCCTATTCATAAATAGCGGACGAGGGCTTATGCTTATCATGCTCATGATCCTATTCATACATAAAAGTGCTGTTCAAGAATAGCGGAGGACTGCTTTGAAATTCGAAAATTCTATCAGTCGCAGTCAGGTGTTTGTGTTTCGCTGCTTTTACTTAATCTTAAAGTTTTGACTTGTTTTCCGTATTTTGACTTGTTTTGACTTGTTTCGCTGTTTTGGCTTGTTTTGGTTCCCTTTCGTCCATCAAAGGATAAGAAGAGCTTCACAACTGAAGTACTCTTCCCTCCTTTTCAACAACTACTACATCAACTGCCACAGATCTTCTTCTATGTTGATTGCTACCTATTTTTAATAGGAATAAAAGTACTTGTCCTTCTTCTACCGCTTCTACATCATCTCCTTCTAGAATAGGAACTCTCACCTACCTGATCTTCTTCTAGGAAAGGTTGAACTCATTTGGATTGCTGCATTTCCTAATCTGATCCACTTGAATGAAGATCTTTTAACTTCTAGCTAAGACAGCTAACGCTAACCCACGACCTCCTCTTGCAATCTATTGCTATTACTTAACAAGAACTTCATGGAGAACTAATAAATAGATACTTGTACTTCTAGATCTAGAGGATGTCCGAGCTCGAAGATAAACCTGCATGTGATCTAAAGAAAAACGCTCAGAATTAACAGAGAAGCAAAGAGCCAATAATTCGACAAAAAAATATCAAAAAAAGGCCTAAGGAACCCTAAGCCCTAATTACTAACTAGAAGTACCATGATGAAGATGTTTAGAGGATCTGCATTGCTACTTGTGGCCATTATCGGTCAGCCACAGGAGGTGCGTGGTGCTAATGTTGAGTTTATTAATCATTATCAGTATGTCCAATACACGTGTACTCTTCAACATACAAGACCTGGAGAGTTTTTCAAGCAAGATGCACTTGACGTGCAAGGGCTGACGTCAAGAACGTCATCGAGGCCGAAGCCAGGAGCTCTTACTGCAATGGGGCTTACCTTGGATTCCTCTCAACTGCCGAAGAAATTACCAGGGGGTGACGAGTATTACCTGCGGGTGAAGAGCTACAAAGACCCAAGGGATGGATCTCACGTTCATGTCGCCGTTGCCGGGTCGCCTGGTGCAAGTGCTCTTGAGACGTATGCGAGAGAATTTGAAACTCCGAGCAGTACCAGAACGGGCGAATATGAAGCCGATATCTTGCTTCATTCCATCAATGGTAAAAATCCGCTTTATGATCCGGACATCTATTTTCCATTTTCATCACGAGAAGGCCAGACGGAGGAGGTGGATGAGTACATGAAGACGGTGGATCATAAACTACAGTTTTTCAACGATCTACTTCCGAAAATAGATCAGATGAATATACCAGACAAGATTTTCGTAAACCTATTGGTAGTCGTCAAGAAGGACGTCATCGTTCCAGTGCATCAGGAGGCGACGAACACAGCAGGAGGCGACGCGGTGGAGGAGGCGACGACGAACGCAGGAGTCGTCGCTGCGGAATCAGCAGTGAGGACTCAGCAAACCCTTTCAACGTCTTTCCGACCTTATTTAGGTCCTCGTGGAGCAGTGGATGATCCATCCCCATCGGCATCGGAGGTGCGACCAGAACAACAACAAAGACAAACAGAATCATCCTCACCAGCTGCAGGAGCAGGAGAAGTAGGCGGAGTAACAATTACGGGTGGAGGAGTAGCAACGTCCTCGGGTGGTCGTGCTCCACCAGCAGGAAAAAAGAGCCTGCTGCACGACGTCGTAAAGGCATTTCCCATTGATCCAGCACAAGTAAAAGGTCAAGGCGTTGATGACAGAATTACTACAGCAGCCCCAGCTCCGGACTCTCCTCCAGCAGGATCTACCGCCTCGAGGCGTGCTGGAACACAAGTATCAGCAGGACCAGGACCCTTGACCTTGGGGAATTCACAACCACATCTTCCAGCACATAGTACACAACCAGGATCATTACAAGGTCATAGTATTACAGAAGCGTCGGGACCCTTGAGGATTGTCACGGGATCGTCTGGCACCCGCAGTCACCATTGGTGGTGGCACACGCCAGACGGCAGGATGCAAATTCACCAGAATATTTTGAATAATATGAACAACAAAGAGGTACCAGAGAATCAGCACTGGAAAACCCCTCTACGTGGCAGGGTGGAAAACACCCGAACTCGTGAACAAGGAGAAGAGGAACGCGAGAAATACGAGGGGAGGACCACAATTATCGCGGTGGACGCTTCGCATATGCCGAGTAGGAGTAACTACGGACAAGTTGCCGCTTTTGTCGCCCATGCGCCTTCTGCTGCTACAACTGGTACTGCGGCGTCTGGTGAACTATTACCTCTTCGTCAGGGAATAGCGGGGCACTTGAAGATTCCGAACTATGACAGCTATAATGACGCCCCATGGACAAAGGTGAAGATGCACAAAAATGTCAATGGAGGTGATGTGAGCTGGAAATGGGAGAAGGCGTATACCGCATGGGATAAGGGCATTCAAAAAGTACTGAACCTTCCCGAAACAGACGCGCGTGGTGAGATGAAGAATTACTTTGGTTTTTCGACCTGGTGCGAGTTGACAGGTTTGCTTTCGGCGCTGCAACTGAATATCGAATCTGACCTAGTGCTCGCCACGGATCAGATGTACCCTCTGCAAGTTCTAGACCGTTTTGTCGTACCCAGTCTTGTGAGAGCGCTGCTCACTCGTACCGTTTATACTGTGTACAAGAACTACATCTACAGGACACAGGAAAATCAGGAGCTACTGCAGAGTCAGCAGGTGCAAGCAAACCCTTTCGCAACGATGGCCGCGGACGGGCAGAAGGAACAGAGGACGAAGAAAATGGAAAAAGACCTCGAGGAGAAGAGAAAGCAGATCGAAAAAAACGTCAGCAATTTGTTTGATAAAATGGAAACCGACACTCTGGGACTGGGTTCGGCTTCGGCTGGTTTGGCATATAAACCACTGCCGCGTGCTGCCTGGGATATCTTCCGGGAACTCCTGCAGGTTCACAAAATCGATAAAGCAACGCCACACGAGATCCAGACCTCCGAGACGCCTACGATTACAGCAGAAGCAGAGGAAATTAAGGAAAGATTGTTCGTGGGCCTCGGAGTACCACCAGGATTCTCAAGAACATTGATGAAAGAATTGCTCATCGACGTGCTCAAGGTGCAGGATGCCATGCCACATCGAGATGCTGCTCCACATCGAGAGCAGTCCGCGCAGTGGTCGGTGTCCGACCTCGAAGAAAAAGATAGCCGTGTCTTTACCGCCTTAACAGTTGCTCCTCCGAGTACATCTTTATCTTCTTCTACGTCAACCTCATCTACTACTGCGCTGCTGAAGAATCTGCTAGCTCCCTTATTGGATGAGATCATTGATTCCGCTATCGCTTCTCACACGTCGAACGAGCAGGACGTGAGTCAGAATGTCTACTTACCTCGGCGTTTGTACGCGATTGGCGCATTACTTGTAGAGCGAGCGCTGATCTTACCAGCACTAAAACCTTCCACACGACTACTGCAGACCGAGTTGATCTTTCAAAGCGGCCATAAGGATGACCAAGGTAAAAGACACGAAACGATGCAGTGGAACATGGTGCTCCAAAATGCTGATAGAGCATTTTCATCAGTTGCTTCTTCCGCGAATTCGAATGCAGCCAGCACTCCTGATAGAAGAAGAAGTCCTTCCCCTCCGCTAGAAGCGGCCTTCGCGCGCGTAGAAGCAGGACGCCTGCTTCAGCAAGCTTCGACTGGTGTAGTAGCTGAAGGAGACTTCGTAAAGGTGGAACACGAACATGGAGAGGTGGTCACACAGGAAGGCGCTCAAAACGACGTACATGCACCACGAGCACATCAAACAGATGCTCCTGTTGAAGAAGCGGGTTCGAGCTCCGACGCAGTTGACTTGTTCACCGGTTTCTGTTTTGTCGACAAAATAGTGCGGTTTTTGTCCTATTTTGCGGATAACAACACGTCGAGGTTGGGCAAGGATCGGAAGTTTGAAAAGGATGCTCTTGTTCCTTACCAAGAATATAAATGGCAAATAGATGGTGTTGATTCGTGGACTTCTAATGAGCATTATCATGGGCACTTACCTCATTTCGATGCTTCGTGGAGATTCCAGGTGAAAGAGCGAGATGACAGGAAAACTCGCACGGCTCAAGCTACTGATGCACCAGGAGTCTCCTCCTCATCAACATCTCTCACCAAGAAGCAGATTGTGGAAACTGTCGCCAATTTGTATTATGCTGCTGCAGGCGCAGTAGAAGCAAAAAAATGGCTAGGAGAGGAGATCCACATCTTCCAGCTTCCTAAGGCCTTGTTGTATAATTCTCAAGTGCGGAAGCTACATCCGGTGGCGATCTTCGAGTCGCTTGTTGTTGCGGATCGCATCAACAAAGATAACGTCGTTGCACCAGTAGGCGGCATTCCTTTTTTGGAGCAATTCGATCGTCCACAAGATGTCGAACAGCGTCTTCGACAAGCAGGAATGGTATTGGCAGAGGTGGAAGCATGGTCAACGAGTTCTGGAACGACTCCGGAAACTTTGAAGACGCAGAGTTGGAGTTCTTCTTTTGGAGATTGCACACTCCTCATGAATTTCTCTTCCGAAGCTGTACTCGAGACGGCGCACGCTGCAAACGTGGAGCGTGCCGAGGCCCGAGGCAGAACGGTTGCTCCAATAGAATCCTTGGCAGCCTGGATAAAAAAGAATAACGATGACCTCTTCGTCTGCAGGAAAAAGAAGTCGCTCGTTGACTCGGTTGGTCGAGAGGTTGCAGCTCGGGAAGGTGGAGATGGTGGGGAAGTATGCGAAGGGGAATGGATTTCTGTTTCATAATTGTTCACTCAGGCGGTGGAAAGAGCCAGACCGAAAACATGCAGAAGGTGCTGGGCAAGGCCAGGACTAAAAGATCGTCCACATCTGGGAGACAACTTTATTTCTATAATTGTTCAGTCCAAGAACAACTGTCCAAGCTTCTTCTCAGCTACTTGTAGCTCCAAGGAAGGAGTACCTACTCAGTCATAATGGGGGAAGGCGTTATTAAACTCCCCAACACACCAGGCTACTCCTCATCGATTTCAATACACCCCATGATATTGCCGTTGAGATGATCATGCATGAGTTAACTGTGTGTTGTAACCCTATGTATAAGTTTAGAAGTATAATGGTTTTGACCTAGCAGGAAGGCCAAAGATTTTTAAGTCTTTTATTAAACAAAAAGGATGAGGATCGCGCAGAATGAGTGGCTGTTTGTTTTCAGCTTCTCCATACCTAATAACTTGTTGCAGCCCGCCCATCATGATCAACTGGCCTGAGAAATTGTATTATATTTGCTCTCTGGATTATTATAAAAGACTGCTGGAGGTCGAGGTTATCATGAAGGACCATAAAAACAATGAAACTCATCTAAGTTGTTCTAACTTTCAAGATGAGACATCACAGGTGGCGAGAAAAGTGGTATGTTGGTCATCGTAATTTTATTTACTGAACAGGAACAGGATACTCGATGAATAGCCAAAATAAAGTACTTAACGAAAACAATAAGTGAGTATCTGAGATGGAGATTACTCTCTGGGATACTTGGTTCTTCTTCTTTCAGTTTTTCGTTTAACAGGAATAGGCAATGCATGTACAGCCACACACTTCTCAGGAGCAGGATAGGGATATGCAGCATGTACTAAGTAGGAGAAGTAGGAATGTAGAACCACACTGTCGCTGTACTAGTCGTGAAGGTGATCCTTTCCTACATTTTTATAGGCTGGATGAAGGAAACGCCCACTATTTTTTTTTAGGTAGGACCAGGAAACCTTGTACAGCGCATCACCCCGAACGAGGGATGTTGATGTTCTTCATTGAAGATAACAACTCTCGTTCACGCTACTTTAATCTATCAATCACATTTGACGTGAGGAGGCAGACTGAACAGAAGAAGAACCAAGATGCACTTGCGGGTATGCCTTAGAAAGGGCGGGTATGCCTTAGAAAGGCTGTATCCATGATTCCATGGAAAGTCCCCGATGTTTGATGTTCTTTGCTGACGTGTCGCCAGAAGAGCCTACAGAGTTCTACTTTCATTTCTTCAGTGAAAAACTGAGCAGTTATACCCTTACCGAGAGTTGTGGAGATGGCCAAGAAGACCGCTCCATCAGGTGGACATGTATTCGTGTCGGTCCGTCTTCATCTGTAGTTGTAAGACAGAAGAAGTTGGGTCTCCTGTCTTTATGTCGATGTTGTTATCCATAAAACAAGTTGTTGTAGCAACCGTCAAGGGCACATGCAGAGAAATGCTGAGGAGTACTTATGTTAATATCTCGTCTAAGTACAAGTATAAGTGAGTATGAGTCGCTGTTTGTCCTGCAGATGCGGTTCTCGTTTTACGCATGGGACAGAAAATTAGACGGGAAAATTAAAATTTTTCGTATATGTTCCAGGGCTCAGGGCTACGGTACCCAGTTGAAGCGTGATCATTGAATGTTACAGATGATCTCCTCCTCCCCGTCGATGGTGGGAGGTGTTTAAAGGTTCTTGAACCACACTTCCCTGCGTGCCTGCTCGTCTCAGGGAAGTATTTTGAAGAACAAGCTGAAGTTTAATATTGTCACAGAGAAAAGAGCAGGCGTTCGTTTATGCATCGCCTGTTCTTGTTTGAGCAGGAATATGCAGTTCTATTTCCCCTCATCCCCAGGCGCAGGTGCCAGTTCCAAGATTTCCAACACCGCCTTTGCGAGAAACTCAAAATCTGATACGTCATTGTACATCGCGGCTGACACGCGCACCCACCACTGATCCTCTTTCCCATCATTGAGAGCCGCATATGGCACCCATGTCCCATAGTCATCGCGCAATCGACGGCCTAAATTGTAATCACGAGGGTCGACCATGTTGTCCTCTTCTTGATGGTCGCTTACGTTTTGGTTGTTGTTCTCCTTTGAAGGAGTGGTAGTAGTAGCACTAAAGAACTTCTTCCTCGACCAGGGTAAGCGCACATTGAACAAACAGCCAATTTGTTCTTCATCTAGTATCCTGGTATCCTCAATCCTCGGTATCGTCTCCGTTTTCCATGCCTTCTTCAGAATCTTCAACCCCTCTATTGCCAAGTTGTGTTGATACAGTCTGATTTCGTGTTCAGAACGATTCAATACTTGACGTCTCCAGTGTACTGCAGCTGATAAAGCCGCAAAGGGTGTAGGATCACAAGTGCCGCGCCATGAAAATTCGCGCTGTAGTGGAAAATGTTCTTTGTCAAAGACAGGAATTGCGTCAGCTGCAATAGGATCCTGAAGCTGTAGTTCCTGCGACAGCATAGTAGGAGACACGCAGAGCAAGGCACATGATCTAGGCGTAGAGAGCCACTTGTGTGCGTTGCAGAAGTAGAAATCGATGTCAGATGTTGAAGGTGAGTATCGTATTGTGTCTGTTATTGTAGGTGTTGATGTTGTTGTAGATGTATTAAAGCTCAGCCTTCGATGGTCACTGACTCTGAACGGAAGGGACCCCCTTCAAAGCTCTCCCCTTTCCCTTCGTTTTCCCCTGTTCTCTCAAGGGGTCGCCTCTTCGATCTCAGTGACCAACCCCCATGACCATTGAAAGCTGAGCCTTAAATGTAGTAGTTTCAGTTGTTGCTACAACACCAGTTGTACTGACGTCCTCGTCACTGATCTTCAACAACCTTCCTAAGTCTAAGTCCACCATCCCAGGTGCATGTGCCCCGTCTATCATGACGAAATCCACGCCGAATTCTTTTTTGCACATTTTTGCTAGTTCCTGAATCGGCAGAACGATAGATGGGAAACAACTAACGTGATCGAAGTTGGCTAGTCTGATGCGTATCCTTTTTCTGCGTGCACGCTCTAAGACGGTGCGGGTGGCTTGCAGAATGCGGTGCTTTAACGGTGCACCGATGAAGTATCGTTTCAGCGGTGAATTTGATCTCTCTTCTCCCTCTGCAAGCTGTCCAGAAACCCACCTTTGTTGCGAACGCATCACTAGACCCTCTTCTACCTCACTGCACTCCTGCAAAAGCAATCGCGTCAAAGGTACGACATGATGACACGACTTTTTTGGCGTCATGCGTTCAAACGTTTCACGCAACGAACCATAGATGAGATCAAAATAGAGGACATGATGATCCTCGTTGTGCTGTGCTGCTTCCTTGTTGTTCTTCTTTGACTCCCTCTCCTCCCTTGACAAGATCAATTTGATCAGGGGATGATGATGACTATAATTGTTCTGCACTAACTCCTGGGTCTCGACGAAGATGTCCGCTGACTTATTTAACACGTGGTTTGAAGATGTCAGTATCGTCTTGATCACCGCATTGGCAGCATGCGTTGCGTTCAGGACAAGCGTTGCGTGCTTCAAATGATGCTCCGTTGTTAAGCCTATAACAGATCCGAAGGCTTGTAGACCGTCTTTTATCCACGCAGAGATGTGGTGCTCGCCAGGGGGTTCAGGAGTCTCTTCATCCTCATCCTCTTCACCAAAAGTGAAACGTCGTTCGCCCTTGCCCCCACGAAGACTAGGCGGAGCATCGAACGGATAGCGAAACACCGACTCCGGATTGCTCTCTAAAATCTGTTTCTTCTCTGACTGAGCTTTCTGAACGTAAACAGGCACAGCACCCCAGGACCCGTGATTCAAATTACGATAGGCGGGTGGAAAACTGTACTCGGAAAGAAGAGCATGGCCAAAGTTTAGAGGTTTGCTTTTGTCGTCTTCCAGTTGATTTTTTGAGTTGGCATGGCCACTAGCACTAGCGGAAGCCGGTGATGCAGACGAAGACTTGCCTACTCCCATGTCTAGATGCTTCAAACTCAGTATAGATTCAAAAATCTTTCTCCATTGAAAATCGACTTCTAGAGGATACCAGGGAATAGAAATTAGTCCTAGTGGAGTTTATCTTTTCAATCAGATTGATAGGTTGAGATCGCCTATCGAGCAAGCATGCAAATGCATGGCTACTACAGTTTTCTACTAATTTTTTCTGCTACTCCAAGGCGGTGACCGATGCAAAGCGTTTTCTGACAGAGATGGGTGAATCAAGGTGAAGGACCGAAGTCACACCTAACAGATTATCCTTGGTGTACGCCTCGTAATGTTCCAGTTTTACACTCGCTGTCGCAGCTGATCACCAGGTTTTACACTTACTGTACACAAACAAGAGATGCGCTCCGTCTACGGATAGATCTTTCTCTCTCTCGTCTCTCTCACCTTCCAGGACTTAGTCGACTTACTAGATTCCATCATGAACACGTGAACCACAACCAGATGCAGATACAACTTTTGTGTCTTCAGATTGAAATCTTTCGTGCAGAGCACTATACTCTAGGGAAAAGTAATAAGGTGTTGTTTTGGGTTTGGTTCGGGGGCGGGGGGGGAAAGTGATGGGACATATCTCGCAGCTGCACAAAAATCGGCACAACTATGTCCCTCGCATACCCTGAGGCAGATCTTGCGGCCTTGCAATAGGAACTATGTCATTTTGACTAACCTTCAATTCGTCTCCCCGGAAAATGAAGCCGTTCATCGCTTGTACAGCCTGAGAGGCGTTGGCGCCAGTTCTGTAGACGACTTCCATCCCATCGAGTCTCGTGATAATCTGCTCTATATCACCGTACTTAACGAACATACGGTGGATCTGTGATGTGGGGGTGAGAGGATGATGCTTATTAACGATTGATGACGCAGGACGCAGTAGATGTAGTTTCAAATTATATTTATTGCCATTCACCGACAGTGACAGATGCTATGACTGAGTAGAATAAATCTAATTTAGATTAATGACCTCCAGGTAACAAAAACAAAAAAAAATGATCAAGCAGATAAAAGCAGTACATCCTCCTTATTCACTTGCTGCAAGTTTGCGAAACCGGTCACGCGACACATCCGACTCTTCTCGCCTCCACCCTGCTCACCGAATACTTGTCTTTTCGGTCGGTGCGCCATTTCTTCTTTGATCTCGAGACTTGGACGAATTTTCACTTCTGATCCCGCAATTACCGGATTCCCTAACCCGCTTACTGCTTTATCCATCGCTTTTTGTTCGGCGAATTGGACACAAGCTATCGTCAGATTTCCAGGCACGAACTTGATATCCACTACGCGGCCACACTTGTCGTTGAAAAACTGAAACAAGTCCTCCATCTGCGCATGCTTTGGTACATTACTGACCACTGCCGTGAGTTCGAATTTTGATCTAGAGGAGCCGCCTGTTGCGGACCTATCTCCTGTTGAGAAGAGTTGGCGATGTTGGTTCTGTTGATGTCCGTGATGTGGCGGGCCTCCTGGTAAGGGGGCTGGACCAGGGCCGTAGGGGAAGCCCCCTCTTGAACTGGAACTGGGAGGTGCAGCGGCTGGAGGTGGTTGCAGGATTTTTGGGTCTACTCGCCTTCTTTTTTGACCAGCACCACTCTTTTTGAGGCCGCCTTCAAACATAAGTTTCTCCAAGTCGAAAAACGACAGGTCACCACCATTGAGGAACTTCATTTTTTTTTCGCTTTTGCTTAAGTATCCGAAAGTAGTGCGATTTCTTGTTGTACTTGATGTTAAAGTGGAAGGTGTGACCACTTGTCATACGCACAGTCAAGCATCAACTTCTTCTAGTATACTGACTCCTGGTACTTACAACATGATCTCGCAGTAAAAGAGTGCCTGCATCAAAATTGATTGACGAAGTGTAGCTTCAAAATTTTTCAAGGACAATCAAGACACAAGATGATCTTCTTGAGCATGAAGATCGTGATCAGTATGTGGCTGTCTGCCGATTCAGATTGACAATCGTTGCTGAGTAGTTGCGCCCGAGATAGAAGAATACACGACAATCATCATTCAGGTCATTGAAATGGCATCTCAGAGTCATGTGCCTGTTGATGCTCAATGGAATTCGTCTAAAAGTTTGTTTGAGACTTTGCGGGTCGTATTGAACCATTGCAATGTTGACCACCATGGCGTCTATGCCACAGTCACTTTTGTTGAAATTGAGAAATGATACCGAAAGGAAAGAGATCAGAGTAAAAAGTGACTTGCACGAGTACTTAATTTCAAAAAAGGAAGATCAAAATGCCATTCCCAACTTTGGTTTGCTGTCATCAGATAACCACATTCGGATCCCTCAACTCCTGAAAGGAAAAGACCTGATCCGAGGGCCACATTTCCGATCGTCTGTCTTCAGGAACGTCGCGTTGGGGAAGATCACAAGGTGCATGCTTGTGATGCTCAGGCCGTCTAAGACGAAAAATGCGTACTGTGTCGAAGTACGCCAAGCAGAGCGTTTTGACATCGTTCAGGAAAAGATGTCGAGGTCGGACGACGTAGGTTAGATTGTGTGCCTCGAAGCGCACTAGCTCTTCTAGGTTGTTGTTGTTGTTTTCGGGATTGGAAGTGGCGAAGATAGCGCGTGCAGCTGGAGTAATGGCTGAGGGCGAAGTAGAAGAAGACGCTTCATCGTCGATAAGAGGCCCCTGCGGTATTGAACCCTGCTCGTCGAGCTGCAAAGTATTCCGGATTGCCTGAGGTAGAAACTGCAAATCCCCAGAGGAAAGTACACTGATAGTCCTCGCAGCCGCGTGAGTTCCTTGTAGGCTTTCAAATCCTCGATCTTTCAAGTCCTCGATTTTTTTCAGCCGTTCTCCGAATTCATCTTCAAATGCAGTCAAAATGAGCTCTACAGGTGTACTCAGAGGCGCAGCCAGCATGAACGGAAATGAAGTTGCTTGCCAGCTAGTCTTGTCCGCTACTTGTATCTGCCAAAGGCTGGAAACCTGAGTGTCAGGCCAAGAAGTTGAAGCAGAGGCTTCGATCCAATGAACGACGCCGTCGAGAGAGATTTTTTTGGTTTCGTCCTCGTTAATGTTTATGTCCTTGTCCTTTTGAGATGCGTCTGTACCCCCAGCGATGTCCTTCCGTGGCCCATTCCTCAACATCTGCGGTACACTCAAGTGACTGCTACGCCGCACAAAGATGATGTCCACCCATCCGTAGTATACCGCATCGTAACCAAAGGCATAGCAGAGGTCTATCAAAGCTTGCACGCTGCTTCCTACACTTTCGACCCACAAAGCTGCTGACATACCGCGTTGGAAGAGATGAGTACTTCTGCTGGGTTTACTTGTTGTGCCAGGAGAAGACCCTGAAGATGACTCTCCTGGTGTTGTGGGACCAGCACTAGTAGTGCTCTTTGCATACCTCCTTTGATCCATTCCAAAAACGTCGTAACGCTCAACCACAAGGACTCTTGGGCGATAACCAGCTAACAAAATTGCCCTTAGGAAATGCCAGTCGCGACCATCCACGTCGATGGATAACAGGTCAAACTCGTAGGGTATAGGCACTGCTACTGAGGGGAGGTCGGTGATGTCGACTTCTTGTACGTTGCTGTCCTCCGGTAGTGTTCTTAAGTTGCCTGATGCTTGTAGTACTGCTTTCTTTGCTAGTTTTCCACTGTTTTCCGCAACAGAAGTGTCATCACTACTACTACCACCTCTCCCAACGGCTCGCAAAATCTCCACTAAATTTGTCTCATCTATCAGCTGCAACTCCAACCCAATTCCTCGATGCTCGTGCAAGACGTCGAGCATTACCCCGTCCCAACCTCTCACTGTCCTCCAGTATCGCGTATTGCACTCGTGACCGCTACCAACCCCAATCTCCACGAAGATCCTATTCGTAGCGCCAATGTTGTCGAAGATACGCGCTAGGATGGAGTCTTGTTATTAGAGCAAGGAATAGAAGATGAAGCCAAGACTGCATCAACATATTTCCCCAATCCGGTATCACTGTTCAGAGTATATGCCATGTCATGGCACCTCTTTTGTAGCTATTTATTAGTATCCACTTGCACTTGTGAGGCCGTCCAGTATGGAAGTAGCAGTCTAACAAGTCTAACAAGGACAACTTCAACCTCACTTATACTATCGGTGGAGCGCATGCGCACCTAACTAGGAAACAAAAATACAAAAGAGTCAAGTAATCCAACTCTATTGAACCAAGATGATTTGAATCTATTCGGCGAGCTGCCTAAGATTTCCCAGACGAGTTGACTCTATTAAGTTCAGCATCAACATCAACTACCATTCGACATTGCATAATTGTTATCCTCAGCAAAATTGACCAACGGCGATCCGAGGAACAAGAAATCGCTATTGGCATTCCACAAATCCCAACTACGTGTGAGAGATCTCCGCGACTCCTCTTTCGTATACTGCTTTGCTGCAGCAAGCTCACCTAGAGGTCTTCGTACAGCTGGAGTGACAGAAGGAAGTCGGAGATCTTCTGAAGGTTGGAGGTTGGGATGGCGGCCTTTTCTTGAACGCGGTCGATCATGATCATTTAAAAGTATTTCTGCTAAAGCCGCTTCGCGCATCTCCTTTGTCCTCTTCCACACATTGTACTCGGGCTCTTCCTTTTCCAACGAAAATTTTGGGTCAACGTATTTGCCCTCCATACTAGAGGCCATTATTTGCTCTGATGCAAGTTTTGCGATTGCGTCACTTGCTGGATCGGTGGTTGCGAGAGTTCCTCGCCCAGTTACCTCATCCTTGTAGAATTCCCTCACCTTTACTGGATTCCAATATCGTATGCTCACTTGCAACAACTCCCGTAATCGTGCGCGTGCGTGGAACAGCAGTTTTACCGACTTTCGGTACGAGAAGTTCCAGACTCGTTCGTACAAAGAGCCTAGATCGTCTGATAGAGTCTCTAGACGGTCCAGAGAATAGCGTAGGAAAGCGTAGTCAAATTTGGTTTCGCGCCAGACGATAGGTGAAGGAGGACTGCTTGGAGCAGCATCGCTGCTTCTTCTAGAAGATGGAGGTTCTATTCGCCGGACATACTGCGTCACTTTCGTCTTTTTCAAGGACAGTTGTTCATTGATGTTTTTATTGTCCGACTGCTCAGGCGTCGGATAAAAGGATTTCTTTAGAAACACCGTTTCCAGCACGTCAATCGCCCTTGTAACGCATTCAGCCCACAAGCCCCAGTGGATCTCTGCACGCAACACAACGGCTACAACGTAGTTGATAGTCCAAGCGTAGTCAGGATCGCCTCCGGGACTTGCTTGATCGATCAGAGCTTTCCAGGTAGAAGAGGTTGAACTTGTTGATGATGAGGTGGGCTCTTTTGAAGATGTACTTTTCGAACCAGAAGATGAACCCCAAAATATCCTATTAATCGTCCTCGCACGATCTGCTTTTGCCCAGTTCAGATTCGTATAGTCATCGCGATGTAAATGGTATTTGCCACGCGGAGGATACACATATTGGACCATCTCACGCTGACCCGTGTCTCCTAGCATGGAGCTATGAAAATTCGTATGACCTCTGTGTGTGCGGTACCTCCTGTCTAGAAACAATCTCCCAAATCGTTCCGGATGTCCGCCAATCCAACTGGCGTAGTTGCTGCAGCGTAGTCGTGTATGTGTGACATCCAAAGCGGCGTAGGAAGCATGTTGCATGGATGCGAATCGGTCGGCTGTGAGGAGCTCCATACACCGTCTAGGATGTTCTTCCGTCACATTTGACCCTTGTTTGTGGATGGACCCTTTGGCTTGCTGACGATCTAGGGAGGCGCGCCCATCGGTGACTAATTCGGCTGCAATTAGAGGATGGTGGAAAATTGAGTTATGTACTATATTGAGTGACATGTTGCACTTCTTGATCACTCTAGCTGCACTTGTTAATAAGGGGACACCAATATCATGAAGGTATGCTAGAGGTAGAGGTGAAAGAACCATAAAAACAATATTAGATGCGCAGCAGCTCCCCACCGCAACCGACGTCCCAAGAAGCTTAGAAACCTATCCTCAGCTGCGTCAATGCTGGCCCAGATGAAATCGCCACTGGTGATAGCCAGAAAATCAGCCCAACTGTTCGTCAAAAACAGCTGACTCTGATCCCGCCGAGGGTCACGGAGGTTTCTCGAAGCTAGAAGTTGGATTAAGATGTAGAGTTTCCAAACGCAAGCACGGGTTCCACCTCCACGTTGGCGCGCATCCCATTGTGTTGCACCTTGAGCCTGATCATGATCTTGTTCTTGAATCAACACTTTTTCGACGAAACTCAAATCTTCAACAGAACTCACATCCTCCCTAGCGAAGCTTGCGACTGCCCTTTCTTGTGCTTCTCGCGAAAGCCGTTCTGGTAGAGAGGAGTCTGCATCTAGATCTAGTTCCTCCTGTTGCTGCCGAGCGAGAGATTCTCCTGGTACCCGATGTTTCCTCGCTATTCTTGTCGGCGTGTGCTTTTCGGCTGTCTGCTGCTCTGTCCCCTTGAGGCGTTGAATCTCATACGCGTAAAATCTCGTGTCCGCTGATGCGGCTAATCGCCAAAAGGTATTGATCAAGGTCTCATTCCTGAAAACGAAGTCCAACTCGGCTAAGGTAGAGCCAAAAAGAGTTGTTTGTGTTAGGTCTTGGAAATAGGCTGAATTACGGAATCGGAGTAGCGTGGAGGCATCAAAGCGGGTAATGCGGGTGAAAGGCTTGCTCTTGCTGTTGTCACCTACATCATCTTGATGTCGATCCTCACTTTCACCGCTCCCAACTTCTACGTCATCTGCAGTCGCCCCGATGTTGAGTACCTGCTCACTCGACGTCCCCTTCATCCCACTCTTCTGCTCCAGCATCTCCGCCTTCGCCTCGATTTCCAATAATGGGATTTTTCTAACGAGCCCAAGCTCCAACTCTTTCCATGGCTTTGGTTCGCCAACGACGATGTCCCCAAAGATGTCAGGTGCATCGAAGTAAGCATGTAAAAGCTTCCAGTGCTCCCATGGTACTTGGCGAATGATAGCGGGACAGAGGTCTGGATTTGGTGGGGATAGCCCAGCTGTGGCAGCTGCGAGTGCAAAGACATGCCTTCCATGTTGATTGGTCTGACCGTCAAGAAAGTTGTCAAGATTTTCCAGATACTTAAACAAGTACAAGTTGATGTCAAGAACTAGTTGAATAAGGAGAGAAACCAGTTGACCTGCTCCTCTCGTTTTTCCGAACATCATGATAAAAAGGAGCACTGATCGGTGGCAACATGGCTGCTGCCTGAAGTTGCCAGAAGAACTACCCAGTAGAGATATCGGATTTTTGTTGCTAGTCAAGGCAATACCATGCAATAATGACGCAAATTCTAGCTTGGGAATCTTGACGCCCATTTCACTCACTCTCCGTACTCTCGGCTCTCCGAACTATGCTCGGCACATCATTTTCTCTTGTCGCACTAGACTACAGACAGAAAGAAACAACTAGAGGTACCAGTAGATAAGCGCAACCATATGCGGTGTAGCGTCCCCTTGTTGCAACAATAATGCAGACTACATCGTCATTTCATCTTCAGAGCTTTGTTTCACGTCTTGAAAAAATTAGCGGAAGACCCCCACGTCGGTGATGTCGGTTGACGACAAGATTGAGATAGAGATTGTTGTAATAATCCTTAAAAATAATTCCGGCGTGTCACGCCAACACCAGACACTGCTTTTGAATGAAAATCTGCAGAATGCAGAACTTCTCAAATTCCTCCCCGTTATCATCCAAGTCGCAGATCTTCTTGCTCGAGTTCCCTGTATGGCTGTATATCTGCTCCAATAGCGTCACAGCTTGTGGCTGCACGTCCATAGTCATTGTTTGATCTGTCCCGACCCGCTCGAATTGCACTGTCGTGCCCTGTACTCTGCGGAAACGAATTCCTGGGGTGAACTTTATGCGCAATTCCGAAAACAGAGTGTCGGGAATGCGTGGGTTGACATAGGGATAAAGTTGCTGCTGAGGACTAGTCGGTGATGTCGGTCTCGCAGAACTGCAGGTGCCAGCAGCACAACATGAAGATTGTCCTGTTGTTCCGGATGTAGATGCTGATGTTGATGTGCCACTAGTACCACTGCTATCAGTTCCTGTTGATAATTCAGCCGGTTGCTTATTTTGCTTGTTCCTCTTCTTTTTACTCGATGTGGCTGTGGAGCTCGAAGAAGATGTTGACGGAGTGCACTGGTCGACCGCGGCTACAGCACTCTTGTCCTTCTCGGCAGCATATTCTACTGTACAAGAACTAGTCGAAATGGCATTCCCCAATATTTGGGAGGCTTTCTCTTGCTGTTCACTATTGATTCGGTTCATCTTCGCAGAATAAGCATCTAAAACTTCTTGCAACGAGAAGTTTTCCGATATCTGTGTTACCCAATGTTGTAGAGGCTTGTCAAATTGCTCTCGAATCCGTGCTTTTGAAATCTCAGACTGGGAAAACTTGGAAGGCCTCCCATGCTGGATCACATCTTCATCGTCCTCAGCGTAGATCATTGCGCTAATCGTATTCGTGCAAGCTGGTGCTGCTAGTAATTCCTCATCTCTTTCTGTGTCTCCAGTTAAGAGGAAGTTGTCGACTTCTAGTGGAAGACTCTTCTCTCCTGCTAAACTAGGTCGTTTCTGATCGAGGTAGTGCGAAAGCAAAGCTGCCCAACAGTAATCACAACTAGGGACAGTGATTGTGAAGTGCAGAGAGGACTCCTCACCGGTCTCGGCTTCGTGGATGACACCCCTTGGGAGGTACAAGACGTCGCCGGCTTCTACCGTCACGGTTTGGAGGTACCTGGATTTGAAGGCTAGTCGGTGATGTAGTAGGGTAGAAGGATTTTTTTACTTTATTCCCTACAAAAAACGGCTCCTCCCGGATGCAGCAGTGTTGGTGGATTAATAGAGTAGTGATCTCAGTCCTTACAACTTTAGTAGATTGGAGGATGCGTGTATTTGTATCAGGAAGGAAGGATAAATCTGTGACAAGAAATCGATGAAGCGACGTCTTCATTTTCAAGGTCGTATCGGAGAACCCCACTGTAGTACCTTTCGCTCGTCATATACTTCTCCCTTGGTATTGGTTCTTGTTTCCCCAGCATTTCCTCAGTGTAGATCAGCAATGGATCCGCTGCCCATAATCTCCACGTCTTCTTACCCCAAACTTGCAAGACGAAGACATCCTGATCGTCCGAGTGTGCGCGGACTGCCTGTGCTTCTGGTGGTGTCAAATAATACACGCAAAAAACGTGTGCAAAGAAGCTGGATCCAAGTTGCTGGCAAAATTGAAGCAGTTTCGCGTCTAAGCGGTCAGCTTGATTGTGGACGAGGGAGCAACCGGAGAGGCGATTAGAGGAGACACCCGTAGTACTTCTACTTACAAACGATGAAGGATAGGATAGGATAGGATAGGATACCGATGGGATAGGATATTAGGATACATAGGATAGGATGCCTTTACCTCGTTCTCACACAAGGTGTATCCGGAACTGAAATCTACATACGCATTTGTGTATATGAATGTGTAGCACCATGCCAAGTATTTGTATCTATTAGTTTTCCCTGCGGGGCTATCCTTGGTTGAACGTGATCCTACTGCTTGAGAAGGAAGGTGGGCATCAAGCCACAAAGGAAACTAGACGTCTCACTTCCACACCCCAAAGGGCGGCCAGCGAAGAGGAGTTGTAGAAACAAGACGAGATAAACGTAGCGAGAAGATTAAAACATTAGATGAATTATAGATATACTTTAGGCGATATAATTTCAAATCAAGAAAGTAGCCACCCACACCCCGTTACGTGGCTGCTTCAACCCACGGCGCCCTACACCCTAAGCCTTTCGATGCAAAAGCACCAAGCGGGGGGGCGGGTGCTCGCGCGAGCAAGAATAACAGCAACGCGCCAGGCTGAGCCTGGCATGCTGCTGGGCCACCTGCTGAGGCTTCTCGCTTAGATCTTAACCGCAGCACAAGCTCAAGCGCCACCGTTGTTGTTGCAGAGCGAAACCCCCAAACCAGCGACGAGACTTCCAAAACGAACAACCACAGCGAGGCCCGCCGCCGGCTCTACGGTCGCAGCCGCTTTGCCACAACCCCAGGGCGCGGGCCTGCAAAGTATTGCAGCCACCTCAATCACTTGCGCCGTGGCGTATATTATCGACAGCGGCCAGACTTGCCCGCGAAGATGTTGCACCTTCAGCACTCCCATCACTGTAGAGAAAGCCGCCAAGGCGCTCGCCATGCCCTTGGAAAACATCACTGCGCCACAAGATTGCAATCCAGAAGCTTACAGACGCGGCCGAGACTTGCGCACTGCGCTGCACGGTGCCCCCCCCCGCTCGTCTGGTAAATTCTTCGAAAATTTGAAAGCCTGAAAGCTGTACGCAAACACAGACCAGAGGCCGCCCAAACCATCCCACACTGGAGCAGGCGAACCCCTTATAACGTTTCAGCCAGTGGGAGTGGGACTGGGATGCCTGCGCGCTCTCCTGCTGCATGTCGGGCCTATGCTTAGCGCCTGCCCATGACGCAGAGGCGCCTCCGGTGGGGGCTCGAGTCGCAAGAAATTCCGCCGATGCAGATCATCGCCAGCGGTGCAATTCCTCGCCAAAAAATTCCACGCCCTCGTAAGCTTTTCCCGGTTGCCTCCCCTCATGGGCCACACCCTTCGCCGGTCCTTGTTTCTCGAAGGGGTGACAACGTGCGGCGGGCCTCCCAGGTTGTCACTTCGTCTCGTGTGGTGGTATCGTAGACAGGTGGCGGGCTCTCTTTATCTTCGTCATAAAGTGAAAGCAACCCTGCCAGGGGCGACCCGTCCCGCGCCTCGTGATGCGCACGGTGGTGACTAGTCCGCTCCTGTCCCGCACGAAAGCGTGCCGGGGAAAGTCCCCGAGGGCTTCCGAGATGCGGGGGAGACCGCTCTCAGAATTCCCGTCGCCGTGCTCACTCCCTACCACCGCACGAAAGCGACCAAAGGCATGGCCGCCCGCCTGAGCGACTACGTCACGCGCCGCGCTGTAATGCTATCCGCCTCGCCGGCGTGCTCGTGCTTCGGCCATTGTATCTAATTGGCCCCAGGCGTGGGAACTCTTTACAAGTTGTCCCCCCATCGCATCGTATAGAGTGAGCCTGTCCAGATGTTTTGCGTCAATATACATTCCTCCCAGATCATTTTTCTCTAGCTCTACGCGGTTAAAAAGAAAACGCACAACCAAGTTAACAGTCATAAGATAAGCCCGCACCGGATCTCCACTACTAGGCACGTTCGGGTCGTCATTCTTGTAACATCTAACATCTGGCGAAATCATTTTCACGAACCGGTCCACCGTGAAATAATCGGGAAAGAAGTTTTCTCCTCCTAGCTCTCCTCGTTTCCAAAATTTCGGCTCTTTCTCCCATGTTTTTTGGAAAAAATCGGGAGTAAGGATCTTGTTGGTGAAGAAGTTACCACTAGTAGAAGCAGAACTAGTAGTCGTGGTAGTGGAAGCAGCACTCATGGTCGCACCAGAAGAGCCCTCTTGCTTCGGTGAAGTCGATGAGGCTTCTTGCATATTTGCGTTCAGCACCTGCGCTTGTTCACCGCCTGCCTTATTACGGGCTGCCTTCTTCTTTTCGACCATATTAATTTTTTTCAAGAGAACAACGTCGGTTAATTATATTCTTGTATGAACTAAAAGTCGTCTGTTTACCGGTGATAAGTAGGGAGATTAAATATTAAATATGCTTGGTAATGGTATCTCCATCTAGTGGACGTAATTCTGAGTTCTATTGAGTAAAAACTTTAACTTTTACGCACCATATTGCTGTGTCAGAAGAAATCACTCCCGCTCAACACCTCTTAGACATTGGCTGTGGGCAATGTTCCTTCACGTTCATCAGAACAATGTGGCATCGCAAGTCGCGGGGCAACAGAACAAGTGGTCGCACAGGTGAGGCACTCGTGTTTGTCTCCTATGCATGCCAGTAAAAAATTGGAACAAACATGCCTGTTGAGGTTTTGGTTTATGCGTCCTTTTCACATTATGATCTCTCTTTCTTGCCGATGACGCCTTTATTTTTATCTGTCCGCGATCTTTGACGTAATTTCCTTGGCGAGAAGGATGTCTGTCTACTCCGCGTCCTACTCCTTGATCTGCTTTGTGACCTTTTTCCTTTATCCTGCGTGGTAGAGGTCATTGCCTCAGTTTCTGCAGTGTTACTCTTACCTACTTTTCCCGAAGTCCTACTACGACCTGCAAAGAGCACCTGTCTCAAATCTTTCCAATTGAAGAGGAGGAGACTGCAGACAACGAGCATCATTCCTACGATTTTTCCCCCGGCCGGCTCCCAGTGGACGCCTGTGTGGTCTGGTAGCAAGCGCTTGGAGAGCATACCGAGGAAGGCAGAGGAAATTAGAGAAGAGAACAAAAACAAAGTCGGCGCCAGAAGCGGGTCTAATGTGTGTACCACAGTTGGAAACCATCAACGAACTAATAGTAATTCCGATGAATATCGTTAAAGGGAGCCTAAAAAGTATCGAAATTTCTCATAAGACGAACATGCTCGCACCGAACATGAACAGCTTGTGCAAGTTTCCCAGATACCGCATTACGTATCCCAGAGTCAGTCCAAGCAAAGCCTTGTTACAGCAATCGAAGACGGTAAAAATGTTCCATCCGTCAAAGCCGATGCCTTGAATTCTTCCCGCAGAGTGACAAAACATTGGCCATTAGAAGAGGCGTGACAAAGTATGGGGGATTAGAAGAGGCATGGTGTAATTATTTTAGTGGGTATAATAAGAATGTTCATATACTTGCCATAAGAGTAATTCACCAACAATCCTCCCGTGTACATTGCTACCGAAGCAACATGAACGCTTTGCCCTGCATCTCTTGTATAGACGTACTCGCAATAGATGCTTGCGCTAGCACTGCAGATGCAGTACACAAGGGTGAGCATGAGCCCGCGAGTTGTACAAAATGTTGTTGTCGTGGTTGAAGAGCTAGTACTCATGGCTCCTCCAGTGATACCCCTGAAAATTCCACTTGCTCCAGAATCTGCTACAACTACTAGCTCTTCATCAGCGAGGCTGCCTGACAGTTTTGAGGACGCTGACCCAGCGTAAAAGACCAATAGTCTTGCTGCATCGTTTCCTGCGACTGCAATCGCGCTTCCGCAAGTCAGTATACCAAGCGCAAACCATTGCCTGAAATCTAGGACTCTGCGGAAGACAACCCAGTATAGCACAGATGTCACCATGATTTTGTTTTGTAGTAAGACCTGTTGAGTTACGCCGTCCATATGGCTGCACAAGAGCGTGTCCAGGTTGTTGTTTATCGCGTACAGGATCGCAGGAATCATGAAGCCTAGGATTTCTTCGCCCATCCTTCTCGTTGCCAGGCGTTGGAAGAGGAGACGAGAAAACGCCGCAAGCGTGTTCTTGTTGGCTGATGGTTTTGAGGCATTCTTCATCTTGCTTTTTTCAGCATCACCGGCTGCTGACTTCTCGTCCGAAGAGTTACTCAATTCTTCCCTGTACAAGAACCCCAAACTGAGGAACAGCTTCGCCAGTTCTGCGAAGAAGACGACGCTCGCTGCATCAAAGGCTATCTGCTTCTGGCCTAGTTTCGCAAGGTTTGGAAGGAAACTGAGCAGCGAGTACGTCACTGACCCTGCGAGGAACAGTAAGACGTTGAAAAGCAAGGAAGACTCCGACATTTCGTAAAAAAGTTTTTTGTCAGTTAGCAGCTAGTCTCTGTAACAGGTACTAGTGTATCCCCTCTTGAAGCGTTGTCTTCTAGTTTCCCTCCCTTGCTTTCTCGACTCTCATCTGCAGTCAATCATTTTCCCTTTTTATTCGGATTCCAAAGATAGATGTCGCTATAACCTAGAGCTACATGATGCTACCTTCAAAGCTCATATTGTGACCAAAAGAATGATCCATCTCCAGAAGGTTTGATGTTCCACTTTCATTTTCCTACAGTATTCGCATCCGTTGGCGTTTTCGCTGACCGTCTCCATGGTAAGGTAAATGGGGGTGTCAGGAAGCTTGTGCGACCTCTTCAGCGCCAATGCAAAAAATTGAAAGTCGTCACTTGTATTTTGTAGAGTGCAGGATCAAACCAATGAATCTTCGCGTCCTACTCGATATCAGTCCTCAATCGAAACTCCTGGGCACTCAAATCGTAACTTTCAAAAAATAATGTCACTAAAAAGTACTAGATCAACGTCATGGAATGGGAACTGTCTGACGAATGAGTAGGGAAACGTCTCAAACTACTGCTTACTATTTCTATGCTGGTTTTCGAATTTGAGTTCATTGTTGTTTACGTTTTTCATTCACAAAGACGAACCCTTCGCATCCCTCTCAATAGTTCGTAAAAGCCCATGAGTACTTCTGAATGACTGTATTTTGCAGTCTTCGCCTAACTGCGGGTGCAAGTGTCCGAGTCGTCGCTTGAAGATTTCTCCGGAGTTTTTCAAGGAAATATTCGAAAAAGATCTCCTCGATGAAGAGGTATAGATACCTGCACTTCTGGTTCTACTCGGTTCGTAGATATGAAACTTTAGACCGACTATCTCATGGCCTTTTTTCGTGATGCTTTCTTTGCTCGGCACAAAAGCGTCAGGATTGTTGCAGTCGGCGTAGTAGCGTGAGTAATCCGTATTATCCGTTTTGCTGTCTTTTTTATCTGCTTCATCATCATCAGCTTGTGCTGTGGCTGTCTCGGGATCAGTAGAGGTTCCAGTGATGCTGGTCCTCTCCTTGTTTTGCCCGAGCCAAACCCATTTTTTCTCATCATAGTCCCATTTCCAGTTTTTTGCGCTATTTGGGTTGGTCCAGCCAGTTGCGTTGGTGCCACTTTTTGCACTTTGCCACCTCTTTTTCCTCTCCTTTTCCCATTTCCGCCAGTTACTGCTTAACTTTTTGACAGGGAATTCCTTATTCAATTCTCCACTTCCCGCGTGCAAATTGCCCACAATTTTCCGATGCCACTCTGGTTTCATCACTAAGGCGTTAACGATGCGCATCGGATTTTCTTTCATCCATTGGGCGCCCATCGCACAAGACAAATGGTACTCCCAGAAGCGTGCGGTAAAATCAAGCAAATAGTAGCGACCTCTGGCAAAAACAATGTGCCACGGAAAGTCGGACTCAGGATTCAAGTGCGATGGTTGGAAGAGGGAGGTAGAAGCGCTCTGTTCGCGTTCATCGTCTCGGTCTTCATCATCTTGCTCTACTCGACAAGTAGGCGCTTCACAAGGACTACTGCTATCCCAATTTTTGTGCAGCTCCAACAAGAAGACGTACTCTGCATTGTGTACAAACATGTTATGCCGTATCGAATCTGCTACGTAGGAAACAATGCTAGCTAGAATACGAATCAGATCCGCTGCTGCTGCCACAACATCTTCATAGGCTTCACGGACCGACGTCGGGCCTTTCCCTCCAACATTCGTAGAAGAAGGTGAAGCGCCGTTCTCTCCAACGTTCGTAGAAGAAGGTGAAGCGTCGTTCTCTCCAACGTTCGTAGAAGATGATGCTCGGTTCTCTCCAACGTTCGTCGAAGATGAAGCGTCGTTCTCTCCAACGTTCGTCGAAGATGATGCTCGGTTCTCTCCAACGTTCGTCGAAGATGAAGCGTCGTTCTCTCCAACGTTCGTCGAAGATGATGCTCGGTTCTCTCCAATGTTCGTCGGCGTTTTCCAAGTGTCCTCATGCTCATCACTCTCCGTAACGGCCGCCTTCATCTTCTGCTTCTCTCCAGTTGTTTTCATCCGCAGCTTTTTTGTGCAAGATTCTTCAACCACACAACATGCATGGATTGTTTCATCGAGAGTTGCAACTATGCACTGTACCAAAAGTTTTGCAATATCTGCGAAAATGCTCGCCTTTTCCGTCCCATCGTTGCCTCGACTTTGTCCTCCCCGCTTCCTCAGCCATGACAGAAACCAAGAAGGCGGCATGTGTCTATCAACTTCTCGTTGTACAGTTGTGAAGAATTGTCGTACAGTTGTGAAGAATTCTGTAGTTTGCTGAAAGATCCAATGATTCTGATGAACCTGAATCCGGTTCTTTCGAAGGCGTTGAGACGCTATCATCGCCAAATTTACACCGAAATAAGCTTCTGTGTCCAACAACGCCGATAACGAATGATCAGCCAACGCTTCCAAGTCCAGCATAGGTTCTACGAGAATCACAGTGTTGGATACACTGGGGTCTTCTAGAAACAAGTTGCTGAGGCTTTCTCGTAAGGCATACGTCGCAAGCAACGTCGCTCCGGAACCGTAGCCGACCAAATGTACGACTATAGTTTTAGGACGATGCCCGTCTCTTGAGAGGACATGCATGTCATTCTTGCCATTACTAGCCTGGCTTTCGTCATGACTATCATCCTCATCTAACCACTTTTGGCCTTCATTCCAACTTCCAGACTCATGCTCTCGGATCCACTCGATTGCCGCTTTGATTGCTTGCGTCGAATCGGTGGGCACGTTGTGACGATAGTAGCACGCGATCTGAAAATAGACACACATGAAAATCACAAACGTTGTCGCTGGCGGAATCAAGCTTGATCCCCAAGAGGTGGTAGAGGGACTGATGGCGTCCTGAGTCTCCTCCTCCACAGGACCAGAAGACCACGTCCACGGCTCGTCCACGCAGCAAATGTTGTACATGCCCAGGACAAAAGCGTAACACCAAAACAGGTCCTCTGCATCTCGTGGCTTTGTCAGTAGGAAGATGATGATCGGCAGGTACTCGAGGATGCTAGCCACGAAAAGGATGACGTCAGAGAATCCAAGATAGAAAACAGGATCAAACTGGTTCTTGATCTCAAACCTGGTCGAGCAGAAGGTAAAACAGGGCAGCAGGTAACTCGAAAGTGCGACTAATCCTTTGGTGAGGTTGCAAAAAGGAGCCGCAAACACGTAGCTCCACACAAGCAGAGCGAAATCGAGAACTCCAGTCTGTCGCATTGGCACCCCTCCTTCAACTTTGATCACCGTCTGCTTTCTCGAGTGAGCCAACTCTCTAGCGAATTCATTGTGCTTGCGATAGAAAAGGTAATTCAGCAAACCTCTGGCGTCTAAGAATGCGAAACCGGACACTAGGAGGGTTACGTGAAGAGTGTCTTCGTCTTCGGTCTCTGGCTCTTCAGGGACGGGTGCGCTTTTCTGCTCCTCCGGTGTATCGGATGAAGAGGGTAACTCGCTTTTCTCCTCATCTTTCTGTGCTGATGCACCAGAAGAATAACGCTGCGTCTCCACACCGTCAAATCGAAAAACGTCCAAGGTGAAGTGAAATTCAGCCTCCTGATCGAAGTCATCTCGTACTTCCAACTGCGTGCGTCGGAGTGTGTGGCGCACGACCTCATCTTCTCCATTTGAAGAGGGTGCACCAAAGAGCGCGGTGTTGAGGTACAACATGGTTTTGCTTTAAGTTCACGATAGGAAGATAATCCACATAATTAGCGACATTTGGTTAGTTCATTTGATTAATTTCAACACAGATTGATTGAGAAATCACAGGTAGTTAATTTTCAACCGCGATGCTGGTCCTAGTCGTGTTTTCGGCCTTGTCCCTGGTAAGGTGACTGAAATCATACATCGCGATCGCGTTGAATGATCAATACAAAACATCAAGGTCTTCACAGTCAGTGCACTATAAAATATTAGCATGAGACGAACGTGAGTGTGTGCACGCCGAAGGTCTGATTTTATGACTGTGGAAACTTACGCCTTTCCTTTAATCGCTAACGCCTTCTTCATCATTTATGATGGAAAACCGAAATCAGTAACAACCATGCTTCTGCTTAAAGAACTTTGCGCAGGGAGAACTGTCATGTGATCAACAAAGGTCACATCAGTCTCATTGAATGAGAGAGAAGCACAAGAAGTCTATGACAGTTGATGGATATCATGACATTAATGGGTTGTAAGTATTCTCCATGGGCGATGGTGTTTCTATGACGTTGATGGCTAAATCATGAAAAAAGGGCATGTTGCCGTAGAACTTTTGCTATCACATTTTTGAAGTCGTGCGATTTGGAAGATTCTTCATTGATGACGCACCTCTTTCAGAGTTCGTCAGTCTTAGGGTTTTCATTGTTCGTCGATTTTCTGTCGTTTCATTGCTGGCTCCTCTTCTACCTGTTTATTTTCAATAGACGACCCTGCTGCTGAACTTCCTGTAGTGGTAGTGCTGCTGGTCGTACTTCCACTTGCGGCAGTCGTGGTCTTGGTTTCCTCAACACTCGCTTGCTGCCCTTTCGCCTCCTCCTTCTTCACATTCGCAGCTGGTTCTTTCTTCACCAAAAACCGTCCAAAATTCTTCATGTATTGCTGTTTCTGATAATCCGCCAATGGCGTAATGCAATCCGCCGACTCGTTTCGCGCATTGCCGACTTTCTTGTCCACCTCAAAGATGTCTAATCTGGCCTTGTGAGAATTCGTTTCCAGCTTGTTCAACAACTGCTTGATCGGTGTGGTGCCATCTGAGAGCCATTGTCGTGCGCTGTCTGCATCAAGCAGCAACAAGGGAATGCGATCGTGAATGCTGGCTAACCCTGACTCCTTTGGCGTTGCCATCGTGATAATCGAAGTCGATTCTAGTGGTTGGGGATTAGAGGCGGTCTACTTCATTGATGACATAGCCACTTTATGGTGAACAATCTCTTCTTTTTACGTACTACTTCTAGTACGGAGGTGTTACATGTCGACTTCGCCACCTCGCTATCATGTGGAAAAAAAAAATCACGCATCTGAATTGAGTCAGTGAAGTCGAAGTGGACGTGGAGGCGTGAGAGTCTACTCATCTTAACTATTACTAAATGTTACTTTTTTCAAATGATCCTTAACAGAATCTCCGGCTTTTACTATGTTTTTTTCAAACGATCCTTAACAGAATTATAAATATCCTAGCTATTTTACTAATACTATGAACTTTTTTTATACGATCCTTAACAGAATATCCGGGTCCAGCCCAACGATCGTAGATGCCACACATCAACATCGGGAAGTTTCTTCCTTTGTTGACTTCTTTGAACGTCTCTGTCGTTCCACGTTGAGCGCCAGCGTTTTTATGATCTTGTTGACCATCTTCTTCACTAGCCGCGAGAGAAAATCCCTGATACCCTTTGGCCATCTGCACGAGGCGTGGTTTTTTCTGCTTACCCCACTCATAGAAGCCTTGGACTACGATAATGCAGCGATTAGAGACCTTTAGACATCTTTTCCACATTGGCGAGCTATCCAAGGTCTCGATGCGACTGTTAAAAGTGAATTGCTGCTTCTCTTCCTTGGCGAAACTGGGAACCATACCCCAGCGCATTCCGGAAAGCGAGAAAGACGAGTCAGTCTCTACTGCAGGAGGGACGATTGAAGCAGAGGTCGTCGAGGTCGTCGAAGGAGCAACTCCCATAGCACTCGTCCCGGACGCGCTAGCAATACTCTTCTTTTCAGTACTGGCCTCCGCGGCGTGAATGACTGGTACACACACGCTCTTATCGTAGGGTGAAAGATTGTACTTCGTGGAAACCTTATCGCCGTTGCGACGCCATTTTTTGGTGCCAGCTATCTTCTCCACGCACCCCTTCTCCGCGATTGCCGCACAACGACCGCACATTTTCTTGATCTTGGATGGTAGCTAGAAAACGAAGAATTAAGCTACTGATTTGCGAATTGCGAGGTTGTTTGCGAATAGAACAATGAGTATGAGATCATGAAACCAACAATAGGATTTTCGGGTATATCTTTGACATACCTACAACATCAAGTACAAGTTTCCTCATCATAACAGAACATAACAATCGCTTCCCTGACGAAGCTTGCGAAAATTTTTCTTTGACGGAGTCACCTTAGTTTTCTGGAACCTTGTGGTAAAGGTGAGACATGATCCATGCTGCATTTGATCCCTCTTTCATGGCATACAGATTCTGGCACTTGCTCCCTGTTGGAGTTTCTAGTCGGCGAGCCATTGACTTCTTTCTTTCTTGATGCTCATCACGTTTCATCTTCTACCTAATACTGCCATACTTCTAGTTGTATCGAACACATTCTAGACAATCCTACGATTGCTTTTGCTTCATCAAGCACGATATCCTGCCTTCTGTTACATGCGCGAAGATCATCGTGAATTCCCTTGGTGCGTTGTTTCCCCAGTGGCAATGAAAGAAAACCTTTCTTTGCGAGGCGCTCACAAAAACATAGATACAGTATGATGGATAATGATGTAGCCAAGTTTTTCATACAATGGATGTAGCTCATGATGTTGCACAAACGCTTTCTTTGGAGCATTGATACAAGGTCAAGGACGAAATGTTCATGTAGGGCAGTGACTATGAGATGTATACTATGGCGTCATTAAGTATGAAGCGGGACGTGATTATGGATTGATATCATCAAGTTCAACAAGGTGATGAAGGTTGTCGTGTTTGACAAAAGTAGTAAATGTAGTGTAGGGAGTTGTCCGTCGAAGTCCCTGATTTTGAGTTCTTGTTGAGGAAGTTCATGTAGCAGGCCAGAGCAGACACGCTCACTCTCATCTCTCATAGTACGGGTCAGAAGCAAGGCGAAGGACGAAGAAGAGTAAGTTACAGTTTAAAGTAGAGCTAAGTAAACCACTAGCTACCCTGCAGATGTTACAGCCCATGGCGTCCCACCCCCAAGCTCGAGGTGGCGAGCAAGTTGAAGAGAAGGGGGTAGGTGCTCGCATTAGCACAGGACCACCGAGACTAACATGATAAATAAGAAAAAGATTCTCCTACTTACATAATAGCACACTTTTCCTTTGATTTGTGCAATTTAGTTCCGCACGCTTCGCATACTGGTGCCTCCTTAGGGTTCGTTAGAGAACATGCGGCACAGTTTATCGTTGGTTTGTCCTTTCTCCTCAGAACGCTTCCTAGTGGATTGCCGTTCGCACGATACGATCTCTCCTTCCCTCCACTTAGTTCTTGCCTATCTCCTTGTGATGCCAGAGCAGGGCGAGACGAGGAGGACGAGCTTGGTCCATTAAATAAGGGCTGATCTTGATCATAAAAGATCTTGTTTTCTTCTTGTTCTTCTTGTTGGAAGTATTGTTGATTACTAAATGTTGTTGATGGTATCGCACTAGACGCAGTACTGGTTGTAGAATTTCTTCGTGAAGAAGAAGATGATGTTGACCCTCCTCCACCAGCTGCTGCTACACGTGGTGCAGGAGTGAAAGGTACACCACGTGGTTGATGGCCTGCTTTCGGGACTCCTGCTCGTCCGCCACCAGTCGTATTAGTTGTAGTAGTACTACCTCCAGTAGGTGCTTTACCACATCTTGGTGATGCGCAGCACGCGAAAGCTGGAGGTGCAGTGTTTCTAGTGACTGGTACTTGTTGGGGTGGCTTTGCGCGATCACGTTGCGCAGTCCGGGCACGACGATAATTCTTACAATCGTGGTCGTCTTCGAACCTAGTATGGATCATTGATGGAGCAGTTAATATCAGCAGACATAGACAAGCACAAGCAGAGGACATAGACAATAGTATTAGATGAACTTACATCAACCAGATGATGAAGAACTACTACATTGTACCATCTTCCTACGAAGAACTACATTGTAAGGCTAATTTGTGCAACTAGAATGTAGTTCCATAGTACACGACTCGAAGTACTACCTATGCGCTGTGCACACTGTGTGAAGGCATTTTGGACAGTGATGGCTGGTGACTGCGTTCAACTTTTTATTACAGCCTGGCGCAGCGCAACGCTTCACCTTCGGGTGGTCCGGAGAAGAGCAATTATTTTCCGTCACTGTCACGACTTTCCTCACACATTTCCCACTGTTCGCATGCCGAAGCCACGTTTCGTTCACATCTTCTCCGGGTAGGCATTCCACAGTGAGTCGGCATATTGGACACACGATCACTCGTCGGGATGGACTGGGGGCAGTGCAGTTGTGATCGGATTCCCTACGATGTTCCAGACAAAAAGGCAGTCCACACCGATCACAGTGAAAGGGTAACATGTCGTGCATACCACATCCCGGAAAAGCGCAGCGCGCACCGACGTCGCTGAAACGAGCCATTTTGTTTTGCTGTTGTTTAGAAGCGGAGTTCCAGATAAATATAATTAGAAAAATGTTTCTTCTAGTTGGATGATGAGGCGTCAAAGTGAGTACTTCTGAGGAGTTGCTACTCAGGGTCAGATGTACAGGTGGTTCAAGACAGGGAAACCAAAAGGCACGACTTGCTCTGAACCTCAGCCTCACTCATTTATCATACCGAATACATACAAATATGAAAATGGCATTTTTTCGGAATTCAAAAACACTTCAAGGGAAAGCTGTGGATTGGACTTCGGGGACAATGGGTTTGGGGGAAAGAGAGCCTTTTGAGGGAGAATATATCCAAGTCGAAGCCTTTATTCAGATGCTGTGACTACTAATGTTGGAATTGAACTTTTTCGCTCGACGCTCTCCTTTCTAGATCAAGATAAAGATTCAAGCACGGCGCCCATATATGAAGAAAATGCTGGCGCAGACGCAAGGATCTTTTTGTTGTTCGATCCAGGGCTATAGGAATTCTATTGTAGTAACAGAAACTGATACTGAAGCAAGCACATTCGTCGGATGGGGCACTAGAGCATTTTTTTTCTCTAGATGACTGCAAAATCATAGAAAGAAGGACTTCTGACTCCTGTAAGAAAAAGAAGAAGAACTCTTTTGCTAAAGTTGTACTACGATATCTCAAGTGATGCTCATTCTCATGTTGAGGATCTTTATTCCCTTTCTCATGTCTGTGTTGTTGTTTGCGTTCTTTGAGTGAATGTAAGGAATTGCATTACGCTTTAGTAACTTTATTCCCTAGTTCTATCAGCGGATGTATGAAATCAAAGAAAAGCTCGCTGCTGTCATGTCATGGCGCCTCTTGTATAGCGTTTCGCATCTATGAGGCCACTCGGTGTAGAGGTACCTTCAGAATAGAGCAGCCTTCTCCAGACGAGGACACGAACCTTGTAATTAGACCAAGCACGGCATGAACATCTGGATTTACTCGATATTAGAACTAAGAGACATGATTCACGCTGAGACGCATCGTAGAACCTTCGCCCCTTGAAAATGGTCTCTACATTATCTACCAATTCCCATGAGTTAATCCCTAGTGTAGAAAGATGTCTTCAAACGCAGCATCGAAATGATAAGATTCGTCGTAGAATGGCCCGATCACAAATCGCTCGTCCCCCCTTCCCTCTGCTCCGGTTAGTATCACGGGCATGGAGATTAGAAGTGCAACTACTGCAAGAGAGCTGCTGCTCACACTTTTAAACTGGGTGCTTTGTATAATAAGGGAGTAATCTTCTAGATAACAATCTCAGATGATACTCGGTTATTGCATTTGACACTCGTCTATTTTCAGTTTTCGAGTAAGTAGGGTTAATATGAGCACTGGAGTTGGCGGCGCTCACAACTATTTCATGTGAAACTAGGAGGCACTTGTTTTTCAGTCACAAATTCGATTGTATGATGAACAGGAGCAAAGGCACTACTTGATAAAGTACTTGTTGTATTCATCTACTTAACCCTGCCTCTGCATGATAAGTGTATGATCTCGCGTAACGTGAAAACACTTCATAAGTAAAGACTTGGCACGGTATTCTCAGCCATGGCTTCACGCGGGTTGTAGAAGAAGACCTCACAATCGGAATCGTCTTGGTCATCCCCTCTGTCAAAGCCGTCCCCTTGTCTGACAATGCTGAATCTGAAATTAGAGAGATAGGGTGGGACAACAATAACTACAAATACAACAAAATAAGGCGATCAGGATAAATATTTGTCGAACTTTTTTTGAAGATATATCAGCACTAGTAAAATTGAAGAAAATGCAATCAATCTGAGTCGTATGATCGGCATGTGCTGCCTCCTACTCCTTACGAATCAAATCTATATTCCTCACGAATCAAGTCTACAAATTGAAACTTGCCTTGTCATGTGTGTCCCTGTCGCAGTTCCTGCAAGACTACCTAAGAGCAGCATTTGCCTTTGTTTTACAAATGCAATGATTAGACGTAGACGTCGTACCAAGAATACTCCCTCTTTTAAAACATCTTCATCTTAATCTTTTAGCTTATTCCAAGAAAGAGCTCGTGGCTAAAACAGAGATGGTGAGTGTACAATGGATTCACCTTAGTCATAGTCAGGTGCTTCAAAGATGACCCTTACTGGCCGTTGGTGAAGCAAAATTACTCAGAGTTTGCCATATGATCAAGCTGAGCCAGCGACCACCCGTTCTCATGAGTCCCGAGCTCTCGCGTGTCAACGACATACGCCAATCGGCATCCCATCCCTTGGTAGAGAACGGACGGACGAAGCGCATCCGGTTTCCCGAAGCAAGAGTTAGACGTTAAGGATTATTTAAGCCTTGTTAAGAGGCTTCGTTCTTAGTAGTAGTGGTAGTAGTGTGCCCACTCTTGGGGTATAAACTATTGAACTAGTTCAATTATAGAACAAGTCGGGAGGTAGAGCCGGTGAACGTAGATCGACTATAATAATGTTAAACGAAGTAGATGTAGATATATATTATGACAATCTATCATCTTCTCATTTATATTGTTATTTCTCCTCAACCTCAGACACCAGGAGTGAAAAAAAATCCATTTTTAATGTGCCCACCACATTTTTACCCTGACGAGACCAACAACCATGCACAACTTGCTCCGTAAGAATAGGGTGTGTATGGCGGCCTCGAAAGTACCTGCCTAATTCGTAGAGATCTGCTACGCGTACGGCTTTTCTGTCGAAGTTTTCAATCTCGATTCGCGCTGGGCGATTCTCAGAAGTTGGGAGCTGTTCTTGTAGGTCATGAAAGCCTCTATTAACCGCGCCTGGATGTTGATCTGGTGCAAGTGGACGTTCCCCTTCTGGACGTGGATATTATGAAAAGAAAAAGTGTACTCATGGGACTCCAGGAATTAGCTAGAGGATCCAATGGCCGCCCAGTTAGTACGTGGGAAGGCAGCCAATTTTCTGAGTAGATCATACTCGAAGTTAATGGTCGGAAGAAGTATGGATTAACACTATACACCATCTTCTATATTACTATGTGAGTATGTTTACACTTTTTCCTTTCTCCTGTCATAGATCTTGTATGAATCTTGTTACATGTTGACGTTGATCATGTTCTTGTGTGGGAAGATCATTGCCATTGCCAGCTCCTGCTCTACCTCTATGATCTTGGTCTGGATGATCTTGATCTTCCCCAGCTCCGTCTTCAACTACAGGTTCTAAAACGGATGGAAGGGGACGCTGAGCGGCGCCTACTGGTTGATGTATTCTCAATGGTCCTGGTACGGCTACTCGTCTGGGAGGTGTAAGATGTCGTAACCGTACAACACCAGTTGTAGTAGTTCCTTGAAGTCCGTTATTTTCTGCACGACCTGCAGGATTAGGGTTATTCATGTTCCCTGCGTCGAGCCCAACTTTTCGTACGATGATTTTGTGCACATGAAGTTCCCCATGTGGATACGGAATAGGGAGTGACAGCCATCGTGCGCTAGGATCTTGTGAGTAGTCGAAATCTGCGCTGTTTAGACGCCCTTCAAGTCCACCCGCACTACTTGCAGAAGAAGCACCTGGAAGTCGTACCACAGACAAAGATTGGCCTTCGTAGATGCGGAAGTCGGGATGATCAGAAGAGAGAGGGAGGTTTTGTCCCTCCCCGATATTTGTCGGGCCCGTGCCTAACTCCACAAACTTTAACGCAATGTCCTCTGGTGGTATAGTCGGATACAGGTTTCGTTTCACGAGGATCTCCAAATCAGCCACGTCTCTTACAACAAAGGACTTTTCCCCATCTCCTGACAATGAAGATACTTTCACCTGATAATACTGTATCTTTGTTGATCCTCCTGTTCTCGGAACAGGTTCTTTTTCTATATGTTGTCGTTCTTGGTGGTCTTCTCGAACATGTTGATCCCTGGTGTCCTCTATGAAACTAGCATAATGAGGCTTGTTTCCAAGATTGATCTTAGTGGTTGTTGACTCCATCGGCGTTGACGACTGCGAAGATCCTGAATATGCCGATCCTCTTCCGCTACTGAACACGTCGTCTAAACCTACTTCTGCAGTAGATGACGGCAGTAGAGGTGGGGCGCCGCCACCTGCGTCTTCCTGAAGGTGTAAATACGTTGGACTTGTTGCATGTGAAGTATGAGGAGACTTTGGCAATCCGAACTCTCCACTAATTTTAGGGAACAAGAATCCGAGATGCGTACTACGATCACCACGACTTTGTGGTGACGTTGTTGCTGCCAGCGGGCTCAATTGCCCCCCTTCTGCATCAAAAAAAGTGGTAGAGCTTCCACTTGATGAAGCTGCTCCGTGAGGACTGGCCTGTTCTGCTGCATGAGTTTCGTCGGATATTGGATGTCTTTCAGAATGTTTTTCCACCTTTGCTCCTTCCCCCAGGCGCCTAAAAACTGATGCTCCCAAAGAGGTTGAGCCCCCAGATCTGGACGGCGCCCTCTCATCGGATGACGACGCAGCGGCCTGTTGTAATTCTACTTGATAATTACACGAAGAAGTGCTGCTAGTACTTGCACTAGATGTATTAGAGGTAGGTTTTTGGTGCTCGCTTACCCCGCTGTTTATGCCTTTCTCCCACTCCCTTAGGAGAGAGGCATAAAAAGGGGTAAGAATAGCACCTTTAACCTACTCTTAAATGTAGTTGGAATTGCCGCCAATGCACCATTCAACAGAGCGGCAAGCGCAGAGAAGAGCCGAAAACGAGCTGGATAGGTATGCCTAAAGAACAGCCAAGGCGAACCTGCTTCAAGGGAAGACATCTTTTCTTAATCTTATTCACGGTAGATGGGATTCAAGATTCGAGGGCTTCTCGCTTCAGCCTGGACGCTAAGTGCGACGGCGATGAAACAAAGCACTTTGGCTACAGGTACAGCACGCAGAAGACAAGAAGTAGTACTCAACTAAATTGAGAAATAACAAATTTCAGCAAACTTTAACCTTATTTTAGTATTTCAGTATGTGTCCGATACCTGCTACAGTGAACAAGACCATTGAATTGCAGTCCTAAATTCTGCTACGACTATGATTGAAAAAAGCGGAAATGAAATCGACGCTCAATCTTTCACCCAGTGTATGGATAGGATAGGATAGGAATTGATTCGCCGTCGACAGTTTGATCTGTATCCTCAGGCGAGTATGCGCATGAGCCGTGGGTTCCTTCTGCAGAAAACAGAACCAGAACTACAGGAGCTTCATGATTCCAGAGAACAACGACGACCAACCTCTGTCAAACTGCAGAGTAGTTTGCAATGGTCACGACTAGGTTTCCCTGCCGATGAGAATGAAGCTACTGTGCGTGCGAGCGTCAGATTAAATCGTCTACTTATTTGATGTGTTTTCGTGAAGCAGAGTTCGTGCAAAATCGTATACCTCCGCGAGAAAAGAAAAGCACCATGCTGACTAATAAGAGGGTTGAAGAGGCCTTGGTGCGAGGAAAATCAAATACATTATACACTTGGACCTTACAACTTTAACACCTCAAGGAAGATCGTGGAAAAAGGTCCACCAGTGCCAGGCACATTGAGGCCAGCACAAGATGCAAAGATGAAAATATTTTTAACTCCATATTAACTAGATTGAGTAGACCCACATAATTTTTCAATGCGCTATTCCTATGTTGAATATGGGAACCGCTATAACTAAGTATGTCTATGTAAGCTTTGAATTCTAAGAAGCGAGAATGAAACAGTGAGACATCAAGAACGATCGATACACCATAGTGAAAATCAAATACTAGTATTAGCTTTAGCGATATTAGATTCTAGCAATGGGGATTAGTTTTTCATTTTCTTGTGTTGTCGTGGCCGCGGGGCCTATGGCCATTCTTTGTTTGTGTTTTCTTAAAAACTTGCCAAGTAGATGATGCGATCTGCATTTGGCATGTCTCCTCATCGCCATATTCATGTTGCTCTACACAATAATTGCGGCGTTACAACTACAATTGAAATTGTTGAATGTAACTTTTCATCTCAGTGTATTTTTCAAGCTGTTCTTACGCCACCTTGTCGTATTATTATATAAGTACTTATGTTGTTGTTCCTTGTTCTCCAAAGTTGTACCTAAATTAGCTGGAACTTCTAGTACTTACGCAGTTCCATCCAGTGCTTACGCAGCTCCATCCACCTTGGCCATGTGGACCGCCAAGTCGACCAATCGGTTGGAGTAGCCCCACTCGTTGTCGTACCAGGAGACGAGCTTGACAAAAGTTTCGTTGAGCTGGATACCAGCTTTCACGTCCAAGATGGAAGAGCACTTGTGACCGACGAAATCGGTGGAGACAACCTCATCTTCGGTCACGTTGGGGTTAGAGAAGGAATGTCGTGTCGTTTGGGATAGGGAGACGGGGAAAGTCGGAGAGGAAGGAAGAAGGAAAAAGACACGCATGGAAGATTGGACTACGACTGAACTGTACAAAAAGAACAACCTACCCCCCACAGTCTGACACGAAATGGACTTACAAATACGAAATCTGAGTAGACATATATTTCTAGAATAGATACTTACATACTAGTAAAGGTAACCAAGTACAAGTGTGCCATAACCAAGATGCCCTTCATGTCACCAGCTGCAGCCTCTTTGCACGCTGCGACAATATCCGACATAGAAGCCGGCTTCTCAAGCTTGCACGTCAGATCTACAACGGAGACATCCGGAGTGGGGACGCGGAAGGCCATACCTGAGAGATTTTTCGTGTTTATACTGGATCTCGCCTACGACATGCAACAAGCAAAACTACTTCTGAGAACAAGTACAACATCAGAAGTACCAGTCAACTTGCCGTTCAAAGACGGAATCACTTTTCCGACAGCTTTGGCAGCTCCTGTTGCACTCGGGATAATGTTCTGGGACGCGCAGCGTCCGCCACGCCAGTCCTTTCCACCTCTGCTAGGACCATCGACAACCAATTGGGTAGCCGTCATAGCGTGAACAGTAGTCATCAGACCCTCGGCAATGCCGTACTTTTCGTGAATTACCTTGATGTTGATGTTGTGGTGGAACATTGCTTGAGGTAGTTGTCATCTTTCTGGTGCAAAAACAAATTCTTGATCCTCGTTGTTTTGATGTTGATTTCGTGTTGCTAAATCGATCCACGTATTCTGAAGGAATGGAAGCACAGAAGTTATTATTTCCAAGGAATACAAGAAGCACAGAAGTCTTAGATGAACCTTAGCCAACGGCGCCAGGCAGTTCGTGGTGCAACTAGCGTTGGACACGACAGTCTTATCGCTGGTGTAGGCAGTGTGGTTGACGCCCATGACAAACATTGGCGTGCTGTCCTTTGGAGGTGCCGACATGATAACCTTCTTACATCCACCTTTGATGTGAGCTTCGGGTGTATTAGAAGAGAAGGCTTTTTATTGAGTGGGTAATTGAAGATGTGAGGCAGGCGCATAATTTGAAAATATTCATCTGGCTGGATTCAATTTCAAGCCCATGCATGATGAACACTACAACTACAAGCTAGTTCAAAATTTCGTTCATAACTTTCGTCGTCTCAAGAAACACTCCCGTCGATTCACATACGTAGTCCACATCAGCGTCACCCCATGGAATGCTTCCCGGATCCTTCTCGTGGAACACCTGAATAGCCTGACCATTCACAACCAAAAACTCCTTATCTCCTAGGACTTTGGTCGTAATGGTACCCTCGAACCGCTTATGGACGGAATCGTATTTCAGTTGGTAGACCTGCGGGATGAGAGTGTTGATATGTTGAGTGGCTGATGGTTGGTCCTTGTGCTTCTGTGTGTGATTTTTGTACTTGGCGACAAGAAGTTTGTTAAAGTCGGTATGTCCATGTAAGTAAGTATATCAAGCAGGAGAAAAAGGTGCACATGAACGAGCTAAAGATAGCAACAAATTGTTGAATCAGAATCTTACCATGTATTCCAAGTCCATAAAAGGGTCATTGATGCCGTTGACGTTCACAGCTGGGTTTTCCATGGCCGCGCGAAAGACCAAGCGGCCAATACGGCCAAAACCGTTGATACCGAACTTAGCACCCGTCATTTTGTTGGTTGGTTGGAGGGGTAGATCCAAGTATGAACTACTCAGATTGATGACCTGGTTGCTGGTTTGCTATTGCGAATGCGAAAAACTAGATTCTAAATTGATTTGAGTTTTTCAGGTGGATCATGTGTTGATGTAGTGTTTGTTTGAATCAAATGGTGATCCCGTGTGTAAATGCAATTGCAATACATCAATATCTATAAAAGTACTAGTCGATAGAGTCTTATTATCAAATGAATTGGACATGGACCCCACATCCAGAAATGTCAAGTTGATCCCGTCAAAACCGATGGTCTATGAAGGACGTGACTGTACTCTTCTGTATTCTTGGCAGCCGCTCCCAAATCCAAAAAAAAGAGGATACAACTTCTACATGGGGAAAACATAAAACTAATCAATCGACTGGAACTCCACCTTCACCTTGCATTCACCTGGCCCATCAATCCTTGTCGTTATCTTCCTGTCGATGAAAAAACGCACAGTCCTTTCCATGTTGATCGCAATCTAGTACCTGCAACCAGCTTACAACAGTAGACAAGCAGCTAAACCAAGTCACGCAAGAAGGGAAACAAACGTCACCCTGTTCTCCCGCTAGGTGCGTCCGGGATGGCAGGAATGAGCGACGTTGTAGTCAGCCCAAGATTGCATCTTCAAACCTCCCACGCAATAAAATACTATATATTATACAACTCTTCCTGTTCCTTGTTCTTTGAAGCGCGCCAAAAAATCAATGTCCTCTGATGTTCTCACAACATGCAGTTGTTCACTTTCTTCCTAAATTATGCTCGTGGTGGTGCCACAGCCACAACGAAACGATCTTATGACATAAGACTTATATTGAAAGATATCGATAATCTTTTGATGCGGTGAAGATTTTATTTCATCTATCGTGTCCAACACGGTCCCAATAAAAGGGGAACTTAGAAACAAGAATAAACATATGAGCAGGTCTCATATTTCACTTATCGAAACACAATTCAAGAAACAAAAGAAATAGGGCCATTCTTTCTTTGAACGTGATGCCTCATTGAGAGTCCTAAAACATTCACAGCGAATGTCATGTCATATGTCTCCAATCTGACCTGCCGAATCAGCTTTGAGACCAGACCCAAAGGGATAACCCGATGAGCATATAGTAACGTACTAAGCCGTGAAGAGCATGATCCACCACTGCAGACCTAGCGTGGAAAAAACTACTGAATACGACCGCGCTTTGGGCATATCAAATCAGTCTACGCCAAGGAGCAATCCAAGAACCATTATTTCACAAAACTGAAAAGCGCAAGATAGAAAATTGTGGTGATGAGCAACTGCATCTTTGAAGACACAAAGAGGTGGTCGGTGCAAGTCCTGAATGTTCAACTTCGTTTCAATTGTCGTAGCGATAACCACAAGATAACAGCGTTGCTTCAAACAAGCTAGTATACGTCATGGTTAAGTAAAAGTGGCTGAGCGATACTCTGCTCGGGATCTTGGAAGGCGGGAAGCTAGATACAGAACACCGAGTCTCGAGGACCTGCACTATCGTTGGTAGCCACTCCTTTGGACTCAACAACTACAACTTTGATTTGTTCGGTTGACGAAGGTCTAACCTACTTGTAACACACGGTGTGGAAAAGGGTTGGCGGAGGCCTAACCTTAAACAACTCAAAGTCTTTGTGGTTCGTTTATGTCTTTCCAAAACGTCACTTTGGTGTGTCGTGTTTAAGTCCCGACGAAGGTCTGGGCTCAACTATGTAACTGTTCTTCGTGGTTCGAACTACTACTAACAACACTGCGCGGAGGCGTCAGTGACTAACCCTTTGCTGCGCGAAGGCGTCAACAGTTACGCTTACAGCTGCGCGGAGGCGTCAGCAACAATAGTACAAACAAGGTATGTTTCAAATGATCACTACGGACTAGTTACGTTCTAACTATCTTGTTTAGTTCTTATCTTATGGTTGGACGGTGTTCAACTATATGTGGTTCTAGTTTTGGATATAACTATGTTTGCAAAGGATGTTATGTTTCAATATCGGAGATCAATTAACAATTCATATGATATACACCTAGGCCGACGGGCTTACCAAGTGATTTACAATCCTAAGTTTGGCTGGGTTGTGTGAGGATTTGTTGAGGCTCTTTTACTTTCGATCTATGTTTCTCCAAGTGAAATGTTCAACAACTTCATACACAACCTTTCGTTCAACAACTTCAACTTTCTACTTCATCATCAAACAGCAAGTTTCAGACTCAAGGTCGACTTCGATCACGATTTCGATCATTGCACGCATTGAATTTTCCACGTTTGAAGTCGACTTTCTTCGCACGTCTTTTGTTCGGATCTTCGATTCGTGTTTTGATTTGCTTTTCTTCTTTTCGACCGATATCTGGATCCTGTCTAGCTTTGACTACCACCTTCCAATCACCACCTTAGAGTATGTCGTCTACCAGTTCACATATAATCGACCAACGCCTCTTCGGCATAATCTAAGGTGGTGCGGTTAATCTGTTGCGATGGAGGCAACTAGACTACCGTGGTCGCCATGGAGAGGTGCTAGTAATCCAACAGGAAATTTGGGTGTTTCGCTTGTTTCCCATTGGGAGTCCTGCATGAAACGATATATCTGCGTGAGTGGCTTTCCTGGCTTCACGTTTCCGAAAGCTAACACGTGGTCCAATGTAAATCCAATCGATGGGTCCGTTCGCGGTGGCGTAAGCGTGTACGTGTTTGCTTTATCTGAAACGGTGATTGGTATTCGTTCGAATTTGGTTTCTTCGAGCATTTCGTTGAACAACTCATTTTCTTCTTGCGTGAGCGACGGGATAAGAGCTCCTTCTTCATCTACCCGGGGAGCATTTTCCGAGATTCCTTCTCGATTCAAACTATGTAGTGCATTGAAGTCGCCAGCCACGACAATCGGGGTTTCTCGACCGATATCATCGCGTAATCCGTTTAGTAACTGCGCGAGGTTCCTGTCGAAGATTTTCCGGGTCACCAGTCGTCTGAGTCCAGGGCGGCTGTTCACGGAGTACACACCTACTGCTAGAACGTGGGGTGTTTGTACGCTTATTATCCGCCCTTCCATTGACGCGCAAAATTCATGGGTTCCGGTCGGTTGCAGCAACTCGGTCTTTATCGTTCCTTTTGCTGAAGCTCGTGCAAGAGCTGCGACCCCGAAGTTCCCCGGTCGTAATAATGCGCTGGCAAACTTGATCTGCCAGTCATTTGGTGCAGCGTCATTTACGATCTCTCGTAATGTGTTGGTCCACCGGTCTTCGTCTCTTGTCGCGATTTTTGTTTCGAGTAATAATATTATATCTGCCGTGCGCAACAGCAAATACAATCGTCTCCATCGTGGGAACGATTCGAGTGTTCTGTTGAGCCCATCGATGTTCCAGACGGCGATCAGCAAATTGTTGTGACGTTTGTATTCGATCTCTGCGAATCGTACATGGTCCGATAACGTAACCTGCTCGCCAATCAGCTCGAGTTCCGATTCGTATATTGCTCCGAGATTTTGGAGTTCATAGAGGCGTTTTTGTATTTCTTCTTGTGAACACCCCGAACCGCGCAAGTACGCTCGGACGCATGATAGTGTGAGTCGCAACGGAATCAATTGTGACGCTGTAATGGGGTTCAAGCCCCGGTACGGTCGACCGTCGAGTCGTTGAATATATGCTGACCGCGCACAACCTCTCGTGATGGCAAAAATTTGTCTGATGTATCTAGATTCCCATTTCCGGGGTGCAGGACGTAATCGTGCGATAAACTGCCCGCGGCCTAACCACATAGAAAGGTCATTGCGGGGTTCGGCCATGCGGGTTTTGCGTTTCTTCAAGTTGGAGGCTTCTCTATGTGCCGCTCTTGTCGCAGTTGCCAACGAAATATTCAACGAAAATTCTGCCCCCTTCTCAGATGCTGTTGCCTGTGGAACGGTTTCGCAAATGAGGTGTGGTTCGTGCAATCCTGTGCGGAGTCCTCGACCTCTGTAGCCGACAATGTGACTAGCATCTCCTGTTAATCGTGGTCGGTCAATGATGTGGCGAACAACAGCGTTCAGTCGTGTGTCCCATGAGGAATCGTTTTGCAAATCTGTTACTGCTCGTTCTTCATCGAACTGCCATGCTGAAAATCCGTCGTCTTCTTCGGCCCGGACAAAGCAATCGACGGAAATCAAGTTAATGCGAACACCTTTGTTAACCTCCGCATGTGGTGCTTCGACGACTTCTTGCGCTTCGGGTTGGTAAGCGGCACCGTATGCGATTTGAGGAGGTTCGATTGATAGTTCAGAAAGGTGGAGGCGACGCAGTTGTTTTTCGAATTCTTGTAAGAAATGTGATCCGTTGTCGCACCGGATTTCGGTATATCCCCCAAATTCAGCGTATTTGTTAATTCTGAATACCTCCTGAGCCGCGGCTTCGGCCGTAGCCTCTGGGAGCGCTGTGGCCCACATCACCGGTGACGCGGCGTCGACAGCTGTGAAAATGCACGTGTTTCCTGCGGAACTTCGCGGCAAGTGCGTCATGTAATCTATGAACAAGGTAGTCCCTGGAAATCCAACTGTGGTGTGGTCGCCGCGGGGCACGCCCGGTGCAGGTTTGTGCGACGACGTGTACAAACACTCAAGGCAATATTCGACGAGTTCCCTCGCGACTTTGAGGACATCGTCATGAAATAATCGGCGTTGTCCAAGTAACAGTGCCAAGCCAAGTGGTCCCTCGTGGAAACGGGACGTATGTACAAAATCAAGCACCTGTCGCAAGACGCTGACATCTGATGCTCCGAGGCATTGTGGGACGACTGTTCGTGGAAGCCAAAGGAACCATCCGCGTCGCGCGCGATGAACGTAGACTAATCCGCCATCAATCGCAAACCGCCGCGCGTCAGCAATAAGTTGTCGCAACAATCTGTCATTCGTTTTTTCATTTCGTGCTTGTCTCGCTCGTCGCAATGCCGACGTTAATTTCTCTTCGGTGAGTCCGCGAGAAAGAGCATCTTCGATGTCGAACAGATGCGCAAGCTCTTTTCGCGAGCCTTGTGTAATCGCTTGAAGTAGATCTCCCGGAAGCGTCAGTGTGTAGGAGGGTCTATGTTGGTAAAATGCAACCATGCACGGTGTCTGAATTTCGATACCGCGGCCAACGATTTTCACACATCCGGGAATAATACACCCAAAGTACAGCACTTTCGCATCCTTTAGCACCGCGACGCGAACGGAGGAATCAGGGACCTCTGCATAGATAATGTCTTGCCTGAAATCCTCTTGCTGGTCCCGGTGGTCGTGGACCTGTACAGCCGTCACCGTTTGTAGTCGTGTTTCTGGGAACGCGGTCTTATATAATTTTATCCATGCCCACGCTTCAACGGAGTCGTGGTTATGGGTGCCACCACATTGGTCAGGTGCATCTTGCCATATCGTGGCCGCGATATCCGCAACACGCTTCCGACGTCCACTTGTTGGATCTGTTGTCGTTGTATGGGTGTCTGCCGGTAAGTCGACCGCCGGTGTTTCGACCTGAGGTGGTGGGCCATGTTGTTCGGGCTCATCAGGTGCGGCGCCGATCTGTATTGGCGGCGGTCGGGGAACAGTTTCGCGTGGTCGACCCGCGTCTGGCACTCCGACACCTCGTCGAATGTCTTCTTCGTCGATAGTCCGCCCGCAAATGTAGTAATGGGCGTTGCCATCGATTTGTGTCAAGGTACAACTTGCACATTCAAATCCCGCATACGGTAACCCCGCAAAACACCGGGTCCCAGCAGGCATGAGCGAGACTCTATATCCACCTCTCCGGCTGGCAAGCGCTTCCCACTGCGCTTGTGTTTCAGCTCCCTGGACCATATCGTACACAACATATTCTGTCGGTCGTGGTGGGTGTTGTGCGGTTGGGAACAACGATGAAGCAATTCTTTTGAATCGTTTGTAAGGGCTGTTCTCGTCCGACACCCCCCGAAACCGCAGGTCACGTCGCCCTTCCGGTGGGAAAGGGTATTTTGGACGAATCGACAATGCGATACTGTCCTGTCCTTCCGTTCCAACCCGACCTACGTACAAGGACAAGGGTTTTTTTAGCGGGAATGTCACGGGAACGGTAGGCTTTTCGCGCGGTGCAGCCGTCTTTCGTTCTTCGAAGTTTTGTGCTGAAAGTGGTGTTATCGTTGTCAAACATTGCGACGTCCTCTCTGAATTTTTCAATTTGTTATATCCACTTGCTGTGACCTTCGTCAGCCCCTGCAACATTTCTCTCCAGACATCGGCGCACGAGAATAACGGCAACACCGCTGGCATAAAGCCGCGATTTAGTTCTACTGCTTCGCAAATTAATCGCCCAAGTGGATCTCCTTGTCGGACTGCTAGGAACATGGCGGAAATGTGGATCGGGACTCCATGTATGAACGAGACATGATCGGTCAACAAACCCTCGAGGAGCATCTCCAGTAAGTGGATCTGAAGGATGCGGCCAAGAATGCCTTCTAGTTGTATTTTCCTGAATTTGCCCCACGAAGTGTATTGAGGCTTCGGGGGGTGGTATGCTCGTGCAATCGTGATGGTGGGGAATTCTTGTCCCTCTGCCCATAGGGCCTCTCCAAGCACAAGGCAGACTTTAACCACCATCAATCGTAAAAAAACAGGCAACGTCTTTTCGAATTTCTGCAATAGAATTTTTGCTGTTCGATCGTGCCACTCCTTAAAGGAGTCGGCGGTCCGACGGTTGCGGGCTTTGTCCAATCGTTCTTTCATCCGTTGGATTATCTCTTCGTCAGTCGCATTTTGTGTAATCTTGGACCGAAATTCGCGGACGTTCAGCTGCACTTCGGGCTGCAAATGCCTGAACGACGCCAGCGAGACATCTTCTGTCGGGGATGGTGTCTCTGCGGTTTCGTGGGCGTCGTAATTCTCAAGCTGCACAAATACGAGGAACCGCGGTTGCAGTCGTTTCCCGGTTGTGAGGTCTGTCACAAGGATTTTTGGTGTGACCGACACGGGTCGATTACCCAACGCGGTCACGACAAACTCGACTCCTTGCTCGATTTCCTCAATTGAGAGGACGGTCAGTGGAGGAGAGCAAGTGACTTCGGTGATCGTTGAGGCGAACGCGATCTGCACGGAGACTCTTTGCGCCGGTAAGTATTGGCCAATCTCTCGGATGCAAAGCAGATGCCGGGTTGCGAGATTAGGCTGCAAAACCGACTTACGGATTGTGTGTGTTGAGCAAAGCTGGCAGGCCGTAAGGAGACCTTTCAAACCATGATCAACCGGTGTATGGGTGGCATTCGGAGCCACGGAGCACACAGAATACCGCCGGAATGTCGAGACCGCCTCTTCTTTGACCGTCTTTGCAGGTTGTGGTGCGATTTTCCCATGTCCATATAACTGCTTCACCAAATCAATAAGGTCTTGGAATTTTTCGCGTCGTATTTCTTCTTTGAGCGGTTCCTGGTGAGTCCCTTTGTCGGCGATGTTCGCGTCCCGCAGTACGTTTGCGAGATAGCATTCGTCCTGTGAAAGCCCTGTCAAGATCTCGGTGACTGCAGCCAGCAACGAGCGCATAATGGTCCCATTTGAGCACACAGACCAGAGTTGGCTTAACGACAACACACTATTATCGAAATGAAGTATGTATGCGACCTGAGGCAACTTAGGTCTGACGATCCGCACCCAGAAAAGCAATGCGAGTACTTCGGCGTGCAGCGAGTGAGCACCGATTCGCCGTTTCTGGTCCTTCGAGAATTTTTTTGAAGCTGCTAGTACAAGTCGATTCGTCCAAACTCCGGCGATGAGTTGTAGCTGGACCACGAAGCACGCAACTCTCGTTAGGGAAGCATCGATGGAAACACGCAAAAGCCCACATTGTCCAGCTGGGGCGGCATGCCAACCTCGTGCACCCACCAAATCAATTTCCGAATGTTCCACTGTTGATGAGAGCGAGTCCTTCAGTTTTTCAAATGCCGCTTTTGCTTTCTCGTCCTTTGCCATCAATTTGTGTTTCTTAGGTTCTTGGAACGATGCCAAATAGTCCGTATCGAAGTGTTAGAACGCATCTCTCAAATAAGACGCGATCGCCAAGAACTGGGTGAGGCATTTAACACTAGAAGAAACTGCCTCCCACTTGTACGCCCGGATTGCGGCAGCCTTCGAAGGGTCGACGATCCGGCAACGGCGAGGGATGTCGATTCTCCATCCTAAAGCATCGACGATCTGGGCAATAATGACCTTTTTCAACGAGAAAACGCAACCGGTCTGGATGCTGCGCACTAATGTGATCGCCAAACGGTAAAGGAGCTGGAGCCCAAACATGAAAACAAAACTCAAATCGTCTACATACGGAATCAAGAACTCACGTCCACGAACGTGCATTTCCAAGAACCGGATCTTCTCCTCTGCTGTTTTCCTCTGGTCAGCCCGACGTGGGAGGTGCGGGTCTTGTCGGAAAAACTGTTGCGCCGGAACCTGAGGTTTAAGGCAGTTCAACAATCTTTGTGCCCACATTGATGGTCGCACTTCCGCTTCGGTTTCTTCAGCTGATTCGACTGTCGAGTCTGAATCTATTCCACGGTCATCACGGAATTCGAGGAGCGGGGTCACCGGAATGTGCCCATTGATTCGGACTGGGTTTGAGGAAGCTTCGTATTCTGAGTCATCATCGGAAAGGCTTGGTTGGAGGTCTGGGACGTGGTCGTGGGAAGCAGCAACATGTCGGTGTTGTCGGGTTGTCGACCCTGCCTCGCCTGCCAAGAGGGCATCCCCTTGTTGGAACACACTAAACCCGGAGCTGCGAGGACCCTCGGCCAACTCTTTGACAGCGGTTTCAAGACGGTTCCGCGCGTCGGTATCATCCAGCGTTTCGTCCGAGCAATTCGCGAACAGGGTTTCTGTATCCTGTTGTGTAAGTCCAGGTTCGCGGAGTCGTCCGAAAAAGGTTTGGGTTCCCGCACAGAAAATCTGAGGTGCAGGGCACCAGCCTAGGAACATCCTCAACGGTTGTGCTACGCGATGCGCGAAAACCCAGGTCATGTACCGATACAAACGTTGTGACAGCAACCATTGGAATTATCCTTTTGCGTTATCTAGTTGGTCCGCTCCTTCGGTCTTATCGTCGCGGAGCATTTGTGCGGCCAAATGCGCATCAGAACAAGTTTCATCGTTCCATACTGGAACACTCGGTGTTGTGGTTTTTTCGCCTTGATTCGTCGGTTGCGCGGAGTTTGAAACCGGCTTGCGGATCTCGTGCACCAACCCCTGGGCAAGTGAGAACAGCAACAGGAAAATCAAAACGATCAATCCACAGCCACTTCCCCGCAAGAGGTGCGGTTGCCATCTGTTGCGGAAACGGAGGGTGTGATCGGGGTCTTGCACCCACTTGAACGCAGCCATTCGCTGTTGTGGGTGTAGTTTGTTCCCAAGTGCGTCGTCGACGCCGGGCTGCGAGTCTTCTGCGAGCGACGCACGGTACTCGTCGTATTCTTTACCGGAATCCTCATCGTCCGAATACAGAAGATCATCCATGTTCGTGGCCTCGACGTCCGGTTCTGAAAAATCGGCTGTGACGGCTGAAGCATAAGCTGGCGTGGAGCAAGCAGCAGACGTGGCTTCACCATCCTCATCTACTAGCACCGCGGAATACGCCATAGCACCGTGGGAGCAGAATGAAGAGAAGGAGGTGCCTTCGATTCGGGAAAGTGCGGTTGTATCGATGGGCGGCAACTCGGCGGCGGAATAGTTCGAAAAAACAGTTGGCGGGACTTGTGGGAGCAACTCCGGGTCATATTGTTCAAACAAAGTGTCTCCAAACGTTACTCTGGTTGCACTACTCGTTGAGGTAGTTGCATCTTGAGTTGTCGTTTTTGGTTGGACAATGACGCTCGTGCAGCCATTGTTGGCCGCTCTCGTTTCCGGCGTCGGAGGACACGTTTCGGGACTACTGGTCTCTATATCGACTTCCCTTTCGTCTCCTTGCATAACAGTGTACAAGGCGCGAACTTGTTGGGGCGCATCGACAGGGGTACCACATTTTTCGAGTTCTGCGACTGCAAGTTTCTTATGGTTCTTATCCTTCACGTTCAACTTACGCTTTTCACAAAACTGTTGGAAATAATCGTGATTTTTTGCTCCCGCTGGCGCCCGCGGTACAAAGAAATTGGAGACCAATGTTTTCGAGGCCTCGTGGAAAATCCGTTGAAAAACGTAGCACCCGATCGAGTCGCCGGGTGCACCTGCAAACGGCATCTGATACCCGAGCCGCATCATCAACTGATGCCCTCCGATGAGGCTGTCACTTGGATACAGCCATGACACGGCCATTGCTCCCATCCCACGTCCCAAATATTCCCATTTCTTAGGAGGTGTGCAGATAGGGTTTCCAGTACGGTTTAACGTTTGGAACGTCCAGTTCCCGACTAGAGACCTTCCTGCTCCAGGTGCAGGCCCGATAGGGACAACGTTCCGAGGTTCGCCCGGCCCGATGCGCCACCATTCGTAGGCGCCCTTTACGTTCTTGAGCCAACCCGCAAAATGCAGGTCAAGGTGAGCATATCGGAGCACTTCTTTTAGAGGTCCTGTCGGTGCGCCTAAGTTGACAAGTTCTGTCACTCCTTGCATCGTGAGGAAACCAATGCCATACGCTGCTAGGAAATATGCGTTCGCAAGTGTGTGCCCCAGTAGATATAGGGATACAAAGCAGCCAGTATCCAGGAGCATCAGTGTAACAACAACGTCGCCATTTTTCCCGTAAGGAATTCCTACCCAAACACGGTTACCGAGAGGATCGACAGAATATTCACCGGTTTTACCCGTGGCATCTTGTGCAAGTTGCGTCTGTCGCTGGAATCCAAGTTTCGTTCGGAGCTCGTCACAGCCGGAGCCAATGCGATATGTCAAATTCACCGCGAGACCGCATCCCGCACTTCGTTCCGCGTCCTTTGGGTGCCAGTACAACCAGGCCGAAATGCAGAGGGCGCCAAATGCATTGGCGAAGCCGATTGCGTTACACTCGATTAAAGCGGTGAAAATCCAACAAACAGCAGACCAGGTAAGGCACACCCAACACAGAAAGTAGCATGGATCTGCTTCTGGGAGCGGGTGTCGCCAAGGGTGACGGCACAAAGCACGCCGGGTTCGGTACGCAGCTTTGCGGGTTTCAGGCGAGCGGTAGTGAGCCGCGCGGTATGCACAATCCACATATGCATCCCTCGCATCAACTACTTGGGTTGTGTCAACTGGTTCCGAAGTAACTGTCGCCAGGACCGTCGGATCCAAGGTCGGAAAAGCATATCGCAGTTCAATCTCGTTGATTCCGCCTTGCACGCGCAACAGCACAACACCTTCCGAAGAAACCACGTCCACTTGGTAATCCGCTCGAACCTGCTTTCGTCGGAACAAACTTCCTTTCAACACTGTGGCTCCATTTATCGGTGGGCCAAGTGGCAAGGCATAACGTTGCACGGACTCAAGGACAGAGATCGGGAGGCGCAGTGCAGAGGCTTCAGGCCAATATTTCAGGTGGGTGCCGCACTGTTCCAAGACAGACCTCCACACATGTCGACCGCGGCTCGGCGCATCTCCACCCGGGGGCGGAAGCACGACGGAAACTTCCAGCGCATCGGATGTTTGCTCAAACCAACGATTCAGGGACAGTTGGTTTTCAGGGGCAACGAGAACGAGATCGTGTTCGTATCTGAGTAGCTCAAACGCAGCGTCGAAGACGAACGAGTTCGGTATTTGGTTATCGAACGACCAGACCACCAAAATCTTCGTTGGGCGATCTGGACGACTACGGGTGGACGTGCGAATCTGCGGGCCCACCTCGTCCAGCTGATAGACGTCTCGGCGCCGTTGTCGGAAAACTTCCTCGACGGTGTAACCGGCATCTTCGAGGACGTCAACTTGGGACGCGACCGCCGCACAATTAGTAACCAAGATGTACGATGTGTCGTACGACAGTCGGACGCCACGTTCACGTGGTGTGTAGTATAGTTCCTCTTCTCGGTTCGTCTCGCTCGACGACCGGTCCTCGGGCAAGTGCTGGCATCGGACCATAGGTTGTTGAGATCCTTGGTGTCCACCCTCGGAACGCCGTGGCGGTAGGTGTGCAGGTCGAGAGAGTTTCGCAAAGATATCTTGAAACGGTGAAACCAGGTGATCGTCTACAGGAGGATGGGCTGTCGTTTCGACCTCAGGGAGGCATTTAACTTCTCGCAATGCGCTCTGTGCGCAGCAGGTTTGAGCACAGGAATTCTCGGTCTTTAAGTCACCGCTACGAAGGCGCAATAACTCGGAATTTTGCGAAAGGCCACTTTCATCCACGTCAGTTACAGGAGACAGTTCACCGAAATCGACAATTTCAGCCGTTGGCTCAGCATTCGGAGCCACCGCAGTGGTCGCAATTGTTGTTGAACCACTAGTAGCATAACTTTTTTCAACCCTCATGACAAACAACGCTTGTTGCTCGAGCGTTTGGTATTCTAACTCCGGTACCCAACGAAGCAAGTTGCCCTGTTGGCTCCATTCTGGCGCTGCAAGCCGAGAGCACGGGTCGGCGATAACACACAAATCATGTGCTGTTCGCAACTGCTGGGAACGCGCGCAGTCCCAAAAGGAGCGATGTCGGGGTTCCGCAGACAATGTCAAGTCCCAAATCACGAGCGGCCAGCGGCCATTTACTTGAACTCGGTGTAACGAGTAACCACCAGCCGACGTTTGCGAAAACGTTTGGCGGTCAATCATGTATCCATATTGTTGGAACAGCGATCGCGCTTGGCTAGAAGCCCACGATCGAGAATTGGTGAACAAATGGTAGCGGACCCCGCGGCGCAGCAAACCAGTAGAACTCTCGTCTGTTCGGAACGCATTTGGAGAAAGGGGCGTCGGCATTGGAAAGGTTGTATTGCTTATCAACGGAGGGTCAATTCCCAACATGTTCTGCGAGTCCACCTGATATCGGGGCCACAAGGTCCTAATGATCTGTTTCCAGCACAACGTAGCAGACAAATATTCAAGTTTCGAAGTCGGGATCAGGACAATCCGGTGGTCACTTTCTTCCCGGCGCAATCGAGTAACCAGAGTTTCGACTTGTCCGAAATGCGCAACTGCCGCGATCACAATAATGCGATCTGTTTTGCGGGTGATAAGGATGTCACAAAGCCGTTTGGAACAGGACGTTCGGTTATCCAGTCGCCAAACAGCAACAACCTGTACATTGTCTGCTGGAGGCGTGGGTGACTTGCTATGCAACCAGCAACAAACGGAGTCATTCGACTCGGGCCCATTGATCGAAACGATGGGCAAGAGATGTTGTATTGACAGGTGTTCCGCGCCCTTTCGGATTCGAGAGCAATTGGCCAGAACCATTAAAGGCGATCGCGCATCGAGATCGAGGTCCTCACACCAAGTCGCCGGGTGAGAGGCGGGCGGTATCACTGCGGAACCCTCCGATGCAACTCGAGGCAGACATCCCGATCTAGAAGGTGGATGAAGCGATGAAAGGGGCATGAAACGGCAATCAGCTGCCCGCAAGAATTCCCAGCAACCCTTTTGTTCGGCTTCGGAATCCAATCCAGAGGTGAGAGGCAACCGGTCGGCCGGGCGGTCAAATTCACCGATCTGGAACCGTGGTTCGGGTTCTGCAGCTGGGCTAGTTAAGAAATCGGGTTTGTTTAATGCAAGTCCCAAGCAAGTTCCCCGAAGTTGTTGGCAAACCCGCAACCAATAATTTTGGGCCAACCAAGCAGGAGAGGCAAAGAAACGGAGGCGAACTTGGGACAACAGACCAACTGTGATATACCGAGATCGTGCATCCCAGCAGGTGGCAACAAAGAATTCAAAGCTGTCAGATGTCTGCATCCAATAGCACAGTTCTGCGACCAACGCTTTCACCATTCCCCGGGACCACAGTTCGAACGGAACGTCGTCGGCACCTTCCGGTTCAACAGTAGCCGGTTCATTTCCAGGAGGAGGGTCAGCGGCTTCTTGCCCCGAAACAACATCGACGAATTCGGTGGTGGCAGCCAACATCTCGGTAAAAGCCGTATAAGTGTCGGTGAAGTTGAAGCTGCGATACAGCGGCTGTGAGTCGCCCAGAGCTTCCACGCGGTCGTCAAAACCCGCCGATGGGTCCCGCGGAGGTTGTTGGGCTGATCTTGCCACCGAGAACGACCCTACTCCTGGGAAGACTCGCGTGTCCCTGTCGATCCACGCGTTAGGAGGAGGTGGAGGGACGAAAGCGCTTTGCGGTAACGGTTTACCGGCTCGAAGGGCCTGTGTTTGAACTTTCCGAGATTCGGGATCAACCGGTACGTTATGTTCCATCGGGACGTCTCGCAAGCGACAAGCGAGTTGATGTACCGAGACAGACTCCATCGAAGTCTCCTGCCCATTCCTTAGGTTTCCCGAATTGGCCGGCATCAGATGCGAACGACAGTCACAACAACCGCGGGTGTACATCGAAAACTGGTTACCAGCAAAAAACGCCCCAATCGGGTCCAGATTCCCATGACCCATCAACCCAAAGGTCGGGTCTCGAGGTTGGTCTGCCATCACAGGAACATAGTTTGGTGGCGGAACAACTCCAAGTTTGAAACTCTCCGAACCGGTTTCCGTCGAAGGACTTTGTGAAAACAAATCCGGACTTCCGAGGTTGTCAAGATCAGTGTCATCACCGTCCAACTCAGCAAGAGCGAGAACGTTTTCCAAAAGAGCGGCAAAGGTGTCGGAAGACTGTTCGGTCAAGATCGTTTTGAGGCCGTCGACATTAGGGGACGCATGCGCTTTTGCACCCATGCTCAAGGCGATGTCGTACAGCTTGCACTCCTGCAAAATCTTCTTGACTTCCGAGTTTCGGCTCTCGTCCAACCATTTTTTGGACCCACCAGCAGCCGCGATTGTGGCAGCTCGGACTACGAGAGACTCTCCGGGACAACTAGTAGGCGCGATCCGGTTGCAAAGGAGGTTGGACGCGTTGTGGTCCGGGTTGGCCCGGGCGCGCACTTTCCGAAGCGCCGTCGGGCAAAGGGAACGCCGCCCCCCACTTCCATCCCCCAACGTGATGTACATAAGTTTGTGATGAATTTTGCAATCAGCGCAGTCCTGGGTAACGGTCGTCACAACGCCCGCTGCTTTTCCGATGCCGCCAATCAAATCGGACGCATCGTGATCCGCGGTCGAGTGGAGGGTTGAATGACACCGAACAACTGGCCCTCGAGACCGGGAGTCACCTCGGACTCGGTTTTCCGAACTGCCTTTCCCGACGCCTTTAGGGCTCTCGCGAGGTCCCTTACCTTTCCCGGGCCCGCGTTTACCACTTCCTTTCTTCCCACCTTTTGGTCCTCCTTTGGCAGCGTATTCGGTCCAGGCGTTTGCAACAAGGACCTCTGCGAACATGTAATCCGCTGTGACAGATAGAAACTCTTCGGCGGGGTCATCTTCCACGTCAAGCGCGTCGTACGAGGTGTTTTCGTTATGCAACCCGCTTGGGCCATTCATCAGCGCAAGTGTACCGTTACCATCTATGGACCCGAACCCACCAGGACCGTAAGAACCAAGGGTTTCAACGGGCATTGAGGCCAGTGCGGAGGGTGCAAACGGAACAACGCAATGTCCATACACGTGTGGGTTCAAACTATTATACGGACAAAGAGGTGCGCAAAAAACTGTGTCGGTGCAGTCACCAGGGTCTTCATCGCCACCTTGATAACCTCGATGTCGGCCGCGTCGGTTAGCGGGGGCGTAGTGGACGTCCAGCCCCATAACACGCGTAACTTGGGCGTTCTGGTTGCAGTATCTCACTAACTTCCGGAGACTAACGCCGAAAGCTTTATCGTGTTGATCCGTGGCGTGCCGATCTCTCGAGTCACGTGGTAGAGGCTCGTTTAGAAGTTCGTCCGTCGTCCGCTGCACTGTTTTCGCGACCAACCCGATGAGGTAATTAGGTTGGAAAGTGGCACACCTGGCGAAGAAGATGTCCGTTCCATATGTGTAATCGCGGATGCCGAAACCAAAGCGGTCCAGTTTGTCCTCCGTTGTGTAGTAGTGGGTAGCCCATTCGCCCATTGCCGTCCGGGCCGCAAAACCCGTATTATCAACTTCAAAATAGAATTCTTGTTGAATCTCCATCAGCAAATGGTCATACTGGATATGACAGTTCAGGGCCAAAGCCGTCTCGAAAACCAAAAACGGTTCGAGTTTGTTTGCATGTCGCATCTGGACCGAGTCAGCTCGTCGAAGAGCTTGTCGGGCTTCTTCGGATTTGAGCTCCAAACCCGTGTTCAAAATTTCCCTTCGGAATTTCTGCGAACGGTAGAGTTGGATGCGTTCTCGCAAGTCAGACATGTACTGCTGGTGTCGTCCCCAACTATCGCGGGTGTGGTTGACAACTTGGGCTCGGAAAGGAGGGACCGAGACACCACCGCTACCGGCGCTCTTGAAACCAAGATCGTCGTCAAATAATTGTGCATACGCTTCGCCCAGTAAAGCTGCCAAACTTTGTCGGACAGGCCAGCGTCTAGGCAAGTCCGAGTCGACACAAGCCATCCGACGGTAGTCCCACGGACCTTGCGTATTCGGGCGAATCATCCCAAACGTCGGAGGGGCAGCAGGCAAGGAAGATAGGTCATTAGGAGCAGCTACCAACGTATGGTAACTGGAACCCGGGGAAGCTACCGGGATTGCGGTCCCGCGGCGGGCGGTAACATTCGTGGTGACACACTCATCAACCCCTCCCGCAAAGCACTGGGTGTCAGAAGGGTCGAGGTCCGAACGGATTTTACGCAGGTAACGTAACTCGTCTTTGGCTCGAGTATATTGCTGCAAGTGTTCGGGATCACAACCACCCTTTAGTCCTCCAGAAGCATCGGCGAGGCGGACACCTAGACGGCGTTCGTATTCAGGAAACGGATCTGTGTAAGCCCAGCCCGGCGTGAGAGCACTGGAGCTTGAGCAACAAGACTCACTATCTTCCATTGAAAGGGCGGCATCTTCAACATCGTCGCACGTCCCACCGAACGCCTGGCGCAAGTTTGCACCCCGTTCTTTCCGGCGTGTCTTCCGTGTTTCAGGTTTGGTCTCCGCTCCAAACTGCGGCTTCTTTCCTTTTCCTTTGTACCACGGGTAAGGGCGGGAAACCGAAGAAGGCATGAGGCTGTCTCGCAAACACTGCGCCTCCACAACTTCCGACGGCAAAGCGACTTGTCCAGGTGGAAGCTCGGCCAACGAATCACGGGTTTGTTGGCAGAGGGTCTCGAGGGCCGATTCAGGGCTCTCAACGGTGCTATCAACCAGATGTTTCTCCCGTCGTAGGTCGCCGGGGCTCTTAACTGGTGTTTCGGCCACCTGCGATCCGCCAGTTACCAAAGAGCTCGCCGGCACTTCCAACAGAAACGCATTTCCAGAGGAATTCTGTCCCGATGCGTTATACAGAGGTTTGATCGCAGTCTCGAGGTGCGCTTTGAGTTCGGACCCGATTTGGGTTTTCAAATCAGCAATCGACTGTCGGTCCTTTTTGGCCTCTTCCAATTCACGTTTGACACGTTGGAGCTCAACTTCAAGTCCAGAGACCACCGGTGGTGGTGGCGGAACCCACTCAAGACCTGGGGGCTGCCGAGCCGGCGGCGGAGGCGGAGGAAATAATCGACCAGAAGGAGGAGCACGGAGATCAGGGTTTTCTTCCCGCAGATCCGAAGAAGCAGCTAAGTTCCACTGAAATCCCGAAGCGGGATCGACAACGAAATCGGATTGCTGACCCACGCTGGCTCCCTTCCAATGCTGTCCCTGTTGGGGTTCATCTCCCGTTGGCGCTGTCGGACGTGTTGCTCCAAACCCAGGCGTTGAAGAACCGGGCGGCATAGTCGGCGGCAAAGCAGCAGCAAGTGGAGGTGTTACAGCCGTCGCCGTGGTCATAGGCAGTCCAGGTGGGAGGCTCGCCAACGATGAAGCGCCACCCACACCCGCCGAAACAACTCCTGCTGACAGGGAACGTCGGGGGGACAAGGTCGGCAGACCGTCGGTTGTCGGAGGCGAATTCCCAACCGGGCGACTAGCACGGGAAAAATCACGCTCTCTCTGTTTGAGCTGTTTCTTGAGGTGTGAAAGTTCATTTCGAGTCTTCTCCAGAAGGCTGTCCTTCTCGGCTTGAAGGGCAGCCAAGGCAACGTCCCTTTTCGAGAGTTCACTTTGATGCAACTTTTCGTTTTGTTCCCGTAGTTCCTGTAAAGCCACAACTTCGTCCTCGGCCGTTTGCACCCGCGCGGTGAGAGCGGACGTCGCAGCTTGATTGTCAGCACTTACTCGTTCGAACCGTTTGCGCAAATCCCGAAGTTCATCGGTGAGGGTGGAAACGGTTCCGTCTGCTCTTTCTTTTCGAGCTTCCGACAACTCTAACGCCGATTTGGGGACCGTAGAAATTTGTAGAAGGGAATATTGTCCCTCCAATTCGCGCAAAGCGGTTCTGGAAGCATCAAGGTCGTTACTAATACCTGCCAACCGCATTTGGGTTTCCTTCAACTCGGTACTTTCTTTCCGGTATTGGGCAACATCAACCACACGAGCGGAATCGCTGTCCCGAACTTGATTCTGGAGTTGAAGCACTTGCTCACGCAGTAACCGGCACTCTACCTTCGAGTCCTGCAACTGTTTGTCCAAACCTACTGACGCGGAAGCACGATGAGCTGTTTCAAACCCTTCACGCATCCGCTCTACCCTGTCCTGGTGGTCGGCCAGCAGCCGATCGATGCGACTCCGGTGGTCTTGTACCAACAAGTCCTTCGCCGCGAGGGCCTCCTTCTCCCGTCCCCGAGCAGCCTCGACTCGAAGGGTCAGTTCTTTGATTTGGTTCTGCAGTGTTTCTATCGACTCTAGCGGGGAGATCAAGCTCATCTCTCGATCGGCCTCTTTCGCTGCATCTCCCGCATGAGCTGAGCACCGAGGTGAAGCAAAGGGGTCACCATCGTCTCCGACCGGGAGTGTCAAGTGAACTGCCGGAGGGTTTGGACCCGAAACTGCGAGACGAAGTTTCTCGGCACGTATCTGAGCACGCAATTGAGCGTTTTCGGAGCGCGTCGAAAGAAGCTGTTTTTCAGCGTTATTCGCCCGCTGCAACGCAGTTTCCAGGATGGTAGGAGCAGCTCCGGTCGGGCGGGCCGTTAAGATCGGGACCACAGCTGGCAACGGCACGTGTTCCTCTGAAAATTTGCGGCAAGTCTCCCGCGCCTTCGCGAGCTCCCAAGCCGAAGCTGCAGCCTGTTCTTCGCTCGCTTTCAAATCTTCAGCTAACTCCTGGTTTTGTTCGTGCAACTTCCGATTCCGTTCTTGCAGTTCAGGAACCAGTGAAGCCGTGTTGGCGAGTTCGGCAAGTTGCGTTGAGAGGTCAGCGTGTTTATCAACCCAGAACTTTTGTTTCGTTTGGAGCTCTATTCTCAGTCGAGCGCATTCGGTTTGGTGATCTCCATCCGCTGTCAACTTGGCAGTCATAGATTGGTTCGTCTGCATAAGCCGCTCGATTTCGTTCGTGTAGGAGGTCGAGAGCATCCGCTCCGACTTTAACTCTTCCATCAACTCCCGAACGCGCGTCTCAGCTTGCTCGGCCCTCGCTATCAACTCGGTTTCAGCGTCGGTGGGCGCCCCGGTCACGGTCGTCGGTCCGACCAACGACCGCAGTCTATCAACTTCTTTGGAAAGCGCGATATAATCCGTGTTTCGACGATCGTATTTAGCTTCTTGCTCAGACGCCTTATTTAGAGCTTCTTGCAGTTCCGTCTCGAGTCCAACAATGCGACGTCCATGTTCCAAATGCAAGTGATCAGCACTACGAACCTTTTCTCGTGCACGTTCAAGCTCTAAACGGACGTCCTCAAGCCCTTCTTCCGCACGGCGGACCGACCACTTCAATCGGACTTTCTCGCCTTCGGCCGCATTCAACCTGTCCTGCAACACCGTTTGGAATCGGGAAAATCGCACTCGTTCGTCCCTGAAACGGGCGATCTCCGCCCGGAGGTTCGACGCCAGGGATTCATACCGAGAAATGTCCCGCAACAATTGGCGGACCCGAGCTCCACTCGTGGGCGTGGGTTCGTCCAGAATGGGCACCGCAGAAGCGGATCGAACCAAAGGCTTTCCATATGGACTGACTTCGCGGGTTCGGAGCATCGGGGCTGCATAACTTCGCCGACGTCCCCGGTATTCATACATGGCAGGTACTGTACCCCCGCAACCAGGTTCAAGGACGTCCATTGAAACGTCCCCCGAAACATTCAGGCCAAAAGCAGGTGGGGGAGGCACGACAGACAGACCATCATTTAGCAAACCGCCCGCAGTTCTTTCTTCGATTCCGCAACGTTGAGATTCAAGCTGAGTGGACAGGTCCGCTTGCTCAGGGCTACCTCCCGACTCGTTCCTTGAATCAGACATATCGGTGAGATCAGGAGTTGAACCATCCAAAGAGGGTTTTAAGATGACAAAGTCATCCGGTGTTTCAACTTGAGACTCCAAAGAAACTCGCAGTTCAGCCGGGCTTTCAGAAGCAACAGGTTGAGACAACAGCCCCGAAACAGAGTCCTCGTCAGTGTCTTCTGGAGGAGGCGGCACCTGATCAATCTGTGGGTCGGCACCAAAGACTTCGTCTCCGACCGTTTCTGGAGAGGGTGCCGAAACTTTTCTCGAGGTCTCAGTCGTTCTCATCACAGGCAGACCACTCAGCTCACGCTCTTCAAGGGTAGCATGTCCGTCCTGTTCAACGCTGTCTTGCGAAGCCCCGATCGCAACCCCGGAGCAAGACGAAACTCGGAGAGGAACCACCGCAGGTGCAACCTGTCGAGAACTTGAAGACGAGCCGGACCCAGCCGCTTCATCTGCTCGGATTTCAGGAGGAGGCGAAAGTATCGACGAACGTCCCACCGTTGAGGTGGTCACACAATGTCTTTCCAACAATGTGTTCGCACTGTTCATGACACGTTTCGTATTTCCAGGTAACTCGTGGCCGCGTGTAACAAAGCAGCTTGAAGGGTCGACGTCAGGGCGTTGCAACAACTCATCAGTCGTGACACTATCAATGTTCAGTTCCGCTTGTAAAACATCGGCACTGGTAGCCCGAAGTTCAGAACTCCACCGCCCGAGGTCACCGCGAGACATACCAAGGAAGCCTTGGCTGGTCTGTCCACTTTCGTCTTTCCAGTACCCGTAAAAGACGCTCGTCGACCCACGGTAAATGACCTTTTGGAGGAAAACGTCTGCACCATCGAGTTTCCACAGACCTTGCCGCGGATCTTTCCAATTGAACACAATATTTCCAAAACTATCAAACTTCTGGCTCAAGGCACGGGGGGCACCACTAGAACCGGAGTTAGGGGCAGCGCGGACAAACGGAGCCACCGGTGGAACACCTTCTCTTGCAGAGCTCAAGTCAGGTTCCATTGCCGGTCCCTTTGGGCGAACAACTCGCCCGCGGTCCTTCGGGGACCCGGAGGGGCGGAAGCCACTGGAGCTCATGAGGTCGACCAAGTTCAGACCACTCTCTATCCGAAATAACAGGGGCGGGAGGAGGTCCAAAAATAGAGTTCAGGATCCTTTCAGGGTCGTCCGCACTCTCAAGGAGGTAATCCCTTCCAACTCGAAGTCGATGCAATTGGCAGAAACGTGTTTCTTCCGGATCCCACACAGAAACCCAATTATCAACTCGGACCGCCTCGTAACTCCAAGTCGAGATATCGAGCTTGTGTCGACCGGCTTCGACAACACCCGACCAGGTATATTGGCCGTTCCAGCGCAAGAACGGCGTGATTTCGTTAGGAACTAAGTTGAGGTCAGGCTCTTTCTGCCCGCTCGTTGCCAACAAGGCCCCGGAGCGGTTATACGTCAGTCCGGCTTTCTGGTAGCACAAAGGCAAGATCTGAAACCCGAGCTGTCTTTCGAACGAAAGCGTAACTACTCTCTTGCTCCGAACTAGCCTGATGCCGCGGGTTCGGAGTGGGGCAACGAGGGAGCTTTGGGAAATTTGTTCAAAAACCACCGCTCGGTCGTTGTTCGGTCCCGCCAGATACTCAACTCGAATTTGCCGATGTGGTCTCATTGACCGCTGGACCCCTTCTTGGAGGTATCTCCCGTTCCTGGTTCGTCTCCTCACTCGTTTTCTTTTGGAGGATTTCGCGAGTGGTTTGGACCACGTCGTTCGGAGAACGGAGGATAGGAGGTTCTCGGTTCACCACCCCAGTAGAGCGGTCGGTCCGCTTAATGATGCGATCAGGTCGGCCTCGAGGTAATGCAGGAGATCGACGACGGTGAACGCGTTCCGAGGCTTCAGGAACCGTCGTTCGTGCTGGTGGAGCAACTACAGGCTCTTCTGAACTAGACAACGAAAGCGAAGAAGGCCTCTTTACCTGCACCGCACCGGTTCGCGGTTTGAGGGAAACTCCTTTTTGGGGTCGTTGTTCAGCACCTATCTCCGAACTCGGAGCTGGAAATTTCGGTCGAGGGATCGATATTGAACGTCGATCAAGTTTCTCGGCCCGACGGCGAGGGCTACGCTCTCGTTCAGGCGACCTGCGGGAATTGTCTCGTTTCAGGATCAGCAATCCAGGTCGGGGGCGGTCAAACCGGGGATTCTGGACTGACACCGAGCGGCAATTCAGATTGCGCGGTGGTCGCGAAAGAACAACGTTTGAACAACTTCCCGTCGTCCTTGCTGGCGGATTGGTCTTGAAATATGTTCGCGAAGAACACGCTCCCGTTGTTCGTGGGGCCTCCGAACCAACTAAAACGTCCGCTAGACGCGGTGCCTCGTTCTTTCTTCGGTATTCAGAACGACACGGTGGCCGTTCCTCTTTACCAACAGAACCAGAGCACGGTCCCGCAGCGTTTCGCAAGTGGTTCAGGTCACTCAGCGGAGGTTTCGAACCACTCGCCCCAGCTTGGAGTTCTACAAGTACTTGTTTGCGCAACGCACGTCGCTTTGCTGCGTTTCGTTTCTGAGTTTTCGTTAACGAAACGGGTTGTGCACCTTGCGTTAGCTCCGCCTCTTGTACTGAAACCGAAAGGCCAGTCGAACTGTCAAGCCTTGCTCCTCGGGTTTTCCCAATCGTCGGTTCTTCGGAACTGGGCACCGACACGCGACGAGTTGCGGCACGCGAAGTGGCTTGAGGGCTCTCGGAGCCACTAGATTCAGCAATTGGATCAGCAACAACGGTCTCAATTGTTGTTTTCTTCACTACTTGCACTGTTCCTTTCCGCAGCGCGCGATTAACTCGATGGATAGCGTCGTCAAGTTTCTCAGGAATCGACTCACCCACGAAGGCAATCTTATACCGCGAGCGTTCCATGTTTTAAGCTAATCATATTGTTCTCTATTCGTTATACCGTCCAACCGTCTAGTAAGGGTTATCTACTTTTCTTCCTTTACTTCTTTATTCCGATGAAGCCCAGAGAGACCGGGGGACAGCCCGTATATGATCAATAACAAAGGTAGGGAAAACCTTCAAAAGCACTTCGTGTGCTCCGTTAAGTGTCGTGGATCTAGGACCACGTTTTAATCCAAAGAATCGGCTCTCGCGGACGATCTGATTGATATTAACTTTCTTATATCCTTCGTTCAAAAGTTGTTCACGTTTAACACGGAGGTACTCGGGTCGATTGGTTGGCACGAGGTCAACGTTACGATCAACGACGCTACCACCCGCAAATTGGAAATATTCTAAATACAGCCCACCGGGAGATCTAAAATAGTCGCGACAAGCGGTCCCGTTAGTTTGGATCTCGGTCCAGATCAAGGACCTGGAAGAACTAAGGGTATGTTTAAACAATTCGGACAATTTTTCCGCTGCGAACGAACAAGTATTATATTCTAAACGATCGCCAAAGGTATACTCTCCGACCAGTTGTTGCACTGAGATTCGGGCGGCTGTAACAGAAGTGTGTAAGCCAGACACGGCGAGGCGTCCGTCTAACAAAAGCTGTTCCCTTTTCAGTGCGAGGAGTTCAGCACAACAATAACCAATGTCTTCTAATTTATTCTCGATCGTATCTATTCGGTCGTATAATCCCAAGTTGGTTTTCTTTACCAAAACACGAACCCCTTTTGGGGTCTGTGCGCCTAGCTCTTGGATTTCTTCTAGCGAAGGTCCAAAGTGAGCCCTTGCCGGACGCACAGAGCCAAAAAATATTTCCAATAATTCGCGCAATGATTCAAGCTCGTTGCACAACGCAGCAACTCTAAAACCTTCTGATAAATCGTACCCAACTTCTTCAATCGGTGCTTTGAACCCTAGCTGCATGTTAAACTTTACTAGTCTACTTTCCGTTAGTTACTGTATCAGCTAACCGTCCATCACCCGTTCTCCACCACTTGGTTAAGTAAAAGTGGCTGAGCGATACTCTGCTCGGGATCTTGGAAGGCGGGAAGCTAGATACAGAACACCGAGTCTCGAGGACCTGCACTATCGTTGGTAGCCACTCCTTTGGACTCAACAACTACAACTTTGATTTGTTCGGTTGACGAAGGTCTAACCTACTTGTAACTCACGGTGTGGAAAAGGGTTGGCGGAGGCCTAACCTTAAACAACTCAAAGTCTTTGTGGTTCGTTTATGTCTTTCCAAAACGTCACTTTGGTGTGTCGTGTTTAAGTCCCGACGAAGGTCTGGGCTCAACTATGTAACTGTTCTTCGTGGTTCGAACTACTACTAACAACACTGCGCGGAGGCGTCAGTGACTAACCCTTTGCTGCGCGAAGGCGTCAACAGTTACGCTTACAGCTGCGCGGAGGCGTCAGCAACAATAGTACAAACAAGGTATGTTTCAAATGATCACTACGGACTAGTTACGTTCTAACTATCTTGTTTAGTTCTTATCTTATGGTTGGACGGTGTTCAACTATATGTGGTTCTAGTTTTGGATATAACTATGTTTGCAAAGGATGTTATGTTTCAATATCGGAGATCAATTAACAATTCATATGATATACACCTAGGCCGACGGGCTTACCAAGTGATTTACAATCCTAAGTTTGGCTGGGTTGTGTGAGGATTTGTTGAGGCTCTTTTACTTTCGATCTATGTTTCTCCAAGTGAAATGTTCAACAACTTCATACACAACCTTTCGTTCAACAACTTCAACTTTCTACTTCATCATCAAACAGCAAGTTTCAGACTCAAGGTCGACTTCGATCACGATTTCGATCATTGCACGCATTGAAGTTTCCACGTTTGAAGTCGACTTTCTTCGCACGTCTTAGGTTCGGATCTTCGATTCGTGTTTTGATTTGCTTTTCTTCTTTTCGACCGATATCTGGATCCTGTCTAGCTTTGACTACCACCTTCCAATCACCACCTTAGAGTATGTCGTCTACCAGTTCACATATAATCGACCAGTCATCAGAAGCGCCATCTTTTTGGTGAAGCTACGCAATGGAATAAAAGTCCTCTTGCGGTCGCGTAGGAAAACTCTTATTCTTATATACTTATATCTCGTCTGCACACCAGTGTAGTTATACCCACGCTTCTACGTGATCTTTTTTACTATGTATAAATATTGCTTGGCTGCACATCACGTCGTCTCGCAGTCCCATCGAAGATCTCCATTTACGCCGTGTCATAATATCGATCTCCAAAATCACCGAGGCCAGGCACGATGTACTTAGCCGCATTCAGGCCTTCATCGAGTTCTGCTGTCACCAATGTGACTTTCGGATATGCAGCCTTTACTGCTTTTACACCCTCTGGTGCAGGGGAGTTAGAAGGTGGTCGGGAGGACATCATTGACTACGTGTTGTACTGTAGTTAAAATTAGACAGGTCGTACGGGACGAGTTCGCTCTTGTTGGCCTCAGCATCACAACCATAACAATCAAAACGGCAAAAAGGATTTTCTCTTCCTTTACTTTTGCATCCTCGACGAGACATTTCAGTGCTGCGATGGCGCTTCCACCAGTTGCCAACATCGGATCGCAGAGAAGGACAGTCCTCCTCTCCACTTCCTCCGGAAATTTCTTGTAGTAGAAAATCGGTTTCTTCTCCGGATCCGTCTCATCTCGTTGGACTAAGATGTGGCCGACACTGAGGTCAGGAATCACTTCTCGGACGGCTTCCAACATGCAATTGCCGCTTCGCATGATGGAAACCTGGTGAGGAAGTTGTTCTTTTTCATTTAGCAGAGTGAAATTAAATGTACTTAGTTGGTGGATGAATTCTTTTACTTGTTGACTTTGGTGTTTCATTACTTGAGTAAGTATGTGAATGTTGACTGCCCTTGTAGGCGATAACGAGGAGATGAATATTTCAGACTTAAAACTTACGGGATTGCAGTACCCCGCACAAATCTCCCTCTCGCTGTCCTTCCACCAATTTCTTTCCGGAATAGACCCCACACGCTGTGGTGATCGGTGTATCTTTGTGCGGCAGGTAGCTCAAAGCTTCTTCCACCAAAATGCGCATAACGCGATTCGAGTAGCGCACAAATGGAGCTTGCTCAGTCGCTGCATCTCGGACGAAACTCATCAACCTACGAATAGCAGGTGAAGAGACGACATGGACGTCAGAAGTAGCAGAGGCACTAGTAGCAGAAGCATTAGCAGAAGGCTGCATTTTATTGAGCTCTTCTACCTTTTTTTCCGGAGAGCGATCGAGGCCACTAGCTTGGAAATCACCAGTGTGAATGTCAGAAGTTGTGCTTGTCGACGGCATTTTTGTTTCATTTGACGAGAATGATGAAGATATTCTATTTTTTTATAATTAGGTAATATTGAGGACCATTTACTCAAAATCGTACAACTAGAAGTTGTGATAGCACTGCTTTGTAAATAGTTATGTCCTGTGTATGCCCCTGATAGTACTGTTCATAGAACCGGTTGAGATATTGATATTCTAGTGGTGGTGTTGTACTAGTTCATCCAGATCCACCCGTTTGTAGTTATAATCTTTTCAATTCTGCTCTCAAAAACGTTGTTTCATTCACTTTTCGTTCACTAGCGAAAAAGACGGTCAGATGATAAACAAGAAGATAACAATCGTACTAGTGCTGGAGAGTAAAAAGTTTGTATACTACAAAATGGAATAAATTCTGCCAATATCGGTGTCGGAACACTTGATAATACTTATACAAATAACAGTTCGCCTGGACGAAACGTGAACAAGTCCTGACAAGCAACGCGCCTGACAAACGCACCGTGAAACGACACGACCACACCACTTAATCAAGGTATGATAATGGCGGTTCAAACTAGACGTAGACTAACACAAGATGAAATAGCGCAGGATGACAATCGTGCCTTCACCTTCATATCAACAAGATCTCTACCAACAGAGCAGAGGAGTATCTGACTGATGACGAACTGAGGCTCAGCCGGACATCCTTCTGCCACTTGTAGCAGAGGAAACGGGTCTTGTCGGTTTGTCGGAACACTTGCTCTTTCACAGGCCGTAAAGCACAATGACAAATAGAGGGTTGATCAGGTGAAAAAATCATCAGCTTCATGTTTGAAGTCGTTTTTCTTTAGCTCGACTAAAAACTCCACCAGTGACACTTCACTCATTCACTCATTTACCTAGTACAAGGTAGTGTCTCGGGAGAGATGGTTGCAAAGGGGAACAATGGCCGGTCTCAAAGATAGTGCACGATCATAACGTTTAAGTGCAAGAATAACATGAAACAATTTCTAAATATTTGTTACGTTTGAAAACTTTCAAGTTACGAAGAAAGTGAAAAACAAATTCTAAAAACAAAGACTATTGCCGGCCGACTTTGTCAGAGGTAAAACAAGGCCCCGCTGAAGTTGATGTAGTTTTTCAAGATCCATGGCTGAGAAATTATTTCCTTAGAGCACCGCCGTCGGTGCACGACCTCCTCACGAGCTTATTGTTAAAGATGAAGATTTGCAGCTGGTTGCTCTACTCTTCACGCACCTCTTACACTTCACGAGATTCTCTCAGGTCTGGCGTCGTGTCCGACACGCGTGGCGTCGTTGTGGTAGAGTTCTTGCATAATATCCTCATCCAAGAAGTTCACGGTGTACTCCAATCGCGTCATCCCGCGTTTGTTTTTCCAGTTGAGGCTCTGTATGAGCTGCAACGAAGCAGGGTCGTTCGCGTATTTGCCTGTCCAGGATTTACTTCGCTCCACAAACTTCCGAAAGTAATCCAACATGAAAAAATACTTTTCGGATTTTTTTCCCTGTTCGCGCAGTTTAGTCTGAAACTGGGCATAGGGCTGGAACTCCACAGCCCCCTGCTGTTCCTGTTCTTTTCGCATGGCCAGCGGAACAGCGGAGATCAACAAGGCGTCGACTAGCTGATCCAATCTTCTGACTGCGTATGAGACTGTCTTCCACCGGCCGTCAAACAGCTTATTGAAGTCCTCATAGGACTTCGGATATCCTGCATCTGATGAAAGACGCGCAACCACGTCTACTCGTCCGGGAGTAAAATATCTCCGCAGAGCCGCCACCTCGTCTCTGGTAAGTTGGGACCAGGACTCACGACCGAGTACGCGACTCGCCGCGTTTGGGACCACAGGAAGCACAACGTCCCTCCAGCCCCATTTCAGACCTTCCTTATGTTCCCTAACCTTAGCTTTTTCGTCTTCGCTCATACGAAGATTGGAGAGACTCTCCAGCTCGTGTGCTGAACGATGGTCCTCTTGCTGTTGTAGTGGTGACTGTCCTGCTTCTTTTGCTTGAGGTGGGGCCCTCTTCTCCTTCCCCACTCTTCTCTGTTGTGGATGGGGATGTGGAGCCTGAGGATGCGGAGCCGCTCCGCTTTTGGTGTCCAGGCTGTCGGCCGCGTAAGGTTTGTCTTTCGTAGATTCTTTGCCCGGTAGTTTTCTAGTACTATCATTTGGCACGGGCAGACGCAGGGTCCCGTTGCTTGCAGGAGGTGGGATCGCTCCATCAGAACACTTCATCACGTAGGATTGCGATGGAATTCTGCCGGCAGCAATATGAGCCCTCGCCTCATTGTAGAAAAGTGGCTGCTGCTGCGCTGTAACTCCACTTCTATTTTTCTTGTGGAGATCATCTGCCGCTCCTGCGGGACCTTGTTCTTGTCCACCTGCAGGAGGTGCTGTGGAGGGCACGAAGTGATTGCATGGATACGAAGTAGAAAAGAGAACAAAACCAGCGTTAGGAGGAACAAAGTTTCCCGGTGAAGCGCAACATGCTCCAACAGGTACTGCACAACATGCTACATGAGGTACTGCAAAAGGTACTGGACAAGAATATAGCACGGGCATTGCACCCCCAGCAGTACCATCAGGAGGAAGCCGCCCCGGAGAACTTCCATGAGGAGCAGAAACTACAACAGGCGTCCCAGTCCACACTGGGTAAAAAGTAGCACCAGGATGTTGATCATGTTCACATCCTCCATGTGGCCGCGAGGGCAACGGCGATCCGTGCTGAGGCGAGTTGCGTTCAGGTCCACGAGAAGGACATGCAGAACAAGAGGACGACTCCCACGGTAGCTGCAGTGAGCTCGATGAAATGGATGTTGCAAGTGAAGGCTGATCTTGATTCGAAACGCTGTTGGAGCAGGCTTCTTGAGTAGAAGACGCGCTGATCGACCTGCGGAAGCGGGAGTCACTCCTTGAGTAGTTGTAATATTGTTCTTGCACTCTTTTTTGTTCGTATTGATGTTGTTGCGCCTGCTCGTGGCCGTCATCTCTGTTGTGGTGCAGCTCCTGAAGAGCGTTGTAATCTTCTGACGTGAACTGCGTAAACGTCGGACGAAGAGCAGTTGTGTCAGCGGATCCCTGCGCTAGGAAGAGCAACAGCGCAGCAGGTCCTCCCCTTGTGCAGAGGTTCCGACGATGGAGTAGGTGGCTCATCATTTTCTGTCCTTTCCTAAAGTGTTTAGTTTTTGAAAAGGGGAATTTATGAATGGTGTTGGTGACAAGATGAAATACGGCGTCTACATGTACATCAGAAATCAAGAAAGTAGACGATAGTCTTTAGATTTCTATTTACGCAAGAAGTCACACTTTCGCTGATGTACTGCTAGCTCAGGATCGTCCAGCAATCGCCGCCAGACAGGTGAAAACCCATATTTACAACAAACTTAAGTCTCCTAGTGTGCAACTACACTACTGTCATGTCATGGAACCTCGTTTGTTGCTGTGCATGTCTACCTGTGAGGTCATCCAGTAAATGAGTGCCTCCTATCGGAGCGCAAATTTACCGGTTAGATCTTTAGATTTTGGATAACCACAGTTCTTGTCTGTTGTCATCTTCCGTATGTCTAGATCATGGTAACAAATTACAACACATGCCTCATATCTTTACGACACCATCTTCATGTAGCGCCTCTCCTCGTTATTCACTAATGACTGAGATTGATCCTCCCTGAAATTCCAGTAATATTCAGGCTGCGCGGCCACGATGACATGTCCCACTAATGGTTCACGCTCCACAGGCTCAGAGACAACAGCTGCTAAGCCATTCTCCACAGCTCCAGTCTCGTCGTCTTCTGATGAATGATCTGCACATGATTTCTTCCCAGATGAAACGCGCTTGCAGAGACACCCCTTGCAGAAACCTTCGATGCTATTGATCTGCTTCTCACGCTCGCAGCAGCTTAGATCGTCTTCTTCTGCGTTACAGCACTTCAATCGGCAGACATATCTCATCGGAATGTATATCAACTCTGCCAGGTTACAGAGAAACCCTGGTTCCTCGACGAGGTGATTTTGAACACTTAGTTACATCGGTAGCTTCGCCTCTGCTACACGCTAAGTACTTCCAGTGTCTTTACTCCTGCACAGCTAAAATTTGGCTTGAAAGGTTTTGTTTTTGTTTTTCCATTCAATCCAAGAAAAGGTTTTTAATACAAAGACAGCACAAGAGGCATCAATCGATAGTGTGGAATGATATAATTTAAGAAAGGTAAGAAGTCACGTCATGGTTGATAGCAACAGGGAAGCAAAGAAAGATACGACCAAGTTAACGTACACCAAGAAGATCACAATACAAAGAAAAAATAACAAGTAGAAGAAGAAGTAAAAAATCAAATCACATCATATGGGAGGATGATAATGAAGAGAAAATCTGCTCAACTAAACACCCAACAAGATGATCACGAGGAGAAGAAGATTAATAAGAAATCACAACATCTACAAAAAACCACAACCATCACGATCAGAAAAAATTTTTTCCCAATTGTCAGTCTTAGAGCATACATCAAGACACCTTTTTCGGAGAAGACTCAAGATCCCAAACTTATAAACCACACAGCACCCCGGACCACGATCAAGAGATAAGATTCTCATTTATTTCTTTCTTCATTCTTTATTTTATTTTTTAAATTTTAAATTCAGGGTATTGATTGGATCTTTTTCAATTTTCGACTTTCTGTCAAGAGATCAAGTCTCACATGTCCCACAAAAATAGAAGCGATCAGAGTCGCGATCATTCCTGTTGCTTAGATCTCCCTGGAAGCCATCTTGAAAGTCATCCTTTATCCTCCTGGACATTACCCTTCATCCCGAATAAGCGTTTGAAAAATGGATTCGAAGTCGGGATGAAGGGGAATTCATTCATTCATTTACCTGTTCGCGAGGTATTGTCTATTTGCAAAGGGAGGGAGTAAGCCCAAGAAGATGTCCCACTTGTTGATGGATTCCCGGAAGTCTTAAATTGCGTCTCCGATCGGCCGTCTTTGACTGCAGCTGGGGAAGTAAAAGTGGATGTGCCTAGCGACACTCTCTCTCTAGGACCGTGGGAGTGAAGATCAACGTCGGAGCTACCACGAACACCAGGCTCACCTGTCTAAAGGTGTTTCGGTGAAACTCTTTTGTAACTCGTATTTGCAAGACCGCGCGGAGGCCGAGGTCTTGGGCACAATAAATATCTCAAAATCGTATGTATGAAGACTGTGCGGAGGCCTCAGTCTTTAGGATTATCTCGTATGCGCAGAAAAGTCTCGTTTCAACCGTGCAGAGGCCTCGGTTAGTCAAATCTAAGATGCAGTTTGGTTAGACTACGCGAAGGCCTTAGTCTATTGGAACTATCACGTATGAAATCAGATAACGTAGACTGCGCGGAGGCCTCAGTCTTGTGTGTACAAAGATACTTAGGTCGATCGGGCGGAGGCCTCGATCTTGATGCAAACTCGGTTAGGAGAACCGTTTGCCAGACAACCGTGCGAAGGCCGCGGTTGGTCTATCAACAGATGGATCTTATCGTTTCGAGGTCAACTTTCTTATTCTCTATGTTTATATAGCTGGACGGATATATGAATATATGTATAAAGATGTTGCGTTAACAATATATATGTAAAACAAGTTGCAAGACAGAACAAATGATATGTTCGCGTTAGACTCAGGCCAGAGGCTTACCGAATCCTGTAAATAATCAGCTCAACTAAAGGTGTGGGTTGTGAGGAGATGATGATAAAGCAGCTTATCTTCTTGGATAATGATGATGATATACACAATCCTTGTAAAACAACGCATCAATCATTCGATACACCATCTTCGACGAACTGCCACACCTTCTTATGCACATCTCTTTCCAAATTCTTTTGACAGGATTTTCACCAAGGATCTTGAACGAGTGCCTCTTCTTTCAATGGATCTCAAGGCCGACCTCTATTTGCAGGTCGGCCCTTCTTCTTCTGTTTCATTCCCACGGACCAAGATCGTGTCGTTTTGTAGTCTCATATATTCGACCAACGCCTCTTCGGCACGACTTGGGCCGTTTATGATGCGGCGCAGACGCTTGCGACCAAACATCCATGGTCGCCGTATAGAGGTGATAGCAATCCCAGTTGAAAATCCTGCGGTTCTTCTGTTTCCCACTTTGTGGGTTGCATCCGTCGGTACCTCTCTGCGAGGGGAGGTCCGTGTTTGAATGTGCCCCATGTTAAGGCATGATCAAGCGTAAATCCGACTGATGCATCCATCCGAGGTGGTGTGAAAGAGTAGGTATTTTGCTTGTCGCTCCACGTTACCGGCGTTCTGCTGTATCCTGTTTTTTCACACAGTTCAAGAAATAACTGGTGTTCTTCCACCGATAATGACGGAATTATTTCGTTATTGTCATCCCGACGCGGTGCGTCGGCTGAGATTGCGTCACTGGACATTGAGTGTAACGCGTTGTAATCTCCCATCGCCAGTATCGGGCCTTGCTTTCCATTGTCCTCGGCGAGACCCTGGAGATATTCTATCAAGCGGGCGTCGAACTGTTTGCGCGTTTCTAGTCGGCGTAACCCGGGTCTGCTGTTGACGCTGTAAATGCCGACTGCTGTGAAAGATTTCGTTGTGGCGCTTACGATGCGCCCTTCGAGCGAAACGCAGTAATCTTCGGTCGTCGTTGGTCTGATGATTTCTTCTTTTAGGACTGCGTTGGTCGCTGCACGTGCCAGTACTGCGACTCCAAAATTTCCCGGTCGAAGGAGGGCGCTGGAGAAGAGGACCTGCCAGTCATGCGACGCAGCTCCATTAGCCAACTCGAGGAGCACCTTCGACCATTTTCCTTCGTCTTTCTTTGCAATTTTCGTTTCGAGGAGGAAAACGATGTGTGCGGTCCGGAGCAGGAGACACAAACGGCGCCACCGCGGCATGCACTCTAGTGTGCGGTTTAACCCATCGAGGTTCCAAAGAGCGATTATGAAACCGCCCTCCGACCATTTCGATGCGTACAGGTGTTCCACTGGTTCGTCGCCTGACTCCTCTGTCCCAAGGATTGTCGTCTCGTTTTCGTACCGAGCTCCCAACAATTGTAAGTGACGCATCTGCTTGGTCGCTTCTTGTTCGTTCAACCCACAACCAGTTAGATACGCGCGAATGGCCGAGAGCGTAATTCGGAGAGGCATAACTTGAGAGGCGGAAATCGGGTTGTAACCGGCATAATGACGGCCGTCGGCCCGTTCCAAGTAAACAGAGCGGGTGGACGCTCGCGCGACAACGTAGATCTGGCGAATATACCGTGATTCGAATTTGGTTGGGGACGGTCGAAGGCGGGCTACAAATTGGCCTTTCGCAAGCCAGATCGAAATGTCGCTGTGCGCTTCTCCCGCTCGCTGTCGTCGCTTACTCGCGTTTGAGGCCTGTCGGTGTCGGACTCGGAGGGCTGTGGCTTCGGTAATTGCGAGGGCCATCGCAGCTCCTCTCTCGTCACGGGTTTCTTCTACTGCGGTGCACAGCAACGCCGGATCGGTGGAAGAAGGGCGGAGTCCACGACCGCGATAAGCCACTAAGTTGCTAGCCCCCATTCCAAGCTTAGGCCGGTCATTCAGATTGCGCACGATGGGGTGTAGGCGCACGTCCCACGAACTGTCGTTTTGTAAATCCGTGACGGCGATTTGTTCTTCGAATTTCCAGGACTCAACTCCGTCTGCATCTCCTCTAACGAAACAATCAACTGAAAAGAGGTTCACGCGGATCGATTTGTTAATCTCGGAATGGGGCGCTTCGACCGTTTCTTGTGCCTCTGGTTGGTAGGCCGAACCATGGGCCACCTTGGGTGGGTCCATTGACATTTCAGATGTGTGCAACCGCTCTAATTCCTTCTTGAATTCGTCCAAGAAATGGTTGCCGTTGTCACATCGAATCAACATGTAGTCGCCAAACTCGGCATATTTGTTTATTTTGAAAACCTCGTTCGCCGCTGCATGCGCTGTTGCGGCGGGAAGCGCCGTAGCCCAAAGAACTGGCGCGGACGCATCCACTGCTGTAAAAATGCAAGTGTTGCCTGCCGATGATCGGGGAAGATGTGTCATAAAATCTATGAAAAGTGTTGCTCCAGGAATCGTGACTGTGGACGCATCTCCACGCGGCAATCCCGGTTTGGGAGAATGGGATGTCAAATATAGGCATTCCAAACAATACATGACAAGGTCCCGTGCAATTCGGAGCATTTCGTCGTGATGCAACCGTTTTTGCTCCATTACCATTACAATGCCCAACGGGGCGAGGTGAAAACGGCTACTGTGGTAATAGTTGATAGTTTGGCGCAATACGCACACATCCGTTTCGCCAAGGCAGTTTGCAACCAGGGATCGAGGGACCCACAAATGCCAACCTGTTTTCGGGCGGTGAACGAAAATGAGGCCCGCGTCAATGGTGAACCGTCGCGCGTCCGCTACCAGTTGTCGGAGAAGTTTGTCGGACACTTTGAGACCCCGTTTTGTACGGCAGCGACGGACAACGCCCGTTAACCCCGTTTCGTCGACGCCTTTGGATCGGGCGTCTTCGATTTCAAAAACGTGGGGAAGTTCATGTCGGACTCCCTGGGCGATAGCAGGGAGGAGATCTGCGGGGAGTTGCACCGTGTAACTCGGTGCATGTTCGTATACTGCGACGAAATTTGGTGCTGCAACCTCGATGCCTCGGCCAACGAGTTTGAGAGGTCCGGGTAAGGCCGCGCCAAGGTACTCCAATCGGGATCCTCTTAAAATTGCCACTCGGAGACAAAACAATGGGATTTCGATATACGAGTTGTCTATCGTTTCGCGGTTGTCGTGAACATGAACCTTGACAACCGATTTTAATCGGTTACTTGGCATCATTGTTTGGTAAAGGCGCATCCACCCACTACCTCCATCGGAGTCGGGGTTGTGGGATCCTTCGCAATCCGGTGGAGAGTAATCCCACAAAATTTGCGAAATTTCTTTTGCTTTTTGTATACAAGCCCTGATGGGCTCTTTCTTAAGGTCCGAGGCGGTACGCGCACCCTCCTGTTCTGCTTTTCCTCCGGTGCTCGTCGACTTTCCTGTCGGTTTTGGTTCCTGTTGCAGCGGTTGGCCTGCGTCCGGTTCGTCCGGTTGCAGGCGCTCAGGCTGAGGAAGGGCGGGCGCTGGATCCGCGTCCGGCACCCCAAGGGCGTTTTTGACATCTTCCTGATCCAAAGTGCGTCCACAAATATAATAGTGGGCTGGCCCATCGATGTGGGTCAGGACGCAATTCCGGCATTCGAATCCCGCGTTCGGGAAACCGGCGAAACACAACTTCTTGGATGGCATCAACGACACGCGATATCCTCCTCTCCTTGACGCGAGGGATTCCCACTCTGCTTGCGTTTCCGTCTCCTGAACAACGTCGTATACAACAAACGAAGCGGGTCGTGGTGGGTGCTGCGCCAAAGGAAAAAGGGATTTCATTATTCGTTGGAACCTAACATAAGGTTGGTTTTCGGCAGTGACATCCCGGAATCGCAGATCGCGCCGACCCTCTGGTGGGAAAGGATGTTTCGGGCGGATTGTAAGGGCAATGCTGTCTTGCCCTTGGCCTCGAACGCGGGAGACGTACAGCGAAAATGGCTTTGTGATAGGTAGCGTGAACGGTACGGTCGGTTTGTCTTTAACTTCGCGTCGTTGGTATGGTTGGCATGCCTTCGACGCCAGGGCACGAGTTTGTTCTCGGTACCTTCGAGCTGGTATCGGTGCAAGACCCTGAAGCATCTCCTTCCAAACGTCCGCACATGCGAAAAGGGGCAGGACTGCCGGCATGAATCCCTTGTTCAGTTCGATGGCTTCACAAATAAGCCGGGCTAGTGGGTCTCCAACGCGCACCGCTAAGAACATTGCCGATACGTGAATTGGCACGCCGTGAATGAAAGACACGTGATCCACCAACAATCCCTCCAACAGCATTTCCATCATGTGAAAAAGCAGAATTTTTCCAAGGATCCCCTCCAATTGTATTTTCCTGAGCTTGCCCCACCCGGTATATCCAGGTTTAGTCGGGTGAAAAGCACGGGCCACTGTGATCGTTGGGAATGGTTGTCCTTCGGACCACAAAGCTTCCCCTAGAATCAGGCAAATTTTAACTACCATGCACCGGAGCAACAAAGGAAGTGTGTGTTCGAATTTGTGCATGAGCATATCCGCCGTTTTCTGGTGCCAAACCTCGAACGTTTCTCCTTGTGTTCTGTCTCGGGCCTTCTGGAGGCGTTCCTTCATCTTTGTTTCGATCTGCTCATCTGTCGCGTTGTTGGTAATCTTTGAGCGAAACTCTCTGAAATTTTGCATCACCTCTGGTTCAAGCCCGCTGGAGGTGACCTCATCGTGCTCGAAATTATCCAGCTGGACGAACACCAAGAATCGAGGCTGCAACCGGCGGCCTGAAACAACATCCGTCAGGACAACTCGAGGTGTAATGCCGACCGGTCGGTTGCCGACAGCGGTGGCAACAACCTCTACTCCCTGTTCCAACTGGCACACGGAATAGACCGCGAGGGGCGGTGCGCAAGACACTTCCGAGATTGCAGATGTAAACCCGACCTGCACGCTGATCATCATCTGAGGCTCAAATTGGCCGGTTTCTCGTACGCGAAGTAAGTGGCGCGTCGGACAATTGGGTTTAAGGTGCGACTTCCTGACAGCGTGCGTCACGCAGAGCTGGCACGCCGTTTGGATGGCTGCAAATCCCACCGGGAAAGGAACAACTTCTTCAAGTCCCGTCGCCGCACAAACAGAATATCGGTGTAGCGCTGAAGTCGCAGTTTCAGGTCGCGGCACTGGGGCTGGAGTAATCTTGTTGTCGCCATACAGTTTCTTCACGAGATCGACTAAATCCTGGAACTTCTCGCGTTTCATCTCTTCAGGCAATACATCCTGATGAGTGCCTTTATCTGAAATGTTAGCTTCTCGGACTACATTGATCAGGTAACTCTCGTCTTGGGCAAGAGACGCCAAGATCTCTGTAATGGCAGCTAAAAGGCTGCGCATAATTGTTCCGTTAGAACACGTCGACCAGAGCTGCGACAAAGACAAGACGCTGTTGTCAAAATGCAAAATGTAGGCCACTTGTGGTAGCTTCGGCCGCACATGCCGGACGAAAAAAAGGAGGGCCATTACCTCCGCATGTAAAGAGTGCGCTCCGATGCGGGTTTTCTGGTCGCGTGAAAATTTCTTAGACATCGCGAAAACGAGTCGGTTCACCCAGACATTGTCGATCTGCTGAAGTTGAACGATGAAACACGCCACTCGTGTTAGCGAGGCATCAATAGATACCCGCAAGAGGCCGCACTGCCCAGAAGGCGCCGTTGTCCACGCCCGGGCGCCTTCCATGTCGATTTCGGCATGTTCCACGGTGCTCGATAAGGAACGTTGCAGCTCAAGAAAGGCCTCCTTCGCGCGGGCGTCTTGTTTCATCAACTTATGCTTTTTCGGGTCCTGGAAAGAAGCCAAGTAATCGGTGTCGAAGTTGTAAAAGGCGTCGCGCAAGTACGAGGAGATAGCAAGGAACTGGGTGAGGTTCTTCACATTCGCGCAAACTACTTCCCATTTATAGCTTCGGATCGCAGATGCTTTTGACGGATCGACAATTCGACATCGCCTCGGAACGTTTATTCTCCAACCTAGCGCGTCGACAACCTGAGCGATGATGATCTTTTTCAACGAAAATATGCACCCGGTTTGGAGGCTGCGGACTAAGGTAATCGTAAGCCGATATAGAAGCTGGAGGCCGAAAAGGAAGACGAAATTGAGGTCGTCAACATAAGGTATCAAAAACTCCCGGCCCCGAACGTTCATTTCCAGGAATTTGATTTTCTCCTCGGCTGTGCGCCGTTGATCCGCCCTACGAGGCAAGGGACAGCTCCTTTCCGTGTCGGTTTGTTCCGAGCCGGTTGAAGCCAATTTTGGGGCAGGATCAGAGACGTCGTCGGTGAACTCGAGCATGCCAGCGACCGGGATGTGGCCATCGACGAGAACAGGCGCGTCTGTTTCGTCATAGTCGGAATCGTTGTCCGAAAGGCTAGGTTGCAAATCCGGGACGTCATCATACAAGCTTGTGCGCCCATACCGGCTCTGTCGGGGCAGACTGGCGCTGTCGCAAGCCATAATCACGTTGGTGCCCGTGCGAGTGGCAAAGGGGATCGGGAGATCGCCCTCGGCAAGTTCCGAGACAGCTTCTTCAAGTCGACGGCGAGCGTCGAAATCGTCGAGGGTGCTGTCGTCGCAAGGTCCGAAAAAGGTCGTCGTGTCATCTGGTGTTAGGTTCGGATCTCGCAAGCGCCCGAAAAAGGTTTGTGATCCTGCACAGAAAATCTGTGGCGACGGACACCAGCCGAGAAACATCCGCAAAGGCCTAGCAACCCGGTGCCCAAACACCCAAGCCATGTACCGTTGCAACCGGTTGGACAGCAGCCATTGGAAATAACCTTTTGCGTTGTCGAGTTGCGCTGCGCCTTCAGTGCGGTCGGTGCGAAGGAGTTCTGCGGCAATTGCTTTATCGTCCCGCTCGTCGTCGGCCCAGAGTCCCGGCGCGGGCACCTTTGCGGGGTTATCAGTGGTTGGCGGTGGTCTCGGTAAAGGAGACGCACTGGCATGAGACGTCGAGATCATTTTCGAAAGGACCTTAGTCGGTCGCCGGATTTCTTCGACGAGTCCTTGCGCAACCGAGAAAATTAGCAAGAAAACAAGCACTATCAAGGCACATCCTTGTCCTGCAACGAGATGCGGACGCCATCTCTCTCGGAACCGCCTCGTATGGGCAGCGTTCGCAACCCAATCGTAAACAAGCTTTCGCTGTTCAGGAGTCATACGGCTGAAATGTTGATCGCAGACACCCGGTTGCGAGTCTTCAGCTAGGGCGGCTCGATAGTCAAGATCTTCGTCTTCATCATCGCTCGAGAAAATCCGATCCTCTTCTGTATCTGTTTGGGGGTCTCCCTCCGCGAAGTCCTCAGAAATCGCAGAGGCATAAGCCAAAGACCCCACCGAATCAAACGGCGCTGACAAAATAGGTTGCACTCGAGACAAAGCCCTGGTGTCGACAGGTGGAAGTTCGGAAGCTCGGTATTGCCCGAACAACGACAACCCAGACGCGCCTTCGTATCGCTGGGAGGCCGACACCGAGGGTTCGGTCGGAGGGTCAACTGCCGTAGCTCCAATGGCTCGGACCTGAACGTCTCCAAACGACACTGTGGGACCTTCAAAAGCCTCTTTCCTTTCACCTCCGGGGACCTGTTGAACTTGTTGGGGCGACGTGGTTCTTTTAGGGTCCGTCGTCGAAGAAAGTGGAGTGGCAGGTGGTTCAACGCTAGGTTTCTTCAACACCGACGCTTTGGTTTGGATTCGCCCAGCTGCTCGTTCCGCTTCTCCTTGCATCGCAACGTAGAGGCGGCGGACGGTCTCCGGAGCTTCAATGTTAGTGCCATGTTTCTCAAGTTCCTTCTTTGCCGCTTCAAAGTCGTTACCATCTACTTTATACCTGTCACAGAATCGATGAAAATAGTTGCCATTGCGTGCAACAGAGGGGGCACGCGGGACAAAAAGCGGCGTGATGAGTGCTTTCGAAGCCTCATGATAAATTCGAGTAAACATATAAGACCCAGTCTCGTCTCCGGGTGCTCCGGCAAAGGGCATCATGTACCCGACTCGCAACGTCATTTGGTGCCCCCCAATGAGGCTGTCGGTGTTGTAAAGCCACGAAACCGCCATGGCGCCGATACCTTTGCCTAGATTTTCCCACTCTTTGGGCGGACGGCAGATCGGAGTGCCGAGTTTGTTGAGGTTCTTGAAACACCACTTTGGTACTAACGTGCGGCCGGCGCCGGGGGCAGGGCCCATCGGCACCTGGGCTCGTGGTTCACCAGGGCCAAGTTTCCACCAGTCAAATGCGTTTTTGGTTTTCGTCCATCCTGCGAAATGCAGGTCAAGATGCGCATATCGAAGGACTTCGGTTAATGGCCCGGTGGGAGCGCCGAGATTGACGAGTTCGGTGACTCCTTGCAACGTTGCAAAGCCGACTCCATAGGCGGCAAGGAAAAAGGCAGATGCCAAGGTATGTCCAAGCAGATACAGTGACACAAAGCACCCGGTATCGAGCAGCATTAATGTGACGACCACATCGCCTTTGTCGCCATATGGTATCGCGACCCAGACCCGATTTCCAAGAGGGTCTACCGAAAAGGCGGCGGTTTTTCCGTGGATGTCTTGGGCGAGTTGGGTTTGCCGTTGCCGCCCCAGTTTTTGGCGGAACTCTTCGTTTCCGAACCCAACTCGGTACGAAGGTTCTGTAGGAACATCTTTGCCAGTCGAAGGTTGCAGCCACAAACAAACGTCCCGACTCGACAACCATATTGCAACTGAAACCGCCAAGATTGCGTTGAACAGACTCACCGGCTCAAATGAAACAGCTGAGCTGACACCCCACCAAAGGGCGAGCCACGTCATTAACAAGGTGGCTCCGAAAGTCCGAGGTAGTGCATTGTGGTTTGTTCCGTCGAGGTCTAACTGTCGGCGCGTTTGGCGGATGGCCGCTTGCACCTGGTCGGACTTGTAATGCGCGTCGCGCCGTGCAAATTCACTAAAAGCTCGTGCAGCCGAAACCCGATAAGTGGTGTCACGGGTTTCGGCGGTAACAACCGAGAGCACGGAGGGATCGAGACGCGGGAACGCGTATCGAAGTTCAGTTTCAGTGATTCCACCGTCCACTTGGAGGATCACCACTCCCTCTTTAGACGTAACGTTAAGTCGGTAATCCGACCGAACGCCTGTCGGGCGGATCAGCGATCCCGAAAGGGTCGCTGTGCCATGGATCGGAGGTCCCTCCGGTAAAGCATTTCCTTGCAATGCTCCGAGAGTTGGCATCGGCATGCGGATTCCGGCTCGCGCTGTCCAATAACGTTCGTTGGAACCGCACTGCAATATTGCTGCGTTCCAAATTTTTCGGCCTTTCTTCCCACAACACGACTCGTGCGGAGTTGGGAGGACGGTGACTGGAAGGATGAGCTCCGTCTGTTCAAACCATTTGTTAAGGAGTGGCTGCGGTCCCGTTGCAACGACGAAAAGGTCGTGCGGGAGGCGTTTTTGCAAGGTTTCCGCGTCGAAAATGAAAGCACTGACTGTCGCTGTTCGGAACGACCACACCACGAGCAGACGATGCTTTGGGAACCTTTGGTGAAGGTCGTCAAGGCGATACATTGAGCCCTTCTGGCGGAAAACATCGTCAACCTGGTATCCGGCGTCGCGCAATCGATCGACTTCTCGAGCCGCTCCCGCGCTGTTCGTGACAAGGATATACGGAGTTGCGCGAGAAAGGCACGCGCCCCGTTCAAGGGCAGTGCGAAACGTTTCGTTCCCCGTTTCAAACGACTCGAGTGCATGGAGACCTCTTTCTCGACGACTACTCTCGACTGCAATTCGTTGGCGGAGTTCGGGCCCCGACATTGGCGGAGACCCCTGGAGTTCGTCGGCCGGAACTCTCGGTTGGAACCATTGAGGTCGCGGACCGGGTGGCAAACTCGAACGAGAGTTGCAGGAAATTTCCGAGACAGCATCGAAGAAGCACTCGTCTTCCTCCGATTTCTCACTACTGGGACCCGCTTTTTCAGGGGGCAGCGGGTTGGTCGGAAGCGGTGCTGCCGGCGGGGGAAGGGCAGGAACGTCAGGCCCTTCGCCTGCAAACGAAGTTTCTGGGCCCTGCTCGTGGAGGTAATCGTCGTAAGTTCGTGTGTCCCAAGGTTCGAGCCCGATTCCGAGGTCCCAAAGCGTCGGCGCTTCGGAAGGGCGCTCAGACTCGTCGGGGACCGACGAGAGCCCTCCGTCCGGGTCCCGGGGGGCTGTGGAAAACTCGACGTCGGCACTCGTCGACGAGTTCCTATCGAGCGCTCTACCAGGCGAGGCAACCAGGTCAGGGGAAAGTGAGGAATCCGGAGCATCGATCGCAGAGTATTCGATCCCACCACCCATATTCAAAAGATGTCGTACCTGTTGCTCCGGCAAACGGCACCGCAATCCGTCAACGATATGCAAGGACCGAATTCGATCCGCCCACAGAGGCAATTTGTGCGCAAACGCCCCCGTAGCGATGACAAAGACATCGTGCACATTCTGCAGCTGTTGTTTTAACATACAACACAGGAAATCTTCATACCGGACATCGGAGCGGATGTCCCACACAACCAAGGGCCAGCGTCCTTTTGTCCGGACGCCTGCGAGGGGGTAACCACCAGTCTCGGTGGGGCAAAACGTGGCTGCATCCACCCGGAAACCATGTTTCTCTATTAAGCTCAGCAAACTGGGTTCGCGCCATTCTTTCAAGTTTGTGATCAAGTGATATGGAACTCCGGCCACGAGCAACCGCGAAGTAAGGCCTGCCGCGAAATTGCAGGGTGGGTGCACAACATAAGGCACCGCCGGGAGCCGCAGTCGCTGGCTGGCATCACACGTTAAGTTTGGGTCGGTACCGAGGAGAGCGCGAAACGGCACGGCGTACTGGGGAAACGCAGTTTCTAGGACGCGTTTCCAACACAGCGTCGCGGAGAGGTACTGTTCCTTGGAAACCGGGACCAGTAGAACGCGGCGTTCGTTCGCTGTTTCGCGCAATTCCTGCACGACCTCGTAGACAGGCCCGAAAGCAGTTTCTGCCTCAAGATTTGCAATCACAATAATTCGACGCTCCGGATTCTCACGTAGCAGGTTTGCAAGTCGTCGCGAGCGAGACGTTCGATTGTCAACCCGCCACACCGAGACAACGCAGACGTTCGAGTTAAGGTCTTGAGTTGTACACGTTTGGAGGCGATGCGCCGTCGCTTCNGCGGAACTCTTCGTTCCCGAACCCAACTCGGTACGAAGGTTCTGTAGAAACATCTTTGCCAGTCGAAGGTTGCAGCCACAAACAAACGTCCCGACTCGACAACCATATTGCAACTGAAACCGCCAAGATTGCGTTGAACAGACTCACCGGTTCAAATGAAACAGCTGAGCTGACACCCCACCAAAGGGCAAACCACGTCATTAACAAGGTAGTTCCGAAAGTTCGAGGTAGTGCATTGTGGTTTGTTCCGTCGAGGTCTAGCTGTCGGCGCGTTTGGCGGATGGCCGCTTGCACCTGGTCGGACTTGTAATGCGCGTCGCGCCGTGCAAATTCACTAAAGGCTCGTGCAGCCGAAACTCGATAAGTGGTGTCACGGGTTTCGGCGGTAACAACCGAGAGCACGGAGGGATCGAGACGTGGGAACGCGTATCGAAGTTCAGTTTCAGTGATTCCACCGTCCACTTGGAGGATCACCACCCCTTCTTTAGACGTAACGTTAAGTCGGTAATCCGACCGAACGCCTGTCGGGCGGATCAGCGATCCCGAAAGGGTCGTTGTGCCATGGATCGGAGGTCCCTCCGGTAAAGCATTTCCTTGCAATGCTCCGAGCGTTGACATCGGCATGCGGATTCCAGCTCGCGCTGTCCAATAACGTTCGTTGGAACCGCACTGCAATATTGCCGCGTTCCAAATCTTTCGACCTTTCTTCCCACAACACGACTCGTGCGGAGTTGGGAGGACGGTGACTGGAAGGATGAGCTCTGTCTGTTCAAACCATTTATTAAGGAGTGGCTGCGGTCCCGTTGCAACGACGAAAAGGTCATGCGGGAAACGTTTTTGCAAGGTTTCTGCGTCGAAAATGAAAGCACGGACCGTCGCTGTTCGGAACGACCACACCACGAGCAGACGATGCTTTGGGAACCTTTGATGAAGGTCGTCAAGGCGATACATTGAGCCCTTCTGGCGGAAAACGTCGTCAACCTGGTATCCGGCGTCGCGCAATCGATCGACTTCTCGAGCCGCTCCCGCGCTGTTCGTGACAAGGATATACGGAGTTGCGCGAGAAAGGCACACGCCCCGTTCAAGGGCAGTGTGAAACGTTTCGTTCCCCGTTTCAAACGACTCGAGTGCATGGAGACCTCTTTCTCGACGGCTACTCTCGACTGCAATTCGTTGGCGGAGTTCGGGCCCCGACATTGGCGGGGACCCCTGGAGTTCGTCGACCGGAACTCTCGGTTGGAACCATTGAGGTCGCGGACCAGGTGGTAAACTCGAACGAGAGTTGCAGGAAATTTCCGAGACAGCATCGAAGAAGCACTCGTCTTCCTCCGCTTTCTCACTCCTGGAACCCGCCTTTTCAAGGGGCAACGGGTTGGTCGGAAGCGGTGCTGCCGGCGGGGGAAAGGCAGGAACGTCAGGCCCTTCGCCTGCAAACGAAGTTTCTGGGCCCTGCTCGTGGAGGTAATCGTCGTAAGTTCGTGTGTCCCAAGGTTCGAGCCCGATTCCGAGGTCCCAAAGCGTCGGCGCTTCGGAAGGGCGCTCAGACTCGTCGGGGACCGACGAGAGCCCTCCGTCCGGGTCCCGGGGGGCTGTGGAAAACTCGATGTCGGCACTTGTCGACGAGTTCCTATCGAGCGCTCTACCCGGCAAGGCAACTAGGTCAGGGGAAAGTGAAGAATCCGGAGCATCGATCGCAGAGTATTCGATCCCACCACCCATATTCAAAAGATGTCGTACCTGTTGCTCCGGCAACCGGCACCGCAATCCGTCAACGATATGCAAAGACCGAATTCGATCCGCCCACAGAGGCAATTTGTGCGCGAACGCCCCCGTAGCGATGACAAAGACATCGTGCACATTCTGCAGCTGTTGTTTTAACATACAACAGAGGAAATCTTCATACCGGACATCGGAGCGGATGTCCCACACAACCAAGGGCCAGCGTCCTTTTGTCCGGACGCCTGCAAGGGGGTAACCACCAGTCTCGGTGGGGCAAAACGTGGTTGCATCCACCCGGAAACCATGCTTCTCTATTAAGCTCAGCAAACTGGGTTCACACCATTCTTTCAAGTTTGTGATCAAGTGATATGGAACTCCGGCCACGAGCAACCGCGAAGTAAGGCCTGCCGCGAAATTGCAGGGTGGGTGCACAATATAAGGCACCGCCGGGAGCCGCAATCGCTGGTTGGCATCACACGTTAAGTTTGGGTCGGTACCGAGGAGAGCGCGAAACGGCACGGCGTACTGGGGAAACGCAGTTTCTAGGACGCGTTTCCAACACAGCGTCGCGGAGAGGTACTGTTCCTTGGAAACCGGGACCAGTAGAACGCGGTGTTCGTTCGCTGTTTCGCGCAATTCCTGCACGACCTCGTAGACAGGCCCGAAAGCAGTGTCTGCCTCAAGGTTTGCAATCACAATAATTCGACGTTCCGGGTTCTCACGTAGCAGGTTTGCAAGTCGTCGCGAGCGAGACGTTCGATTGTCAACCCGCCACACCGAGACAACGCAGACGTTCGAGTTAAGGTCTTGAGTTGTACACGTTTGGAGGCGATGCGCCGTCGCTTCCTGTTCGACCGGTCCTTCTACGGCGACAATGCTGAGAAGCTGGTGGAGGGCAACATGCTCAGCTCCTTTCCGAATTTTGGCGCAGTTTGTTAGCAGGCAGATCTGACAGCGGATATCAAGGTCTAAGACCCGGGAATGCGCTTCGGGACTTGGAAGCACCGATGCAAAGTGGCGCGCACTGTTGGTCCCGCTCAGCACCCGATACGGAGGCACGACAGGAGAGATGCAAAGACTTGTTTCGGAGGATTCATCCAGTCCACACGTGTAAAGACAGGCTGACGAGCGAGGCACCCGGAAGACCAACGTCCCGATTTGGAGTTCGTTGCAAGAAACACCGTGATGGAACTTCAAGAAAAAGCGTTGCGCCCGTCGATGAAAACTCTGCTGCTGGTCCCATTGTGGAATGTCAGTCTGCACCAGAATGTCACGAGAGGACAGCATCAAGAGGGCCGAAACACGTTTGTTAGCACCCCACCAGGCGGCATTGATGAAAACCGCGAAGCTGTCTCGGTTTCCGAGATGCTCTCGGATGCGGTATTCTAGCGCAACGAGGTCAATTTCGAGCGGCCCGAGTCGCAGCTCTCTCCAAAGGTTGGGAGGGCCGGTCTGAAGCGAGCAATATTCCGCAAGGAGACTCGAAACAGGCAGCAGAGCCGCGGGATCATCCAGTCGAGGTGTACAAAGGATGGCTTGTTCAACGAGATCCCTTGTTAATTTGAGGACGGCCTGTAGTTCATCGGGCGAAGTTTCACTAAGTTCTTCGCTGTCGGACCCAACACTGATTTCGGAGGTGTCGTTGGCGTCACCACCTGTTAGTCCTGTTGGGAAATGCGGACGTGATCCTTTCAAGCGCGTTGTAAGAGCCCAAACGCATTCCCAGAATTGTTCTTTTAATGCGTTGTCCGGAGAGCATCCCTGCAAAAACCTGACGGTTTGTGCCTCCCTCATCAGCGACTGAGCGTCGATCTCGCGGCTCCATCGAGCTCCACCAAAAAGGTTGTCAAAATTGCGAGTATGCCACAATTGGTATCGGATATTTAAACTCAATGCATCCAATTCAGCACAGCTGCGCAAGAGAGGGATTTCACCTCCTAACACCGTTATCGTGATGCGGGCGTACCGTGCCACACGGAAGAGGTGAGGAATCCACCACCTCAAGGCCTCTTCGTCTTCAAACGTCGGCAAGCACTCAAGGGCTTCGCGAACCTGTTGTAAATATCGGGTTCTCGGCCACCAAACGACCTCTCGGGAGAGGTTATAGCACGGGAGACGGATCCATTCAATGGAGGAGTCGAGTTCTTCACCTCGATCGCTGTCCGTTTCCGAGTACACGCCGGGGTCCGAGTCCCTACTCAACGAACCTCCGGGATCCTCTCCAAAAGGGTCGCTGCTGCTACCCGAGGACGAAGTTGACGGACGGGCAAGAGGGCCATGGACGTCGGGTTCGGCCCTGAACCAGGGATCCGCGTCTTCGCCCGAGGAGGTGGACGAAACAGACGGATGCCGTCGTCGCCGGGGGACAGGAGTTTGGAAAATTGGTCCGAGCAATCTCAGCGACGGAGGTAAAGGCCCTTCTTGAGAGATTTCAGCCAAACCGGACGTCGGTTCTCTGGAGGCGTTCCGAGGAAGCGTGAAAAAACCAATTCCGGGTACAACACAGTTTTCTGATTTGCCACTCACCCAAGCGCTACCCAGTGGCCCAGCAGGAGCACGTCGGAACGGCGCCGGTACTCGGGAGGCTGCAAGGATGCGGACCTCCTCTTCAAGGACCTGCAGGTCTTGGCGGCATACGATTGACGAAGCTTCCTGGTTGATTCGGCAAGCAAGTTCCGGCACTGGCACTGCAAAGGGAAACGTAGGTCGGGACCTCTCGGAAAGCGTCAATGGGGCAGGTCGTCTTTCGCCCGATGAGAGCGCTTCGGAACCATACGTGCTCAATGTTTTCGTTTGTCCCATCGCAGCAAAAAGTTCTGCAAAAGGATCGCCGCCGCCGTCTCCCGCTAGTCCAAAGGTCGCTTCCCCGTCCGAATCGTCCGTTAACAAGGGCTCAGCCTGGCCACGGGAGTTACCAAGTTTAAAGAGAGGTTTCCTCGAAGTTCCTTTTCCGTCGGTCCAACCATCTTCGAGAGCAAGCAACCCATGGTTGAAAGGGTCGTCATCGTCGTCTTGAGCTTCTTCATACTCGAAGAATTCGACAACGCCATCCAGCAGCGGTGCAAAGCCGTCGTCTCGGTGGTTCTCGAGCAAACTTTTCAAACCATCCGTACTGGGATTTGCAGCGGCCTTCTGTCCAAGTTGGAGGGCAAGCTCAAACATGTTGCACCCTTTTAACACCTGCTTGACTTTCTCATTGCGAGATTCATCCAACCACTTTGTTGTTCCGCCCGCTGCCGCAATGGTGGCTGCGCGAACGACGAGCGATTCTCCCGGGCAACTTGTCGGCGCGATGCGGTTACATTCAAGGTTGTGGGAACTATGAGACGGGTTCAAGCGGCAACGGAGTTTCTGGAGAGTGGTTGGGCACAAAGATTGCCGACTCTGGCTTCCATGTAGAGTGAGATACATGAGTTGGTGATGCAGTCGGCAGTCCTCACAATCTTGGGTCACCACAGTGACAACTCCTGCTGCTTTGCCGATGCCACCAAGTAAATCGGAAGCATCATGATCAGGAGTTGAATGTTTATCTGACAGACATCGAACAACGGGGCGTCCTTTGCCGGCTGCTTTAGGTCGATTAGCTTGACTCCCTTTCGAAACTCCCTTTGGAGACTCCCGTGGACCCTTACCTTTGCCACCTTTTCCGGAACCCTTCCCGGAGGATTTTCCACCTCCTTTTTTACCTCCTTTTGCAGCGTACTCGGTCCATGCGTCGCCGAGGAGACTTTCCGCGAACAAGTAGTCAGCCGAGACACAAACGCTGTCTTCAATCGGGTCAAGAACTTCAACGCAAAGTTCCTCCATCTCATTTTGACTATCCAACATTGCGAACGGTGCGTTCGTTGGGGTCGGGTACGTTGACAACACGCCGGAGCCATATGACTGAAAGGCTTCGTTTTTTCGACTTTGGATGCTACGATAGGCCGGTGCAACGCGACCGAAGATATGCGGGTTGAGGTGCGAGTACGGGCACAACGGTTCTCGGAAAACCTCCGCAACATTTTCCTCTTCTACGAACGCGCCGTATGTTTTCTTACTCGGTTTCTTGTATCCTCGGTTTCGATGGCCGTAATGGTACTCGAGGCCCATGGCTTTGGTGACCATGGCGTTGTGCTGACAATACACGACTAATTTCTCCAACGTAACACTGTTGATCGTGTCTTGGTGGTCAGGGAGTTTTGACTTTCCACGCCAAGTGGCTCTTGGGAGTGGATTTTTCAGAACATCATTCGTTGTTTGTTCAACCGTTTTGGACATAAGCGCTATCAAGTAGTTGTGCTGAAATGTCTTGGTGCGAGCTTTGAAAATATCGGTATTAAAAGCATAGTCCCTTTTCGCAAAACCTTGCGCTTCCAGCTTGTTCTGGGTGGCGGTGTAATTCCGGGCCCACTCACCCATGGCAGCGCGCGACGACATGGTTGTCGTATCAATTTCGTACCAAAATTCTTGTTGTATCTCCATCAACAGGTATTCGTATTGGATGTAACACGCACAAGCCAAAGATGTTTCAAAGACAAGGAAAAACTCCAATTCGTTAGGATGGGCATATTCTAGCATCTCCGTCTGTCTCATGGCTTCGCGAGCTTCGTCACTATCGAGTCGGAGATGCGAAAGGATTTCTCGGTCGAAACGATGGGATCGATGAAAATTGATGCGGTCCCGCAGATCGTTCATGTACTTCTGGTGCGCACCCCAACTGTCAGACGTTGCCGTCACTTTGAGCTGTCGGAAAGGAGGAGCCTGTGTGACCGATCCGCCCGCGGCAAGTTTCCCAACCGAGTCTTCGAACAAAGAAACAAAGGCTTCTCCGATCAACGACGCGATTGCATTTTTCCTGGGCCAACGGCGAGGCAAGTCAGAATCGACGCAATCCATTCGGCAACGGTCCCAAGACTCATGAGTATCCGGTCGCAAGAGTCCGTATTTCGCACCTTCCGAGCACAAACCGACCTCCCTTTCTCCATTTTCGTTTGTCAACACTTGCAACATAGAAAGTGTAGGACCGTGGTTCGTCGAAGCCCCAGCCACCGGGCAGGCATCGCCACTTCGAGCGGTGACGCGGACGGTGCGGTAAGACTCTACCCCGCCAGCCATCGACTGAATATCGTTCGGATCAACGTCTTCGCGGACCTTCCGGAGATGTCGAAGTTTATCTTTCGTTTTGTTGTATAGAGCCATGGCTTCTTCCGGGACCGTTGTGCGGTCGAGAGACGCGTTGCCAAGCCGGCTTAGTAGGCGGGCTTCAAATCTTATAAACGGATCTACATACGCGGCGTAAGGAGAGAGGGCACTATCGTCCGAGGCCTCCGAGTCCGCGTCCTGCATGCGGAGGTTACCATCATCGATGTCGTCACATTCCACAGGTCCTCCATACGCGTAGGCCGTGCGCAGCAGATGGGCCTTTGCGTTTTTCCGGTCTTTCCGTGTCGTCTTCTCGCTTCGTCCGAACGTAGGCCGGTTCTCAGGTCCGTCGTCGCAGTCGTCATCCGTGTCATCTCGGGGTGCCCCAGACCGGCGGGCGTCACGGCGTTTCGTTTCACGGACGGCCTCGAGAGCTCCCGCCGGGAGGAGAACGTGACCTCTTGGTATCTCTAACGCACTGATCTTCGCAGGTGTTTGCAGACAGCGACTAGCAAGATCAACCCCACTCGCAATAGGGTCGCCAACTGGGGTGTCAGCTGTATTTCCTTCTCCTTTCAGGCAACCACCGAAATTACGCATATTGGCTTTGCGCCGGTCTCCGTTCGAAACACGGAACGAAGAGAGGTCTTCCGGGCCGATCTGTGGGAAAAACTCCGCATTGGAAACCGAAACGGTCGTTGACGACGTTGCTGAAGGAGGTCCTTCAACGTTCGTTTGGCGTTTCTCTTCCCCATTCGACTGCAGCATTGACGACACCATAGCACGCATCGAATCTGCGATCGTCGTAGACATTTCGTTCATCATTTGTTTCCCAAACTCCTCGTGTCGCAGGGCTTGTTCGGCCGAGTTCTTGGTAAGGCTTTCTTTCAAGCTCCACAACTCCCCTTGCAAACGGTGGAGGTCCACGCCAGGACCTGGTTTTAGTGGTTCTCCCGGCGGAGCGAGGCCAGGTGGAGGTTCGAGTTGGGAATTCTCAGCTCGTGTCTCAGCGGACACCACGGAGGGGTCCGTCAAAAAGGACCGGAGGGTCGGTACGCCGTTCCCCTTTTTGCACTCACTTACCACGGGGGCTTGCAAGATGAGGTCAGGAACCGACTTCCATTCATCGTCCACCTCACTAGTTGAAAACCCAGGGGCCGGTGTCGAAAAGCCATCACTAATACCGGCGCGCGGCGCTGTTGGAACCGGGGAAGCTGATCGAGCCGATTGTGATCGGCTCGCCGGTGCAACCGACGCAAAGGAGGTTGTCCTGGAAAACTCCTTCTCTCGAGCTCTCAATTGAGACTGGAGGGACGAGATTTCTTTTTGAAACCGTTCTGCTTGTTTCTTCAAATCCACCGTGAGTTTGCCAACGCGTTTGTCGCTGTCCTTCAACGCAGCTCGGAGTGCGGCGGTGGTAGCGTTTTCTTCCGAGCTCTTCCCAGGATCATCACCAGTTCTCGAGGCCGATTCCTCTAAATCGAAAACGCGAGCTTTGTACTCTTCAACCTCCTGTTTGAGGTCACCAAGTTCCGTTTCCAGTTCGACCTTTTGTCGATCTACCGAAGAAACATGGCGTTTTGCATCCGCAATTTCGGTTTCAAGTAACTCAGCACGAGCTTGGGATTTACGCTCGAGGAGACGATCTTCTTTCAATTTCGAAATTTCGAGTCGACTCTCCTTGAGTTGCTCCACCAGGTGAGTTTGCTCTCGCTGACTCGCAGCTAACGCAGCAGTCAAGGAAGACCCAGACGAAACCGCCCGGGTCGACAAAAGCTGTTGTTGCAACTCTTCGACCGAACTTCTGTGAGTAGCCTTGAGGGCAACTACCGAGGCTTGGTGTGCTTTCTCGGCTTTTTCCAGCGAGAGGGTTTTGCTCTTAAGGATCTGTTCAATTCGATCCGTCTGCGCACGCCGTTCTCGGGCTAACTCTGCAACCGAAGTCGCAAGGAGGTCCTGCGTTTCTTGCAACGCCTCTACCGCACGGCTCTCGGTTTTCCGAGAAACCGCAACAGCCGCTTCCGCAGCTTCACGCTCAGTTATGAGTGTCGAAACCTTTGTTTTCTCCACAGCGAGATCGCTTTCCGCGCTTGAAATTTGAGCAGCCAACTCTCCAAATTTATTCTGGAGGTTCTGTTGTTCAGCAGTCCAATCCCCTGGAACATCCAGTGGGGCCGGGGCCGCAACTACAGAAGTTTGTTCTTGGATCTGCGTTCGCAGCCTCATCGTCAACTCCATGGCCTCTTCCTTCCTGGCCACAAGAGCTCTCGCACGCTCCTCAGCCTCGGCGAGTCGCTGCAACAAAGTGGCTTGACTGCCAGTCGCTTCATCAAGTTTCAGTTTCCGAGACTCCGAAAGGACTTCCAGCGCTCGAACCTTCTCTTCCAGCGACCGGCTTCTTTGTTCTGAGAGTCGCTTCGTCTCCTGATCCTTCTTGGAAGTATCTTCCGCGGCTTTTGTCACCTCCCTTGAAGTCAATAAGTCAGCTTGGAGTTCAGCAATCTCAACCTCTTTATCAGAGGTTTCTTTCATTCCATTGGTCACCGCGGCTTTCAGCATTTCAACCTGTTTTTCCAGCTCCGCGCACCTTCTTTCAAACGTTACTAGAACCTGGATTCGGGCGTCTTGTCGCATCCTTTCAGCAACGGTCGTCTCGAGCTCAGCTTTCACCGTTTCGAGGGCGGTCTTCGCGGTCTGCACCGCCGTGCGGAGGGCAGCGGTGACTTCCCGTTCCGTTTCCAAAACAGACTTTGCTGCTCGCGTGTCAGATTCGGCGGTCTCCAACTTCTTTTGAAAATCTTGGAAACAGTTCTTCCAACTCCTTTCTTTCTCCAAGCCTTCTTTTTCGAAACTTTCTCTCTCAATCTTAAATTGGAGGGCCACTGCTCGGGCACGGTCTTCGGCCTCTCTGATAGAGGCATTGCACGCGTCGATTTGGAGTCGGTGGTCGGTGTGCAGGCGTTCAACCGTCACCTCAAGGTCTCGGCAACGCCAAGATCCTTCCTGTTCTCGTTCAAGGTCCGCAGTCAGCGTTCTGATCGTCCCTTGAAGGACCACAGTTTCGTTTTCCGATCTCTTCAACCTTTCTTTCGCCACCTCAAGTTCGTCAGTCTTTTCCGAAATGCGGACTCCAAGAAAAGTGTTCTCACCTTCGAGACGGCGAGCCTTCTGTTCCACAGTCTCGGTGACGACCGGTTCCATTCGGTACGCCGGGGTGGAGGCGGTGCGCAACATCCGAGGACCGTACGGGCTGTAGTCACGCGTGCGGGCAGCACCGGTGACAACACAACTGCGCCGTCGGACCGGGGTCGTCGAGAACCGTTCCATTTCGTCAGCTCTTGGGGCCGGGACGGCACCGAGCACCCCTTTTTCAGAACTAGAAACATCTAGGTAAGCACTACTCATCAAAACATCCCCAGCGGTTTCTTCCGCAGGCCACCCTTCACTTCCCGGTGCAGGCGAGCCAAGTGAAACGAAACCGGGATCCTCGTCAAAAGCCGGCAACGGAGGGCCGATCACGGCGTCCTCACGACCCATCAGGCCCAAGTTGCGCTCAGTCGAGCTTCCCGTCGCTGCATGTCCTTCGAGGTCCGAAAATGAGTCGTGGTCGGCCGAGTTTGAAACTCGATTTCCGAGAACCGCACTTCCGTCGACCAGCTCGTTGTCAATCATCTCGACGTCGGCCACCTCAACATCGGTGTCTCCCGCATCCGGATCGTCCCCAGGAGGCGGAGGCACACCGTGGAGACCAGTGCTTGGTCCAAACACGTCGTCGAGGTCATATTTTGCATCCGGATCCGCGGAAACAGTCTTCTTAGGAGATTCTTCGAGACTAGTCCCCAAGCTACAGCCACCAGAGCGATTTGTCAGCACCCCGTCCTCGCCGTCAGTCAAGATCACAATGGGTTCAGACCCTGAACTCGAAACCGGAGACCGGAAAACCGGCGGCGATTCAGCCGCGTCAACGGGACCAGACCCTTGAAGTGCCTCTTTAGCCACACCCCTATATCTTTCCAGGAGGACAGCTCCGTTGTCAAGGACAGCACTCGTAGAACCTTCTTTCTCATATCCTCGGACCGCCGATGTGGAAGGGGTCCGACCTCTAAGTGTCATACCATCGACGAGCGGAACGCCGAGAGATACTTCCAGTTCTGAACCGGTCGCCGGTCGAAACTTAGACCTTTCGATTCCCAAATCCCGGCGGTTGAATCCAACGAAACGCTGATCCACATTTCCGGCCTGGTCGCGAGCATACATGTTCATCACATTCGTAGCGCCCTTGTAAATAACTTTCTGGAAAAACACGTTCGTTCCTTCCACGCGCCAAAGGGTTTGATCTTTCCACGAGAAACTTTCGAGGACCCGATCCCCAGAAAGTCTCGGTTCCAGCCCTAGGCTGCCGGCTGGCACTGCCGACCCACTAGGAACAACAAGAGTTTCGACGTCGGCCCCCCGTGGTCTCTCCTCCCACCTCGGGTCGGAGCCCGGAGGTCTCGGAGGTGCGGGTTCTCCGCTCGAACTGCTCATCCCGTACCACCTTCGGTCGGAACCGTAGCGGCTCTCGGGGTACAGCTCCCAGGGCAACTGAGGGGGGGGCAGCGGTTTCTGACGCACCGTACAAGTAATCCAGAAGTCGCTTCGGGTCTTCGACTTGGTGTCGCAAATAATCCCTGAAGAACCTGCGTCTTTCTTGTGTCAACGAAGGAGGAATTCGGGGCGCCGTATAGCACCACGTTTCTATATCGAGGGAAGCACGGGTATCGTCAACAACTCCAGTTCGTGTGAACACGCCGTTTTATTTCAAAAAGAGGGTTACGTCCGTATCTTCCAAATTGAGCGGTGGCGGGGCAATGCCGTCAACTAAAGGTTCGACTTCGAACGAGTGAGGGGTCCTCACGAACTCAATTTCTCCGAGCGCGTATCGCTCCGGACAAACGCAAAGTAGAGATGTGCGCGAGCTGCACAAACGTCGGTGTCGCAGAGGTCGAGGAGGGCTAACACTTCTGGAAAGACGTTTCAACCGTCCTTCCTCGAATTCCGGTGACACGCGCACCTGTTTGAAAGAGTTGTCAGAACCTCGGAACAAAACCAAAGACATCCCGCGCTCCCAACACCACTTCCCAGTTGCGCTTCACGGATTTCACGTAGGTATCTTCACCTTCTCCCGAACTTCTTCCGGCCTGTTTCTCGCGCAACCGCTTTGGATCGTCTCCGACCACCAAACCCTGTTACAGGCGACCGGGGGGGAGACAAAGAGCGACCCTGTGCGCTCAACGTGCAGGTACCTTTCGAGAACCCTCTTTCTCCTCGCGAGCGGCGTCGGTCCTGTGCCGACACTACCCGACCAGAGCCTCGGGAGCGAGAACAATCCCGACTTCTGGTCTCAAGCGTTCGTTTAGAACCCACTTTAAAATTGGAATCGAACTGACCAGAGGGAACCCGTTTATACGATACGTCCCTTTCGATGGAAAACTTACGGGCCGGGCGACGGTAATCAACGTCTCGTGCAAGGTCTCGGGCACGGCCCACAGGACCGCACTGTCTATCCGGTCGCGCCGTCGGATGCCGACCTTTCGAAAGGCGCCTCAATGAAGAGCAACGCCGGATTTTTCGTTCAACCGACCGATCCCGTTGACGGTCTCTAGACCCACTTTCCGCTACCTGCCGGCTCCGTTTCGTCGTTGAAGGTTCAACACTGCCCTCCTGCGGGCAGATCTTCGACTGTCGTTCTCCTGGTCCTCGCTCGCGTTTGTTCCTCAAATCCGGTTCTCGGTCCTTGTTCGATGGACCAACCGGAGCCGATTTGTCAACGGGGCCCCTTTCGGGATCACTTTCCGAACTTGGTTGGTCACAAAAGTCTTGACTAATCTCGTCAGCCGCGACTACTCGCAATGTTGGTCCGGTTCCAGGACCCGTCTTTCCGTTCCCCTCGTCGGATTCCGACAAAGAGGTTTGAGCAACCTGCTCGCTCGAACACTTCAGTTCTGTTCCTTGATCTTGTGAATTCCCGTTCGGTTCGGCCGAAGCACGGGGTCCTTTCGTAAGGACCACGGTGGTTTCGGTCTCCTGTTCAACCTCACCTTGTTCCCCGGAGGCCGGGGTTGGGGCCAAAGCAGCAGTCGGTTTCGTAGAAACCCCGGAAAGCGGCTTATTCACCAGTGTTTTCGATGTTACGACTTCTACAACTGGAGCTCGAGATCCTTTCGTGAGGACCACTTTCGGTCGTCCTTCTGCCGGTATCAACCCAAGGTTCGCAGTCGTATTGACGTTCTCACGAGCAATCAAAACAACCTCCGTTGAGCCCGGGCGTCCTTCTCGATTCGTGTCAACGTCGCGTGAGGTCGCTGCTGCTGCTTTCCGAGCCGCCTGACGTTCCCGTTGCGCAGCCCTAAGGAGGGTTTTGTGGCTAGGTGCGTACAAAGCTCCTGTGATCGGGTCGACAATCGTAGAACCTTCCTCCGGAAATCGATTCCCTTTCAACTCGGTTGTCGGACCTGCTCGCTTCGGTCCTGGTTTCGGTCCTTTGCCGATTCCAGTCCCAGGAAGCAACAAAGCAGGGCAAGGGTCCCTGAGCTCGGATGCCGAGCTAGGAGCCTTAGATACAAGTTTCGGTCCTTTGCCGATTCCTGCCTTCGAAACTGACGAAGACCCGTCAACGTTATTAGCCGTCTCTTGCAATGCTCCTTCTCGACTGTCTTCCTTGTTCCCACCCGGACGAGGGTCAAAAAGAAATTTCGTGGATTCGCTATTTTCCAAACAAATTGGCGTTTCAACGGTGACGCTACGGACAAGGATTGCGTCACCTTTTATTAACGACCAGTTGACGAGCTCATCCGCTGTTTTTAACTCGGTGCTTGCGCTCGAAGAATCGGCTATCGCAATCTTAATGGAGGTGTGGGCCATTCTTTCTTATAAGTTCTATCTCCTTATTTAATCCGTCCAGCTATTCTACTTTCGTTAACTCCTACGAGCGGCTACCGAAATATGTGTAATTTCCAAAACTTTCTCCGTCCCTTCCCAGTGTGAGCCCCAATACGAGAGCAGATAACCCGAGCAAAGATCACGGACGAGGCAGCCAATAAGTTCGTTATACGAAATCAGCCGACCCTCCCGATCTCTCCCGTTGAGGTACTGCAACAACGTCTGCACACTTATCCACCTCGAGCGGCTCGAAGGGGTAGGGTCCCAAGAGCCACAAGAAAGGCGCTCCGCCTTATATTTAATCAGTCTACACACCCTTCTGTTGACTTCCACTGAGAACCTAGGCTCGCGCGGTAGTGTATATGTAATTTTACCTTCTTCCTCGTCTACTTCGAGTCGAATCTGTGAAACGCGATGAGACATATCGACTATTCCTCTCCTTCTATTCTCTATCTACTTCGTGGCAGCAAGTTGATCGGGTCCAGAGTTCTCCACCACTTGGGGAAGTAAAAGTGGATGTGCCTAGCGACACTCTCTCTCTAGGACCGTGGGAGTGAAGATCAACGTCGGAGCTACCACGAACACCAGGCTCACCTGTCTAAAGGTGTTTCGGTGAAACTCTTTTGTAACTCGTATTTGCAAGACCGCGCGGAGGCCGAGGTCTTGGGCACAATAAATATCTCAAAATCGTATGTATGAAGACTGTGCGGAGGCCTCAGTCTTTAGGATTATCTCGTATGCGCAGAAAAGTCTCGTTTCAACCGTGCAGAGGCCTCGGTTAGTCAAATCTAAGATGCAGTTTGGTTAGACTACGCGAAGGCCTTAGTCTATTGGAACTATCACGTATGAAATCAGATAACGTAGACTGCGCGGAGGCCTCAGTCTTGTGTGTACAAAGATACTTAGGTCGATCGGGCGGAGGCCTCGATCTTGATGCAAACTCGGTTAGGAGAACCGTTTGCCAGACAACCGTGCGAAGGCCGCGGTTGGTCTATCAACAGATGGATCTTATCGTTTCGAGGTCAACTTTCTTATTCTCTATGTTTATATAGCTGGACGGATATATGAATATATGTATAAAGATGTTGCGTTAACAATATATATGTAAAACAAGTTGCAAGACAGAACAAATGATATGTTCGCGTTAGACTCAGGCCAGAGGCTTACCGAATCCTGTAAATAATCAGCTCAACTAAAGGTGTGGGTTGTGAGGAGATGATGATAAAGCAGCTTATCTTCTTGGATAATGATGATGATATACACAATCCTTGTAAAACAACGCATCAATCATTCGATACACCATCTTCGACGAACTGCCACACCTTCTTATGCACATCTCTTTCCAAATTCTTTTGACAGGATTTTCACCAAGGATCTTGAGCGAGTGCCTCTTCTTTCAATGGATCTCAAGGCCGACCTCTATTTGCAGGTCGGCCCTTCTTCTTCTGTTTCATTCCCACGGACCAAGATCGTGTCGTTTTGTAGTCTCATATATTCGACCACAGCAACAGAATCCGAGGAAAATACCAAACATCAGAAAGACTATGGAAACCGTCATCAATATGCAATAGTAAAGCCATACGTCACATGGTGACCGGTAGTAAGCCCACCGCATGGTTAATACTAAAAATGTCCTCCGTGGTAGTACTACCGAAAAAGGTAGACACCTAACCAAAAACACCAGAGGGACCAACAAAGAGTGTGCTACTCAATCACCGAGGAGTTCAAACTGCTGCCTAAAACGTTTTTCGTTGGAAATTGCAGAATGCTTCATTGGTCCTCTGCTCATTTATGCACACCACGTGCCAGGAGCTCTTTTTAGTGAACGAGAAGTGGAGTGGAGTGTTTCAGTTTCTTTTCTGTAGTCAATCCGTGAAGGTTCAAGGTTCAAGGTTCACTGGCCTCGATCAAGTCAGGGCGCCACATGCACCGACATCACGAGATTTATAGTGTAGATCTGTTCAGCGTCACAGTCCACCTCGAAGGGCGCGGCTAGGTGGCGAGTCCACTGCTTACTCACTCCAAACGTGTAAAGCTATTGCACATAATTCTTCAAACGTGTACAGCTATTGGTATTGCACATAATTCTTCAAACGTGTAAAGCTATTGCACACAAAGGATCTTCCACAGTGGAAGCTCTCGCTTTGAAACTTGCGCTCCGCTCGTGTTCAGGTCGCTATAGGACCTCTATCTCTCTAAGACGACAGTAACACTATTACTAAATTAGGGGTCGCCAAAAACTTCACTTTTCATAATAACCTTATCCATTGTCAGCCATCGCTCGCCATTGTCAGGACCCATTGTCGATCAATGCTGATTTTGCTAAATTGCACAGAAAGGATCTTCCATGAACATCGATCTCCTTTCAAAAACGAGCATCATAAGAGTGGCCCACTTTCTTATCCAGCAGTCATCACGTTTTCAACAATCAAATAAAGGAAGCGTGTGGTTGTATCCATCAAGATCTTCTGCGTGCTGCAACGTCATATTTTATACGGTAGGCCTGTGCAATCTCGTCAACAGAGTCAAGGTCAGCTCTACAACTGAAGAAAAGACGAGCGACAAATATCATTTTTATGCGTATGTAGTGATCAATACCAACAGTTTCTTGTGCAAAATATTATTGTGAAAGAACTGAATAAAGAAAACGAGCATTATCTACATTTATAGTAGCTTCTGTATGAGTCTTCATAGTCATTAGATCACGGTAATTGGTTCATCTTCATGGTGTCTATGTCTATTCACATCGAACGGCGTTTAAAAGAATGATGAGTGACGCCTTTTTTCCCCATCAATCGCAGGACCTAGAAGTTCAGCTATTTCACGTCGTGGAACTGCGGAATAGCGCCGTGCCGCAAGCGCAATGACCGGAGGACCTACCAAAAATGGTTGGCGCTCATCAGGAACATCCTCTTGCGGTGGTGGCGGTGGCGGTGTCTCTTAGAGATGATGCCTGAGACCTGAAGAGAGGGACATTTCATAGCATCTTTTGACGACACGTAGTTGTGGTTTCTTCCCGAGAAGAGTAAGGTACTTAGATGATGCCAGCTTCTCAAGAATAAGTTGAGTCATTTACCTTCATCACGAAGTAGAAGTACACAAGACGTATTAGACTATTAATTACGACGAGGACATCATCCTGCTCGCCCAAGAAGATATAATCAGATGCTTCCCAAGCAAGTGCAACTGTATAACTGACTTCTTAAAAAAGGAAAACAAGCCGTAATTTTGAGCCTCATCGTCATCATCTGACAGGACAAAGACTTCATAGGAGACTTCATTTTGTTCACCTTCTTGATTGTTTTCTCCATCCTCTGGCACGTCATCATGTCCAGAACTTTTCCGATTAAAAATAAGATTCGCCCTCTCTTCTCGCTCTCGCTGTTCTCGCTGTTCTCGCTGGACCTGCTTGGACGGTTGGAGTAGTTCGTATTTCTCCCTATTTCTCCCGCAGTATGCTTGGAAGACACACCCTCTGCAGAAGCCGTCGGCGGATCGGTTCTGATCACAGCAGCTTGGATCGCCATCGTCTGCGTTGCAAGACTCTAACCGGAAAAGGTACCTGAGCGGAAGGTATATAAGCTCTGCCACACTTCAAAAAGAGAAAACAACCATGGCGACTGTCAGGCAAACTCCCCGGAGTGTTAGAGCTACCGCGTCGCATCTTCCTTGAAAGCCACATCCTTGGCCACTTCTTTTTCCGCTTGATGATACTCCAATTCTTAGCCAATACTAATTGATTGATTGATTGAGTGATTGATGTGCCTGGCATGAGGTCGATGTTGAAGAGTTCATTGTTTATCATGATGCTCCTATTGTCGACCAAAAAGAGACCAAGGATGGCGTTGAGAATGCTCTCTAGGTACTTGCAGCCTTACGAATGTAGCGTTCTCAAAAACGTGCTGCCATGTCGGATTTTCTGGCATATCATGTCGGCTGCCATAGATACAACGGCAAAGCCTTAGATGGACAAGACATGGTGCTCCTGAATAGTTGAGGAGCGAGGGGGAAGCAGATGTACTAGTAGTTTACCCAGCATTCTGTGATATGCTAAGTAGTACTAGCAGTTCACCCAAAATTCTGAGGGTGAGTCAACAAGAGCGAGGACGATGATGCTAATCATGATGGTAGCAAAGAAGATGAAGATGGTTCAGTTTCGCTTGGTATTGAGGATGATCGTCTCAGATATCATAGTGGCTTCAGATGAATGCCAGAGACGATTGAGAGACTCAGAGATGATTGAGTTTAGACTAAATTGCGAGAAGGACGAGTAAAAACAATTTCCTACGAGAACGATTCAAATTAATGTCCTCTTCTCAATAAATATCTTAATCTTTCTCCATAAAAAAAATTCCAGTGGCCAAATTCGTGCGCCCTCAAACTCGTTGTAAAAAAACCACCATGACCATGGCAGCGAACTTATAATCAACAATTTTTAGAGTCTCTAAACTTGCTTTACTGGAAATGAAGTGCATTTTGGAGGAATCTTCACGTTGTCCAATCTTGGATATGCAAATAACAAAACGTCTTGTTAGTGAAAGCAGTGGCGTGCGCCCTATCCTAGAAGTAAATCACAACCCCAAGAAACCACTTAGTCCTCTGAGACCCTAAGCAAATAGTGTAAAAGCAGGGCGGCTACTAAATGAAGCGAAAATGTATTATATCGTTATCAAGTTTCTGAAGCTGAGGCCATAAAGGATCGCGTAAAACAGCCAGTACTCAAACAGCGTATCCGTATCATGGTCAAGGGCCATTTTTTCGTTTTTTCCTTTCTGATGTCGTGGCTGTTCATTCACTCATGTCCTTCACCCTGTTTTTTTTTTTGTATGCCGAGACCGCTGGAAGGGTGACCCCAGTTTTATCCAGTTCGCAAACCGGCGGCAGGTGGAGTCCGGTCTTGTTTTTTGGTGCCCGGGTCTACAATTTCTCGCAATAGTTCCATCCAATAACAAGAAAACAGTTGTCAGGGATGAAGAGCCAACATGTACATGCACATCAACCATCATCAAGAACTATCATACTACATTGACCTATTATGAATGGATTGAAAAGCGCGGTGCTGCTCTGATTACTAATACTGGCTTGCATGCTGCAGCACCTAGACCTACTTTTTTGGGAATTTGTTAAGGCCAATTCATCGGTGACATGATGTATGTTTCTCTGATCCTCATGTTGGAAGTAATGAAGTTCGCTGCAATTGAACACCTTTAACTCATGTTTTACGAGGAGCGATCTTCATTAAGATATTGTAAGCCAAAGCGTACTCCTGTTGATGAACCTGATGCTCGTGCTGCTACAACATTATTTTAGTGAAAAGAAGAATTCAAAATACAACTAGTAGCTGTGATGCGTGTAATATGACATTTTTCATAACTACTTCTTTTGAATACAAGTGGAGATAAGGGCTCAAATCAAAAGCGTTGTGGTTGCAGTGCGTTTGCGTAGTTACTACTTTGATGTGTACTAAGTCTAAATCATCCATCAGGTGGCGTCAAGCTGTGCGGCAATTGCAGGACCCACCAGTGGCTGACGGTCTAACGCTTCTCCAGAGCAGTCGTCGTCCAATGAGTCTTCATCAGTGTCCGTAAGGTCCCTCAGCTGTCCTCTGATGCTCGCCTTTCTCTGTTCCACGGAGGGTCGAGCGTGTATGAACGATGAAACGAAGATATGTACTGCTAAACACCTCTAGAGAAGATAGTGATATTCTAACGCAGATCCATCGTGAGAACAAGAAAACAGTTGTCCAAAATTATACCTCCTTTGTAATCAATGTGAGTACTTCTAGTGGTGAAGCCAGAGAAACTAGAAAAAGAACTAAAATTCCCTTTGTAATGAAAGTTAATAAGTGGGTGGAGCCAGTTTTTAACTAGGAAAGAATCAGGAAAAAGCACGACAACGTAAAGGATCAAAAGTATAAGTTAATGCTATGTCTATGACATTCTGTTCCCATAATCTTCTTTGAAAGTATAAGTTAATGCTATGTCTATGACATTCTGTTCCCATAATCTTCTTTTTTTTGCATGTTTTGAATAGACAGCCAAAGCAGAAACCCTCGAGTTGCGCTTTATCCCGTTCCTCGCAGCACCCAGGATCTCCAACTTCAGCACCACAACATTCTACGCGAGAATTAGAGGACTTTGGTGCCAGAATCTATTCGGCAGATTGCCTAAGATTTTCCCTGATGATCATGATGGTGCCCGTCATATAATCGTTCATTTTATAATTGAAGAGTCTCACGATCACGATATTTGATGCTGACCATGTCTTTGTCTTATTTCCCCTTGATGAAAACACGAGATCAAAGGTAAGCAGATGCTGTTGATGCTTTGTTCTTGCTTCTAGTTATAATATAACATCAAGATGACTTGACTGCATTGAGTTCGAATCTGAACAACCAATTGCTTTCTTGCTTCTTATGACAAGATGAGTTCGTGCTATTCGAATCTGAATCAATGTCTTGTTGGGGAACAACAACAACTACAACAAGAAGCCTTAACACAAATATACCTCAGGGGTATGTACATCAGCTCGACTAGAAACCACACAAGAAGCAGAATGGCACCAGATGTCAAAGCCAATCCTTGTAATGTTGCTCTTTCCAAAACGAATCCCCATGTTGGATCCGCTGGGGGATCGTGACTACCAGAAACCAAGCGGCTAAAAAACTCCAATGGCGGAATCGGGTATTGCTATGAAGGGAAAAAGTCAAAAGTGTAGGTGTAAGTACTCATCCTCCAGAAAATAGGTGGAACTTTCTAAGTCAAAAAACATCATGATCGTTTTTGCTTGAGTATGCGTACACTTTTTCTTGTCATAATTGCCAAATAATGCTCATCAGCAACCATGGCAGCAAAGGCAAAAACATCCATGTCAGATAGAAAAGCCATTTTCCGAAAGGCGTCTCGTATGGAGAGACGTACTCAATCATTATTTTGTCGGAGCGTTATTTGGCGTGAACTTTTGCCGCAGTTCTTCCCCTGTAGCGGAAACAAAAGCCGACATGGACTTGGAGGACATGCGCTTGCACGACGCAGTAAAAATAAGCAATGTCTTTCTTGTTGTCACACAATGAACCTCAGTTGTCAAGTATGGATCAGTGACGCAAGTAGAAGGACCGTCAAGGTGTGGGAGGAAGCAAAATACGGATCTTTTTAGATCATCCACTATACCTGCTGCACCACAAACGATTTGCTTCTAGCACTACAGGAGCGACGCGATCGCTAGCGCTAAGTTGTAAAATAACAAGATGAAGAACGTCGGTCGTGCGTTTGCTCTTCTGGATAGAACATGAGTAGATCTAGATGAGCGAAGTGGTCGCCGGGAATAGCGCTGATGAACGGAGTGCTCGCCAAAAACACCTAAGTACTTACAGTTTCATCATGCTCAGATGATGAGGAGCTTGCGTTGATGAAGCTCAAGATGACCGCTTTCTGCGCATGATATGCATGCTCCTGACGTTGCTGCTGCTTTGAATAAAAAGAGTCTTTGTCTCTATTGAAGACGATAACGAAGTCGATGCGTGATCCTCATCAAGGTTAGTACCTCTACAAACTACGTTTTCCCTCCATCGCTGACGTTGGCAATCGGAACTTAGCCATAAGAAACGAGAGGACTCAGAGAAAGTCTGTACTAGCTGTACTTTTGAACTACTAGGTAGAAGATATCATGAATATTAGAGGAGTTCAAGTACAACAGCAACACCCAGCAACCCTTTGAAAAATCAGAAACAGAAGTACTAGCAGATGCGCAAGAGGAAATAGACACAATTACGTCGAAGGCAGCGTAGTAAGAGACAGGAGATGATGCGTCAGTAGAAAATCATGCAACTACAGTGAAAATAATAATCATCAAAACGAATAATTTAGAATATATACAGAGTAGAGAAACAAGAACATATTAATTTACATCCAGATGCGTCTACAACCAACTGCTTGTAGATAGAATTTTCAAGGTACTAGAGCTTGGACTTTGGAGGTGATACATCTGCAACTATTGGCGGGCGCCGTTGATATTCCGGCAATGCCTTTTCTTCAATATGTCTACAGGCCCACATCCCTATCCCAGCAACAACGAAGAAGCCTTTTTTCATCACCAGCGCGCGTCGCTTCCCCGCTTTCAACCGTCCACCACGCTGGAGCCACAGAGTTGCGAGTTTGTTGCCCAAGGCAATCACCCCAGCTGGATCGCCAGGAGGAAAAAGGGTTTCCATAGGCGATAAGGTAGCATGGATGTCACACCAACCGTGAAATTAGATGGGGCAAGATAGAACGTTCGTCAGGGTCGTAGTTGGGAGACCCTATAAAATTATGAAGTAAGTAGATAAGGTTAAGAAAGCAATTTGTTGTACGTTCTTTAGTCTTAGAGTCAGAGCTTTGGTGTAACAGAGAATTTAGTTCAACGGGTATCTTCTCAAACCAAAGTACTAACACAGTATCTCAATCTGCAGTTCGAATCTGAGAATCACCTAAAAATGAATTGTTAGTTTGTAGGAGACATGCGAAAGTGTAAAGTCGAAGACGCTTTGATTCAGTTGCTCACAAGAAGAATAATTCGAATTACATAAGTAAATCATTGTTTTCACCCAGCCATACCTATCCGGCCAATCGGACCATGGCATTGCGGACACGACCAAGGTTTCATCGCCGTGTGCCAGGTGGGTCTCATCCATCGCCACACACCCGTCAATCGCACTTAGACGGGTATGACCGTGGTTTTTGTTTTTCTCCAAATCCACAGGTACACGCCGTCGATCCTGGGCAGCTTGTGTTGCCGAGGACGAAGATGAGGATTCGTTATCTGTATCTCTCTGGTCGTCGTCGGCAGATGAGTCGGCGGGAGGCGAAGTTCCACCGGCAGGAGCAGTTGCAAGTACCATAAAAGCGGGTCTGGAGGTAGTTGAGGTTGAAACGACACGTCGATGTTGCCCCTGTCCTTGCTTGTCCTTGATACTCATCTTCTCCATTTTCTCAACCATACTCCAAGGGACGCCACAGCCATTACAACTATCTGCTTCTGCTGTTTGTGTATTTTGATCTATTTGCGGCTTGTCCTTGTGCATTAATATGGGCAGTCGAGGAACTGGTAAAGAAGTTGTCGTGGTCATGACACTGGTATTAGCGATACCAGGGTCATTTCCTCCACCTCCTGCATCTCCTCCACCACCTTCTGCTCCTCGTTTTTCTACACTGTGAAAATCGTACGGACGCCACATATTTTAGAGCAGGATGAGCAAGAAAATGTTGAACTTGAACGTCTTCTACATTTTTAATATAGAGCAGTCGCAGCTGTTGAACGTCTAACTACATCATTTTATTTATAGCAGTCGCATTTCCTTCACACAACTAGTACCAGTTCTATTATTTCCATCATACATTGACCAAGTCAATTTGACTTCTTGTTCCATAAAAGTACGGCACTTTCCTTGCGAAGATGGGAATATGCATCGAAGCATGAAGAACCCTGCGGAGGTCAGCGAAGCTGGGAAAGTCACTAATCCATCGGTGATCTCGGAATCCTATAGTCACGCCAAGTTGGTACCTACCGCGCACCAACTCATGAGCATTTGGCCAGCGACGTTTCAGGATGAAAGAATGATATTGTCGTGGTGCTGGTGTTGGTTCTAAATCTTGAGCTGGGGGCCGTGATTTCTGACGAATACATAGTTGTACTTAAACTTGTGTACCAGTACTAGGTAGGAGCCAGAAGATGAGTATGGTGAACGTGATAGCAAGCATTTAGCACTCTATAGTCGCTTCATTCACAACAAGTCCCCGGCCATACCAATTTCATCGATCGCATACTCGTGATAATCCGAGAGCCGCAGTTTCAGCATCTCTTTTTTCCCACCACCAGCCAACATAGTATAGATCTCGCGCGCGAAGCTTGAGGGAGCACCCAGAGCCCACAGAAGGGCCATTAAAGCGCCTGCAGAGTCCCCTTGCAACATTTCCATCCTGAGACCAAATCCTTCACCAAATCTGGCCTCAAAAGCCTCTTGAACGCCGATATAGAAAGCGCAGCCCCAAGCATTGCCATCTAGGTAGACGGATCGAGGCAATTTGGCGTCTGCTGCGGTCATGATTAGAAGAGCTAGTTTCTGCTTCAGTATAATATATAAATATCTTCTTTTTCAATCGGAATCAAATTATCGTTGACGAAATTTTAAGACGAACGAGTGGGTAACTCCTGTTGATCTTGAAGATACCTCAACACTGAAAATAGATACCTCAACATGCAGAATAGCGATCCCTTAACATGATGTCGCCACCTCCTCCACCGGAAGATGATGTTGGATTTGCTTGGAGAGGCTTACTAGCTAGAGCGACACCCACGGCTGCAGCTGTTGAAGAACCACTTGGAGGTCCTGGTCTTGGAGAAGTAGAAAATGAATTTCTTCTTTGTTCACTAATAGAAGTACTAGATGCAACAACGACGGGCAGTCCTGGAGTTCTGACGTCGAGGTTTTCGTGTTCTTCGTCTGAACCACTTACCAGCTCGTAGACCTCGAGATCTGTCGTCGAGTCCATCTTCTGAAGAAAGGTTTCCTGCTCATCCTCTGCACGATGAGAACCTCTCCTCGTCAACAAATGGCCAGAACATAGTACTATGTTCAAAAAACTAAAAGACCAAATGATGACGAGCAGGTGTAGTTGGACCCTAGGAGTAGGAGAAGAAGAGCAGGTTGGACTTGGACGACGCGTCATTATGTTTTTTTTTATCTGTCGTAGCAGAAGTAGAAGAACTAGGACTTCATGAACAAGAAGGTCGTGAAGATAATGTACAATTGAAGATTTGATCAAATAGGTGGTAGTTGGTCAAGATCAACGGAGCAAATACATGCAGATGTACACGTAGACGAGCTCGACAGTTCACTAGAACTACAAATTCAAATAAAAGTAGAGAAACTCAAAGTACTAGATTGAAATGGGATGTGAGACGATACTAGAATGAACCATGGTCGTGAGCAGCACGAGGAACCTCCGTGGAGATACAGATCATGCTATACTAGGTAGTACAATCAGAATAACACGCATCTTCGACCAACCGAGGACACTCTTTCATCAACACATCGTCTGAGTCCTGCTTTGACGGATTCATTGTTAGCCTTCTTATCGTCTGCCTGCTGCACCATGATTCACACCACTGCCCGTGCCAAGAATCCTGGAAGAACACATCTGCAGCAGATGAGATATCTTGTTGTTCATCTTACATAGTACGACGTCGTTCTCCTAATGGAAAAAATTAGGCATCACTTCGTTTTACTATTACTTTCATCTTATATCTTCTTCAGAATCAGAAATGAAGAGGCTGGCCAAGGTTCTTCATGGTTGATCATGGATGAAGGGGCTCCCACCTTAGCCGCGTGCATTGAGCACTGGAAGAAGATCTGTCAAAAAGCACAATGACGCCAGACACAATAAATTCTCAAGAAAGCCGAAGCCTCGCGCGCGAGGCTTCATCTTTCAAGAGCATGAAGGTGCCGACATCAACATATGAGAATGAAGTTGATCAACGAATCTATCTACTATTAGCGAAGGTCTTCTCGGAAGAGGCTCCGTTCCTGATGATCCTGAGATAATCTAACAAAGTCTAGGGACTTACTTTTGGTTTTTGGTCGCGCTTGAGCTACAAGAAGAAACGACGCATGGTGTTTTTGCTCTATGCGTGTGTGTCAGTGTCGTCATCCCGATCGCTAAGATGAAAAAAGGTGGTCCCCCCGAATATTTTGTCGTCAACATCCTCTTGGCGGTGGAAGAAGATGTCAGAGCTCCTTCACCGGAAATAGTAGGAGTGCTCCACGACCTGCTCCTTATGAACTAATCAATAATGTCATAGACTTAGACGGGTACAATCTTCTTGATAGGATAGGATAGGAATCGGCTCACCTACAGAGAGGGGAGCGCTCGCGACTATGAAAATGCCGAAACTGAATCTACCTTGCTAGACCGACTATCTTTTTGAAGATGAGTTGGCTCTATCATCCGCATCCAATAGAATGATACAATATATTTATTGAAATGCAACATGGGGATTCCACACATTTGCTGCTGGAAGGAAAAATGTTCAGCACTTTACATGATTCTCTCTTCACAGTTTGTAGTTTGCTTATCTTTTTTGAGAGAGTTGCTTGCTGAACCAAGTACTAGGAATGACGATAAAAATAACACAGATGAATGAATCACACTGATAACTTTTCTATTTGATGTAAGACATATTCGTACTAGTAGACTTAGGAGAAGAACATCAAGAATTATACATACTCACACTGTTCAGGGACGCTCACGACCCGTGTTTCCCACCCAACTACATGTAACGAGTGAATGAATGAATTTGCCTAGCAAGAGGGTACGCAAAGTTTGTCACTGTGAAGTGATTAACAGTTTTCTTCCCCTTCCCTTCTTCTTTACTTGCCTTGTTTCATGTTCTTTTTTACTCCGAGTCTTTCTCTATTATAATATTCCCTTTCCATTCCTTATCGAAGTAATGCTGTATTTTGTTTTTGTTGATAGATGTTGCATTTCATCTTGATCATCATGTTCTTCTGCGGAGCAGGAGAAACATCTTGCGATATCTACAGTGTTCGATGCTTCGCATTCAAAAAAAAATGATAACGGAGAGACCGCAAGCCGAGTTGTAGGCTACTATTTGCCAGTTCCAAAGAGGCCTCGCTTTTTGATTTCCTCATCGAAATAGCGCCACATAACCGAGAACATCAGTCCCTGCATGCCGTTCGCGATATATTAGAATATGCATCTCCAGACATCCATGCGTAAACCACGAGCAGCATGACTTCTATCCACCTGGTGCTGAAGTTTTTATTTGCAACATCTAAATTGTATTTACAATAGTCTCAACGTCAAGCTGCTCATCTTCTTCAGAAAGTAAGCTGGTGGATTTCGATTTGTTACTATACTATAGTCTACTCGTAAAGAAAACGTTGTAAAAATGCGATGCCGGATTTTCAGCGGATTTTTACTTTTAATTTTTTTGAACCTCTTAAATCAGAGAAAAAAAAACTACTATAACAGTAAGAAGATTTTCTTTTTTCAAGGACATAATCCGACGAGAGAAAAAACCTTGAAGGCTAGGAATTTTTTCGTTTTTTTCAATGGATTCATCCGATGAGAAAAAACCTCTAAGGCTAAGGAATTTTTCTTTTTTTCATTGGGTTAATCTGAAGAGAGAGAAAACCTTTAGTAGCTAAAGCGAAAAAGTCACACAAGGAGAATTATTCACGATTTTCCTCAGTGGGCTAGGCGTAAAAAAAAAAAAACCCATAAGAGTAGCATGCAAATCAGTTTTGTACGCTTAGCGAAACCATATAGAGAACCAACGTAGGACGTGCATCCTATTACTGACTTGCGGAAAAAAAACCAAGAGAGAAGTCGCCACTTCCTTCCTTCGTTCGCGCTGCTCTGCATGAACGTGAAAGCAAGAGAGAAGTAACCACACTCGTCCACGCTGGAAAAATCATGAGGGAAATATGACTAGCCACCGACTTGGGCTCGGACTCTCGCTTCTTCCTTTCGTTCCTTCAGCTAGAGCCTTTCCCTCTCTTTCCTCTTCTCTCTTTCATTCTTAGTGAGGCGCTTTAGCATTAACTCTCGTGGATCAGTTTCAGTGGATCTGGGTCAGCCTCAGCTATGTGAACACGCTCCGCACCCACTGCCATAGCCGTCGACGGCTGGCAATAGCGTGGGCAACTTGGGGCGGATCCACAATTAAGCGAGGAGGCGGCTCGCGGGCTTTTCAAGGGGCAAGCTCATGCTCAGCATCAAGCTGGAACTTCAGGAAACAGCTAAGACTGAGACTAATTCCTCAGCTGGAGTCTCAGCGTTGATCTTCAACGACGCGCGCAAGTGCCTCAGCATCACCTTCGTCGACGTCTTCTTCTTCTTCAGCGATGCAGATGCATCTGGGACTACCACTACCGCGAGTTTTAGGAAGACTCGCCAGAAGTAGAACAGGCGCTACCTCTACCACAGCCACAAGCTCAAGCTCATCTCCATCGTGGTCGTGTCGTCGATGACAGCGCCAAGAGCCGTCGTCTACATGGACACCAGGACCAACGTCTTCGCTTGGTCTCGCTCTTGGCAATGGGACTGGTGCTCGTATTGGTATTGCTTGTGGCTCTTTGGTAATGCTCGGGACTGGGGCTGCAGATCACCTAGCCGCTGCTGGTACAGACTGGGCGCGCGCGTGCGGGTCACAACTCCAGAGGCTTAACGCTATGGCCATTCTTATTCAGAGCCTCAATGACAATCAGCATCACAATAAAAATCACAGTGACAGCGTAAGCGTAAAGGTAAATAAAAGAGTCCTACTAAAAGCGAGCCTAAATCTAAGCTAGAACTATCTCAGTCCTACAGTTGGAGTCGCGTAAGCCTAAGCCAAAGCTTAGCACTATGATGATTTAGTGTGACTATCTCGGTGCCAGTTTCTATCACTCTCACTCACACAGACGACACACACTCAGACGCCAGGCACAGACTCGAGACTCAAGCGCGACCGCGGGGGCTTATTCTTATGGCGAGTTATACTTATTGCCCTGCTTCTCGTTCTCTGTCTTGGGGCTTTCTTATTGATTCTGCCTTTGTGCAGCGTGAGCCTGATCCTGAACGCAAGACGTTCACGCTCATGCTGATGCTCAGCGTCAGTCTCAATGTCGATCTTAAACTTCATCCAATTCGAATGCAAAGAAATAGAGACACTAGCTACTACTCTTTAGAGAAAGCGTCTGAATTGGGACGCTATGGAAAGTGGATGACTCTGAGGGGCAAGCGTGATCGTAATTGTAAGCGTAATTGTAAGCGTTAGCGTGTGAGAGTGAGTAAGAGTATAGGGCGCAACAGCAACGCCTAGCAGTAGCAGCACCGCTACAGTTAGAGTGAGGCTTGACCTCCATAGTTAGTATTAGTATTAGTATCCAATCACGATCATGCTCATGCGCATGGTTTTCACTTTCGGACTCTCATAATGATCATCCCGGATCGTCGCGGCCTCCGTGCCACGCTCATACTCGTCCACTTGGTAACCTTCGCCCCCCGTCCCGGCGTTCCATCCTTCCGCCCCGGCGTTCCATTCCGCTTGGGCATAGTCCTGGAAACCCATACCAGAGGGGTGCGCACCATTGGGATCGAAGTCCATTCTGCCGGCGGGGTTGGGTTTGCTAATCTCGGATAGGTCTCGACCTGTGTGCTAAGCTTAAGGATTTGCTGTCTCTCTCCACTTAACAACTAGGACGAGACCAAAATCGACGTCGAGCCATAGCCTAGAAGAGTCAGAGACCGACTGAGAGTAAGCGCAAAGTGTTAGAGTTGTAGTCGTTGCTGTTGTTGGTTTTCTATTAGTGCAGTCATGTCAGGAACAGCTGCTGAATCACTGCAGTGGCGGAATTGCACTACAATGGCAAAACAAACGCTACACATCTTCACTCACTTCCGCACATGCTTAAGCTTATACGGGTATGGCTAGAGAGGGGCAAGAGTGTGGATACCTGGCGCCTGCTTCTCCTCTGTCTTGGTTTTGATTCTCGTTCACGTTCACGCTCAGCGAAGAATACGAATAGCGAGAGAGCCTGCTGCTCAGCTTGCAGCTGCACGGGCAACGGTGAGGAGCGTACTTTTGTCTTTGTGATTCTTGGCCGATCTAGATCTTTTGTAGATGGCGTCAGACTGTAGCTGTAGCCGTTGCTGTTTCTGTAAAAAGAGCGCTGAAGCTTCGCTCGTAAGTAGTAGACTGCGTTCGTCAGACGGGAGTCTAACTCCACTCGTCTCGTCTTGCCTTTTACGTTTGCTACCTATGTACATGCAGGGTATGTAAGTTGTCTTGTATTTGGGTCAGCATAAAAATAAATATAATAGCGGCAGTCTTCAGCTTTGGGCTTCGATTTGCAGCCAATGGCCAAGACACAGACAGCGCAGAGTGAAAGTAGCTAACGGCAATCGATAAAGGGCGGCGCTTGCAATCTACGTCTTCGCTTGCCTCTACCTTTTGCGCAAAGAAGTCAGCATCTGCGTCAGGCTCTAATGCTAAATCATAATCAGACAGCGAACCCGAATGCGAAAGGAGGAGTTGCTCGACGCTCACGCTCATGCTAAAGCTAACGACTGCGAGCTATCTCGACGCTCGTACTAGGTAAGGCTAGCGATGGAGTCTACTGCTCAGAAACAAACGAAGGCGGCGCATTCTCTCCCTTTCTTCTCCTTTGTGCTTTTGCTCACGCTGGATGGGATTGCGCTCTTTCACTCAGATCCGGACTTGAGGCTTACGAAGCGACGCAGGACAATTCGACAAGCATCCAAGTGCAAGCCCAACTTCTGCGAAGACGAGTAGAATAGGCCTCGCTCTCTTCTTCTTGTTGATTTTGCTCGCGCTGGATACGTATAGAATTGGCCTCGTTCACGTTCACCCAGATTCGAGCCCGACGGCTACGACAGCTTCGATCTCGTTGCTAAATACTGACTGGGTCTGGGACTGCAATGCAATAGAAATAGTGACTGTGGTGTTTACGAAGAGCATCGACTTCATGGAGCTGATTGCGACTGGATCCCGATGCCAGTCAGCGCGCGACGGGAGATTTAGAACCAAAACGAAATCTAGAAGAAAAACCCACCCACCAAGGATCGGTCGATTGGTGTCTCTCAAGGCACTCAATCACCACTAGAGTCCGAATATAATAGGGCCAATCAGCCCGACACAAGGTCGATTTGAAGGGTGTCGACATGTTTTTAGGCCAAAAATGGCCCCAGAAACTTGCGGACTGTAGTGGTGATAGAGGAAAAAAGGTGGCCACTTTGATGGTTTCCCTTAAAAGTGGCAAAATCGGGCTTTGCGGATTTTTAATTTAGGTGTCAAAATGGATTTACTTCCAGAGCAGCAAAAACGCGGAGTCTAGTCGTGCTAATGAAAATCCGCAACCTCAAAAAGGGGCCCACTTTGACGTCGATACTAAAAATCCGCAAAGCCCGTTTTTGCCATTTTTAAGGGAAACCATCAAAGTGGCCACCTTTTTTCTCCTATCACCACTACAGTCCGCAAGTTTCTGTGGCCATTTTTGGCCTAAAAACATGCTGACACCCTTCAAATCGACCCTGTGTCAGGCTGATTGGCCTTATTATATTCGGACTCTGGTGGTGATTGAGTGCCTTGAAAGACAGCAATCGACCGAGTCTTAGTGGGTGGATTTTTCTTCTAGATTTCGTTTTGGTTCTAAATCTCCCGTCGCGCGCTGACTGGCATCGGGATCCAGTCGCAATCAGCTCCATTAGCTCGATGCTCTTCTTCAACAATCAGCAGCCAAGTCATAGAGTAGCACGCTCGTCCAACAGTCATAAGCATAGTCTTTGTCTTAGTCATAGAAGTAGTCTTTCTGCATGCAATTGCGAATGGTAATGGGTACGGTTGTGATTCATTCGTAGTCCAATAGTCTGGCCTCACTTAGGCGATAGTAATAAGAATCAGCTTACTCATAGTCAGAGTCTGCCTCTGTAATAGCAGCGCTCTGCTGTAGTCTCTGTGCTCGACGCTGTTGTAGTTCTTGTCATTGTTTTGGAAGTCTCTTTCTTCTTCTGTTCTCTTGCTTATTTGTGGGGCTGGCGATGGCCATGGCGTAATGTTGTCGCCAACGGAATCGCTATGCTTATGGAAGACGGAGAGCCTATCTGTATCTATCTGAGCCCCATAATCTTAATGCTAAGAGTCGATATGCTTGCTATCGTAGTCGTACTCATATCGGAAGCGTAATCATTGGAGTTGTCTTAGAAGTGCGACTATCGTGATGGTCGCTATCTCTATCAGTATCTGCATCACTATGATCGTATAAAATTGCAACAGACTAGGGCTCAAGGATAAGTGAAAGCGGGAGCGTCTGTATCTCAGTTAGTTTCTTTGTCGCTATCGTCTCACTCGAACATCCCGAAGCCGAGAGTGAGACTCCCCTCGACGTCTTGTCGTTCGCGCCACGAATCGCGTTCGTCGGCAAGCCCCTCCTCGTCCGGGTCTTCATCATCGTGCTCGGAGTAGGCATCATCTGCGTCGTCTGCTAGTGAAGGATCTGCGTCGAGTTGCCTATCCTTGAAGAGGAGGCCCCCCGAATCGTCCTCATCGAGTCCATGCGTGACATGATTCGGATCGATGTGCTTTCTCCTTCGTGACTTCGGTGTGGTGGCAGCGGAGCTTGTTCCCAATACTGATGCGACGCCATTCAGGTCCACGCCAGCGCCAGCCTGGGCGGTTTCGGTGCCGCAGCTTCCGCATCTCTGCCGCAGTGGCGACGCGCAGCCAGCTCCACGTAGAAGGATGGATGGGCCTACTGGTGTCTGCTTCTGGTACAGTCTGGGGATGGAGGGTCGCCAGTAGGGGCTCTAGCGGCGCCATCCAGCACTCGTATGCTTCTGTTAGTATTGCGAGCCCATCCGGGCCCTTTGGCATTGCCATGCTGTAGCTGCTCCAGAATAGACAAAGAAACCGAGCTCGCGTCGCAAACTGCGTCAGCAACGTTTGCGCAGCCGCTGTATCCTGGAGACCTACCGCTTTGGTCTTTGTGCCGCATTTGTGGCAGTCTAGGACTTTCTGGCCATCTACTTTAGCATGCCGCAAAGTCGAGATGTTCTGCTTTTGTTCCGTGCTGTCCGTCCTCAACTTGCACGCCAGCCCTTGCACTGTAGGCCGAATCTCGAAGCCACCAAGGAGATCGACGTCGGTAGGATCGAAATCGAGCTCCTCAGCGATCCAGTTTCTGCGTGTTTGCCGCTCTTTCGCCGCTTCTGGCGCCATGTTTCTACTCCATTTCTTCGCGCCGAACTGTGCCCCTTGCTGTTCGTCGGTGGCAGCATTGCCACCAGTTACACTAGAACAAGAACTATAGCTATGCGTATACTACTAGAGCAAGGGGAGCAAGTAGTTGTAACTCAAGATCATGACCATCGTCGTGACTATCTTCAAGCAAAGGCAAAGGCATTTCGTGGCTCAAAAATATTACTACTATCGTCAGCCATCAGCGTCAGGATCTGGATCGGAATCAGATCAGGGCCAGATCATGGCCATCGTCTTGATCTTCCTCTTCGTCTTCCTCTTGGTAGTCAGTTGTCGTTGTTAAGCCTAATCGTAATCTTATACTTTTGCATGCAAATCGCATTAGCCCCAGTCCCGCTGGTACCACACCCAAACGCAAAAAAAACCAAAGCAGCAGGCCTACGCCTAGGCCAGTTTCCGCGTGTCCACCTCCGCCGCTACCGCAGGCGCACGGGCGCGCCCACCCGACCGCCCAGCCCACCTAATCAAAATCAGTATAGTTATACTAGAACCAGACTGCGCCCCAAATACTAGACGCAGATGACGAGTCCAAATGGTAAGGGGTAGAAGGATAAGATCGCGCTACTGCTAGAGTGGGCGCGCAAGTCGAAACGCCTCGACGCTGCCGCCGTGCCTTTGGCTTTGATAGAAAGTAGCGCAAAGCCAAAGGCCCAGGGTTGGGCCTAGACTATCCAAACCGAAGCAACCGCATAGCCTAGCGGTAGCCCTATTCGTGCCTGCGTCTGTAGTAGTGCAAGCGCTAGCTCTGCCATTACCAGCGCCAGTAGACGCAGTAGCAGTAGTCCTGGCGATGGGCGGCCTCCGCCTTCTTGCTACCATGTCTGCGGCCCGCGCTTTTCTAGTCGAGACAGCTGCGCCAGAACTAGCGCCAGCTACTGCAAGCCCCCACCGTGGTGGGGCCACTAGACTACCCCCCCCCCGGAGTTGAGGCTCTTCGCCTGACATGGCGACGGCCACCCGAGCCTTGCACCCCATCCGCGGCTCATCCGTAGCCGGCGGCTAGCGGCAGCGCTCAGCGTGCTTCTGCTCGTGCTTCGCTTACAATCAAAACAAATATCGCCAGCCCTCGCCCCCTCCCCAGCAAAAGCAAACGCACGGCGGCCATCGCCATGACTAAGGCCCTCACGATCGCCATGAGTATCGGCATGGCAAACCTTACGCAGAATCTTACTAGTGCTAGCACTGGCTCCACTACTGCTAGCACTAGTGGGGGTGGCAGTGGTCAAGGTAGTCGCTGTCGTAGCCCTTGCCCTTCATCTTGTGCCACAGATAGAGAAGCAGCTACTCAAAAGCAGACAGAAACTGAAAAGACCAGTACCAAAGTAAGCCATGACCTTCGAGGTGCGCCCTCCGGATCGGCTGCCTGTCGCGGTCTTCTTGTTCTTTTTGTTTCTTCAGTTGCTTGCGCTAAAGCAAACAAGCTCCCAACAAGCGGCGCCTTGCTGACTGCGGTCGCGCGTCGTCTGTTTCCATGTTTGCGCCGCGTCTGAGCGGCTGAGACTGGCGCCGCTTACTTTTTCACGATCATGATGACCCCTCTTGTTCTCTGTCTAAGTCTATCACTGTCGCAGCCACCAAGATCAAGCAAGACTCCCGCTTTCTTGATAGGCCCTGCTAGTCTCTATCTTTCTTCAATTGAAGCCGCTAAAATGAAACTTCTGAGGCAGGTCCTCTAGGAGTTTCTTTTTCAAGTCTAAAGGCCTTTAAAAATAGATTCTAAGTTCCTTCGCCAGTCGGTTTCTTGGCGTGGATTAGCCTCGTCTGATTTTTTTAAGTTAAAGAAGCTGGAGACGCATTTTCTTGATGTCCTGGGTGTAGTGTGATTTTTATCAAGTGCAACGCCTCAAAGTGTGAGTTTTTAGTGTGCTCCAAGTGCATTTTTTTCGCGTGCATCGTGGAGGTCTAATTTTTTAAAATTGACTGGGTCCAAGATGCATTTTCTTAAATTGCCTCTAGCTACTTGATTTTCCATCAATTTCACCCACTAAAAAAAAACAATATCAAAAATCCGCTGAAAATCCGGTAAGCCAAATTTACAACGTTTTCTTTACGAGTAGACTATAGTGTAAACGATAGTAGGCTAGCCATAAATGATGCGAGTCTGCAGTCCGCGACCAAACAAACCCACATAGCCATCTTTATCGACTATTTTTTTCACTGTTTCGCTATACGAGATGGGGTCTGGATTCGTCTGCCTATAAGTCTTCACCACGCGAAGGGAGTTGGAAATCTGTTCATTCATTCATCAAGATGTCTTGATCTCATTGATTTGACTAATTGAAGAGGCGAGACAGCTGCATGAGGTAGTCGTGTGTCGGAGGGCGTACTTAGTTGATGTGATTTTATTGACCTGAACGACTTCGGGAGGGGGAGGATGTCTATGTACACGGAAGAAATGGGTTAGAAGAGTCTTTGATGTAAAAGTACTTGCTGGTTTACAATACAACTGAAGATACTGCTAGTGTAACGCTGCAGCTACAGCTACACAATGCGCGGGTAATATTTTATTAGAGTAAAGAAAGTACGTAGCAGAAGGAGAAGTACCGTATCCGATATAACAGAAGAAACGAAGCCGATTCCTGCATTACGTGCCAGCTTTTTCGGCAACTCGTCATACTGAGGAATCACTTCTTGCAAGGTGTTGTATGTCGCAAACCACGGGTAATGACCTGAGTACGAGAAGATGAGGGTGCAAAAAGAAAACTTTAGTGCCAACAAATGTGACGGCTATTAAGGCTGCACCAGCATTATCTATTTATCAATATGTCATGTCATGGAACCTCGTTTGTAGCTGTTCATGTCTACCTGTGAGGTCATCCAGTAAATGAGTACCTCCCATCAATATACATTTACATAGATACCAACAAACGTAGCCGCTGAGGCTGCAACCGCACCATGCCAGAAAACTGTAGGGCCTTTTGCTCTACTCTTCGCAAATAGAATGTCGAGGCCAGGTTTTCCTTCAACTTGCATGATTGTTTTCACTGTGTCGATAGGTGTAATCGCAATACGCCACGTAGCTGCCATTCCAGAGGCGCCAACTGTTTTCACCTTAGGAGTTGGTAGTTATAAGTGCGTATTTGTCTTGCTGATGAAGCAGGTAGGACATTTGTCTTCGGTTGTGGACATTTTCTTTTTCGTTATACACGTAGTGACTGAGAAGTGACACGTAAAAATCGAAGTTTTATTCAAGCTGTGAGAGAAAGAGAAAAAATATATTATCAACGAAGCTTGCTAAAAAAAAGGCAGAACTATACCGCAGCTGGTAATGATGCTGTGCTTTCATTGGCGTCTAGAAGTGCCAAGACACCTGCGTTAGCTGCTGTGTCTCCAAATCTTGACAGTGGACCTTGCGCTATCGCGGCAAAATAACCCCTGTAAAATCGGAGTATGCCACCCTCTGCATAAAGTGTGGATGTGGCTTGTCGAAGACCCATTCCGTATCGGTACCTCGTGGTGGTGTGTTTGTTGGACGTGAAGAAAATTGCGAAGAAATGATGAATGTAGCAAAACAAATCGAAGAGCAGTGATAAGGTCAGAAGATCCACCCCATAAACAGGGGATCAATTATCAGATCCAAATCGATTCTAAAATTAATGTAATCTTCTTTAGTTGTACTGATAATTCATGATTGTCCGTATCCACATGAGGGTGCTCACTTGCACGACCATGGCTGCGGATCCCGCTATTCCACCTCCTAGTTAGAGCTCAAAACATTTCGTTTCTTTCGTTCCTTTCCTCAGAATTGCAAGGAGGAAACTACGAGAAATGAGTGGGGATAGGATAGGAGTGGGCTCACTTGTGAAGGAGTGAGCGTATAGGCAAGATACGCCATCAATATGAATGAAATATATTGAGCCTTAACCTAGCGCCCTTTTGCCTGCATTACTGAGAATTTCGCTCATAGGCTTCGGCTCTTTCGGAGGAGCCTCTTTGCTAAACGTCCCAGCCATTTTTTAACGACTACAGTTAGAAGAATCAGTTGGAGTATGGAGAGCGAGAGGTAGTGGCTCTTAAGCTTAGCTTGTAGAAGCTACAAGTCTCAATTATCACAATCTGAAGACGATTTGATGAGAAGTACTCAAAGCCAGAAATCTACAAATAAGACACGACTGAAGTTGATTATTCGATGAGTGAAAATTGTTTCAAAAATGATACGAAAACAACAGCAAAAGTACACTGACTTGCTATACCAAGCATTTCTGTGCGACTGAAATGAGTCACAAAGAAAATCACACGGCCTTTTGACTCCAATTTCCACTGAGGTCTGGTGAACGGGAGGGTGACGTTTTTATCATCATATTAAGCAGCTCACTTACACTTTCCTACTTTTTTCCCAAGAAAAGCTACAGTTACAGACGGCAGCATGAAAATAGCATACCTCGTCCGTCAACTTATTATGATACTCTCCTTCGCTTTTCATTTTTCCGAAGCACATCAGCTAGTCTACGCAGCTAGCAAATAACACTCTCGTCCTTCATTTGAACTGCAGCTAGACGAGTTTGCATCTGCTCTCTGCACCGATAAGAAGAGAAGAGTGAGTAGCTCTGGCTCGTCGCGCAAACAGGAGATGAAGAACAACTCTAAAAGTATACGACGGATTTGGCAAGAACTCTCGTTTGCAGATGATGTCATGTTGTTGCCTGTCTTCTTACAAATCGATGCGCATTAACCAAGCAGGTGAAGGGCTGGTCGGATGGTGGGCTAGACGAGACGCACTCTCCACGCTCAACTCTCGTAGTATCAGTCTGAAGAAAAGCAAAGACGAGGGGGAGCAGTTATAAGAACAAGTAAATTTATGAACAGATGCTGCCGCCCTTGGCGTCCCATCCCCCAGGCATTCTGGTGGAAGTGCACGGGGAGGGGTAGGTGCTCTCACTGACTCTAGACCACCGTTCCTGGCACGGCCTAGGGTACCGGTTCACCATGCCAGGATCTAAAGCCAATCGCATCCAACGCCAGAGAACCACAGAGATGGCCCTACAGTGCGGAAAAAACTTCGTATGTCGCTGACTAGTCACTTCTACACAACGCCCGTGTCAACCTTCGGCTCAACAAACTAGAACACAAAGCCAAAGGTTGCATCGTGATTCATTGTGTCTTTCTCTTGGGTAGTAGTTTTTTTCGTACCTTTCGCTACTTGTGACATTTTGCTTGTAGTGGTGCTAGCAATCATGTTGTCTTTTAGTAGGTAACTGTAGTCTGCGTGAGGAGTGTCAATTCCTGCCGGCAGCTACAACCAGTTAACTGACCTACCTTGTATCTGGCCCCATGTCTTTGTAGTAAGCACTAAATTCGGGAGTTTTTTAAAAGCTCTGCAAATCCTTGGACTGCAAATCATTATGAATGTTTCTTGCCTTTGTGATGTTCTGTGTCATTTATAATATGGGTGGAGCCAATCGAACTAAAAAAAGTAAAAAGAAATTCTGCGTCATTTATAATGAAAAGTAGTCGTGAGATGACTTGAGTGCTTTTGAACCACTTGAACCTTACTCCTTGATTGGATCTACACCTTTGGTTTATGAATAGCCAGTCGTGTCTATAATTTTACACAAGTCCTCACAGTGTGTTGGTAATGCGTCTTCTCAATGAAGAAGATTTCAAATACCATAAAAAAAATAATCTACCCATGAAGTTCAACATGAAGGGGAGAGGGGAAAAGGTTTGGTTACAAGGGGGGTTACGCTTCTAGTGTTCAGAGTAGTTTTTTTCTGTTTGTTTTTGTTGTTTTTGGATCTACTTTCATGTACTCGCATTATTGCGACTCTTTTTGCAAGAGCCTTAAACTTTATTATTATCAAATAAACACATACATACTTACTCAGATGAACTTGTAGTTATCCTTTTTCATCACCTGTTTCATCGTCATGATCATATTTTCCAATTCAAGTATATGTCCTGGCCGGCGGTATCTTTTCCAGATTGTTCGTCGTTATTTACCTCGCTAGCGTCGTCAAAATAAAACACCTAGAAAGCAGAACTTCAGCTCCTACACAGTTACCACGATTTTCCCACGACATTTCTGTGTTTCTTGGAGTGTGTGCGCTTCGCGCACTGTGTTGGCTGACAAGCCGTTGAAGGTGTGCGTGGCCACAGGTGAGATTTTTCCGGCGTCAATAAGCTGCGCCACTTCACGTAATAAAGCACCCTGCTTCTCCGGCTCAAGATTGTGGATCGAACGGAACAGTTAGAAGATGCTGACGACAACGTACTTACACCCGCCTCCACTTCTACTATCGTGCAGTCCTAGTGTTCATAAACACGCAGCTTACCGATAGTTGTATGATTGATTTTATGTCTCGACAATGCTACGGCTGAACACATAGTACTAGAAAGATACAGATTCCCGGGCGGATTGTGTAGTAGTTATAACTATCTCAAATAAACTTTAATAGCACGTCGTCCAAATAAACTCCTACTTAATGTGCTACTTAAGTACCTACTTACGGGCATCCCCATCTCCCAAACCATAACAGAACATCATACCAAAAGACAACGTGACTCGGTTCAAATACATCTTCATCACGTCATCCTTCGACGGGAAAAAGGTGACAACCGGTGCAATGACGCCCATCGGCTTCACAATATCGACCACTTCGGAAGCGTACCTGGTGTAGTACCCGTGGTCATGTACTACAAAAATGCAGAGGAACAATGGCAACTATGAAGAAACTACTTCACAGAAACATTATTTAATATTATTAACATCTTGCTTCAGCTTCATCACAATAAACAAATACGTCAACTACACAGTACAAATCTATTTAAGTACCTCTCGTCATCATGACAGACGTAGACTCCGTCTACTTTGCCTATTCCTGCTGCCTCAAGCTCCTGCTGTAGCGTTTTGGAGGTCCCATGAGTGATGACAGTGTCAGCTCCAAGTTTCTTGCACCATTCTGTACTCTCAGGCCTGCTGGCTGTGGCGATGACCTGTTTTACGCCCAAAGCTTTGCACAGCTGGATCCCGAAGCTACCGCAGCCTCCAGCACCACCAAGAATCAGGATGGAAGAGAGGGGATGAAAGTAGGAGGGAGGGAAGCACGAAGATGGTGGAGGGAGGTTGCTAAGTTTAAGATGAGTTGTATACTTGAGTTGTCGAGTGTTCGTTCTATCTATCAAGACCAAGAACATATTCAACACCCTTTGTTCTTCTTCTTCCATCTACTTGACAGCGAGAAGCACCAGCTCCAGCAGCATGATTCATAGTCAATCAGTTTCTTGCAATTATATCATCAACAACTGCCATATCTTTCCGCTTTTTGTCGTTCGTTCAGTCGCATTGTTTCTACCAAATTTTCGTACCCCGTTATTGCCACCAAAGGGAAAGCCGCGGCTTCTTGGAAGGACAGAGTTGTTAGAGCTCACCAAAGTAGTACTTCTTCGGATTCATCTTGGAGCTGTTTCGCTCTCCTCCCCCTTAGCGTACAGTTCCGAGAGAATCAATGTTCTAGAACGAAGTAAGATGGATTACGCACAGGTTAAGTAGCCTTAAAGTTGACGGTTTCTTCGCAATTAAACGCTCATCCACTGCAGTGAACTCAGCGTTGGTCCCATCACGAATACAGCTTCCACTGAAATAGACTTCGTCGCCGAGAGGGAGGTTAGAAGATGGGGAATGCTGCTCGATCGGAGTAGAGGTGAAGATGCTGAAGGAAAAGTGCATCCATGGCAACGGTTTGCACTACTTGAGGTAACGTTGAAAACTGCAACTCAAAACAAAGAACATAGTGACAAATATTACCGTGTCAAGTAGAATACTATTTTTGAACTTTAATCATGTACTATAGTTACTTTAATGGACTATAGTTTGTGATTGTCTTCAATGACTTCGATTATATGTCACAAGAGTGGTCCTCTTCACGAGGAGGACGGGTGAGCTCTTCTACTTATTTACTGCTATAATTAGAACTCTGGTGAACCACAACTACATTGATCATAACAAAACCACAAGAACAGGCACTCCCTACGTCGACGATCACACCAGCACCGTCGTAACCCAGGATTTTCGTCGTATTTTCGGGAAACGGCATTCCTGGAGGATTGAGGTGAAGACACGAGACCGATGTGCTATGAAGGGGAAGACTCGAGATCGATTGAATCGGAATGTAGAAGCAGATTGAAGATAGATCAGATATGGAGGGGAAGACTCGAGATCGCGTGATTATGTCGAAGTGGAAGATGCTTCTCTTCATATAATAAGGATGAGAGGACAAGATTATAAGTCGTTAAGTTGACTAACCCCTGCACTAGAACTCTTAATCTTAAACGAAGACGAATTTGTGGAGGTGGAAGTAGTAGAGGAATCAGAAGACAATCCAACATCTCGTCCTGCTACTCCACCCAGAGGCAGTTGTATAAGTTTTTTGTACTTCTTACCTAAATTCGAGCATCTGAGTTTCCAATCCACTGGGTTCATAGCGAATGCTTTGATTTGCACTAGGACATCCCTGTCTCCCAGAGTGGGCCGTGGTAGGCTCAAATCCTCCAAAACCTCAGCGCCACCCAACTTGCGGATAGCAACTGCTTTCATCAACGCAACACCCTGGGACGAAGCCATTTTGATGATGTCAGTAGATGGTGTTGATGTTGTACTTGATGTAGTTTTTACGATATTCTTGTTGCAGTACTTACTACTTGTTGTGCTTACCAACGAGAACAAGAACAATTTTCGATGCTGTAGTAGTACGTCTAAATAGACTTGTTGCTGTTTATCTTTTATGGTACAGAAGCTCCTAGGGGAATGTTTTCTTCACTCGTTCTCCTTGGATACTGACAGACTCTGTTTGTGGTTCACAACACAAATGACATTATATGGTTTTTATCGTGTGAAGATAGATAAGGTAGATCATGGTGCTAGGAAAGTCAAAAGTCCTCCGCTCAACATGGTAGTCATGATATGGTTGAGGTTCTTGTACCAGTATCACGCTTTTCACGCATTATCTGGCTCAAAGGGTCAATTACGTCATGAGGAACATTGATTGATTGATTGACGTGCCTGGCAAGAGGTCACTTTTGAGGATTTTGTTTCCTCATTTATTATTCCCTCTCTTTTTTGCTCCTCCTTTGCGTTTTTTCTCATGTCTTCTACTGATGAGATCTACTCTTTTGGAACTCTAAACTATGTCTATGTGCATTTTTTCTATAAGAGGGGCAACAACAGTTCTGGGATTGGCTCGTCAACTCCTGCCGCGTGCCTGGCTTGGTAAGATATATTTACAGAGGGTGATTTTTATGACCTCTTTTTAGGATCATCCGTTTACTCTAGGCGCTGCGCTTCTTACCGATAAAACAGATGAAGATACAGACAACTCCTCCGCCTCCGCTATGTGCTCCGTGCACCAGTTTGCTCGATGTTGCTCATCAAGCATCATGTTGTTTTTTTTTCAAATTCAATCAGTGGTATAATTTAGATAGTAAACAATGTAGATAGGCTCCATCCGAGCGAAAATACATGGTCCTTCATGCAGTCAAATAAGGAATCTAGTGCAGTTTCACGTGGATGATTGATGTGGTTGATGAAGATGAGTGATTGAATGAGTCTGGTGACGGATGATGAAACGACTAGACTCATGCACATGAAGATTATGATTGGACTACGCTACTGACGCTGTTAGACTCCTGGGTGGAGCTTGTGCAAGTAAAGCTAAAGTTTCAAGAAAGTGAACGAGTTGATTCGTATGCGCGACGCTTTTCCTTCTTTTCCCTTTCCCTTCCTCTCTCTTCCTCGCCCCTGATTACGACGATCTGATTCCGACACAAATGGACAGTATGTAAATGTATGAATTAAGACTAGTGTCGTGATTTCGCACCAGCTCCAGCAAGATATCAACTACAATTATTCTGTCCTCGTAGACGGGGCACGTCTGTCGGAAGACTTGTTGCTTTGAAAATACCTAATAGCATGGACATTCATCACACCACCAGGAGCACGAGCTGCTTCATGGCGATTGATTGTCATATTAATTTATGTCTAAAGCAGCTTGCTTCATGGCGATTGATTGTCATAATTTATGTCTAAAGCAAGTGGTGCTACTTCGGAATGTCGTACACTTCCTTCTACAGTCTTGACGCGTCGTCGCCAGTGTAATCCCCTTCTAGAAGTATGCATAGGTTGGCAATAACTTCTACACTACATCACAACTAGTAACCTGTGGTCCTCTATTTGCTGTATCTCCTCTTCAACAGCTACTGCTCCTCGTCATGACCACCAGACTTTGTATTTGCGTCCTGCAGTGAGGAGTAGTGGATCTCCTTTAATCAAATTTTCGGCGATGTGGTCCAAATTTCATGAAGCAGGGAAGGAAAACCATTTACTCATACTCACAAATCATCCACGTATTCGAAAAACTGAAATAACCGAGTAACTACTTGAAATAAGCACAGTTATAAGCCTGAACAAGGAAGAGTAGCCCTGTGAAACCTACTTACCTCCCTTATTTCAGTCACTTACTCGGTTATTTTCAGTTTTCGAGTAGAATGCCCCCACCTGCCGAGAAGTACTTCGACTCCGTAAATTCTGATGAAAGTCTTTACCATGAGGTTCATGATGCTGTACGTAAGTACATTTCATCGGAACTTGTTCGGAAATTTACTTAAGGTCACGAGTATGAGTATAATGTCTCTTTTCATATGAGTGACAGCCGTTTGATCTGGCCGCAGATGAGCCAATGAGCAGCAACGGAGGATAAATTCACATCCACACGCTCCCACTCTACTTGGAGGAGCTCAAAACAATTCATTTCCATTTTTCGTCTGCATTCTGCCCAGTCCTATGAAGAAAACTAACAGGGAGAATAAATTCATTGCACGCAAAAATGAATTGTATTGAGCCTTAATCTAGTGAGTTCAGAGAAACCAGCATTTCCCGTAGTTCTCTTTTTCGAGAGTCGTGTCTCGCAAAAGCGTACAGGTCTTGGTCTACGAGGGCAGGTCTTGGTCGAGGTTGTTTGTACACCCATTTACAGGAAGTTTCTCTTTCATGAGAGACCACTCCACCAAGAACATCTTCTTGTTCAACATCTTCTCCATTATCATCTTCATCGTCAAGAACATCCTCATCCTCATCATTTTTTCTAGTACTACTAGCTACGCGTCCTTTAATATTTGCTCCTTCTCGTTGTCGAAAAGTAGCTCTTTGTTCTGCAGTACTTCTACTCCGCCGATAGGGATTCGCTGGTCGTATACTTGCGGTGCAGTAGGGGACTAAGTGGTCATGAAAGACATTGGCGTAGAGCACTCTCCGTCGAAAGGCACGTAATGGGCGTAAAAATGCACTTCGTGTTGCCATCTGGTGCAACAATGGTCCTTCTTTCTTTCTCTTGTTAAGATCCTGTTGCTCTTTATTTGCAGTTTGAGGAAGACCTTCTGCGCTTGATCTGCTCGAGAATTAGAAATTTACTCTAGTACTAGAGCTTCTAGGAATTAGAAAGACTCTACTAGAACTAGTCGAAGACGAAAACATCAATAAGAAGTAGTCGTCGTCGTGCGAGTCTGAGTTCCACGACCACGACGCGGCCAGTAGACATGGAGACGGAGAAGGACGAGCAATATCGTTGAATAAGAATTGGATTCTGTCGAAGTGGGAGATGTCGAATGAATTATTCCTGAAAGGTGAGGATTCGGCCCTAAGAAGATGCTCCACTTGCTGCACCTGCTACAACACCATCTCTTCCAGTGACAGTGTTAAGAGAAGTGCTATCCCTATCTGTGTCTTCCGAATTACAACTAATAGAGTCGCAGTCAACGTCGCCTGCTAGGCAGAGATCTTGAACGGATTTCGTCTTAACGCTAGCCAATCACTATCCGTATCCCTCGTTCTTGAGTGGATTCATTTCTTTCTTGGTTAAGAAAGAGCTTTTCTTGGTTAGGGACACAGTCCCCTTGTCTTCTAAACCGCTTGCGGTGGTCTCTTTGAGAAGTTCTGAAGGGACAAATCCATTCAGCTACATGAGTTCATCTAAAGGGAATCCACTCAGCATGTATATTCAGCACTTCTAGTAGCTAGAGTTCTAGATAGAGATTGACTGCTGCTCGTAATTGTCAATGACGTGGCGACATACATAAAAACGCGGTTGAAGAGTCCGTCCGGCCCTCTACCTGCTGTCATCGGTCTCCTAATGCCCAAATGTGGTGAGGCCAGGGTCATAAATGTCCGAAGCTCGATCTTCTGAGAAGATGAAGTTTTTAGAAGTAGTTTGCTTGGTGGGATAAACCTAGGATATGAGTTTTTAGAACAAGTCGTTCTAGAGTGTAGTTGTACATCTTTGTGGGTGCTGTTGGAAGTTTTTAGAACGGGTCGTTCTAGATTGTAGCTGTGCATCTTCGTGGGAACTGTTGACTTCGCTGTAGTGGTAGAAAATGTTCAATGTTTTTCATCGTCATGGTCATACTGTGTGTTCCTGAAGAAGGTTAGGTTTTGGATGCCTGGCCTGTGAAAACTTCACTGCGTGGCACCTATACTGAAGAAAAGATAATACATCAAGACTTGTTGCACTAATATGATGAGGAGATTCACCACGCTCAGATTACGTTCTTCGGGTTCTCTACCATTCTACGTCTACGACCCCTTCATAAAGTCCTACTCAAACGTTGATCATCGTCGTCTCGTGGAGGAGAGCAGAAGGCCTCGACTGATGGCAAATTCTGACCATTACTTGATGTAGATGTAGAGGCTTTTAATGGTGCTTAGAACTAGCCATAACGATCTGTCCACCTGCCCTGTGAAGTAATCCCGTGAAAAAGAAAATACAACTCGAGCCAGTACTAGTACTTGCCTCAGTACCACAGCGCGAGAATCTGGAACGCCGGGTTAACTCTTCAGTATTTTCTCGGGATTCATCACGTGGAGGCAGGTCCTTTTCAGTCTTAAAATCCTGTAGAAGCAGTTTCTTTGCCTCCACCACGCGTGACGATCAACCAATCTCTATCTTGCAGAAGCTTCAAAACATATCGCAGGTAGATGCCGCCTAGGCTGTGACCTATAGTTAGAAGACCAAAAGAACGCATATGAGCCGAGACGACAACTGACCATGGCTGCTCCTCTTTTCGATAGAAGCAGTAGATAGCACCAGGTTTTCATTATTTATTTTGTATCATGATGCGTCATCTACATCATGATCATCTGTTCTTGTAAAAATATCATCCGTTTTAGTTGTGATTTAATACGACTAGTACTAATATGCTGATCGAACACGAAAATAAGATCCTATAAATATTTCTTTCCTCCTCCATCGACTACAAATACAGTAGTAGTAGTAGTGTGCCCATTCGTGGGGTGTGGTATACCGTTTAATTAGATGACTTCTGTCTTTGCAGGTACTACTTCCTTTTTTACTCCTCCTATTTCTTAATATAACAGACAGGTATCGCACAGGCCGTTTCTCCTGGATGCTTTTTTCGAGGATTTCAATGATTTCTTTAGCCACCAAACGCGCTCCATTTGCAACACCAGTATGGATGATGTTCTTTCTCCCCTCTAGAAGCCTACCATCACGGCTCCCCATTAACCTAAAGAAGATACCTACTTTTACCGTTCTGCTAAGGAGAAAACAAAGGGGCAGACTACCTAACCTACTTTCACAGTCCTGCTAAGGGGTGGATTGATCCTATGGGGATTGAAAAGGTGCACCAGCCTAGATAGTCACTCTGCAAAAAAAAGTATACTAAATAGTCGAGATAGTCTGCTAAATCATGGGAGTCGATGGTCTGCTAAAAAAATGGGAGAAAAAGCATGTTCATCCATACCCATCATTTGTACCAAACCAGCGGTCTAGACTTTTTGCAGCGTAAAAAACGGTTTCCACGTTCTTGTAGGCCTTGGAAGTGGACGACAAAGAGTCAGAGTCGTCCTCTCCTTCGGAAGAGCTTTCCTGTCTTGCAGCAGCCTTGCTGCTCTCCTCGTCTTTGCTGAGTCTAAATGTGTCGCTGAGAAGTGGTGTTCCCCTTCCTGTTCCATCCACCTTTTCCTTGCCTTTTATCAGTTCCTGTCGCTTTTCCGGTGCAGCCCATGCCTCAAAGGTGGTGAGAAGATTTTTGAAATCTCCAACACACCCTTGAATCCCATGCTGCAGAATCACTAGGTGTCGTACGATTTCACCCATTTTCTTGTTGTTCAGAAGTAATTTTTAATAAATAGTGCTTGCCTGTAGAATATGTTGAAGCACAGTGCAGAAATTGCGTCCCAAGTTGCAGCTGTTACTATGAAAGGCAAGGCAATGTTCATGTTCATGTTGATTTCTTCATGATATCTTTTAATCCAGCATCGTTCAAGAGACATTATTGAAGTCGTAGGTCGATGTACTATGTATGATGATGAGATGTAGATTCACTTTTTTTCCAAGGTGAAGGAGCTCTTATGCTATAGTATGGGTCAAATTCTCATGTTGGCGTTGAAACTGCGGTGCTGTTTAAAAAAGTTAAGTACATATATCTTGTGTGGTGGAGCCGACCTAACCTAGAGTTAAGTACATATATCATAAATTTGGATACAATAACAGCGTACTAAAGACTCACACACTAGGAAATAGAAAAAAAAAGAAACAACTTCGTCTACTACTTCAAGAACTGTCAAGAACTGCTACTCGAGATCAGTTGTGGATCTTTCTCTTTCAGTAGGTTAGGTCGTAATTTTTTACCCTAATATTCGTTGTACTCTCGTCCTAGTCACAAGGTTTAGGTATAGGTCGTTTACCGAAGCCTGATATTCGTCGTACTCTATCATTCACGACCCCGCGTTCATGATTACAGATTCAGATACGACTAAGTACATACGCGAAGACAGCGTCTACTACAGGATGTTGATCTTCATCCCTTTTCGCCGCTGACGTACGCTGTCTGAGGAATGAAGATCACAACGTGAATAAAGATCACAACTTTAGATCTGCCTGGTGATTACTTCGCGTAAGAACGGTCTGGTGATTAATCCCCGTAACCACAACTTCATCAGGGTCTTTATTTTGGAGCTGTACTAGTACCTTGAGGTTCCTTTTTGAGCTCGAGCTGTCGTACACTTGATGTTTTTCTATTTAGTATTTGTGTCCTCCGACATTGCCAACTATTTTTGAAAAAATCCGCGAAAATCCCCTGCCCCGTTCGTTGAGTCCAAAAATGGATAGAGTATGCGCGCATTCTTTTGGGGAATTTCAGAAATATTTGCCACGGGTCAGACAAGGCAGAAACCTTGAACGAGGTCCGGAGAAGTCGGGGAAATTTTGGAAAATTTAGTTGTCAATGTCCCGTACATAGTGCCACAGATGAGATAGACTTTCACTTCGACGCTTGCGAAGCATAGAGCATTTGGAGTAGCTCGACAGAATTCGCGACGAGAGCGCAGGCCAACTGTTCACGGTATAAGGGCAGTGCTGAAGGAGAGGCTAAAGGTCTTGTGCTGTCTTGTTGAAGAGCTTGACCTTGTACTTGATGACCTTGACTACTATCGTTAGTATTGCCTCGTGTTACTTCCCACATGTTGCTGTCCTTTTGATGTTGGCCACGACTGCCGTCAATATTGTTAGTAACCATGTTGTGGAGGACCCTCTCGTCGACGTGAAGAGCAGCAGCGGAACAATTCGCCGGAAAAGCTCCTGCAAGATTTAGTTTTAGAACTATAAGACTTATATATTAAAACGTAATAAAAAGAAAATAAGTTGTGAGGCGTGTAGTCAAGAAAAACAAGTAGATGTATCATTTAAGAAAATAGGCACACCTAGTTACTAGTACCCGTAGGAATGAAACAACACCTAGTAGTTGTAGAAGAGCTACAGGTGAAATAAGATGCTAGCTTCTACTCAAGAAGAACAAGAAGAGAAGATGTGAGTGACTATCTCACTTAGGGAATAAAGTCGAACTAAATAGCATCACGACTAGGTCTAGGGGAAGGTGAGTAACAATGACACCATCTGCTAGAAAAGCAAAAGGAGTCTTGTAACAAGGAGCTCACTGGGGAAAGGTGAACAACGACACCAGGTAGAAAAGGAGTCTTCTAACAAGGAGCTCAATAGGGAAAGGTGAACAACGACACCAGGTAGAAAAGGAGTCTTCTAACAAGGAGCCTTACTAGAGTCTGCATCGGAACCTGCGGAGGTCCTTGCAGCAGGTCCTCTTGCCACAGATGTTGTTGTCCTTGTGTCTGCGGTTCCTGGCCCTGCAATTGCATTTGTGCTAATGCTTGAATTAGCGCATGTTTTTCACTATGGTATCAGTATGTAAATGTATGCCTCGGCGGGCCAGTGCTTGCCCTGATGTACCTGTGGTTCCCTCTGGTTGGTATCAGTATGTAAATGCACGCCTGCACCAATGAGATGCTGATTGAGTAAGTTCTAGCTCCTCTTTGCTTTCCTCCCTTATTTTTCCCGTTTAAATACTCCACTCAACAGCACACTCTACATGGAAATGGAATAGTGAAGTCCTGGCCTTAATGGAAGGAGTGGAGTGGTAGCTGCATATTCTTGTGGAAGACACACATAGGAGCCTTCTTGAAGACTCTGCGTACTACAACTCTGTCGGTTTTGATTGTTCAACACTTGATTGTTCAACATTATTGGCACCGCTGCTATTGCAGATGCAGCTCCATCATGAGTTGCTGCAGCTCCATCATGAGTAGTTGCTCCAGCTCTTACTACGAAAGGAGCGCCGCGATTATTTTCTTCTACAACGAGAGGAGGACCACTAGTGCTATGTCTATAATGCTCGATGATCGCCGCGCTATAATCCTGCTCTGCTACAACAGTACTAGGTTGAGCCGTACCATGAAGATCGCGGGCTACAAAACCTCCCTGAAGATCCTCGTCCACTCTGACTCCTGTCGTGCTGTAGTAGTTGATACTCTGCCCACTCTCAGAAGTCACAAGCACTTCAGCCATATGATGAGGTGGAACTTGAGCTTGATGAAGTCCAGGTTGGAGTTGAACTTGAGCTTGATGAAGTCCAGGTTGGGGTTGAACTTGAGCTTGATGAAGTCCCGGTTGGAGTTGAACTTGAGCTTGATGAAGTCCAGGTTGGAGTTGAACTTGAGCTTGATGAAGTCCCGGTTGGAGTTGAACTTGAGCTTGAAGTTCTTGAGCTTGAAGCTGAGGTTGTGACCACTCTCCATGATCGTATGGGCTAGAAGCCGAAGATGTACTTGTACAGCTACAACCCACTTGTCCAACAACAACTTCACGACTAGGACTAGCTTGCATCATCACGTTTCCATTTACTCCAACAGTTGCTGTAGCTCTAGATGGACCACTCGATCGACCAAGAGTGTCAGAATTGGTTAACGCTGCGTGCATTATGAAAGGCGTGTTTTTCCATCTAGCCAGACCATCGAGGCCCACCTTTAACCTATACAGCTTGACGAAGGGGAAATAAAAGAGCAGCCGCGACGATGGTCTGTTAATGGAGAGAAAAACACATTCATATGCAGATCATGTTGTTGTTCACAGTGATCCCTTTCTGGCGCAGATCGTTCTGAACGGTTTTGCAAGCTCCTGATTGGAGTAATTGTTTTTAGAGTGTAAGCGTAAGCCGTGCTGCTGTGGGGGATATCCCACTTATACCACATTCCAGTTCTTACACGCAAGGACCGACTCGAGGACTGTTGTAAAATATCATGCACATCACAGAATCTGAATCTTTATCTTCTGAAGATGCAGAAGTCTTGATGGTATTGGTCTTCTGTATTAAGAGGGTGAAGCAGATCGATTGGGAGGACTGACGCTAAAATAGATCTTACGAGCAGGGAAAAATTTTAACCGGTTATTGAGAGAGTAAAATAAATAGAGAGGTAGAACTAGAAGCTTCCTTCATAATATTTTTGGAATAAAAACAAGTACAAGATAGTACACGTGCCCAGATATAATATTATATGCTTTTCTTGCCACTTGCTTCTATCGAAGGTTTAACTGGAAGAGCCTCGCTCGTGAACAAGAGCATAAGTTTTGTTGAATGTTGTCGAATTTGAAGTCCTCGGTGAATAAATGCGGACTATCGTCAAAATCATTCTGCCGTGAAGCGCCAAACAGCTTCGGATACGGCAACTTCAGAATTAGAGCTTAAGAAAGACTAAGAAAAGACGAAAGAATGGCAGTAGAGTTTTACCTTAGTGCGTAGGATCCTAACCAGAAGTTAGGACTCAAGTAGAAAAAGAAGAGCTTCTTTGTGCTGCGTCTAATTCATCTTCACCGCCTTCAAGCTTCATTCATTCATCATTCATGTAAGTACTTACCCAATCGACGAGGGGTATGCAAAGAACCTAATAAACCACAACAGTTACAACTAAATTACAGAAGAAGGAACGATAGAAGAGGGAAGTTAACATAAGGACATGCTTCACCAGTGTTGTGTCCATAACAGAAGGGGCTCTGAGATCGTGGCCTCTGGGGAACTCTTCTGGTGAAAGATCTTCCTGGATGTAGTTAGTCTTGGTCTGCTACTTCTCGTGCTTCTTGTACTAGGAGAGGTCTTGTTGTGTACTACAACATTTTTAGGTCGTTGTGTCTCTTCTTCTTCTTCTTTTTCTTCTACTGGTTGTTCATCATCTGCTGATATGGTAAAAGCCTGTTCTTCCACCACTTCTGCTGGCATGGTAAAAGCCTGTTCTTCTGCTGATATGGGCATGTTGTCCGTGTTGTTGCTTTTCATCCTCCTTTCCATAGAACCACTTATAGACCTGGGCGAAGTCATTGGAGCACCAACATCATCTAGTAGTCCAGAATGCAGACCTGCATCGTCGCAGCTTCTAGTACCCCTACAAGGTGACAAACGCAGAGGCTGCTCTGCTTGGGACGAAAGTGATTCCTTTAATGCTGATGCTCGTTCTGCCGATGGCTTTTCTTCTAGTGATTCTTCTGATGGCTTTTCTTCTGATGTTGCGGATGTGCGTTCTCCATCTGCTGTAATATTAGAGGTAGGTTTTTGGTGCTCGCTTACCCCGCTTGTTATGCCGTTCTCCCTTAGGAGAGGCATAAAAAGCGGTAAGAAAAGCACCTTTAACCTACCCTTAATAATAAGGTCGTGTCTTGGAGGTGGCTGCTCTTCTACTACAAGCTGATCCACATCAACTTCAGCTTGATCTGAAGTAGGGGAAGCGGAAGGAGTTTCATCAACAATACCATCGTTTTCCCTGCTGCTGTCTTTAGAAAAAGTTTCTTGTAGTTAAGCAGGTTTTTCATTTTTGATAGACGAAATCAATAATTTCAAATTATAACATGGTCATCCTATTCTGAGTTGCAGTACTCTACTATCTTGTCTTCTAGTTCTAACTAGTGGACGAAGTACCTACTGAATGGATGAAAGTAACTAGTACGACAATGCCAGAGGTGGAGATAATTCGTTGAGCCTGATGATGGTGATGATGGTGATGATGATGATGATGATGATTGTACCTACTTACTCTAGAGGTGTTGTACTACTGTTTTGTTTACTAGAAAAAAAGGCATAATACTCCTATCTGTGCCTCTGACTAAGGAACCACCAGGGGAGACAATCCTTGGAGAAGCTCCTTCCTTGGGGAGTGCTAGAAGCGGAACGACCTTTTCCATTTTTGTTGGAAGAAGAAGACCTGCCGATATCGGTAAATCAATATCATTTGCAACTGCAGCTATCGGGTCAGCATGCAGATGTTGTAGTCGGGCATCAACAACAACATCATGATGACCACCTGCTTCACCAGCATCATCTTGTTGCGTCTTGTTCACCTCGTCTTGCTTTTGTACAGCCGTGGCTGTGATTGAGGTTGACGTTGTTTGTTCATGATCTGTGATTGAGGTTGACGTTGTTTGTTCATCTTCATGATCACCTTGATGTTGGTGATGTTGTTGTTGGCCAGTCTCAGTTGTTTCTGAATAGTCGATGCCACTGTCTAGTCCAGCTGTTTTCGCGGACGAGTCTTCTTCCTTTCCTAGACCTATCATTTCTCCACTACTGGATGTACTACTTGTTGTATTCCGAGTGGTTGAAGATGTCCTCGTCGTTTTAGTAGCCCTAGTATTGCTTCTTGCTCTATCCTCAGCAGTGCTCTTGACAACACGACTATTCTTTGCACAACCTGTTGTAGTGGAAGCTGCAGCACTAGTTGAAGTTGTCTCCGTGGACATCATTTGTTGCAAAAGAAGTCTCGTACATCTATCGACATGATTTGTTGCACCTCTAGCGCCACTTTTCGATGTACAAGAACTCGACAAACTCGCACCACGCGCCGTATCTTTTATGTTTTCATCAAGATGAGGAAGATTAATCTTAGTAGCACTACGAGGTGAAGTTACACTTCGTGCACGAACTGCAGAAGTAGATAGAGAAGTAAAATCTACTTCGTCCTCTTGTTGCATTTTCTTCTGCATTTGCTGCATCTTCGTGTCGTGCTCTTCTTCAAGGAGAACGGAATTGATCAATGGCATCTTCTTCATCTTGTCGACCGTGTCCACTTGCTTCTTCAAAGGAGCTTCGATTTTGTCCTCTGTCTTCTTCACATCCTTGATCTTGTACTCGTCCCCTTCTGGTTGTTGTTTCTTGTCCTCTTGTGCACCTACTTCTTGTTGTTGTTTATCCTTGGCGCTATTCCGAATGACGATTTTCGTGCAGTCTAGGTGTCTTCGATAGTTTTCGTGTAGTATGAAAAAGCGATGGGATTGGTAGCCCAGTCCTCGACAATTCAAAGTGGTTTGGCTCCATTGGCTCGCGGGCGTGCTTTCTCGATGCTTCGGCGGGGGTATCATTAGAGAGAGTGTGACCACTGTAGAGAGAGTTTATTGATGACTTATTAACAGTTCATTCTGCTAACACTTTCTGCCGAGGAGGAGAGTGCTGAGCGTGAGAGTGAGACTGTTGAGCAGCAGAGGTGACTCTACTCCTAGTACATTATTGAAGAGCAGTAGAGACACGGTCCTCTTCATTGTGATTTGCTTTTTATTTTCACTTTGAACTTCTATTCTGTGCTGCATCCCTAATAGGCCTATGGTACCTGCTACACGCAGGATGAATCGATGTGACAAAACCCTAAGCCACCCAAACATTTTAGTTTCTTAGAAGTTACTAGTAGTAGTAGTAGTAGTAGTAGACTTACTTTTACTATCATCTACATTTTGAAATGTTGCCTTAATGATAGCCGAAAAGTGAGAGGCTGTAGATACCCACGTACCTCAGCCCGCCACCAGTCTGGCCTCTCATGGGTGAACTCTCCGGGCTTCCGTTTTGGCTTTTCATTCCATTAAGATTAGAAGCAAGTACTTACAGCTATTTCATCCGAATCGGGTCTCAGATGCTCGGTCGTCAATTCAGTAACCTACTCGTTTATCTCAACTATTCCAATTCCAGTAACGGGCTCGCAAGGATCTATTATGAAGATAAATACTTCCCGAAGGTCAGGACGACATGTTTATGCTTTACGTTTACAGCTGTAGGAGTACTGCTACTACTAGAACATCACATGATGATGTAGGGAAATCGATGCTTTACAGCAGTAGGAGGACGAGAACATCATGATGATGTAGGGGGATGATCGATGCTTTACAGCAGTAGGACTAGGAATACAATCAAGTAGAAGGTGGATCGATGCTCTACAGCGGTAGGTGGTCGAGGAGCAGTACAAGTAGCCTTAACTATCAGATGCATTCCAAAGATATTTTCGTGTTGCTAAATTGCTATCACGACGCAAAAGAGTTTCCTTCTTTCGTTGTCCAGGTTGGACTACGGAAACACCGGCAACGACTATTAGAGATGCTCTCACCAGTCTAATTCATCTTGAGCAGAGATACGGGAAACCTCCTGCCTTTGCTGATGTTCTAATTCATCTTGAGGTTCGCTGATGTTCTATAAAGCATCCTTGAAAGGTGGTAGCGCCTGAGGGAGTAATATCTATCATGTCCCTGGTGCGACTCTGAGCAGTACTAGAGCCTTAACACGAACGTTGGGTGTAGGTAATCATCAGAGAGCTGTCTTGACTTAGATCCAGCGTCTATCCATCTCGAAGGTCCCCTCACCTTGGCGGCCCCTGCATTTCCCTTGTAAGTATCTATTCTTGTATGGGAAAAAAAGAGCAACACAGAGCAGAGGCCGGGAAAGATGGATAAAAGTAGCTGGTGACCTTAATTGATCCGTATCCATTTTTTTCCATGGTTATCGCCGACTCCAGAATATTGATCCCGCCCAAAAGGCGTCGAATTCTTTGCGGCTTCGTGAAAAAGCCAAGCAAATGGATTTCAAACTTGCGAGTAACAAGATCATGACGCGCCCCCAAAAGTTTGAACCTACTAGCTGTGCCAGTCGTTGTTGTTGTTGTTGTTGTAGCACTTCTCGTCGTCCAATCGGAATTATTAGTACCGTGGTAGCCAGCTGCAGCTGCATGGATATTATTGTGATCCTCGTTGTGAAGATATTGTTCGTTGTAGTCCTGCTGCTTGTAGTTACAGTAGTCCTTGTTGTCCTCCTTGTCGTAGGAGTTGCAATAATCGGAATTGCGCTTTTGCATTTGCTCCTCCACGTCTTCTGAATAGTCCTGCTTGTTCCCTCCTCCACCATGATGAAACTCGAGAAAAGCTTCCAAATACTGCCTAATGCTGTCGTATAGACCAATGTCTGGAAACCAGAAGAATGTCGATCGAACGAAGAATTAGAGGAGAAAGCTTGCTTGTTGGAATTTGCATATTCAAATTCACCCTCACGACGTAGCCGTAGGTCCTCGCCCCATCACCTACTAGGGCATACCCGGCCTGTGAAGATGTCATATTCATTCATATGTAGTGAAATCAAGAGTGAAAGAGATAGTTGAAGTTGTTATCATTGTCATGACTTCTCGTCTATATCTATAATTATGGTTGAGGGGAGACAGCTCGGCACCAAGAAGATCGATTCTCCTCCTGAGTGAATCCTGAGAAAGGATCCTTGAGGAAGCAAGACCAAGAGTACAGGTACAAATACAACAAGACTCTCTTGTCTCCTGAGAAAGATGATAACAAGATAATTGGAGGGACGAGTAGCTAGTGAGTACAACTAAAAGCACAAGAAAGGAGATTATAACACCCAGAGGGATTTGTTATATCACTCAGAGCAGTTTATATATAAGGTTTCGCAGCTCGCATGGCATGAAGTGCATGGATCACATGGAGTAGCATGGAGCTAAAGGGGGAGCTTCTTGCACCCCTTAAAGCTCTGCGCTCCATGCACTCCATGCTACTCCATGCACCATGCGTGCTATAAACTACTCTGTTATATTAGTTATCAAGAAGAAGAAGGGACGAACCTTGTACTTGATTGCATTATAAGATAAAAGTGATAAGTACAGGAAGCACTACGAGGACCAGCACAACAAGTAAAACAAGCTGATAACATAAAAGCGAAAGGTTCCCGTTTTGCATGCCTTCACAGCTTTCTGCAAGGTATTTTCATCGATCGTGCGAAAGCTATTTTCGCAACTAAAAGTAAGTCCTTTCACGCTTCTCAGCGCAGGCTTATCTTCCCGACCTTTCTCCTTCTCCAATCGTATTCTTAGATGAAGAAGAAGACGGACCCAGATCACGAGGAACTACGGAGGTCGAGGTGATCATGAAGAAGATGACTTCTCGTAGCAGTACTAGAAGGTAGTAGAAGGTTGTGCTTCTGCACCCTAGCCCTAGTTCTTGTAGATCATATTACCTAGTTGTATGCTTCCGGTATTTGATAGCCTGAGTTTGATCATAAGGGAAAACCAGAAGACAACCCTTGTGATCAAATTCAGGTTACCAAATACCGGAACCATTCACTAGTTCTTGTAGATCATATGGTTCGCTAGTTCGAGTAGTTGTTGTTGTATTGTTAGCAGGATTTTTTGTCGTATTCTTAGACTTCATCTACTAGGACCAGGTTGTTGTATTCATAATATTCTTAAGACTACTTCTGTACCACGTAAGGTTGACTAGGAGGATGCTACTGATTGGTTGATTGATTGACTGACGTGCCTATTCTTGAGGTATAGGGGCTCGTGCCTATTCTTGAGGTATAGGGGCTACCGTCCTTAAATGTTGACGAATGTAGTTGAGTAGTTGCTTGCGTGGCGTCTTGCGGATTTGTCGTGGGAGAAGAAGCAACCCCACAGTCTCAAACAGCACCAAAATTAGCGTTCGCTTTTATCCGTCTCGGCCCCCTCATCTCGACCCGCCCATTAGTTATTCATTCATTCATTTGCGAACCACGTGACAACTCAAGAAAGCTGCCTGATTCCGTTGCAGCGATCCGAGTAGAATACAAGGGAAACAAAAGCAGGGTATCGAGATGCTGATGGATAAAAGCTGACCTTAACAAAACCAACTGAGGTGGACAAGCGGAAGCGTCTGGACAAGCGGAGGCGCCTTCTTCTTCTGCTCCTTGAAGACCTGTAGGTTGGAGGAGGTTGTAGGAGCAAAATCAACGGTAGCATGAAGCGACCCCGAGTGCTTTGTCATACTCCTAGTGACTTTGCAGCTACCTAACAGCACCAGCAGGTCAATGACCTTAACAAGTAGACGTAGATCATCATGGTAAAACTAGAAGGATCTTCAATCTTAATGCTCTCTATGATCTTCAACTTCAAGTCTGGAGTCATTGACTGGGCGTTGCACCAGGCGAGCGCCATGAAATTGACGCGTAACATTCTTCACCCTTCATCTTTTCCCCTGCTTCCAACTCTAATAAGCACTACTTCTACCTACCGCTACAGCCGCCCTGTAAAAATAGTACTACAGCTAGCTGGTTGTACTCATTCCTTCCTCCTAAACGTTCCCTCGCAACGAACCAACTAGCTCATAGTCTCACGGAACACTCCTAGTACTTCGAAAGGCTATTAGCTGGGAATGTTCCGTGAGACTATTAGCTGGGAGGGCCTGTCGCTTGCGTGCTCATTACATGCCCCCGGCCGCTTCGCAGCGGATGACGACATGGCCTTTACGAGGAATCCTTGGAGGCAGACGGGCGGTTTTTTTTATGTGGGTGGTGAGTCGTTTTCCGTGGGGTGCATCGAAAAGGTAAGGAGCCAAGTTCGGATAAAGTTCGGGACGGCCTCAGTACATAGTGTCCTTCTCGAGTAGCCTATATCTACCTACTATAGCTATACTATAAGTACCTACTACTCACTCCTAGCTAATAGTCTCACGGAGCTACTCACTCCCGAAAAAAATTAAATAGTACTTTTCTCTTGTTGTCTCTTTTTTCGATGCGCCTTCTGAATTTTCGGGAAGATTGATATGACAAACAGTGGCTCCGAAATCTCTTCCACTCCTCCTGCAATTATACCTTGAGCTCCAGCATCTTGCTCATGTGTCAGAGGAGTGCTCCTACTACCGCTACTACTAGGAGGAGCACGATCACCATCAGCATCTTGTTGAGAGTGCTCTCCGTCTCTTTCTCCACCGGCTAGATGGCGTTGTTCTTCGTCGCCTGCAGCCCTAAGGCTGCATTCGCCTGCAGGACTAAGGCTGCATTCCTCGTCAGCAGCCACCTCGTCCAGTGGCTCAAGACCTGCAAGATCATTGTTGTTGTTGTTGTTGTTGTTGTCGTTGTTGTTGTAGAGGGATGTGCTAGAAGAAGCACTTGCACTTGTAGAGCGCATCTTCCTGCTGGCCATTTTGCTGACGGGATGCGGAATACTGTTGTTCATGTACAGGTTCGTGTAGCTTGTGTCCGCTACTTTTACCTGCTGCTGGGAATGCGATACTTTTCTTGCAGCACGATCGGCACCAGGAGCTTTGGTAGAAGACCCATGTTGTCTACAATCTTGCCTCCCATGAGCACGAAGCTGACCTTCTACAAAGGTGCCCCGCGTCACCGGAATTGAACCGAAAATTAGATCGTTGTGAAGTACAACATACTTGATTGTGGTATCAAGAAAATCAAGTATTCCTACTAGCTACTGCTACCTTCCATCTTCTGAATTCTTTTATATCCCTCAACTTGAACTATTTTTTCTTCTTCTTCTAAATCTTGATCTTCCTATTTCTACATCACAATCCTTCTATATCGAACTAGAGTACTAGAAGAGCAGTACGTAGAAGACGGCTTGCTTCTTCTAGGCTGATGTCAAGCATATCCATCTTTTAATGAAGTTCGCAATCGAACACCTTGCTCAACTCATGTTTTATAAGAGGAGACTATATAGCATAAGTACAACGGGCGACAGACGTCCGACACGTTTAGTTTTCTCGCGAGAGTCTTGACTTCCTCTGCGGACATATGCTTTGGCAAGTAATGGATTTCGGCTGCTTGTAGACCGGTACCTCCTGACTCTCGAACATTGATTAGAGCTCACCCCGATCCATCTCGGGACTCATCTCGGATCTGTTTTTCCCGTACGGGACAGCGAGCTTTGAGATGCTTCACGAGATCGTTGCGGGGAAGCCATAAATTGAGCAGCTCGTATACGGTGAATAAACGGTCACCCACCGTGGCCACCTGATCCTCGAATGATGACGAGGTGCTACTGGATGTAGTTGATGTGGTAGAGCAGGAGGCGGCCAGTTGAAGACGAGGTTCTTGTGCTACTACTTCTTCACTTTCTTCATGACTACATTTTTGTTCATTCTTGATCTTGCTACAAGAAGAATGAAGATCCTCAGAAGATTCTTCAGTTATTTCACGCGTAGGAAATGCTTCACCTTGTTTTAGCTCTAAAATTTCCGTTTTTGTTGCACTACGTCGAGGAGTACTACATCCAGAACTTCCTGCTTCGGATGATGCGGAGCTTCTACTAGGACTTCTAAAATACTCACGACTAGAAGATGACGATTTCGCTTGGGTGAAATAAGAACTAGAACTACAACAACTACTAGCTCCACCTGCAGCACACGCGCCCGTAATTGACGGCTTCGCTGGGGTGGATGAACTCGAGCTAGAACCAGCTCCACCTGCAAGATCCGCTGGCTGCTGCAGTTCAGAGGCAGTACAATCGTAACCTCCTTCTACAGCACTTTGTTTAGTAGAACAAGTGTCCTCTGGTGTGATGTCCTCTCCTGTGTCGTGGACGTGGTAGTATCTTCTCCCTAGTACTAGTACTTCATCTTCTCCTACGACTGTTTCTTGGGTCTCATCCTCCACATCCACTTCAGCAGCATCTACTTCTTAGAACTAGCAGAAATCCATCTTGAAGTGCATCTTGGTGCCCGCTTTCTGCTAAGAAACGGACCCAAAGTCGATGCATGCTGGGGAACAAGATCAAGATGGATTTCCTCAGTCAATTACAATTACTACAGCCTTAATTTTTATCTTCTTCTACAACTTTTGGAGGTAGGTACTCAGCTAAGCGGAAGCAAACAGTGTCGCAGTGTGGAGCGGAATGCTCAGGAAAAGAACGCTTACAGAGCTGGGCCTTCCTCAACATCAGGTTTCTTTTTGAGTTTTTTTGTTTCTCAACGACCTTCCTGTTGATGTGCTGCAGCGTGCTGTGTGACATCTTCGTCTTCGTGTTGTTGTAGTAGTGCTCCCCCTGCTTCGACTTCGTTTCAAATTCAATTTGATCTATTTATACTATGGGTGGAGCCAACTTAACTTCTAGGAAAAGTAAAAAGAAATGAATGTAGATAAAAGATAAAGTAGCGTTGATATTATCGTAATCATGGTCATGCTAGGTAGGATCCATCTATTCTAGGCGCTGCGTGTCGTTCAACAGCCCTGGAGGTCTTCTCATCGGAGGCGACCGAGGCCTGTGCTTGCCTCATAGAAGTGCTCGGCTCCCTGTATTAAATAATCCTCGTAATGTTAATTTTTAGTTGTAGTTGTTCAACATCTTACTTTATGGAAGATGTTGATCTTCGCGTTATTTACTTATTACTTTGATTGACGAGGGGACTAGCCGTAGCCTAGGATTATGAGGGAACATTTACCACGACGCAATTACTTTATCATATCACGACCAGATGCAAACCTCCAAACCTGATCAAGTTGTTGTACAACACCACGTACTACAAGCATACAAAAACAAATCGTAAGCACATATTAGAACTAGCAGAAATCCATCTTGGAGTGCATCTTGCTCTTGGTGCCCGTTTGCCCCTACGAAACGGGACCAGGATGCTGGGAAAGATGGATTTCCTCAAGCCTTAAACATACTTGATTCATTTTGAATGATCAGAATTAAGACTCTTCTAGTACGTAGTTCCCCAAAAAAAAAAACCGACTCGGAAAAGACAAACTAATAGAGGCGCTACTTCTTCCATAACACTCTCGAGAGCCTTAGAATTCAAGACACGATCTTTCTATATATAACAAACAAAAGATATTCTGATGATGGTGATGATGCACCCAGTCGTTAGACGGGTTTGCAAAGTTACGTTGAATCATATTCGTCCCTTTTTGCAGAAAATTCTGCAAGTCTTCTACTTCTCTGGTGGGTCCTGCACTCGGAGAGGACATTTTTTATGTGTTGTTTAATTTCCTAAGGATGGAGAGAAAAAAAGACCGCAGTACATATCAAGATATAGTGGGGCAAGTGAGGATCTAGTGGCAGTCTAGGGAGTGAGCGAAGGAAGGATGAGTAAGAGGCTTAGAAAGGAAGATTGAGAGGCTGCCTGTCATCCCCCGACAGGTGCGAACGGAGATTGCAAGTTTCTGGGTGCACGCCTCTCTTGCTCCTACACCTACATACAATACAACGCAATAAATCTCGCACAAAGTTTGATAGCGCAGACTGCCATAATTAAGAGCGTCATAGTTTTTCGTCGCGATGATAACTAACGCCAGATTTGAAACTTCTAATAACTTTTAATTATTGGATATTCGTATCTATAGCGTTCTTAGGACCATTTTTCTCAGTTGTAGGGACTCTCATCTTCGCCATGTTCGCTGCAAGAACACAACGACGACGAGAGCATTTTCAAACACATTAATAACTAAAAGTGCTTGATCACGTTGCCCGTGCTCATCTTCTACCTCTGCACTTCCTAACGTAGGAACGGGAAGAATCCAAACTCTCGAGGACTTCTGGCTTTTTCAACCACAATCATATTCCGAAGGATGATATTCCACAAGTAGAAGTACTGCGTAGCAGTTGGTCTTGGGGAGAAGCCGACCCATTCGAGAGGCGGGACCAGCGGAGGTTGGGACTTAAGCCCCTGGAGTTAGCTAGGCAGGCTCTCCGTTTCAGTCGCTAGCCATACAATAACTTCAAAAATCTTTGCTAATATGAGAATGAGCGAGGTTTTTGGTTCCATAATATTCCGAAGGATGATATAGATATTCCACAAGTACTGACTAGCAGTCCCAATCGTTGCGTATTCAAGAACAACATGATGATGATGATACGGAAAAAGTTTAATGATGTGAGTCGTTTCTTGTTGTATTCAAGATAGAATAGAAGTGAGAGTGTCGACGTGTGCACTCACGACAGGACCAAGAGTCAGCAGCTATACGTTGTACAGGAGTCACCTATGCTTTACAACTTTATTTTATCCGACTAGAAATACGAATTAACATGAGGACGTAGCTAAAAGAAACTCCATTATCCTCTTCCTCTCCTGTTACAGAATAACAAGACCATAACGGAGACGCACAGATGAACATCCATGATCATCCATCTTCTGTAGTAACTGGTAAGCGTGAGATAAGAGCCGGGAAATACGAGAGTAAACCTACTGCTCGGAAACTAGAACGACCACGTAAGTCTACAACTAATTCACACTCCGCCAAATGTTCGTTAGCTCCTCGTCGTTGCTGATCAGCTCAGACCGAATTCCGAATATGTTTATCGCGCTTCCATTCTTCAGGGGCGGAATCTTTCTTAGAGTGAGACTTGAGCCGCTTGATGAGTTTGAGTGAGAGGTTGAAGTTGATGGGTTTAAGAATTTGTACTTCAGTATAAGGTTGAGAAGCCCCGTGGGGAAATATTATAGTCAACCAAGGACCTTTGTGTGAGAAAACAGGCTCTAGTACCCCACGGCACGACCAAGTCTGTCCAGTTGGTCCTGCTTTGAGGTAAAGCCTACAGTCAATATGTTCGAGAGTCGAAAATGTTGAAAATGGACACTAAAAGCATTATGCTATGCTGTGTTGTGAAGAGTATGAGCATTATGTCACAAAATGATCAAACTCCCCGTCCCCACATCAAGAATGACATGAACAATACTGGCTTTTTGTTTTTCATAATCGTTGTTTTGCACTAATACAGCTCCACAGGCTTGGCAGGTGGCACCCGAATTGAGGGTAGACGTAGCCAGCTCCCATGGCGAAAAAATGGTACAACTTCAAATCACCAAGATTAGAGATTTCATTTTGAGGAATCCGATAAAGGACAACTATGAACCCTATGAGTTCTTGGTTCATGAACAAGTAGTAGTAAATAATGCTCCTGTCCGACTCCGACAAGTGCAAAAAAATACCCGTGATATATAACGTCTACGAACGTGGGTCGTCTACTTAATAAACTTCAACAACAAACTTCTAAGTACTTCAACATAAGAAAAAGCGCGGTCATTCTATCTCGCACGTGCGATGAGACACACGAGTAGTCTGTTGGTATCGGTGTGGGCTCTCCTCCTTCTCGAATAGAAGATCCTTCCTGCCATGTTAGAGTGTGCTTGAATCCGTGCACGCTTCTCGGCAGCTCCTCACCCGGGTGCCTTTCTCCTTGTATTGGTATTCTAATATGGGAAAAGGCTAGTAGTACCGAAATGCTGAGAGGGATGGATAATAAGCGCTGACCATAACCATGGCGGCGAATACTCAAAGAAGACACCCCAAACCCGACTAGACCGCAAGAACTCCGCTGCACCGAGTAAAGCTGCGCACTCGAACCCCTCAACGTCTACTTTCACGAAAACCTCACGCCGAGGTGACAAAGCCGATTGCAAATGTCTCCTCCAAATGCTATCAACGATTGTTTAGAAGTCGATGTTGCTGATGTTGTTGAACTTCAAGAAGTCCTCGTGTAAGGGGGAATTGATTCCTCAAAAATTAAAGTTAAACCCGAGGAAATTGAAGTACTCTTACATATTATTACTTAGCTTGATCCACGTTCACCTTGAGATATATAGTATATATCTTTAACAACTTAAATTATGCCATAAGTATGAAGTCGAAGGCGTGCGCTTGCCATTGGCCTCCCTTGCGCATCGACTAAGCCCAGCTTCTGCGCCTCTGATATTTCAAAGGCCTCTTCCAGTTGCAAGTCATTTTTTCCTTGCGAACCTCCTCCCTGATCTTGTTGGGCCCCTTCTTGTGTGTCGTCAGGCGTTGTTCCTTCACGTAGGACTGCCGCACTCCAATGAACCAAGGACATTGTCCGCGATTCCCCGGCTTCTTTTAGAGGATGCCTAAGCCATACTCTCTCCTACGCCCTCAGCCCTCATCAGGATGCATGCATCTGGAGACCGATTAGGGGAAGCCTTAACTCTTCGGGAGCACCTACTGCCACAGTTCGAGCTAGAAGACATCCATCTTGTAGAGCATCTTGGTGACCGTTTCCCCGTAGAAAACGGACCGAAGATGCTGGCTCAGATGGATTTCTTCTAGTCCTAACACAGGGAAAAGATGCACAAAGCGATTCGCGAAGTTTTGCAAAAGGAGCTCTTTGTTGTCACAGTACAGTGTCTCCCGTAGTCGCTCTACATTGCCCTCTACGGGCTCGAAGGCCAAGGCTTTAGAGGTGAGACCACAGATGATTCTGTTGAAACAACTACAGCTGCTAGTACATCACCAGGTCGTAACGGTAATATCACATTCCTGCCAGTACACACTACGCGGGTGCAAGATCATCTTCTAGAAGATCAAACTTTTTGTCTTTACGTCGATGAAAAAATGAAACTGCCCAGCTGACTAATATCTCTAGTATCTAGATGGAGATCCTCTACTACTTAGTAGAGGATTCTGAATCGATGGCGTGAATCTTAAATATTTCCGACTTGAACTGCGTTGCTGCCATGAGAGACCATAGACCCACGTTTGCACCAAGATCCAAAAAAGTTAGCCTAGGCTCTTCTCTCATTGGGCGAGTAAGTTCCTGGATTTCCATGAGCAGTTTTGCTAACTCTTCGCGTTTAGCCGCATCCCTGTTACACAAAAGGGCTTCCGCAAGAAGCTCTGGTGATGCATCCGGGAATAGAGTGAGATTTGCACTACGAGCTCCTCCATGGTAGTTGTTTGCATACCGCCACATGTTTTGAAGCAGTTCACGGTCGAAGAATTAGATGGTTCATAGAGCTTGGCATGTTTTGACTTTGTCTTTGAAGCATTTCACGGTCGAAGAATTAGATCCTTGGACCTTGTCGGTCTGTTCTGTTTGACAAAATTGAATCAGGACGCTTCATCTCCAAAACAGTAAACAGCACCACGTAGCCTTAATACACCGCAAGCACATTTGTCGACCCTTCTTCTTCAACATACACTTGCGTTCGAGGCAAGAGAAAGTTCAAGAGTCCACTCCGCAAAAAACTTGGGAAAGTGACCTCGTGCTCAGAGACTCCTGATTTTTAGAGATGGCCGACATCCGCATGCCTCTGTCTATGGCTGGTTAGCACCAAACCAAGACAACCTTTATCGACGGAGAAGTTTCAGCATCTACTAATATATTCGCGTATGAATATAATGTCTAGAATATAGCGGCCAGCTTTGTTCACTTGAAATTTTTCTGCTGCGTATGTTTTTCTGTTTACTTTTTCTGCCCTGACTCAGAAGTCAGTCGCTCTGCTTGTTTGCATTTTTCTGCCGCTGCCTCGTGTGTTTCTCTTTCCTTAACCTCTGAGAAAAAGCCTCCGGCACCCTCACCGTCCTTGAATTTTTACTAATTTTCGCTGCTCGCTCTGTATGCTGTCCTTTTGCCTGGGGTAAGAACTTCCACCCCCATCCGCTTGTCCTGCTTTCTTTGTGTTCATCCTGCGCGCCCATTTTCCTGCCTGGGGTGAAAATTGCCACCCCCCGCCACTTTCTCTGCTTCATGTTTTTCATCCAGCTTTTCTGTGTGGGGTAAAATTTTCTACATTTCTCCTTTTCTACCTGCGGGAAAAGTTCTAACTTCCTCCGCTTTTTCTGCCTGCGGGAAAAGTTTCCACCTGCACCTTCGTCCGCTTTTCCTGCTTCATTTTCTGCCCTGTTTTCAGCCTGGTGGAAAAGCTTCCACCTTCGTCCCTTTTTCTGCTTCTTTTTCTGCCCCGTTCTCTGGCTGGGGGAAAAGCTTCCACCTTCGTCCCTCTTTCTGCGTCGTTTTGTGCCCTGTTTTCTGCCTGGGGGAAAAACTTCCACCTTGCTTCGTGCTTTTTTGTGTTTCATTTTCTGCCTGCGGGAAAGGCTTCCACCTTCGTCCCCCTTTTCTGCCCCGCCTTCTGCCTTAGGGAAAGGCCTCCGCCTCCGTCCTCTCTTTCTGTTTCTGCTCCGTTTTCTGCCTGGGGAAAAATTTCCCGCCCTCGGCCAGTCTTTCCGCTTCATATTTTTCCGCCTTGTGTGGTCTTTTTCTGTCTCTTTTTCTGCTTGCGCTAAAGTTTTACATCCTCGAAAACTTCGCCGCCTTTGCGCTTCTCTGCCCCGTGTGTTTTTCTGCTTCTGGCTTTTCTGCCTGGTGTAAAGTTTCACACCCGCGGCAATTTTTGCTACGTGCTTTGTTGTAGGATAAAAGGCAAGGCTTCGGGACAGAAGTGAGCGCTTCGCGTTCACTTTCGCAGATCTCCAGTCGCGGAATTGTAACCGCGAGCGAAATGCCCTGCGACTACTAATCAACATTCAAAACGCATGCTGCATGACAACAATAAAGTCAGGACCTGGGCTGCTTGACACTGATAAAAATGCGTCACACGTTCGTCGTGGCCTTAAAAATTTTGAAAATGTGTAAACACCATGGCAGAAAACATCGTCCGGAGTTCTTGGCCAGCTGGCGACGCACATAGCTCGTCCTCGTCTTCAGAAGCCGACTCCTCCTCGTTACTTTCTTAGAGCCAGTGCCGCGTTTGCATTTTCAAGGGCAGACTACCAATGGCCTGGCGTTATTCCCTTAATTCCGGAAACAAGCTCTTTCATTAACCACTCAGCGAAGATGACAAAGTCGCGAGATTGGATGTCACCTTGTCGTTAGGTATCTCTGTGATAGATAGAGGTCCTAGTAGTACCTCTGTGGTTAGGTTAGGTCCTAGTCGTATCTCTGTGGCAGATGAAATAAAAGCCTTAAGAAGTTGTACTCGTTGTCGTTGGGCTAGTACTTCTTGGAGAATCCCCCGCCGATCTTGTCAATTCTACGGGTCCTGTCAGCGATAGCACATTTCCAGTGTGACGTGGCGTGAAGCTGACCAACTTTTGAGCGTCGTGATTCTGCGGAGCGCTTGCGATAGTCAAATCGTTCACTTTCAGAATCGATGTCCCGTCCAATGGGGTCGGCAAAAGCTCCAAGATAGCGAAGATGAAAACATAAGTTGTACATTCTTCCTATTTCTATTTCTTGTGATTGTGAAACAAGTATGTGTCCTAACGCTCCAATTATGATCATGATAGATTTGATAAGATGATGCCAAAGCCATATTTCTTGTGGATGAGCCAAAGCCATAGCCAATTCAGCCCTATACTTATACACAGAAGATACCTTGGCCTTGTTGCAAGAAGTAACAAGGACTAGACCCTCCACCTATTGGAGGTAGTCTTCTTCTTCATTCTCTACAAAGTGTGAATATAATATTCCACGACTTCCGTTTCCATCACCATCTTAAGAGACACAACGTTATCGTGATAGCCCACGGTGAGAGCGTGGCGTAAGTGATCCACGCTAGGTTGGCTCAGCAAATGCAATGGTTCATGATTTCGCCGACTGCTTGCCCTCGTCTGACCGGATGCTGTACTAATTAGAGGAAGCGTTAGATTTACGAATTCCACGACCATCTACGTACAATAACAATGTCTAAGACCACTAAAAGTATCTTTATCGCATAGAAATAGATCTTGTTATAGCTGCGGAACAAGTACTAGAATTTAAGGGGAAGGATCTCCTTGAATCCACATCTGTCCACCTACTACACTACCAAGAGTGGTTTCAACTCAGCGGTTTGAACTCCCTCTGCAACACAGAGTTAATGTAGCTTCTTCGTTCCTGGTGCAAAAGCAATTGCTCTTCTTCAAGGAAAACAGCCTTAAACCATATAGAGGGCTACTCCTTGCTGTCTTGTCACTGGAAGCAGCTTTCTGCTTCCCTACGGTTCGCTCTGACCACCGCGAATTCGCGATAAGCTTACGCAATTCCGGTCGAATAATCCGCCATCGCTCGGTTTTTAGAGGAAGGAAACACATACGAGTACGTAGAAATGCTGGGAAAGGCGATGACTCTCAGCTTTGAACAAAACACCACCTAGATCCAGCAATACGAAAATTGATATTTCTATTTACCTATACTAGGCCACGATCGTTCGAATCCCTCATACCACTGCTACCACCAATATTACCAGAAGATAGAAGAGGAGAAACAACACCATGCCTTAAGTTTTGAATCGCCCGTACTGCTCCAGCTAGAAAGCTTGAAAAAAATCTGAAAGTTTCAAGAAGATTCTTCCAAGCATCTACCTAATGCTGATGCAAAGGCCTCATCAGGAAATAAATTTGAAATTTTGGCAAAATACCTCCTGAAAATTCTTGGATACGACTTCAAATTGTCTTGCTTTCCCTGGTTCGATGTCACAGACACAGGCTCAGCTAAATGTCACTTGAAGAATCTGCTTCATGATCTTCAACATAAAGAGTCTGAGCCCACCTGATTCGTGAGAGCCGTGTCTTCGAATAACATCTGATAGCGGTGTCCCGTAACCACCTGCGTCGTGCAGGTTGATCATGCCAGCAAACCATCCATAGGGCCCAGCTGTGCCGTTCTTAGTGCCAGGCATTCGCATTTTCTCCTCCTGAGTGGATTCCCTTTCATCTCCCTCTTAGGATAGAGCCCCTTGTTCTTGACAACTATTAGTCTTACGGTCTCTTAGTAGTTAGGATAGAATCCCCTCGACTTCTAAGGGGAATCCAACCAGCACAGTCCACGTGAAGGGATACTGAACAAGATTCACAAGCCTTAACATTCAGGTGAGCAACATCAGCTTTTGATGCTTTCGATGTTGTGGTTGTCCTTGGATCTCCTGGCACCTCGCGTCCCCCTTCCTCTCCACCTCCACGTACGCGACAGCTGCAAGGCTTTTGCTCTCGGACGACCTCATCCTCGCTTGTTACGCGATAGAACGGACAGTGCCGCCTAGTAGAGGACACGACTTCCGAAGATGTTGCAACGACGACATTTATTGCTGAGAACAATATGAGATGGAATACGAGGATGTTGTAGTTAGTCAACATTCTGGCACGGAAGGTGTACAGATGATTATCATGCTTTTTAGAAGCAACATGTCGAGTAGAGAAGATCCCCATTCAGTACTATGACACATGACGCGACGGGATATTGTTGGCCCTTCCGTGTGGAATCATGTAAGCAACCACAATACTGTTATCAACCACAGCTACAGTGCTAATGTTGAGCACTATCAAATGATGGGGGCCTCGTCTACTTCTCTTGTCACAGTGGTCCTCAGCTCCTCTCAGCTCCTCTCAGAAGATAGAGGACATCTTCTTCCTCAAGCTCCTCAAATTTCTCACACTCACGACTTTCGACTTTTTTGACTGACAGAAGCTTCTGCCACCGATTTGTTGATCCGAGTTCGTCCTCCTGTACGTTTGAAATAACATATAATCTATCATGCAGAACCAGCAAGTGCAAAAATATATGTATGCAACCAGCAAGATTTTGACGGGGGCTTGTCCTTAGGAGAGGGCATTCGTACTCGATGTGACCCTTTCTCGGCATGACCAGTAGACTCCTGTTGTTCGAGGAAAAATCCTTCACATGAAGATAGATGATCCAGCAAAAATACATCGACGTACTAATCCTACAACAGCGAACCGTTGTTGTCGTGATTGTTTTCTTGTTTGATGTGTTGCATGTTTCCAAAACCTACAATGCTGCCATGCGCGTGCTAGCTACATGTTGCCAGCAACTTCAAGCAACATGAACATCTTCGTTCTCTTAATAAACAGTAAAGAAGAAAGGAAAATTCTGGAAGATGCATCCGGGATTGCATCATGATCATTACGAAGTAGCAGGAATTGCAGCCCATCAATCTATTTGAGATCAAAGTCATATCGATCTCCACCACGACCACCTTGTGCTCGTGTGTCTTTAATTATTTTTGGTTATACATACAAGTAAGTACATAAATCCTTGTTTTCCGGTATGCAGGATAAATTTCCAGGGCGTTTCGTACGAACGGAACACCATGTGAGTGTTTTCTTCCTAGTATTTTTAGTATGCCTTGTATGAAGTTGAAGAGGACCACAGCTAGTACTACTGGTACGTTGAGTATGCGACAAACGCGAACTATAGCGCTGTACAAATTGTTCTAGTACTTGCTTCATCTTCTCTCTGAAGAGTTAGTACATTTAATGGCAGCTGTGTCAATTTTCATCTTGCATGTTCGATGCAGTTCATGAATGTCAATGCTTGGATGGTGCGTAAAAAACTACCCATCTTCTTCATATCGTCACGCTGCTGTACAAATTGCGCTGTACCAGCATCTTAATCTTCTCGCTTTTCTAATACTATGTGAAGAATCCTTGTCCTCGTTGTTTTCGACATGCCCTCTGAAAATCAGCGACCGTTGGAGTCTATGTAAAAGTGATTGCATTCTTGGTCATTGTCAGTGTGGATTAAATCTGTTGAATCTGGCTCAAATCAACTACCTCGTCTGTATAAGTATGTATGGCTCTGGTCGTATTTGGCAACCTGAATTCGATCACAAGGATTCCCTTCTTGTTTTCCTCATGATCAAAATCAGGTTACCAAATACCAGCACGATTCAAAGTATTATATGGCAGGCAGGCTACTTACAAAAAAATATGTACAACATCATCATGATCGTTACAAGTACGACAGCAAAAGAAACGTGAATTTAAGTACTGATCACTATATTTATTTCATCATCGTAAAAATGTGCTGTACAAATCTTCATACAAATTATCTCTATTTCTATTCAACCCCAATCTCAATGAGCATGTTCAAAATGTATACAAATGACTTAATTATAATAATTGAATTTATGGACAAGAATCAAACTGCAATGCTGTGTTGATCAATCATACATGCGATCACTTTTCATGCAGGATCTATCAACATACTTACATTTATTCATCTGCAGTGACAAGTAGCGACTAAGTCTAAGACTGAGTGAGAGTGGACGGAACAATCTATAATCTTCTTATTCATATTTTGCAGCAAAGTTTTTTTAGGTTCAGGACGAGGAGGACGATGCTTGGTACTTCTAGAAATCGGTTGAAGTTGACGATGTAGCAGCTGAACACGAGGACGGAGCAAATACGTCGACGGTAGTAGATCGTGCTCTACATGACAGAGTGAATGCTTCCACTCATTGAGAATGTCAATAGGGGGACGTCGTTCCCCCTTTACGTTCTTACTTAGGAACGACATTCCCCTATTTTCGTTCTCAATCAGTGGCATCATACATAGAAGCGATGTGGATGCAGCAGGATCACGATAACATCAATTCGTCTTACTTGAAAAATTACAGTTAAATGTACTTGAGACTTACGAGATCGAACGACGAGGAGTAGGAGTACCGACGAAACGGCGCAAATAAACCGGTACTAAAACTAAACACTTAAGTACTTTCACCATATAGTTCTTGAAGCTGATAGATAAACGCACAAGAACTACTGCATCTGGAAAGCTAGTAGTAGTACCTAGGAAATAAACAAGCAAAAAAAAAACAACTCATAGTATACCTCCAGCACGAGGACAGCCGCTACTTGCAGTTACTGCTAATAGTTTTGTGGTTAGGTTACGTTGTGGATCCTGCACATTGAGCCCCCCGGACTCCTAGCTCAACTGCGAGGATGATGGGCGACTTGGATAAAGTCAGCAAGAGAACCGAGGCGGGGACTTGAGTAAAGTCGTTGCCATTGCCATCTTTTAGCTATTTAATACTTACATGAGGTTACAGTTACTCATCCTTTTCTAGAGAATCAGCCACTTCTATCTTGTAAATCTACAAATGAATGATCACCTACTTAGTCCCACTTAAAAAGGACCTTGTTTACCGTGCACCTGGAAAGGCAAATTAAAAATTCTGCCTAATTAGCCGCATACGCATTAGTCCTTGTTGAGCAATGGCTTGGTAAGCGTAGATCCACTAGTTGTTGCAGATGGCACAGCCGCAATATTCGTCGCTCGCGCTGTGCAGACCCACTTGCCGGTGCCCCAATAGTAGTCGTGATATTAGAGAGTGATCATCCTAATCTTCTCACATGCTCTTGTTCGTAAAATGAGTTGAAGAAAAACATACACCTACTAACTTAGGAGAAGGACGTCTTCTGATCAAAGCCTTAATGATACGCGAAGAGCTTCTGATAGCATCCTTGGAGGACACCGGAGATCATGTGAAGCGGCAAGCAGACCCGCATCCATCCTGGATTGTATCGGCATTGGCTCACCATCAGAGCCACATATACCATGCGCAGAAAGAAGCAAACCACACCAACATAGAGGAGGAAGTAATACCTGGAGGAGTAGAGGAGTAGGATTAGGATTCAGTCCGGCGTCCACAGTTTTACCTGCATACTCGAGCAGATTAACGCAGCCGCAGGAGTAGGTCGTATAGGTTATGAAGATATCATACGACAATCATTATGCCGACACTCCCACATCTTCATCGGGACAGCGTTAGAAAGGAAAAGAAGATCCAGGCAGAAATGAAGTACGCTGTCCTGCATGCTCCTGCTTCGACGATGTTGTGCGCCCGAAAACACAGACCAAAAATTTCGAAGTAAAACAGGTAAAATATCTGCGTCTCCACTGGTGTGCGCGCTTCCGTGTAACTGTACCAGTATACCCATCGCTTGAGTTAGAAGGTGTAGATGAGGTAAGGGCTATTTGATAAACTGTAATAAGCAAGTTACTACTTTGAATAACCGAGATACTGAAAGACGAACAATGTAGCGACTCTTTAATTTCTGCTTCAGGTAGCTACTCGCTTATTTTCTAAATTTTCGATAGTTTCATGAATTGGAAGGCGAACGGAAGCTGTTGCCACTCGCTGCACTCACTATCTTCGACGAAGACTACCCTGTCTTCGCTTTACAACTTGCTTTCGCTTTACTTAGAAGGACTATACTCATGAAGGGAAGTACTAGTACGAGGAGGTTACTACTAACTTAGGAAAATACCGGAACAATTTGAACCATTCCTATCTCGACGACCCATCTCATAATCCAACAATCCCTGTGAAAATCTGGATGCCCAGTTCCACGCGATAGTCCGGTCCATGATCTGCAAAGCACAATGCATCCACCTCCTTCTTTGTTTGTTCACCGTCTCAAACGTAGCTGGCTCGCGCTCTTGGCACAACATGTTGTTGTCCAACACTCCACGATAACCGAAATACCTGAGAATGTGTGGGGGTGGAAGGAGCTAGAAGTGCTGACCACGACTTGTTGTGTGTATTTACTTATTCAATCAGCTGTTGTAGTCTATTGTAGGTGGTAATGCAAGTAATGCAAGAGTTGGAAGTATAGGATCATGTTCAACGAGATGGTCACCACGCTTTTATTAAGACCACCTTGTTAGAACTTCTCGTTTATCGACTGTGAAGCCTTTGAACTCTCCACCAAATGTCGATGTCCTCAGTCCTCAGGGTTGTAAGTACATGAATGCTCGGCAGCTCGCGTCATGGTCTTCTGCTAGTGTCCTCGTGTCGAATTCGACATCCTTTACTGCTTTCGTTCGCCAGAAGCCTCCTCGACCGTTGAAGTTCGTTCGCTCAAAGAGATGGCCCATAAACAAGTTCGCCTGTGAAAACGAATCCCGAAAGGCCATCAATGCCGTCGTTGGTCTAAAGCCCTCGGAGGCCCCTTCTGGGTAGCCCTCGTAATCGTCCTTGCAATAAATGTTGCGACTCTGAGCCACGTCGTATTGCTCAGGGCCGAGGGGCTTAGAATGTGTATGTGATGAGAGTAGTCGTACTAGGACTAGCACTACCTGCATGGACAGGGTAGGTCTATGAGTTGGATCTGGTGCGTCGTTCTGTATTTGTTGTCATCTTCGCCATTTCGTATTGGTTGAATCCAACGACGATGGCTCGCGATCTTCTTGTGTGAATGCTTCCACTCATTCAGAAGGTCGACATGAGGATGTCGTTCCCCTCATTCAGGGCCTTCTTATTTAGGTGCAATTGCAACGACACACATTGTGCTATTTAATTGATCCATGTGGTCTGAGACTGAGTAGCAAGTAACAAATCTTCAGCATAAAGATATGCACAGCTGCCCGGCACATCGTTTCTGCGCTTACTATGGTGTCACTGTCATTGAACAGAGCAAAAGGTGTGTCCAACATTCGGATCGCCACGTTCAGATTGTCCGCCTTGCAGGTTGAATCTGGGAAGATCATGATGGTGATAGATAGATGTACTTAGATTGACGGAGGTAGTCCTTGTCTTAACACAATGATTGGTTGACCAAAGACAAAGGGGGAACAGAATGATTTGTATGAGATGTAATAGTAGTACATGCCCAGAAAGCGGGCCCATCAAGGGCCCGCTGCGCCGGGCATAGGTTAACAACTAGACAGATTGACTACTAAGAGACAGAAAGACAAACGAAAAAAGTCGCCAAGTCTGCTCGCCAAGGCTGGGAAGGTGGCTCCCACGCACTGCGTCAAGGAAGGGAAGGCTGGGGAGGTGACATCCTCAACGGCTTCGTGAGGACTTGCATGCCTGAAGGGTGGGCCCTGGTGAGCGTCATCATATCCATGAGAAGGCCAGAGATATACATTTCTGCGCGTGAAAGTCGAAGCCGTTGAGGATGTCGATGTCTGTGAGAATGATAGCCGTGAGGACTTGCATGTCTGAAGGGTGGACCCTGGTGAGCGTCATCATATCCATGAGAAGGCCAATGATATTCTTCTCTGTGTGTGAAAGTCGAAGCCGTTGAGGATGTCGATGTCTGTGAGAATGATAGCCGTGAGGACTTGCATGTCTGAAGGGTGGACCCTGGTGAGCATCATCCTATTCGTGAGAAGGTCAAGGATATGCATCCCTGTGAGTGAAAGTCGAAGCCGTTGAGGATGTCGATGTCTGTGAGAATGATAGCCGTGGTGAGGGCTTGCGTGTCTGAAGGGTGGACCCTGGTGAGCATCATCATATCCATGAGAAGGCCAAAGATATACATCTCTGCGTGTGAAAGTCGAAGCCGTTGAGGATGTCGATGTCTGTGAGAATGATACCCGTGAGGACTTGCATGTCTGAAGGGTGGACCCTTGCGAGCGTCATCACATCCATGAGAAGGGCAAGGAAGTGCGTCTGTGTGTGTGAAAGTCGAAGCCGTTGAGGATGTCGATGTCTGTGAGAATGATAGCTGTGAGGACTTGCATGTCTGAAGGGTGGACCCTGGTGAGCATCATATCCATGAGAAGGCCAAGGATATACGTCGCTGTGTGTGAAAGTCGAAGCCGTTGAGGATGTCGATGTCTGTGAGAATGATAGCCGTGAGGGCTTGCATGGCTGAAGGGTGGACCCTGGTGAGCTGGTTAGAAGTATACTGGTTAACCATCTCCAAGGGCTGCCGCGCGCTCCTGTGGTCGATTGCTGTGTGCGGAAGGTAGTCGCGGAAGGGGAGCGAGCTAACTTTTTTACAAAAACTTCAGGGAGGTCGTTCCGTTTTCTCTGTATTTGAATGACCTCCCTGAAGTTTTTGGAAAAAAGTAAAGGCGCCGGGCGATAAATAACAAGGGTAGCGGCTGGAAGTTCGTTGGGGCGATTCGCTAGGGGTCGCGTAGTGTCCTGCTGCAGATGTGGCTGGGTACGTGAGTAGCCTACAAACTAACAGCCGTGAACGCGTTAACATGTTCGCGGTGCCTTTGAACTCGTAGCACTAGCAGCGCAAGGGCTTTAGAGAGCCTTGCGAGTCCTTGCGAATCCCTTAAGGAGGGGTCTAATATTAGCCAAGGGCTATTACAACTTTTCCTTAAGGAGCTTCCTTAAGGAATTTTTTTTCTCTTAAGGAAAGTTATAATAACTTTTTGTAATAGAAATTCCTTAAGGAAAAGGGTTTTCCTTAAGGAAGCCACTTAAAGGAGTCTCTTAAGGATTTCGCAAATTATTGCTAACCCTATAAATACTAATATTCAAGAAGATGCAAGGAGTAAAAAGAGGACTACCCCACTACGCTGAGATGAAAAATCGTTGTGAGGAACGAGAAAACTAGAAGCAAAACTGTTTTTGTTTTCGTTTTCGCAAAACTTGCAGTTGCATGTCGTATTATAAATGAAAGAGGAGGTTGAGGTTGACGTACCCATGATCCTCATTCCCTTGAATTTAGGCCACTCCTTCTCGAATTCTGCTAGCTCGCGGATAATGTCCTTATGCGCGTCTCCAGTTTTGGGACTGTTCCACACTAGTAGGATCTTGAACCCACCTGGATATTTTGGCTCTTCCGCTTTTTTCTTAGACAGTTTCACTTATGGAGGACGCTGAAAACTATAAACCACAATGGATTTTTATTAGCATGTAGTACTGCTGGTGCTGAAAACTATGTATAGCAGGGGTAGAGAGAGTCATAATCCCGCACATGAGACAAACATCTTACATCTACAAACTGGAAAGTAAAAGTTGACTTCTCCTCACCTTACTGCGGCAGAAGTGCATCAGCAGAAAGCTCGAGTGATTACAATCTTCGCCACTCATAATAGTGGTGGAGCCAACCTCAAAAGGAAAAGAACCAAAAGAAACAAAAAGTGAAGGTACAAATGTATACTTAGATGAAAAATATAATGGCCACCACCACTCATAATGTAATATCGCAGCACATCCATGATGATTTCTTCTTCGTTTGGCATGTAGGCTGGGAGAACGACCGTCATCGGTTGAAAGATCTCGTCAGCAAGGCAAGCTGCCTCCTCCACATCCGCATTCAAAAAGTCCTTGACTTTTGAACTCAATTCTGCAGAGACAGTGCTACTGGTTTCTTCGTCTGATGATGAGGAGGATGACGATGACGATGCACTAGTCGAGCACTCACCAAGTGCACGACTTGAAGAGCGTGAAGCACCTCCCTGCTTCTTGAAGAATTCGGTTGCTACTGGCGTCTCTATCGCGTCAAGGTAATGCTTGCGAGCGTAAAAGGGCAACGGTGGCGCGCCAACAGCAGTGACTCCACCAGTGGCTTTCAGGTATTTCGCCTTCGCGATGATCTTCTCGATAGCGTCGTTGTCCAGTTTTGGTGGTTGGTAGGCCTCCGTGGTATAGACTTCCTTACTGGTCTTGTTGTGTCCGCCCAACCGAGCAAGCGAATAGATGCCGATCAAGTACCACGCCATGTCGCAAACGATGGCACAAGATGCCATGACCAGGACGATGTAAACGAGCAAATTCACCGTGTTTTGTTAGAAGATGATGTGTAGTCAGGCTCAGAATACACTAAATTGAGTGTGACTGTAGAATGCCCAATTGAGTGTCGGACTGTAGAAGAAGCTCTTTATATTATTTCAGACTAGAGAGAGTAGATAATATGTAACGATCAAGGACCAATTCATTCAAGGCGACAACATTAGGCTACTACTTCAACTTGAAGTAAGTAGTTTCATAATCTTGTGTCTGAAGTGATAAATCGGCATGTTGCACTGGCGCAACGTCGGTTGCGGCCATGTATCCCCTATACATGCCAATGAGGCCTCCAATAAACGGGAAAGCGTAAAGAAATAGCGTAATTCCCCATCGTAGAGAGGGGTTCGTGATCGTTGATGCCTGAAAATGTTTCTTGTCGAGGGGGGCTTAGGGTTTAGTAGGTTGTTATTGCAGAAAAACGGAATAGACACGCATGGTTGTGAGAAGGATTTTGATGATTTGAATCTATTCGGCTGCCTGTGAGAAGGATCTTATCATAGAATAATTTAAGTACATGGGTGGCAGATCCGGGATGGGATGGATCGGATGGAACGTATGGACTTCCCACCATTTCCAGTAGGATCGGAAGACTTAGGGGGGTCCATCCGATCCATCCAAGTCCATTCTACGTGATCCGTTCTATATATTATTCTAACTACATATCATATCATATTAGCGAAAACCACGCGTACCTAGTGCAAGTGTTAATGGCAGAACCGAATATAGAAACTCTGCTCATCAGGTTGTACAAAAGGTCTTAGTATACCATAGTCTGTCCCAGATATGCTGGAGTTTGGAAGAGTCCTCCTCGTTGATAATAGGTATCGACGGTGTCTATTTTCTTGGCCGGGAAGGGTGGCAACCTCACCTCGTTCGCTGCCGTGTTGCGACTGTGGGTGAGATGAAAGTAGGTCGTAGTTTTACCCTCGTCTAGTCGAGAAATTTGAGGAAAGGAAGTACAACAATGACTAGAAGAAGGAGAGAAGCCTACAAACTAATCATGATCATTTTATTTTTTGTAGCCCGTTTGCACTGCTCCTACGTATTGCATAATTTGCATACCCATTTTAACAATATTTCCACCATCCAGCCATAAATCTGAATCCACTGTGGCAAGAATGGTAAACAGCAAGTCGCCACTAGCAGCGGAACGAATTCGAGAGGGTGGGCGTACAAATAAAAGCGAAATCCACATACATTCGTGTAGACAAGGAAAATCCTGTTGAACAACAGGATGGAGAGTGTTGAGATGATTAAGATTGTGGTACTTGTTGATCTGTGTGGATGGAAGTGGTTACTTAGAAAGATAGCGATCTTGCTATTTTGTTTCTTGACAAGTTCACGACAAAGTTCAATGCAGTTTATACTATTTACAACTATGAAGATGAGTATAACTTTTCCACTGGTACCTCTACCTGGTACCTCTACCTACTGAGTACTCTTCCACTAGTTGTATCTAACGCAAGTCTGAAAACGAGAAGTACCACAGAGAAACCCAATGACCGCAGTCTTTCCAGTGAATCACGGTAGCACATGCTGCAATCACTGTCCACATTTCCAGCGCTAGCATTGCGCAGACCGTATCTGCACGAAGAAATTCCCCAACACCTCCTCCAAGCCACTCTGAAGTTCTCTCCACCGCAGTCCCATCCCATAGGAAAAGGAGGAAACTAAAACGGTACAACAAGAGCGCGGGGAGAAATAGATCGAAAGCTTGTTTTTGTTAGAGGGGGTTGGGATCATTCCCCAGGTGCTTCTAGAAAGAGTTTTCAACAAGAACGACTTCATTCATCTTTTCATCAATCTTTCCAGAAGATTCCGCTTCGTCTTCCTCTAACTTAGTGGCACTTTGCCCACCAAATTTCACAGGTCGCCTGAAGTAGTTTTCTGCTGCACACCATCGAAATGAATGACGCAGACGAGAAACGACGGGAGTAGCTCTGGGTGGAATCGAGAATCCACTACCCCCGATTCTCGATTTCACTGAGCGGAATCGAGAATCCACTACCCCCGATCTTTCCAGAAGATTCCTCTTCGTCTTCCTGCTCTAGTATTGTGAGTATAAGAGAGTGCTGCCGTCAATCTGCTCAGTTGAAGAAAAAACTCTTGTCGTGCCCATAATTTCTCACAGAGCCCTCAGGCAGTGGATCTCGCGCCAGCGGCAGGTCGTATAAAATATCGCAGCCCTTCATCGGCGAAGCCCCCTCCATAGAAGTAGCGGAGGGCATCATGGCTGTGGTGTTCGAGACAGGTGTCAGATCCTGTTCATTCCTTTTTGCCATCAAACAGAATTATACCTCCTTCGATGAATATTGGCCTTTTTCAGGCACACGACAAGGTGGTCTGTTGAATGACGATTCGAATCTTTAGGACGACAACAACTACAAGCCTTAACGACAGAGGTAGACGCGCCTTCGATGATCTCCTCCACAGTTCTACTAGTAGTAAGAGGCGCCTTCGTTAGACCTTGCTCAAATCCATCCCAGCCAGCATCTCGGCTCCTTTTTTCCATTCAAAATGAGGCCAAGAAGATGCAGGAAAAGATGGACTTTGTTCTCATCAAGCCTTAACTTCATGAGTTTAGTCTCTTCAACATCATGATCAGGCACCATTTTTGACGACGTTTTCGACGACGTGGCAGTCGACGGGCTGTCTGCATCAGCTGGCGTGCTACTGCCATCTGTCATGTTTACGGTCTCTCTTGCCGCACCAGACACCAAGGTGCACAAGGACATCCTACTATCCACATGGCATAGCGTGTTGGACGACGGGGAAGGCGCGATCGTCGTCTGTGTCGGAATACTCCGCAAACCTTGCTCCTTGTAACTGCTGAATATATTGTTCTCAACATGATCTTCTTGTTCATCTAGGCATGCTAAATCGCGTGCTTGCAGTTTCGCGGCAACGCGCAGCTCCTGCATTGCGGATACTTCTTGTTGCGTCATCTTGATATTCTTATTGAAATTGATGTTGTTCCACCTCAATGAAAAATTTCTCTAGTACAACTGGTTTACTTGGACTACTTCTAAAAACTGAAACTGATGCTCTTTGCTCTTGTTCTTGAGTAGTCTTGCTTTTCTAAGTTCTTGCCGTCCTGTCCGTTGCCTTCTGCTCCTTTGACGTAAGTATCCTCGTCGATGTCGTTGTAATGTGCTTCTTGTACTAGTACTTTCTCGTCGCAGCTATTCCCCACTTGCTAGCACTTCTATCGTACTCGTAGTTGTCTGCAATCAGTGAGTCTATAATACTGGTTAGTGATGATCTTCGTCGTTGTACTTGCACTGTCAGCTGCACTACTTCTTCCGTCTTGTTTTTCAACCTTCTCTAATTCGATAGATCGACAAACTACGATCAATGTACCAGACAGATTCAGACTCGAGTCCTCGAAATCTGAAAAAACTGGTAAGTCTAATTCCAATTTTTGTGCAGTGCCCTACCTTTGAAGAAATTGAATTTGTATTTGGAATGTCGTGTGTCATTGTCTTCTTCATGGAGATCTGTTGTAATGTTTGAACTTTGAAGTACATGCATGGTCCGGTTTTTCTCTCTCTGGTGGATGCAATTCATACTCCATATTGTTTCAACCTCCAAGTTAAGTTAGAGTTGATACTACAGGTGACATCAGAGGCCATTATCTTCATGCTCCCCATCTGCATGAAAACGCCGCAGCTCGTGCGTTCGTTCTTGTCGTAAAAAAAGGTGTACTCTCGTTTGCAAAGCTGCACTATAGTGAGCACGACCAGGCCAGGGGGACTTCACACTAAATGATGGGGAGCGGGTGTTACATAGGAGGCTACGCCACCCAGAACTAATAACTCGCTCAAGAAAACCCTCGTCACCCTCACTTTTGTCAAAACAGCTGCTCACGAATGCTACCTTTTTACAGGATGAATTTTTGCCCCCTCATCTTTTTGCTTTCCACACGAACACGGCGCCACACACTTGTAGAAGGAAAAATTGGTTTGCCGCTGTCCACAAAATTTCATCGGTAAAAGTCATGTGCTAGCCACTTGTTCCAGTTTCATAGGTCTGTTCTCTACAAGGATACACTCAAACATCGAGCAGGCTGCAGTGTTCGTTGATATAGTGCAGACTCTCGGTCAGGAAAGAAATGTTCAACATCTTGCAGTTGCAACATTTCATGCTGTATTTCATCGTACTTCTCTTGTCAGGATTCTTAGCCAGGAAATCTTCAACAATGCGAATACGATCTGTACATGATGAATCGAATTCAAATTTCAGTCTTTCTATCTCGTCTTTGTATCACCAGTTTGAATTTCTTGAATATCTGTCCATCGCATTCATACGCCTTGTAAAAATACACAAAAATGCAGTTGTTGTTGCTGTTGTGTTCATCTATCATCTTTTCTTGCTTCTAGTATCCACCAGTCGGTGTACAAGTATTCAATTCAAACAAATTTGTAAGTAGTCATGCACTATGAATCTGAATATCAACAACTGATTCTCCATCATTAGAACAACAACAAGAACTGCATCCTTCCAAGAAACGAATCAATCGAGCTAAAAGGATTGAAATTACAATAGCTGGTTGCCAGACTTGCCCTCCAACTACGAATACGACTAGTACTTACAAGGAAAATAGTAGAGGAAGTTAGGCCTAGTAGGCTCCTAGTAAAATCTCACACCACCACCATGATGATTCTTCGCGTTTTTCCCGATAATCTTTTTCTTCGCACCTTTCCCGGCTCCGCCTCCCAGGCTTTTGGGGCCACGCTCTTCATGAAATCGCAAATTTTCCTCCAACTCCTGCAGCTGTGTCTCCAAGTCTCTAGCGAAGTCCTGCTTCAAGCTTGCTATGAAAAGAGGAGAAGAAAACGGACGAGGAGCTACTTATGATCGTTGAGTCTGAAAAGGATGATTCATGATGGATTTTGATGGGTGGATGGTGAGGGGTAATTGGTGATGTACCCCCCTGTTGACTCAAGACGATTAAGTTGGTAGTACAACACAGTAAGTGCTCCGCCACATTAATTACTAGTGATGTTGAGGGCGCTGATTTGTGTTTCCTTTAGACTAGTACTACAAGTAGGACCATAACCTTGATCAAGTCTTTGATTTCTCCCAGTTTACCCTTCCAATGACTCTTGTGCCCACTAGCGTCCTTCTCTGCTGGCAGCAATGCATGAACCCACGGTAGGTAGTTGATTTTGCGAAAGCTCAACTTCTGCAAATCGCATATCATATCCGCTCTCGTGCGAAGAAACGTGTTTTCTGAGTGAGAGGAAATAACGTGTTTTCTGATCCGATTGGGGCGAGGGACGTACTAGGAGACGTGGACTCGGAGAAATCCTTCTGCTGGGGAAAGGAAAAATGAGGAGGATCATATCGTAAGAAAAGACGGAATTCTAAAACTTTTGACGATGCTAAGATAATTCTTGGAGTTTCTACAGCCAGAATAGGCCATAGATCTTCCCGACGAATGGCATACTACAGCAAATTGTCATCGCTTGAAGTCAAGTTGCAGTTTTTTCTGTCGATGTGCAATCATGAGATGAGGTCAAATCGTTCCTGCTAATCAGGAAATGAATTCAATTAAAAGTGGACAAAATCAAAAATTTAGTGATTTCAACTTGAAAATGAATACGAAACTTTCACATTGTTCGAAACACACTAGAAACAGGAGGAGTAGGCTATGTGTGTGAACAGCATCAGTACCTTCATTCTCCCTGACTCGCTCGAAAGTGTCGGACATGATAGCAATGAGCAGGTTGAAAAGAATGATCACCATGACGAAGGTGAAGATGCAGAACAGGATGGTGGCCAGCAGCGGATGCTGAGTGTCGGTGAAATGCTCGACGTTCCAATCGGGGTGTTAGAGAGATGTGTCCTTACACAGAACCAAAGTGAACTACAACTTGAATCGAGTATAGCGCTGAAAGATGCGTTCTATTGTTTTCTCTGCATTAACTTATACCTTTCCCATTCCCTTTGTTCCTAGAATGTTATTGGTATTCCTTCCGGTGACACTCACTGCTGGTGCTACTTCTTCCGGTAAAAATAGTGTTGATAAAACAACATGCAGAACGGAAAAAAAATGTTGTGAAGGTCGTGCCTTAACCAAGCATTGTAACGTACACCGACAGCAGTGTTTTTGCTCTATCTGGATACGGTTGGGGGTCGTCCTTATACAGCACATAGAACGCTGTTCCAAATCCGAGTAATGCAATGGACACCACGATGAGGAAGTATCGGATATCCACGAAAATTTCGATGAGCATGCGGATAAAAGAACCTATGTTGCGGAAGGGCTGGCAGAAGTAAAAAAGCTTCATCCAGGCCATCAAGACGGAAATCGTTACACCGGTAATCAGGTAGTCCTTCGTGAGAAAGGCGACGGGGTGGTTAGAGGTAGGAAGAGGCATGATGACATTAGCAGAAAAGAGGCTCTCCTACACCGGTAATTTCTGGGACGAAACCACATCAATACTTTCTTGTTTACTGCTCGCATAGATTTAGATACTAACGAACAAAACGTCCTTCATCTTGTTGTAGCCTTAATGTGTCCTGCTGCATCGAGGTACGCAATAAACGTGAGGACGTTGAGTATTACCAGAACAATGTCGAACATGTTCCACACCGAGAAGAAGTATGCGCTGGGCGATTTCTGGCTCAATTCCTTCCCTTCGTCGACTACAGACCGCAACGTGTAGCACAGGATCACCGTCAGAACAATCGTGTTCAGTAAATCCGGCCGATTGTACAACAATGGCATCGCGACGCCTCCTCCAAAAAACAAAACTAGAGGAAGCCACAAGGCTGCGTGACGTTTCAACAACAGCATGGTAGAGGACGAGGGGGAGAAAAAGCCAGAGAATTGTGAACCACCGCCAGCTGCTGAATGGAGCAAAGACAATTCTTCCTCTTCACTGTCGTGATCGCCGTCTTCGTCGCTATTGGCGTCGTCAGCATCTGACCCGCGAAACAAGCAAGACCAACAACTGCTAGAAGTTATGTACTCAGACATGCTATTCAAACTACTTGGGAAAAAAGCTGAAACTGGACTCGCCAACGCGCCTAAAAACCTGGCGTCGAGATAGCGATACGTACTGCAAAATGCGAAGAAAATCAAAGTCGTTGCCCAAGCAAAATAGTGCTCCAAAGTGTCCATCGATCCCTTCCCGGATTCTGCACCCAAGACTCCAAACTTGTACGCGGACTCGCGTTCACGAAGTTGCAGCGCGAAAATCGTGTAACTCGCCAGGAAAATGACGTAGCTGACGAAGTACATTTGCAATTCATCCCTTGCGAATGTTTCCCACTTGTAGTCAATCAAAATCCGAGCCGGGGTACTAGCGTAGAAACTAGAGGGCGCGTTGTGTTCCATCAACAACGTGAGAAGTCCTTGGCCATCACCGCCATCGCCAGACACCATTTCAGGGATCGCTACAACCTTCGCCATCATGGGTTCTAAAGCAGCATTATCGCCATTTTCCTGCCCTTCGAGGTAATCTTGCCAGACCGGGAATGAAGCCAGGGGATGGTGGTGAGGGGGATGAGAGAGGAAACAAGTGTCGATAAAAAAGAGCAGGACAATCGGGACGAAGAGAAACGATAGTTCGACGCAGGAGGTGTCTTCAACACTCTTAGGATTACGCAAACATGACAGACCCTCGTCTTGTGCCTGCCTATTTGTTCCATAAGTTAATCTGGTATCCGAAGTATTCGGTTCCTTTGCTGATAAGACGGCTTGCCGGATTCAGGTACGCCTTCAATTCTGGTACGTGAAACGGCGGATCCACCACGAAGGCTTCCAGCAATTTTTCAGCCTCCGTTGGAATCCAGTTCAACAACGCAGGCAACGAGTGCCACACCAGCGCCAGTGACTCCCGCGTGAACCCGTTTTCCAAGATGCGGGAGATGAAGAGATCAGTCAAATCTCTCTCGTGGAGACGAATCGCCAGAGAAAACTCGCTCTCTTCCGGGATATGCAATACATTCTTCTCGTCATCCATGCCAAGCTGGCGACGAATCAATGCCAGTCCGCTAGCTGAGGAATCTAGACTGAAACGCTTCATCATGTACATGCTCTCTTTCCGCACCCTGGACGCCTTTCTCGATATCAACGTGGCTGAGGATTTTTGCTCTCTACTTTCCCCGTTGCTTTGAGGCTGTAACGCTTGATGTTCTGATGGTGTCTTACTAGAAGTTGGCTTGAAGGAAGTCGTGAAGGCACTAGACGATATCCTTCTATTCACTGCATGTCCCTCCCCTTCTTGAGTACTAGTAGAGGAAGATGTAGTCGTAGTACTGCAACTTATCTCGACAAAGTTTGACGTTCCTAGTTTCAACAGTTTCACATCGTGGCGAGCATGAAGAGTAAGCTTCACTCGTAAAGCTGTCACCACCTCAAAAATGCACTGGGCTGTCTGCTTTTCTCGACGCTCAATAGCCAAGTACAGCAAGGACTTGCCTGTACCCGGATCCACGTGATTCAGACACCCAGGAAAAGCACGGACCCAACGTGAAATGAGCAACTTCGTCTTTTCCCTCAAATGCTGCTTCTTGACTTGTCTGTTTGGTTCTGGGTCATCGAGCGACGACAAGGCTTTCATCGCCTCTGTGGGTGTGCCGCAGCATGAGAGAAACGGCAAGTTGAAATCCCGAAACAAATTTCCGTTTCCGTCTGAGAAAAAGCAACGTCGTAGTTCTCCATGAGCTCCTGAGGTAGCACTACCTGCAGCTTGATGATGTTGATGTTCGACAACTTGTTCTACTCCCACTTGTACTCCTCGTTCTGACGTATTTCTTGGTCCTTGTTCGCCACCAACAGGATGATGTTCAGGAAGTTGAAGTTCTCCAAATACTCCACGTGATTTCTTACAGCTTAGGACTTGTGCTAGTTCCAAGCCTTGATCTAGATCGTAGATCGCAGTCATATATCCAGGATCGCTCACTGCAACCCACCTTCCTTGCACAGTCACGATTTCATCGTAGTGCGCGAACAGATGTCTCTGGTGCGCACTCTTTGCACCTACCTTCTTCTCAAATATCCAACGAGCACCATTTGCAGCAGAGGCGGGGAGAATGATGTTCTCAGTACTAGAAGAGCCTGCTCCTGCACCAGCTTCGAGTAATTGTATTCCACCTCTTGCTTGAGTTTGTTCTTCTCCAGATTGTTCTACCATCTGGATTTGCCCACTTGATCCAGATCTTCCTGCTCCCCTATGAACATGCTGAACTACAGACTGGTCTGCTTGCTCTTGAAAACCGGTATGTTGCTGTCCTTCAGCTCCTCCTTGCTCTCCTGAGAAAGAAGACGCAGCACCACCTCCATAATTACTTCCAGATGACGTATTACCACTGCCACTCGATACCAACCTGTAGATCTGCAGCAGACCTCTCTCGCCCGGTTCCGAGGAGTCTGCGATGAACAAGTCGTTCGACAGGAATCTTGCTGTCATTGTATCCCTGTCACATCGGATCTCAGACTCCAACCACGTGTCGCTTGCACAACTCCAGTCGCGTGTATCATATATTAGATGATTCGAAAAATTCATGGAAATCTCAATCATAGGAGGTAGAAAATTCATGAAGTTCTTGTAGATCGTCCTGAAGTGACCTACTTGAATGGTTCTGGTATTTGGTAACCTGATTTTGAGCATAAGGAAAACAAGAAGAGAATCCTTGTGATCAAAAAAATAAATCAGGTTACCAAATTAATACCTCCAGCACCTCCATTGCAACCTACAACTACAAGAAGTCGAACAAGTCCGATGATAATCCGTAAATACAATTCCCCATTGTACGCAAACCATGCAGAGTCCGGAGAGAACAGTGGTTGACCGGAGGTGTAGGTCCGATCGAAGATTATCAACAGCTCCCATGCCTCTTCTGTCGATATTAGTAATTGTCCGTCTTCTCCTTCTACTTCTTCTGCGTCCTCCACTGATTGCTCATCGTCCTGCGCCGGTCCAAAGAGCTTTTTGGTAGCTCTTTGGACCCGGGTAGAAGTATCTTCCTTTTTGACGTCAGTGCTCGCATGGTTCGGTTGTTCAGTGCTCGCATGATTCATGAATGAATCAACGCCAACCTGCGATTTCTCGTCATCTGCGCCTACCAACATCTTTGTTCTCTCACCCTCCACAGCCCCCAGCTCCACTTCAGGGACTTGGTATATGTGTGCCTCATCAGGTACGACGCAGTTGGCAAAGAATAATCTTCCATCTGGAGAGAATCGACCTTTCACGGACTGCTGTTCGGAATAGAACTTCTCACAAGCTTTGAAATGCGTCACCGATTTCAATCGCGTGACCTTATGCACATCCACGAGAGAGATGTCATTCTTAGTCGTGTTGAAGGGAGCTACTGAAGATTCTTTTTCATCCTCCAGGAGACCGTGAGTATTGATGCTGCTGTTGCTCTTGTTTCCTTCTTTTTTTCCTGCCTTAGCCTGTCCTCCTAGTTTATCGCCCGCATCTGCCTGCTGCTCTTTGTCTTCTTCATAGGTGATGAGGCTTTTCACCTTATCCACCTCTCTTGCGTTCACTACAGAAGATGCTGTGTCGGCTAGTTGTTCTTTTTGCTTTTCACTTGATGCGGCATCAATTTTCGAAGATGGACTGCTGCAACTGCCATCCAGAGATAGTAGATAATTCCTTTCTACTTCCCGCGAGGACAGGACCATCTCTAGGGGCAATTCAAATATACGAATCTCGTTGCCAATACGACTAGCGCGTCCACCATCCTGAATCCCCATGACAGCTGACATGAGAATACGGTTCCCCGATACCACGGCGTCCAGGACGTAAAATGACTTGTCTTCCAACATGTCGAGATCCGCATTCAGGTTCATGTGCGCATCGAGTGAAACAAGAGAAAAATGTTGCACAGAAGAAGATGATGTTGACTTTCTACTACCACTAGCTTCCTGCATATTTTTGTCCAGCAGCAAGTCATGCACCGTGATCGTATATTCGTGCCCAACGATGAGAAAGCGGTTGTTCATGCCAGCTTCTGTGGGTCCCTTGACGAAGACGTTGCCAGAAACATACAACTTCTGCCTCAACAATCCAGCGGAAGCTAGGTGAAAGGGAGTTGTACCGAAGCCAAACGTTAGAGTCAATACAATGGCATGGTGGGCTAAACCTAAAAAGGAAAACTAACCGGTCAATACAATTTCACAGAGCTTCCGGGAAAGTTAGAGTCAATGCAATTCCAAATTTGCACCCATCTCCTATCAACAAAAGAAAGCTCACAGCAATGTCTTTTAGAACATGAACATCTCGGTCCATTTGTACTTTGTCCCCTGTATCTCATGGGGGAAAAAGAAGGGTACGATTACGATTACCAAGATCATGCTGAGCAAGATAGATAACCTAGGGTTAACCATAAAAAAGTGTGTCCCGATGTCGCTGACATTTCATCCATCTGGAACTTCGAAGACGATCCACCACTACTGGAGACTTGATCGGAAGTCGGAAAAGGCAGTGCATGACTCGAATGACCTCTACAGAAAGCGCCGAACATTAGAGCTATCGCATTTCTTCGCATGATCTATGGGTATGGGACGAGTCTCCCTCTTTGTGGAGGTCGAGGTGGTCCCTTTTTCCAGTCTAAGCACTCGAAAAAGAGGGTGGCTGCAGGATGGACAATCAATGCGCTTTTGGAGGATTTTTCAGACTGACACACTGTGGACAACTTTCCACTGTGAAAAGAGTTAGTTGCAGCCTTAAGAAAATGTTACTTCGAGAAAACGAAATCATACTTGGACCGCTTACGCTGTTCCGTGCTCCGCCGAAGCCTGAGGAACGTCGTCGATTCATTAGTGCAATCGCGTTCGCCCCTCCATTTACTTTGTCAGCATCATCGTCATGCTCATGCCCGTGGTCGTTTGAGACAGCTGCGCCTTCATTTAACGCACGTGGCCCTAGAGGATGGTGTTGATCATGGCCACCCTCTCCTAGAAGTAGAGGTAGACCTTGATCACGTTGACGACCCAGACGAGTCGTAGTGAACGCGTAATCGTAGCATCTTGCAGTGAATCCGCGATAACATCGAGCAGTGCTATCAGCAAACTTCGTGCCTAGATTTTCCTTTTCCTCGATTTGCTTCCGTCGATTCGGCACTACCAAAAGCCAATTATGGGCAAAGCCGGTACAGTAGGGAAACAAACCGCCCTGCTCTCCAACACCCTGGCCAGCGCCACCACCATCGGGGATCGGATTTAGAATAACATTTGGAAAGTTATCAACACCTAGAACCAAAAAAATGATAGAAGAACCCAGCACACCAGTTGTGCACCATAAAATGTATAGGAGCGACCACGTGTTCGTATCCCAGATTCGAACTCCGGTACTGCTGCCAGTCCCACTCCCTCCACCCCGATCCTCACCAAAGCTGGAAAGCCAACTATCATTCCGCAAAAATTTCACTTTGCTGTAGCTCACATTCGGCTCGTAAAGACGCTCAAAGGGATGCTTCACCATTGATACTACGGAGTTTTCTAAAGATGAAGATGATGCGAGTGCGCCTAAAGTTCTTGTACTGCTTTCCTGTTCTTCTATCAGATCTTCGGCTTTGTAGATGTAGATTTTGGTCTCGCCTTGTACTTGCATCACAGCTGCAAATAGACCTTCAACTTTGATGGCTTGTTGACGTTGTCCTCCTGCACCCCCTCGTGTTTTTACTGCACTGCTACTTGTCATGGCAGATGTAGACGCTGTTGTGCTGGACAGTTGTCCTCGTAGATTTTTGAAGAATGATCTACTCCTTCCTCGTCTTCCAAGAAATCTTGCTACGGAAATCCGACGAACCGATTCTTTCTTCGTCTTGATGTAACCTGCAAGCTTCACAACGGTACGACTCATCGAGAGACCCCTTGAGCGACCTCTCTTCCGTTGGTGCATGGGGTCTACGCCAGCTTGTTGTTCATCAAATTCAGTACTAAATTCATCGTCACCACTAGTTGTAGGGGTCCCTTGTCCGAAATTTGAAGTGAAGTCCATGAATAGGAATCGCATCTGTGCCCCGCTTTCGTCATCGTTTTCAAGACTGAGGACTCGCTGTTGTCTCTCCAGAGAAAAGACTGTTCGCGTCGTCGCTATATATTTTCCATCAGGCGACACAACTATCGGCGCTGTCTTTCGCTTGAGACGGCTCGCGTCCAAGGACACTGAATGCCAGGACGCGAGTGTTTTCCAAGTGCGTGTGCAAATGACTTCATTACGCAGTTCTCCCAAGTCTTGAATGCACATCCATGAAGACGTATCGTGTCCACGTACGCGGCTTGGTATTGTGGTAGTAGCTGCTGTTGAAGATGAAGTAGTTCCAGCCACCTCATGCTCGCTAGCAAAGGTTGCTGCTTCTCCACCTATGATCCTCCTCTTCTCGACTGTAGATGATCCTTTTCCCCGACCACCCGCAGTCTCAGTTTCCATCGCGGCTTCATCGCCACTGAACGCTACGTCAAGTACTTTGCTATTGCCATTTTTACCTCCTGTAGTCCCTGATGATGGTAAGTACACCTGTGCGTAGACATCCGACTCTACGTCTCGAGCTACCTTGCTCGATGCTCTGCGACTTCGTCTATCTTTACTTGAGGCAGCAGTACTCGGAGCCTTTCCAACCTCCCGCTCCTTACCCCCCTTACCAGAAACTGCGTTTCCTCCTCCATACACGAAGCTCTGTAGGAAATCAATCGGAGCTCCCAAGAGCATCCTCGTTGTAGATGACGCAGCCCGTGCTCTTTGCTCCTGTTCCATGGCTTTTCTCAGTTCAGAACCGCCTAAGTCACAATACGCTTTTGGGAAAAATTCCACCGCATTGCATCTAGGTATTTTGCGCACCAGAGACCACGTTGCGGTGTCGTAGAACTGGACGGAACAGGTCTGCGCGTACCCTTGCATCAAGCCGACAGCTAAAAGGCGATCGTCACAGCTGAAGGAGAGCGCAAAGCAGAAAGCGTTTTTCAGCATCATCTTTTGCGTTCGGGTATTGAAAATTTGCTTCTTTCTTTCCTCCAAGCTGCGACGGCGATCGTCGCTGGACATCGCGCCACCTTGGTGCATGATCATGCTAGGAGCCGCTTTCATCATCGAAGACAACGCATGATCAACTTCAGTGCTCAAGACCATGTTGTGTTCACCGTGAAGATCATCTCCTGATCCTGATGCTGTAGCCTTTGATGTTGACGCCCTAGTAGAGCACGTTGCCTGTTCGAGAACTGGAATTCGTTTGATTACCCTCCAAACTTTAGGAGGTGGTAGAAGCTTCGCTTGAAGACTTTGATGTTGTTCCTCTTGATCTCCTCGGACGCGATTTTTGCCATCTCCCCCCACCTCTACAGGAGCGTCGTTTTGATGATCTTGCTCTTGTATTGCTTTTGCGTGAAGATGAACATGGACAGAAGCAGCTGAGGGTGTTGCTGTTGGCGGTATCAAACTCGTTTTTAGATCTACTCCTGACTTGTCTCGAGTATGTGGCTCTTCACAAGGTCGATCAAGGGCTACGTCCTCTACACTGGGGCTTGTGTTGTCTCCCTGTTCTTGACCACTTACTCTACCACCAGGCGGCGGCGAGGTACTAGTAAACAGTGGTGACATGATCGAAGTGTTTGTGTTTCCTCCATTGATGATAATTGAGTTGCCACTGGTTCGAACTGGTGAAGCTGCTCCGAACCGTCCTCGAATCTTCGCAGCTCCACTCGTTCTGGCGACAGTCTTGCCTCCTCCTCCTCCGTCTTCATCTTCATCGTGGGTTGCCACGCTTGTTGTAGAAACCCGGCCACGTGGACGGAGATCTCCTTCCTCATCCAGGGACGTAGATGAGGAATCGCCATTGTAGTTGTAGTTCTCTCCATAATGATGAAGAACGGACAAGAAACTGTAGTTGTATTAAATACTTGGCTCTAGATGAATTTGCAAATGTGCTGATGTGAGGTGGACAACACCACAAGTAACTAACACCAGGACCAACAACAACAGACAAGACATAACAAGTTTCGTCCCTGAGTCTACTTCTGTAAAGCAGCTAAAGAAGTCTAAAAAGTTACTACTTAGATGAGGATGTAGAGGTAGATTCATCTTGAGCACTATATTGACCAAAAACTTTCAGAAGTCCTGTCTCCGTAAGTCGTTGTAGAAGACTTGCTATGGCCCCTAGAATTCTCGTCCTCTTGCTCTCCGCTACCGACTCCATTACTAACCGCAACAAGATCTCCACTAGTGTCAGCACCTCCACCGCTCCTTCCAGCATCCTGCACACAGGTGTCGTAGATAATGACATCTGTTTTGGAAAAGACAGCGAGCCATCGATCGTTCACTTTGCCAAATTAGACACACTCACTCATTCATTGGGCGACGTCGGCGGCCTTTTGGGACCTGGGTCTATATTCCTCACTATAAGCCGATTAGTCGGGCTTTTAGGCCTATCATGAATCATAATTCATTTAAAGATGATATCATAATTTATGATATCATCTTTAAGAGCAGCATCGTTAGCGCCCTTTTCGTTCCCTTTAAAAAGGAGCCAAAGATGCTTATGCTTTTTAAGGATGCTGCGGTTATGCGTTCTTCGACGCGCGTACGCGAGAATGCGGTTTATGCGTAACTAAAGCATGCTGCGGTGATGCGTTCTTCGACGGCAACCGGTACTGAGGGAAACACCCCAGGGGTGATCATGTCCGCTGGAAACGATGCTTCCTCCATCTTTTACTTTCATGGATGCCTGCGTTTAATATGGCCTTCGAGGATTCTCGATAATCAATGGTGAAAATAACTCTTTACCTTTCTAGACCTAGCATGCTCAATAGATAGGCGTGTGGCGCAGAGCACAGACCACGAAAGAGCACCAGTTCTTTTTCAGCTTTCTCTTACTACCAGTTTCTTCCGGTTCATCCGACGTGCTTTAGTTAGACCGCTCCCCATCCTCTCACGCTTCCTTATCTGTGCAGAGTCTCTTAAGCAGGCACAACGAGCTCGAGCTCTCACTAAAAAGAAAACTCCACATCATCAACATCGCTAGCGAGAAGATGGAGGATAGCCAACCACCGGTTCATTCATGCTCACCACCTCAGAGTCAGATACTGGGTCCTTCATGAGAATGAGAAATACTTGACTTGTTCTGTTCTAATTTTTCAGTAGTTCTAATACTTAGCGATAGCGGATACTTGAGGTTGGTTGGGCTAGAAGCTACAGATGTTCTTGGGGATCACAAGTAAGAATATCACTCTTCTAAAATATCAAAAAATCATGCACAAAAATAACTACTCTCAAGATCAAATAAATACTGAAGATAAACTACCTACTAGCTGCTAGCACGAACTACCTCCCAGACCCAGAAGGTCTTGAAGAAGGTAAGTGGTAATACGAAGATAAGTGGAGGCTGTGCGTAGACTGTGACCGCCATTAAAAAATTGCACTTACAACTCTAGACTGAGTTCTACTTTTGCGATGCAGAACTGTGTCTGCGGTGGAGACCGCGACATGGATTAACAGTGACATTATCTAGCAGCTACAACAACATGTCCATTGAAATCATACACATACAATAGAAGTTGAAGGACCATTAATAGCACCATATTAACTACAAGCATGATACACATATTTATAACATCCACGTACAACTAAGCACAAGCGCCATATTAACTACATCAATCACAATCTCATGACATAGACATTGTTATTGTTTTTCATCAGTTCTGTACATCGACTTTGCAAATCATCCTCGTGCTTGTGTTTCCATATCTATTTCGCTTTTTAGTCCAATAAAAAGAGCTAATTAACATGTACAACGAGTACGTCGGCCTGTTTTCATCAACAACTCGACGCTGTCACCGTTCACGTTCTTTTTGTCCGCCACCAGCATGCATGCTGCTGTCCCTGTTGCCATCGTTCACGATGACCGTACTAGAGGCGTGGCCTGACAGTATTTCTATGACATTGGCAGCGCTCTTCTATGAGAAAGAGAATGGTGCATATCAGGACCTTCCTTGATGGTGTACACTCACTTCCTGTCCACGACCACCACATCTGGTACATACAATCCACCAGCAGTGGTCTCTTCCATCCGCCGTATCGTTTGGAAATCCTCCTCTACCTGTGCTAGAGTTCCTGCAAGCAAAAAGACGCCAGGACAACTCCGCAAACTGGCCGTTTTCTTGGTCGACCCTAATGTCTGCGGAAAGGTGACTATGCGACGAGGAGGGCGATGTTGAGATTCTACTTGTTGAGGAGCAGCTGGAATCATTTTACTAGCGGCGCCATTTTGCTGCAGAAGTACAACTTGATTTCCTCCACCTCCAGTCGAGCTACCACCATCTTCAGCCTGATGATGTTTATCCCATGCCTTCAATATGAGGCGTAAAGGATGAATTTCAGGTGGAACGGCTAAGTGACCTAAAGCTCTGCGTAGTCCGCAAAAAGTTGGTAAGCTACACAATGAGCTCAGCCCCTCACCCGAAAACTTGCCTTCACAATGCGACACAAGAAAGACAGCACGAATCGTTAAGGAAGGATCGCGGACCTGTAGGTGGTTGTTGTTAGGTGTTCTGGTTTACTTAGATACTAATGATTATACATAGGTAGTCGTGGGTGACGATATTAGAACAAGATGAAGATATAGTACAAAAAGTTGTTCTACTTATGTCGGTTTGGACGAGACGTCGTGGAGAGGTGAGAGGACCACTACACAAATACTCCAGCATACTAAGTACTTGCGTCGTGGAGAGGTGAGAGGACCACTACACAAATACTCCAGCATACTAAGTACTTACTTGCTCTTGCATCAACTTCAACAGCATCGAAGCTGGACCAATACCTTCAGCGGTTCTTGGTTATTCTTTGCAAAGCGAAAAAATTTTTCAGGCTCTGTGGCTGCCAAGGCCAACAAAGAAAACTGATTCACCCCATGCGTCCGAAGGAACGATCCGTCGTCCTCCCCATTCATGTTGAACCGGAAGAAATTCTGCGCTCGCGGAAAATCACCAGCAAGACGGGCATTCAGCTCTATCAGCCGAACGCGGTTTGTCTTGCTACACCTGATCAGTTCTAGATGACTCGCTCCAAATCGAACGCCGCAACGGTCTAGGCAAGCTAAGGAGAATTCTAAAACGTCAGCTGGTAGTTCCGGACACAGATCTTGGACATCGTAGAGAGGGCGTCTCATCAGTGGGTCAAGCTTTTTCGTGGACGAAGTCCATGCGTCCGACACCACATGAATGCCAGCGCAGCTTACTGTGTTCACGACAAACTCTTCGCCCACCAACATCGGTTCTATGATCACACTTCTGGGCACTTCGTAGGTGTATTTCATCGAGGAGTAGTACTCGTCTTCTTCGTAGAAGGAGAGTTGTTCTTGTTCAGGTTGTTGTGAAGTTTTCAGTCGAAGTCCACACCGATCTGGTGGCAATTTTGCAGTGTCCCACACACTGGCTGGTCCTAGCGTATCTCTAATGCAAGATTCTATGTCCTTTTCGGACTCAAGTACTACGACCCCGCAACTACTATCCGAGTACGGGATCTTCAGAACTACTGGGTACGAATCGATCTGGTTTCGTATGGACTCTGCATGCAGTGGAACGAGTTTGAAGTCGACATCAGGCAACTGCTGTTCTGGGTGGACGAGGTGGTCAGGTTGTAGTCGCTCTAGGTTTGGGTTCTTTGATGAAGATGAAGATGAGGGTAATATTTTTATGGGACTTCTGGACCTGGAGGCTCCACCTGTTTCAACTTCATCTATTTCTTCAATGAGTCCTCCATTCATCATCCGATTTAACCTCGAGGACAACCCACTTGGTATTGCTCCTCTCCTAGACGAATCATAGGGTCCACCACGACTCGCCTTGATGTAGTTGTCGATATTCCCGAACTCACAGCGCATTCGCTGCAGAAACTTGTGTTGTCGATGAGATGTTGTACTCGGATCGTTTCTTTGTCGTAGAGGTGTCCGGAAGGCTCTAGCAAGGGTGTCTTGCATGTGTAGCAGTTCGTCGTCGCCTGTGGTTACGGCTATGATGTCGAAATCCGGATCCGCTATTTCGCCACTCGGTAAGTCACTCGGAGTGTACAACAAATGTACGCCAAGTTGGTTCAGGTAGTAGCCGAGGAGAAAGCGCGATGTACTAGCTCCGTCGCCACCGAGCCATAACATGGCTTTGGGCTTCGGAACAAGACGAGGCTCTACTTTGGAATCGTCGATGTCTCTGCTGAATTCAAAATAGTTGTAATCTTTGTCCGCTTGTTCATCTAAGCCCTGTTCGTTGACGTTCCCTATCTTCTCTGGTTGTGGCAGTGGCCGTGACGACGATGGAGGTAGACGTTTCTTTGGAGCTGGGAAAGGCATGTTAGTGTTTCTGATTCCTCCACCTAATATTCCGGAAGAGGCTCCTACGTTGCTAATTATCCCCGACCATACTCCAGCACCGTTTCCTTGTCCTTCTGGTAGTTTTAGGTCGTTGTATAAAAAACGTGAATCCAGGTCCACCTCCTTTTGGTTGGCGTTACTGTTCTGCTGCAAGAAGAATTCAGGCGAAAGCAGATTCCGAGGTCGCGGTAGACCACAAATGTCCACTAAAGTATGCGAAATCTCAAGAATACTTGGCAGTTGCTTCTGATTGGATGGTAACAAAGAAGAAGATAAGAGGCTATTGGCTCCTCCGGCTCCACTAGTCAGATAGTGTTCTTGTTGAGACGGTCTTAGGAATTTCCTTGCACCTAGAGGCTGTCCTTGATCCCTCCGCGCGGCTGCTGCGGGAGGTAAATAGGAGCCTTGCACCTTCACTCGATGACCTAGAACGGCAGAAACGTCGTAGTTGCTCTTGATAGTGTTAGTGCCTTCTCCTCCAGGAGTATCTGCACTAGTAGCACCGGCAACGCCATCGCCAACAGCAGCTGTGATAGTGGAGGAAGTGTGACTTTTGAGGTTCTGGTTATCCTCAACTGCCTGTCTCGTGCCCTGGTTGTTCTTCATATCCTCTAGCTCTACTCCTTCTTCCTCGAGAGAATACGAAGATTCATCAAAGACTTCCCGATTATTCGCTGTAACAATCTCCAGACGGATGCGTATTCCATGGGTCGTCGTACCGCTACAGGGGTTCAACCCGGCCCTTGCTCGTACTTTTCGTCGCAATATTTCGTCCTGGTTGATGCTCGTAGTTGAAGCTAATGCAGTAGGAGTAGCTTCTAGTTTAACTGCGCTTGCTCCGACGACATTTTTGTCCTTGTCGCTGTTCTCTTTCTCTACTCCAGCACCTCCACTAGACCTTCTTTTAGACTGTGCAGCCACAGATGGATCAAGATCAGCTCCTCCAGCATCTGTCTTCTCATTGTTCTCCTGTGCTTCTAGATACCCAGTCAAAAAGCTTCTGGGACAAAAAGTCGGGTATCCCCATATCCCATTCCCATCATGGCAGAGACCTCGCGGGCCAATGCCGTCCAAGGTGACGTGACACGTAATCCCGACAGCTCCCGTGTATTTCAAAAATAAGGAAACGTAGTCGCTGTCGGTGCCGCTGCCTTGAGGGTACAGGAAAAGTTGCAGTTGATGTTCTCCGAAAATGCAGAAGGGCTCTGACCTCAACTCTTCACCAGGCTGAAAAAAGCGCTTTTCAAAGAGTCTGGAGTCCAAAGTCCACTCTGCACACCGACCTCTGACGACTGGAGAAGGGATCGGAGCTAAGGCTTCCACTTGGACGTCAACAAGGCCGAACTCAGAATTGGCGAAAAGAGGAAAACCCCAATTGCTCTCTCGATTCCAGTAATTAAAGCTCAGCATTCAATGGTCACTGATGCTGAAAGAAAAGGGCCCTTTACCCCTCTACTTGTTCTCCCTGTGTTTTCCCCTGTTTTCTAAGGAGAGCCTCTCTGCGATCCCAGTGACCAACCCCAATGACCATTGAAAGCTGAGCCTTAAAGTAATGGGCGGCGCAGCGAGTGGTCCCGTTCACCTTCATCCAGAACGCATGTCGTGTTCCTGCCTCAGCGCGTACAAAAAGAGCACAGCAATGAGGAGATTGCACAAAACAGGAGGGATGTTGTTGCTGCTGGACTTGGTGTGTAGATCTTCCACCTTGCAGCTGTTCTCCAATCACTTGTTCATCTGTGGGTTGTTGTTGGCCTTGTTGCTCATGCTCATCTATCTCCTCTTGTTGAGCTCCTGCGTGGCGACCGTTGCTTGCTGCTCTATCACTTATTCTCCTACGTCTTGTATGCAGTGGTTCATTGCGCTTTTTCTTGCTCCCATCAGAAGATGCAGGTCGACTGTGATGTTGTGGTCTTCCTAAAAGTGGCCGGATTTTCCTACGAGCAGAAGGATGCTTGAGCTTGTGCTTCTTTCTCCCCTGTTCATCCTGGTCCTTCTTTCGACTTCGAGGTGAGTCGCAGTCGATCACTGACATGTTCGTCCGATGAGAGACTACAGATTGCTTACTTTCGCGAGGCCTCAACTTGTACTTGGTGTTCACATCGACGAGCAAGTCATCCAACCGATCCCGCTCTTGAAGACCACTGCTACTGTCGTTGGGCGTGTGCCTGTCGTGATTCTGACCTGCTCCAACAAGAAGACGACTATCATCTGCACCTTCTCCACTGGAGCCAGTGTAACTGTTTGGATTTTCGCGTCCTTTCTCGTCTAGAGAGCTATTTTCTCGACCGCCCACAACATGATCGGCTTCCTCTACACGACCGTTGTAGTTGTCTGAAAAAATGTCGTCACAGTCCGAGCTGGATATTTCGATGACTTCGTTATCCTGTAGCAAGTCTTCATCGTCGGAATCATCTTCGTCTGCATCGTTTCTAGTTGGCCTCGAGATCTTCCTCATGACAGGACTGTGAAGCCCATGATGCATACTGCGAGACGGCGAGCCATAAGGCGACACTCGTGGCGGTGACTGAGATGCGCGTCGAGCTGCCGCAGCTGCTGCAAAAGCATTGTTGTAATTGCTCGTGTAATTGTTATTCGAAATTCCACCACCACCTCGAACACCTGAGGTTCCACCACAGAAATTGGTGTCGAAATTTGGCGGATTGTATGGAGGCGGATTCGACGCACCTGGACCCGGGATGGCTCCTCCGATACCTCCACCTCCAAAGATCGCTCGCGGGGGCTCTCCTCTTGTTAGAGCTCGGCAGTCAGTGGCCACTGACTCGGAACGGCAGAGACCCCCTTCAAAGCTCTCCCCTTTTCCTTTAATAGTTTTCCCCTGAGTGGTGATCTCTTAAGAGTAGGTCGCCTCTTCGATCTCAGTGACTCCAATCTAAATGGTGACCATTGAAAGTTGAGCCTTAATCTTGGATAATAGATCAACTGCATGCGACCAGGCACACCCTGGAGACTAAAAGCTTCGGAGGACAGCTGCAAATGCGGATTTATCTGTTCCTCGAGTTGCCATTGCAGAGCCTGCGTGACGACATTGTTCTGGTGTTGCGCGTGCAATTGGTAATTTCTCGTCGTTCTGTCTCTATTGGCGTCTGAAGAACCAGCATGGTGCTGTTGATGTGGCAAAATCGGAGGAACACTAGTAGCGCTCTTCTTCTTCTTATGAGTGGCGGAGGCGGTCTTGTGACGCTCTCGGTCAGCTCTCCTAGTAGAACTAGTGGAAGTTTTGGTTCTTTTCATATGCTGATTCTCTTCTGTTGTACCTGTTGGAAGAGGCGGTCGACTGCTACTCCTGCTATAAGGACGTCCTCGCCCACTAGATGTTGTTTTCTTCACACCTGCTCTGGAATTTGAAGATTCACCTCTCCTGACTTTCTTCTCCTCGGCATTTTGCTCTACTTCGACTGAATATGGGGGCGGTGGAGGCGGCGGTGCTACGAGAGCATCAATGTGCTGACCTCCTCCTCTGACATTGATGTGGTCATCAGGAGGTGTAGACGGTGAAATCACAACTGAAGATCCATCGTTCTCGTCATTTTTATACACTCCACTTGTTCCACCTCCAGTCGTAGTTGCCCTTTCCATTGAGCGGGTAGCTCGACGCTGAGCATTCTCCACATCCTCGTGAGTGGGCAAGTCAGGTCTCACCCAAAGCTTCCAGGTTACACGGTTCCCGCCAACTCCAGGGG